GAGTGCCATTTGTTCCATATGTAGCCAGACTGTTGATTTGATCCCGCGGACGCAGGGTACTTCGATTTGGGACACGACTACTCCAGGACCAGAGCAATAACTCATTGACATATCCCGAGGTGCAGATTTTGAAGGCCACATCAGGATACCGTACGCATCGCACGAGAACACCCTGATTGAGTCAAACGCAGTACAGTTTGATCGTGTACTATGAACCTGTTCACCAAACAGGATGCAGCGGTTCGGATTCAAACTTTGAAATACCACCTGGTACGCTACACCTTTCATCGAATGCCCGTTCCAACTTTTCGCATAGTAACGTTTTGCAACTAACAGCTACAGCTTTTCGATCGATCGCTCTTATCCCTATTCAATGTACTCTCCCATAGCATTTTGTAGCCGTTTAGAGCACAAGGCAAATGTGTCTGTATCATATTTGGAAGATAGGATACATATACATTTGCTTTGTGCTCTCAGCGGCCACTCGATCGAGCACAGCATTGTCACATCACATTGACAGTCGCCGCACGGACCAGTGTCGCGCCGTACAGCAGGTGTAAGTCGCCGGTATGTCCATGTTAAGTATTACTGATCTTTTTGATGGACATCAGATAATTGATGTGTAGTGCCTACTTACAAGCGTCTGTCCCGTGTACGACACGGTGTTACAGTACTATTCAAAAATTGATCATTCGCCTGATTATGCTGTAGAAACAGGAATTTCGTCCAACACACTGGTCTATCTTGAATAACGTCCAAACGCCTGCGAACCCACTTGGTGTGCCGTATCTACGTACTTGTGTCTGGTCGTTAATATTGACGAGATGAAGTTACAACACTACCTGATCGAGCTTCTACCGTGGTCAGCGGCCGCGGTACCGTGATTAGCGGTATAATGTGATAGTAGCTGGCAGCATCCGCAAGTCTGCGAGATTCGACGTATGCGACCTTTTGTTAAGGTGTGATACGACCACGGCACGCGAGTGATTCAAGGTGGACCAAATTCCGTTGATCTCCATTGGCCTCACTACTAATAACTAGTCTTTACTACAGCCAGGCAAAGCTCATCCATGACAGAACCCACGCAACACACAACGATCCTGCGCCTTTTGTCTACCACAGGTTACCAGAATCCTTATCAAGTTGTATCATACATGGGGCAATCGATTTACAACTTGAATGCAGATCTATGCACATTCTCTCCAGAATTGTACAATACACGTTCATGTCATTCCTCGATTCAAAACCTTCACTCATGCCTGTTAGGAAACTTGTTCGAGGAAAAAACTAGATCTGCTCGACGCAACTTGATAATCAATGGGATAGCAAGGACTGTACAAGAGGCTCAGGGGCAGTGTTCGACTAATAGTGGACTTTACTTAAACCGTGCGCCGCTGCGTCATATAATGATTAGGAATGGGTGACACCGCCCACGCCATTTTCATATCATATCTTGGGCTACCACTGCCACAAGAGATGAGCAGATGCTCGCACATCTTGTTACATAGTGATGGGAACTTTTTTGCGTTCGACACAGCCCGCCGGAGTCAGGGATGCTAGCCGATATCTGTAGGCAGCGCCTCAGGGGAGAGCCATTCGCGTTTAAAAGGACGTGGATTACTGCCCCAGGATAAATTGCACCCCCCAAGATGGAAGGCGCTTCTGTGCACGAGGACTCCATGCTGACGTTGGGCGATGTATCATTTCATGCTGCGTCAGTCCCAACAGTAGACACCAGCCTCTACAACCTGTCTCCCGCGCAAGCTGCATTCTTCAAGACACAAACCGGTATTGATAATGATGAAGACTTGAAAAGGCATATCCTGGAAGTTCAGGCGAAAGCATACAAGGCGAGTCATTCTCAGAGGACTTCGTAATGATTCTAATAACCATCTGCCACTGACAGGTTGCACCATATCCTTGTATTCATGGATTTGGCTTCCTTCGGTATGTTTTCAGTAGATCTGCACATCGCACGGAAATCGAACATTCCTCAGGTTAAACTTATCAAATTTTCCTGTGTATAAACACATCCTTCAGCTGGGTCGCGAGCGCCCCGATGCGGTGTTTCTCGACATCGGTTGTTGCTGTACGTCAAATCGACACTGTGTACTGTCTTGAATGATCTTTTGACTCCATTTTAGTCGGTGTTGACGCCAGAAAGGCTGCGGCGGACGGGTTTCCTGCCAAAAACATTATTGCGTCGGATGTCGTCAACGGTAATACAATTATCTTGTGGATGATCATTCTTGCTAACGATGTGAATGTGTAGAGTTTCTTCAACTAAGCCACGAACTTTTCAAAACGACACCAGCTTCTTACCCCGGATGCCTCCTTCCTGGAGATGCCTTCGATCCAGAATTTCTCTCTATAGTTGCGCCGTCGGATGACGTCTCTCCGGCGCCAGCTATTGATTTGTCCTCGTTGAAATCCCTCAACCCTCTTCATGGTCGCATTAGCGCAATAAACGCTATTGCATTCCTCCACCTCTTCAATGAGGAGAAACAATTGCACGTTGCCAGGGCTCTCGCGGGCCTTCTATCTGCTCAGCCAGGCTCTGTAATTTGCGGCTTTGACACCGGAGCTCACGAAAAGGGCATGGTAACTGCCAATTTATCAGGCATCGAGTATCAGACGTTTGCTCATTCTCCCGAGACTTGGTCATCTTTGTGGGATGGAGAAGTTTTCAAGAAGGGGACTGTCAAGGTAGAAACAGAGTTGGTGGAAATTCCGGTTTACGATAGGCGGCACTTGATGATGAGGTGGTCAGTGACGAGACTGTAGATAGGTATAACGTTGAATGGTCTCCGATCCAAAAGGACAATAAATTTGTTTTGTTTTTTAAAAAGTATAACAACGGGACGCATCCAAGGTGCAGGAGACAATACTCGCATCGACCTGTGTAACCTTACAAGGTTGCGAACATCTTGGTTGAATGTACCGAAGGTCTTTGTCTTAATGGAGGAGTCATGTGCCGAGGAGATCATGACACCAAGCTCATGTAACGGATACCGGTCGACAGCCTGAGCGATGACATCGTGGAGAGTATTGGATGCAGTAACGAAGTCGGGGTGGGGGAGACTCCTTGTGAGCTGTGTCAGCTAGTAAGACTTGCCGACTTTCTTGGAAATACTCATAGTACTCTGTGCCAGAACACATGAAAAGAGTTCGCACTATTGCTGCATGTGAGGGACGTGAGAATTCTCACTGGCAAAACGAACAGCCAGAATCCATCGAATCCTCCCCTCACCGACGTGATAGCTGTCTGTAGTAGCTTGTCCGGGACGGGTGAAATTTACTATGATGCAGCGTACGTGACGCAGCGCAGTCGCGCATCCTAGGGTATGGGTCATGTTCAAATACCATGTTATATCGCTCCAAGCGAATATTTGAATGATCATCTGTGTACAGGCGTATATTCCGAGACGAAGAAGGCCGACTCGATGAATGGGTTCTGGGAAGAGATCAGCGAGAGTTGGATGTCACGTCGAATTTGTGGCTCCTTCGGCCGTCCGAAAAATTTGTGCCCGTAAACGTTGCCGTGCTTCGCAGAGTTCAGAGAGGGAGGACAACAAAGTAATCTTTGGCTGATGGTGTAGCTATATGATGATGTGTCCTTGGGATGGACAAGACAGCAATGGGGACAAAGTACGTGGACACTTTGAATGTTGATCGGGTTTAATTTGTTAAACTGACCCGCAGTGTTTCGTATCGATAGGAACAAGACTCACGCGGTTGCAGGATCGTAGAAGATCATAGATCACTTGCACTTGTCTGTCTGCGGCGAGATTCCTCACTGTAGATTTAGATATTGCCCCTCTAAGTACTGGGTGTCACCCTGTGTCACTTGAGACAGCCGGGAAAATCTAATGAACATCAAATTTCAACTCATCTTCTATCTCCAGAACCCAGACTGATACGACATACTCTTTGTCAGTAGATACATCATGGCAAGCATCTTGGGCTTATCATTGTTTGACGATCCCGTTGACGGCATCATGCATGTCCTCTTCTTCACAGTCCATAGCCTCGTGTTTATTCCCTTGCACGTGTTTGACAACTAATACGTTTCCAACGACATTGTCATGATTGCTGCAATCTCGTGAATCGAAGCATTTGGTGATGCATGTACTACCAATGGATGTTCCCGAAAGAACATAGGCCCAAGTACCGAGGAACCCACGGTTATGTCCGTAATGAGATTGTATGTTTTACGAAACCGCCCACAGATAGGTGAGATGAACAGATCTGGTCCAAGCTGATTGACCCAGTAGGTCACTTGGAGTTGCGAGATGAGTCAGTAACTGTCTTCCCGGAGTACTGACACCGCGGAGATCTCGTGCTACTGAGAGTCATATTGCCGTGAGTGGTGACAAAGGTGGCAATGCGACGGTCACAGAATCAGGGCAGACGTCGTTATAGCCACAATGTCGACAACAAGGGTCGTGGCTGAACATTATTCGGTCAGAAGCATTACGGACGAAGAAAGGTTACCCATTGATTCTTGAAACAGGTTTGTGCGGACGGAGCAGTGGACGGCATTATCCGAGAACTTGTACAGCTAAAGTTGAGGTTGCCGCAGTGAGAAATTAGACGTAAGATTAACGTAAGAAACTGACAAAGTTGTGACGAAGTCCTTGCCTGCAATCAACCAGACCAAACTTCAGCTGTATTAGCAGACGTGGCAATATTACTGTGAGTATTCGTTTGGCAGGGCAAATCTAGGAAACTTACAGGTGTATCGTCAATCCAATGGTCGGAAAAGTTCAGCGTGCATTTGATTTACCTACTCGCATACGGCCTACGAATCCGAAGGGGCCACCTCCATCCATGCTCATAATTGTTGGCATGCATATTGTCTGATCGATGAGCTGGCGAGATACTTACTATATGTAGTGCCCGAGTTGGCCCCGGGCCATCAGTAGCGTGTTCATCCATCCAGGTCCGAGGCTCCTCCACTGACGTGGGCCCGGGAGCCGGGGATAGCGTCAGTACGGACCGAATAGATTCTTTACGCCACGCACTGACTCCTAACTTGTGAGAATCACTAGCAGCTGTCGGCTCGAGACCCGCTTCCTAAGATCACTCATCGAGGGAAATAACAAACATATTTCAGAGATAACACTGCGGTCGGTACGAAGAAACACCATACGGAATGAGACGAACGGAGACAAAAGCACGAAGCGCTTTCCCGCCCACGAACCAAAAAACACCAAACTACGCAAACATGTCCTCCTCGTTCACATCCCGTATCCCACACGCTGCCCACATAGCAGCGGCATCCAAATCCTCCACACCATCATTTTTCGTGCCTACAATCCCGTTTACCTCGTATACCGACTTCGTCATACCAAGGGTCACTTTAATCGCCGGAGGCCCAGGCGCATACTCCTCGAGCTCCGAATCTAGGTCGTTCTTAGCTGCAATCCCAACTTTCCCATCTTGATGGATGAGGCGTAGGATATTCCGAGCGGCAACCTCCGCTTGATAATACGCTGTATGTCCAGCTTTGATCGCGTTGAATGCATCTGCTGCGTCCCCCACGACGAAGATATTTGGGTATAAAGTCTCTTGGCATAGGTCGGACTCCACCAGGGTATCCGTGGATGAGCTGGGTGACAGGGAATACGGCGAATATGGAACACGTGGAGAAGATGACGTCGGAGGTATGTCATCATGTACGAAAGACGGCGAGGATGGCGAGGATGGTGGGAATTCTGACGGTCCTGTCGCTTCTTCTATATCAAAAGTAAAATTCCTCAACCAATGCAGTACATCATCGTCGTTGTCCTCGTCGTTATCTGCCTGAAACTTGTGAGGCTTTAAAGGTGGTGGGACGCAAAGTTGCATAGTCCGCAGAACACTTGCCAGTCCAGTGTCTGTGGCTACAGCACGAGGGTCCATGTCGCGAAGGAGCTCCGTGTTCGGTACTTGACCAGTGCATAGGAGCTAATGACATGCTCGTTAGCTCACTGTCGCTTGTTGATTTGGAAAATCCTACCAGTAGGTCGGCAGTTATTGTCTGCCCTGATAGAGTCCGTACTACGCGTGGTTCTGAGGACCCTTTCTTAGATGTGTGTTGGAGAGACTCGAAATCGAGTCGCTCTCCAAGAATAACCCGAACGTTCAGCTCCTGCAAACCCTGAAGGGCTGTATCATCGCTTAGTTGAAATCACATAATAGACAACACAAGACTCACCTTCTTCATGGATCGCGTCGTCAAACTTGGGCAATAAACGATGACGGGAATGCAGAAGCGTGACGCGCTTTTGCGGGTATACGGCAGCAATGTCGGTTGCAAATTCTATATATAACCATCAAACGCGTTTTTCGTGTAATGAAATGACGTAACTTACGGATACCAAGCGCGCCGCCGCCTACCACTAACACGGACGCCGCGGCGCCGACGCGTTCCTGGCGTTCTCGGAGGGATGAGGTACCCTCCGACTTTGTTCCTCCATATGTTGGTATTTCACGTGGTTCCAAACTCGACTTCATTCTACCTTTTTCGTGACTCCAGAGGTCTATTGGCGAGGGCAAGTGGGAGCCGAGAGCATAAATGGCATAATCAAACTCTAAGGATGAGTGCTGTGATTCTCCCAGGTTCGGAGAGAGGTTGATGCGATGGTCGTCTATGGAAGTGATGGTTGCTTGTACACGAACATGAGTTGAACATGAATGAATATCTGAAAGCGGACTAGATGGGAAGTTAATGTACGGGATGACTAAAATGGAAAAGTTAGGATCCGTGCAGGGTGGAGCATGCGGAATAGGCGAACGCACATGCTTTATGCTCGTGACCAGCGAGAACGGCATATCTAGAAAAGTTGTAAACGTCTAACAAAATGAGACCTCTTCCAAGCTTGAAAGCAACAAAGCTCACGGTTCATGTGGCTAAGGGGCAACGGAGGTTAACGGAATACTTCCACTAAATCCGGGATCAGGGCAACGTACGAATTTCTATCTACCAAAACAAGTCTCCAACCCTGTGGCAAACCCTCTGCAAGAAGTTGAGCGGCCCTTGAACCTAGAGAATAATTGGAGAAGGGTCAGTGAAAAAAAATGAATTTTAACGTCACGCGCGTTGAACACACCTCCGTAAGAACCGCCCATGACGACGACCGTCCTTGTAGGAATTGATGTGTGCAGGGAAGTCGAAGACTCATGAGAGACCTTCATGGTAGCGGACATGCTGAAGTCACTACTAGTACCTGACGGGCCTGCAAGTACTACGGGTTCGTTGAATGGGGTTTATCAGATAAGAACCGTGAGATAATACCACTGTCTGGTGTCCCGTTACGGCTGTATCGGCCTACTATGCCGATCGGTGTGCGCTCGGCCTCAAGAAACTTTAGCAAGCTTGAAGGATGCTTGGGTTTCAGGATCTCGGACAGTATTTATGTAGATTATGGAAGCTCTAGTAAGCCAGCATTCTTACAATGAATCGGCAAAGTCTGAAATGATAGAATAAACAGGTGACGTGGATTCGTACCGTATTATTTCTCAAGGGCCACCGCATGACCAGTATCTCCATCTGACGTGTATTACAACTACTGTACCACAACGGCGGCCAAGCCGTCAATCCCCGATTCCACCTTCCGGCCATTTTCAACCATAATTAGTTCAGAACGTTCAGGGTCTTACGTTTTAGTCACATGTATTATATCTGGCATGTTCATTCAAGATGGCTTGCCGTATGCATAATTAAACTGTTCGATCAGTTCCCGCCAACCATCAGAAACCGTTAGAGTGGTCTAGGCCTGGTCCTTAAGGGAAAAAAGGATAACTTGCACTCTCTAAATGAGACAGCGAGAGTGAGATAAACACGTCATGTAATGTGATCACGACAGCAAACGCGTTAAATGAAATACAACCCGTGAACAAAAGATGACACGAGAAGCAGGAGCGCCAATGAGATAGGAGACACGAGACACTTAAAGAACCAAGCACAGAAGGCTCAGCAGTGGTAAATATCGCGGGATAATGGTGGGGATAATAAAGTGCGTCATAACAATCGGGGTAATCACATACATTGTGAACAGTGCAGAGTGAAAAAAAGGGCCTCCATCCAACACTCGAGGGGCGTCTTCACTAAGAACATCCTGGATAACGCACGTGAGACAATGAAAGGAGAAGACGTATCCTATCGAAAGAACCCTCCCCCACTAAACGTGGGAGCGACGAAAAAAACACACTGACGAGAGGACCAAAGGCAAGGCGAGATAATGAAAGCACCCTCCCCCGCTAAACGTGGAACCGAAGATAGGGTCAAACACAATCGATGATTGCGGAAACGAGAAATTGATCTGACCATACTCCGAGGGAGAAAGCGAGGATGATCCGAGGGATAGAGCGAGGACGATCTGAGGCAAAGCAGACATATACGAGGGATCGTATTGGACAGAACGAAATAAACGATGAAGTAAACACCGCCTGCATCGGCTACAACCTTGTTTGTCATATTCGTTGTAGCGGCGTAATCTAGCATTAGCGTGTCTCATTTGGATCGGTACATTGTTGATGTGAGTTAAGCACTGCACTTGCAAGCAGAGAAATTGGTCTCTGATGGTGCGCAACTCAGTAACATGAGTAATTCTAGTAACTAAGTAAATCATTGTGCTTATCTTAACACCGCTTTTTCAATGTTGGAGACTTCGTTGGATCGAGACCTTCCCTTGTGGCGTCCCACACTCAGGCTTAATCGTTACTAGCCAGTTGTGGTCATATGTTCTATGGAAGTTACCGGTAAGTCGACGTTGGAATGATGATTTGTGTGAAAAATTGATGATCCTTTGGAGTAAGACAAATTTGCAGTCTGAGATGCAGACCGTCAATCTGCTCTCATGATCAGGATTCAGCGTAGACTCCGAGGTGGATGTATACCATGGAAGTTACCGGTAACTTAAACAAAACTCTAATTCATCCGCGTATACGTACCTTCTCGAAACTCTATTTCTGGCTTGGTAGAAAGATCGACCACGTGCCTTCTACTGTGCTCAACGTTATCAACGATGAGCTCACCGACTCATTCACACGTTGGATCACAGGTCACGGTACTGTACTAATGCAATCAATTCGATAGGTTTGTCGAAACGATGTCACAATATCATAAACGGAAGCAAATGTGTCTCCGCTACCCCCTAATTTACCGAGACGAAAGATTTACACGTAAACACGTACGTGGTTACTTACTCTCCTTCATCGTGATGGCATCAAGATTACAGCATGTCTGCCTTTCCCCTCGCCCTAATGCCACTTAGGCGTCCTCCACGGCCCCCCCTTTTTTAAAAAAAATCCATTTGATGTCCTATTGAGAGTATAATCTATGGAGAACAATACAGTCTGCCATGACCGCATCTCTGAATTCGCGAATACCCTGGTTCTCTCGCACAGTATAACTCCTCAGATCCTTGTACTATAAATTAAATGTGCGAACGCGGCACCACCTGACTCGTTTGTCTAGCGTACGTGATCACCCACAGGATACAGGTAGAAGGATGCATCCTTATGACTCATTACCCTAAAAGTCCGATATATCTTATACTGTAGTCATCCACCATACAGGATATATCCATTGCGTGATAATACATCATATAACCACCGTAGGACAATATCTATCTAGGGCTATTTCACCGAGGTGACCGCATCTAGATAGCCTGTATTAGCGTTTCGAAGCAGCACCTGAAGAAAGGGGATCAACTTACCAGTCTCAGTGCCACGCGCATGTAGATGCCGCCTGCACAGGGCCATCGCCCGTATCTTCGAGCTCGCTGTCGCGTGCAGCGAGCTCAAGCATCTGTTCCAAGAATATCAAACAGAAGTGGATTTTCATAGTATGATTGCGTCACCTTGTATATAAAAATAAATTCCGATCAGTACTGGATACAAATCAACGCATACTCTGCTATTTTGATGCAGCGGTATTCCCTATGGCCCCCTATTCAGCGCTCAGCGGCAAGCGTCATGATGTGAGAATGGAAGGTGGCCGATTGAACAGTAAGCGGATAGTAGAGTATAACAGTGTATGCAGCACTAAGTACGTTATAGTCAAAGAATGATTACAATCACCGCAGCCATGACTCCGTTTGCATCACCTAATGATCTTTTCATCTTGTACATGTCACCGTTTGTCATCTCAGTTTCAAAGTCTCCGCGTTCCCGCGGTTTCCCCGCACCCCGCGTATCTTTCTCGCCCTCGTCTTACATTTTTTGTTGTTCTCATTGGACAGCACTAATATTCCTCATTCGCATGTATCGTTCTTAGTTCAAAGGAACTTTGTTTCATTAATTATTGCTTATCATATTGTAAATAAAAATGTTATTGTTGGGAATTACGGTGAAGAATACAATCATTTCTCTTTCGCGGCCATCAATAATACAAAACTACACGGCCTCCGTGAGGATAGCGGGTACATAATACCGTCTAGTAGTATCAAAGTTAGGTTCAAAATGACTACTCACATAGATGAAACCGTTCTCCACAATGCAATTGAATGGGGTATGCTTCGGGTCATCGACGAGTGCCCGAAAGGGTCGTAATGAATCATACCGCTGATGACCTATCTACGTGGGTGAGCCAAGACTGAAATTTGAAATATCGAGTCGAGAGTATTAGTGAAGTTAACGCTGTTACAGAAAATGAGCCGAGTTGAAAGAGAATAGTGAGCATCGATTTACTAAAAGGTGCTATGACAGCTCACCTGCGATATAATTTGATTTGATGTATCAAACAATATCACTGGGTAAAGACCTGGTTTGTATGTAGCATCTGCGAGAATAGTCTGTGGGTGGATGTTGAAGGGATGGTATTGCCAATATGTTGGGAGGGGCTGGGGTGTCGTGACAGTTTCGTTGAACGGTTGCCAATGATGTGTGTCAAAGGCTTAGCGCAAGTTGTCACTCTAGGAGATCAGGCGTGCACGTTCGAAGTGATTCGTGCTGAATCATTGGATGCACAGTACCGAACACTGTGATCGAAGTTTTGGACAACACACAACTGTGTGTCAGTGCAACCCGGGTCGACCACATGGCGAAGGCATTCTCGATGGCAGGTACAAGACTGCACGAAGGAGTTAGAATATCAAAGATCCTGGGCCAAGATGTATCCCATCGCCGCATCTGCTGATTTGGCTCGGGAAGGACAACGACTCGATGTCAACGGAGGGATCAGGGTGAACTGGCAAATATCAATGACTATGTAGGGTATTCAGCCCAACGAAGAGTGATTCTCACACAAAATATGTCCACTGGCAGTTGGACAGTGGACGATAACACAAGAATATGTATCGGACTTTTCGGGTTACAGTCCAGTTAGGACACATATGAACTGTGCCAGCTCTATCCACAGTACTGTCATCACTGACGGTGGAGCTTGATCGAGTACACCGCTGGTGCTGTAACTTGTTCGCAAACTTTCCCATCAGCAATTGACATGCCTTGGGCATATGTAAGTACACGAATGACATTAGCAATTTGATGCAGGGTACCGGAGAAGGTTGACAAACATTTGGATTTTGAGTGTTGTTTTCAACCCCTATTTATGGGACCGATGTTCTGCCAGATCAGACGTATGATCGAGCTTCAATCAGTGCTGCTTTTAACACCATGTCGTATACTTCGACAACTACGTGTAAGTGGGTAGTGAAAAACTGCGGCGTACATACCAAATACTTCGGTATTTTGAATTTGAACCGATGTTTGTTAATCAGGCTACGAAATCATACCAGTGCTGTATTTGACATCAGGGTGCACTCGGGCAATGCTTGATGTGGTCTTTCAAGTTGTGCCTTGCCTTGCACCCACACGTCCATTGCTGTATATGGAAGAAACGGCACCCCGTACCACAGGCTGGTCCCTGAATACGTGTTGCGTTACGAAGCGTTATGACAGAATTTCTTCTCTTGTAGTGATCGTCGAGGAAAAACAATATCAATGGGGTTACTCTTGAACATTCGATAACAGTAAAAAGTGGGAAACACACAAACATGCATCACGTTTGTTGCTATACATAATTTGGTACAAGTACAGGGTAGAAGAGTGCGAGAGGCACGGAGATCAGTCTAATATCTGTAACGGGTGGAATAATCTGGGATGACAATGAGCCCGAGTACAATACTGACGATATTTAAATACAAACCTTTTGGTGATACGACAAGACCACGGCCCTTGGAGGCTCCGCGGTAAACAGTTTCAATGATGTCAATCAGCTACGATAAGACGCATCAATAAGGTGGGCCAACAAGACAAATCATGACGTGCCTCCTGTTTGTGATTCATTGCCCAGTTTCTGCAGCAGGCAATGCATTTTTTTGAGATAGATCAATGTGCAGGGCTGGATGGGCCACGTACATCTTGTTGTTGTTACCAGTTCCGAGATCAATCATGATATGTTTGTTACTGATACGCAATATTTCAGCTGCGCATTCGGTATTATAACTGGGGTATCAAACCGTACCGATAGAAGAACATGACGGTGCACGGATCGTATAACTCGTACATCTGCACCATTTTGCCACGATCGATAGTTAGCGCAAGTGGAACAAGACCTGTGGAATATGCACACCTTGTTAAAGTCCGGGACCTCGGTGATATCTACGAGGTAGATGACTGCAAAGTTTTGCACTTTCTCTGCGACAGAGTAGAGGGTCTCGTCCATCGTCATGCATTGATGGTCCCAGTCATGGCCAAAGCGAATTACGACGATACGGTCCTCTTCAGACTTGATGGCTTCGTCGACATGCCAGCCGCTGGGCAGGTGTGGAAGGAAGTAGGACATGTGGGTGAGGATATGGAGAGCTCAGGACCAAACTGCTGGAGACACACTACAGTGGCGACTTCGACGAGCAAGGCGGGCACAGCCACACTCAGAAGTCACTTCCACTTCCACTGCCACTGCAAACCCGATAGCGGCCAACATTTTGTACTCTTTAGAAAGTACATTCAAATGGGAGCGCAACGCTCTATGATAATAGGGTGCCTCTGCCGACGAGGGTTAGACCTCCTTTTCGACTGGCTTGCTGCAGGACTCAATGTTGTAGGCCCCGCATCAATGATGTTCAAGTTTCCACCGGTCGCCTCATTGCACCGTGGTCGTTGTTTCTGGTGGCTCGGACGCTATGCTAATATCTCCAACTTCCCTAACAGACCACCTGGGATTGGTCTTATTTGGCATAAGTAGAAGCGGTGGAATTGGGTGTTTGGTATCCCTAACTACAATGTTACACTGGATACCATCATGAGGTGGCTTATGCCTAGCTGTCTTGTGCTCAAAATCCTGCCCTCTTTTGATGCCGTTGGAGGGCTCGTCGTGGTGTAACTACCATAGCTACTGTCATACGTCGTCCCTTCAACCCTCATCACACCGTATCACACCTCTATCCGGGTACCGGTCTTTTCTTCCTGAAATTACTGGCAATATGGATTGTGAGCCCGGAATATATATTGCGAGAGCAATCCGGACCTTAAATTACCACGACTAGATTACTTCTACCTCGTTCAAGTTGACTCCGACAGTTCTGCAGACAAATTTTTCCGCGGCCTGGCCGCCGGCAGGGCCTTCGTCAACCCTGCGTTCCCAAAATTTCATGCAGTCCCAGGGCCCTGCCCTACTCCAGTTTCCCGACGCGCTCACAAAGGCTCAGAGTAAGATGAAGGTAGGCTCCACTGGCAGTAGCTGACATAATGCACACATATTGACGGTCGATATAGTTACGACGACGAAGTACAGAAACATAACATTGACCGTTAGTCTATCACAGTTTCTATTTAGCCAGTTACCACTGGAGACTAACGACTGCAGCCTACCGCCTAGACGATAGGCCTCATTGGTAAATGGAACTCGCGCGTAAGATCAATTATCTTGGGCACTTTTTCTCGCAAGTACCGATGGCCGTATTTCTCTGGCAGATTTAAGACCAGGCTAGTCGCCCATATTAATCAACATGTTTCCCTTGCTAGGTCTTGGTTTTCTCGTGGCCGGGATTTCTGCAGTCACCGCAGCTGGCAGCAGTAGCTGCACTGGTACAATTTCGTCTTTGAACGACGTTAGTAGTGCCATCAAATGTACGACAGTGAATATCAACGCGTTCACCGTCCCTGCTGGACAAACGTTCGAACTGCAGCTGCTGGACGGTACCACTGTCAACGTTTGTGAGCGTGGTCGGATACTTCGCTTTGCACATCCCTGATTCTTTTTAGTGGGCGACATTCAGTTCGGAAACATGAGCTGGGCCGGTCCCCTATTCCAAGTCGGGTGAGTGCAGGCACTACTACTTCAAGTGACTTGAAGAACCTGACCAAGACCGTCTTAACAGAGGAAATGATATCACTTGTACGTGGGTTGTTTAATGTTGTGGCAATTCATAACGTTCCCAGTTAATGGAAACAACAAGAAGTGGGATGGTGGAGGGCCTTTCTACTGGGTAAGTACGCTACTTCACTCGCAAGGGTCTCACTTCATCTTATACCGCTGCAGGATGGTCAAGGTACGAATGCCGGCATAACAAAGCCACACCCAATGATGGGGTAAGCTCATTAGTTACTGTTATACTGCGGTCTTTTTTTAACCTTGCGTCTGCTAGAATATATATCTCGGGCACCTTGAACGTATGCGCTCGAGTCGCCTCAGCCGTTCCAGACAGATGGTAATCTGTTTATGCAGGACGTTTATGTTGTGAACTCTCCCGCCCACGCCTTTTCGATTGGAAATCCAGGACCTCTCACCATCTCTGGCGTCACTATTGATGATTGTGCGTGCTTGCATGTTATTAGCGGGGTGTCTTATTTTGACATCAAGAATAGCGCAGGGTAACTATCCTAACTCGCAAAGCGGCAAAAATTCTGCTGGTGAGTGGCGTGTCCATCTATTTAGGTTTTTTTGAACTTGCCACCCGAAAAGGACGCAACACTGACGGCTTTGACGTTGGCGGTAGTAATTTAATCATTCAAAATAGGTTCGTATATTATCTAGTTACTCTGTCAACTTACAGGCACTTACGGACATTCAGCACCGTCCTCAATCAGGTCCGTCTGACGATTGAGCTTCGACATCCCTTTGCTTACAAGGTATTTCGTTTTGCAGGACGATTGTTTGGCCATCGGCAGGGGGACAAACATCACTTTTGCCGACAACTACTGTGAATACGGTCACGGTATCTCCATCGTGAGCCGCTTCATCAATTTTGTGCAAATTATTTAAATATCTGTCGCCTAGGGCTCCATCTCGTCAAATGTCGTCGTCTCCAATGTCGAGATTTCCGGAAACAACGTTGTTAGCAGGTGACCTGCAGCACAAGGGTGAATTAGAGTTGTACTGACATGAGTAGCGCATACTCGTTCCGTATCAAGACCGACGCATCCGCGACAAACAGTATGGTACAAAATGTTACATATACCGTGGGTGGTTTTTGATGACAATGATCGTGGACTGATTTTTTTGTAGGCCAATACTGCAACCAACTGTACCTATTATGGCGTTCTGATTACCCAGGTACGTGTGTCTTACCACGCTCTGCCGTTGTCAGTCATATAACATACCTACAGAGCTATCCCGCCAACATGGGCACCCCGGGTAACGGGGTCACTATCTCTGTATGTGATTTTTCAGTTTGACATCGACAAGGGTTTCACGGGACTGTCTCAGGACATCAACTTCAACCCTGGTACTACCTCCTTGACGGCCAACAGCGGTGCTTACAGAGTTGCAGTGAACTGTGGAAGTGGATCGTGCATAGGTATACATGTTACAGCTTCCCTCGATCTATTCTGACAGATCACGATAGGTAACTGGGATTGGTCTGGTTTGCATACAAGTGGTGGAAAAGCCGGATCTATCGTTAACAACAATGTTATTACTGGATTCACACAGTGATGTGGCCTAGCACTTAGCTTCATTGCAGTCAAAAAACGTGGCTGCATGCAGCTATTGTGTTATGTTTTCTCTTTGTTACACATTCTTTTTTTACACAGTCGTTTGTAATATACACTCTTTTGCCCAAGAGGCCCTTCCGAGTCGAGGAATCAAAAGTCGAACTTACCATTTTTGCAAGGAGTACTCGCTTGGGTTGCTCAATTAGGGAGCCTTATTATACTTGATGTGATCACATGCCTTGGCAACTCTGATTAGGCTTGTTTGTGCTAAAACCCCACACCAGCATCAAATCCTGCCTCAAATTACCTCTATGTAGTAAGTATGCGGGTGTCTTTTCTTCCTGAAATTACTGGTAATTTGGACTGTTAGCCGAAAATATATATTGCGAGAGCAACCGGAGCTTTAGTCACTACGACTAGATTGCTTCCACCTCGTTCAAGTGGTCTTCGGCAGTTCTGCAGACAAGTTCTGCCGCGGGCTGGCCACCTGCAAAGTCTTCGTTAACCCCGCATTCCCAAAATTTCATACAGTCCTAATACCCCTGCCATACTCCAATTTTCCTGACCCGTTCACAAAATACTAGTAAGATGAAGGTAGGCTCCTGGCAGTAGCTGACATAATGCACACATTGATGGTCGATATAGTTACGACGACGAAGTGCAGAAACATAATATTGACTGTTAGTCTGTCACATTTTTTATTGGGCCAGTTACCACTGGAGTCTAACGACAATCGAAGATGCAGCCTGCCGCCTAGACGATAGGCCTCATTGGTAAATGGAGCTCGCGCGTAAGATCAATTATCCTGGGCACTTTTTCTCGCAAGTACCGATGGCCGTATTTCTCTGGTAGATTTAAGACCAGGCTAGTCGCCCATATTAATCAACATGTTTCCCTTGTTAGCTCTTGGTTTTCTCGTGGCCGGGATTGCTGCAGTCACTGCAGCCAGCAGCAGTGGTTGCACCGGTACAATCTCGTCCTTGAACGACGTTAGTAGTGCTATCAAATGCACGACAGTGAATATCAACGCGTTCACTGTCCCTGCCGGACAAACGTTCGAACTGCAGCTGCTGGACGGTACCACTGTCAACGTTTGTGAGCGTGCCAGTCGGATACTTCCCTCTGCGCATCCCTGATTCTTTTTAGTGGGCGAGATTCAGTTCGGAAACGTGAGCTGGGCCGGTCCCCTGTTCCAAGTCATGTGAGTGCAGACACTACTACTTCAGTGACTCGGAGAACCTGACCAAGGCTGTCTGAACAGTGGGAATGATATCACTTGTACGTGGGTTGTTTAAAGTTGTGGCATTTCCTGACGTTCCCAGTTAACGGAAACAACCAGAGGTGGGATGGCGGGGGGCCTTTCTACTGGGTAAATACGCTGGTTCACTCGCGAGGGTTTTACTTCATCTTACACTGTCGTAGGATGGTCAAGGTACGAATGCCGGCATAACAAAGCCACACCCAATGATGGGGTAAGCTCATTAGTTACTGTTATACTGCGGTCTTTTTTTAACCTTGCGTCTGCTAGAATATATATCTCGGGCACCTTGAACGTATGCGCTCGAGTCTCTCCAGCTGTTCCAGACAGATGGCTAATCTGTTTATGCAGGACGTGTATGTTGTAAACTCCCCCGCCCAAGCCTTTGCGATTGTAAATCCAGGACCTCTCACCATCTCTGGCGTCACTGTCGATGATTGTGCGTGCTTGCATGTTATTAGCGGGGTGTCTTATTTTGACATCAAGAACAGCGCAGGGTAACTATCCTAACTCGCAAAGCGGCACAAATTCTGCTGGTGAGTGGCGCGTCCATCTACTTAAGTTTTTTTGATCTTGCCACCCGAAAAGGACACAACACTGACGGCTTTGACGTTGGCGGTAGTAATTTAATCATTCAAAATAGGTTCGTCTATTCTCTAGTTACTCTGTTGACTTACGGACACTTACGGACATTCAGCACCGTCCTCAATCAGGTCCGTCTGACGATTGAGCTTCGACATCCCTTTGCTTACAAGGTATTTCGTTTTGCAGGACGATTGTTTGGCCATCGGCAGGGGGACAAACATCACTTTTGCCGACAACTACTGTGAATACGGTCACGGTATCTCCATCGTGAGCCGCTTCATCAATTTTGTGCAAATTATTTAAATATCTGTCGCCTAGGGCTCCATCTCGTCAAATGTCGTCGTCTCCAATGTCGAGATTTCCGGAAACAACGTTGTTAGCAGGTGACTGCAGCACAAGGTGAATTAGAGTTGTACTGACATGAGTAGCGCATACTCGTTCCGTATCAAGACCGACGCATCCGCGACAAACAGTATGGTACAAAATGTTACATATACCGTGGGTGGTTTTTGATGACAATGATCGTGGACTGATTTTTTTGTAGGCCAATACTGCAACCAACTGTACCTATTATGGCGTTCTGATTACCCAGGTACGTGTGTCTTACCACGCTCTGCCGTTGTCAGTCATATAACATACCTACAGAGCTATCCCGCCAACATGGGCACCCCGGGTAACGGGGTCACTATCTCTGTATGTGATTTTTCAGTTTGACATCGACAAGGGTTTCACGGGACTGTCTCAGGACATCAACTTCAACCCTGGTACTACCTCCTTGACGGCCAACAGCGGTGCTTACAGAGTTGCAGTGAACTGTGGAAGTGGATCGTGCACAGGTATACGAGTTACAGCTTCCCTCAGTCCACTACTAACAGACCATGATAGGTAACTGGGATTGGTCTGGTTTGCAGACAAGTGGTGGAAAAGCCGGATCTATCATCAACAACAATATTATTGCTGGATTCACACAGTGAGGTAGCCTAGCGCTCACCTTCCTTGCGGTAAAAAAACATACAGCCGCATGCAACCATCGTGTTATGCGCTCTTTTTGTTACACAGTCGTTTGTGATATACACTCTTTTGCCCAAGAGGCCCTTCCGAGCCGAGGAATCGAAAGTCATACTGATACCATTCTTGGAGGGAGTACGTAAGAGACTTAAAAGCATTCATTTTAGTATTTACCCTACCTAAATATTCTTCCAAAGTCTTTCTCCTTTCGAAGAGCTAGTACTGTTAATCTTTCAACTGCAATCAGCTAGGAGGTTGGGATGGAGAAGTCAAATACCTGTCACTCGATGTCCGCGTCTTCAAGCCACTCAAGTAACACCAGCACGCCATCCAGCTCTCTGTCAGCTGGTATCGAAGGCCACCACGATAAATCGGAGCCGCGCATCGGAATCTCATTAGTTGACCAAGGAAACTTCATCGACCTCACTACGAGCTCAAATTTACGCGCATATATCCACACTGGATACCTGTCTTCTGATTTTAGTCCAGTTTCTCTAGTCACTCCTGGCTACGAATACGAGTTGGACGATATATCTGGAAGCCCACCACCTTCTTCCTCTCCGATTCAAGAACCTCTTTCATACGAAGACGAAAATGAGGAGACGACCTCTCATTCCTCTTCTGGCTCTTGCATATATCCCCCGGGTTCCATTGCTCATGCTGGAGCGGAGTCTGCGCATATTTTGGACTGCCTAAGAACCAACCAGACCTTGAGCACAGAAAAGTCACTATCAAGATCCCAATCGATCGTCGGCAACTCGAGCGAAGGACGTTTTCATAACTACGGAACTCTTCCACTCGAGGACCTAGGAGAAAATGTGGAGGAGGAACCTCCGACAAAGAGAGCCAGGACCGGTTATCTAGCCAGTGATCGTCCTGATCTACTCAAGATACGGACTCATTTTTTGGCAAAGGAGCCAGCCAGTCTACGCAGAGCCCAGTCTCTTGTTTCACAAACTTCTACTGACAGGGACGACGAGGGCGTGGTCAAGGTTCGTTGAAACGATTCCTTGTCAAAATGCTGTGTATATTCCTTTGCGTGGAAGTTGACGACGCACAATAAAACAGCTTTTGGACGGGTCAAACCCTTCAACTGGATCGCTTCGCCCAACCATCTTGTACCGAACAACTCAGCTTGATTCACTTATATGCCCCCCTACTGTGCCAGCCACACCTCTTCCTGACACAGTTGGCTATTTACGTGCAAAGAGAAACCCTCTTTTACGTACTCCTGCCGTCCGTGCGCCCGCTAAACAATCACCGAAGATACCACCTGTCCCCATCATTGCGCCTCCCAGGTCTCCTAGCCCTTTCATTATCAAGTGTGAGGAAGATCGGGCAGGCGATCGGATCAAGATTCTTCTCACGAAAGAAAGAGAAGAGCGTAAAAGCGATGGCCTGGACCTTCTTCAAATTCCTGATGACTGCTCTACCCGAAGCGAGAGTGAGAGCTCCGTATCCGACGACGAATACTGGACCGACGAGAGCTCGCTTTCTGCCTCTGAATCTGAATCCGTAGCGAGTCGAAGCTCGGGTCCATCTCTAGGCACAGGAAAGTCTCAAAGTCGCGAACGATGGTCAAGGGCGCTCGGACTCGATTATTGCTTCCGCGAAGAAGTCGTTAGTTGGATGTTGGATGCAAGAGTTGATTTACCCTTTGCGAATGGATGGGCTTGCTGACAAACTCGCAGGTCCTCCCGAACATCCCTCCAATGAAAAAAGACTGTGTCGAAATCGATGACCTTTTTGATCAACTAGACACCTGTCGAAATACGAGGTTTCACGCGGTTCATCTCTTTTACAGATATTTCTTCCGTGTTGCAGACAAGAAACCAAGTATCAACGTGTCAGCGATCGCGTCGCCCGCCCGATCTTTAAGAGGGCGCAATGACTCGTCGACGAATAGGAAGGCATCGAGTTCGGAAGATAGCAGTGACGAATCTACTGGCGAAGACTCGGACGACGAATTAGATGCTGGATCTGATGATACAGTCGTAGTGAAAGGAGAACAGGTAAGTGGATACGAGTCCGAGTCAGATAATTGGCAGGACGGTCAGGAGGCGGTTATATGGGATACCGCTCTTGGATCATTAGCACTATGCGTCAAGGTAGGACCATTTGTAGATCAAACATTCATAGACCCTTATTTGTATTTGGCAGTTTCATCGTGACTTCTTGGGCCCACTTAGTCCTGTATACGCGTATGAATTCTTGGACCTAGCACGGCATACCATATCGTATCAGGACCTCGAGGTATCATTCTATCGACCTGTCATGCGTTGATAGCGGTCTCTTTTTCTCATACCGTGGTTACCCATCAGGTTTCGCAACGCGATATACTTTCCGCTTGCGATTTCAGTCTTGGTAGTATCACACCACAAGGTCTCATGGATGAACTCTGGCTAGCTTTACCTACGTTACGGAAAGCTACAGAACCTGTGAAGGATGGCTGGAAATCGGTCCAAGTTGAAATATGGAACAGGCTGTTCGATGCCTTGACAGGTACTCACCCTCTCTGGGTCATATTTCATCAGCATTAGCATTGTCTGACCATGCCCCAGAACCTGACGTCCTGCAGTTTCCTGTTTCGCTGCTAACGGCCTCTGCCCTGCTCGACGGTCTCATCATCGCCATCGCTCTCCATTACACAGCTGAAGCAGATATGGAAAAATCGCGTTTCCAACGGAACTCTGGGTGTCGTTGCCCTGCGCCGTCAACTTGCATGCCAGAAAACACAACCAAGCAAGTTCCCTGGCGAGTATATGTATCCAAGGCGATGGATACGGTGAAGGATGTCGTTCTGGATGTAACGGATGTTCTTCAAATACGTGACGTGAGTGTCGTTCATTATAGTCTGTCTGATGGGGAACTACCTAACAGTTCTATCAGGATGATTTGGAGCGCTGTAGGGCATGGATGATCCAGGTTGGATGTGAATAGTTTTGTTTTACCTTCGTTTTCCTCACATCCAATTTTCCTATATTACATCGATGAATCTTGTTGCTTGCAATCCTGACGCATGTACACTATAATTACAAGATCGCGGAAAGGGTGACTTACGCTTGACTCGGCACTGAACACAGGTTGATTTTGAAAACACGTGACTGACACGTCGAGATGAATTTATTTATAAGCACGGAGAATGTTGAAGGAGTACAAATACAGTGATCAACCGCTCCTTTGGACGGTGAAATGAAAAAACGAGTGTAAAAAAATGAAATCTTTAATATACAAAAATTGATCTGGTACATCTGACAGAGCAGGGTTTGATCTACTATATACCAAGTTTTTAAAACATCTGGGGCCCTGCTTAGTTGGCAGCACCTCACTTGGTTGAACGAGTCATTTTCTCGCCTTCCTGATTCGTTTGTACAGTTGGTGTGACAACCATGTTACAGCGTGTGACAAATGTCACATTTCACCGCTCGTCGTACTCGTCGTGATCCTCATACTCGCTGTCATCGCAAATCGACCCTTCGTGAATGTCAATGAACTCTCCTTGATCTTGCCCATCCTCCTCATCAATATTTCCACCATTTCTCCTTGGATTCTTTGGCTTAGGACAAGGCTTCTCGAGTGGTCCTCGGACAGGCTTCTTCCACTGTGGTTTTCGTTTCTCTTGCTTTGCTAGCCGTTGTTCTACCTCCCACTCTTTAACAGCTACCTTCCACTGCTCTGTTTTGGCTTTGTTTCGGTTTTTTCTTGCCTCATCCTCTTGCATCCACAACTCCATCTCTCGAGTTCGTACCATCTGTGCTGCTTTCCTTGTTTCCTTCTCGGCCGCTTTTGCCTGTTGACACTCCTGGTATACCAGGACTTGCTCGAAGACCTCGTCACTGGTAAGTAGCCTTGGCATACCATCTCCATTCAACTTGACATTGTCACCCTCTCAGCAGCCTTTCTTCTCTTGTGTCTCGAGATGACGGCGAACTCGATCACAGTAGCGTCCCTGGAGAATTACAGTCGCTTGAAGGGCGCTTACATGCTCTTTGAGCGTTGTGACCTGCTTGGTGAGTTTTTTGACTGTCTCCTCAAGTTTTTTCTCCTGTGTTGACTTTGAAGATATGTTACAGTGAAATCTCGCACGTTTAATGGGTGAGACTATTGCTAGTGGCATGGTAGGCAACCTTGAACTTGATTTGATGGGAGATGATGATATAAGGAATCGTGCAGATGTTTCCTCGAGTCGTGCGAAAACATTTGGAATGGTTCTATCACCAGTCTGAAAAGGACTATCGTTCTCGTAAGTATTCTCGTCTGCTGTTTGATAAATTATTGATCTGATCTTTGAAATGCAAACAGTGAGGATTACCTGGAGTTGTCTCGTCGTTAATACTACCATCTTCTTCAGCAATTGTACCAAGTTGAATATCACAATTACGAGTTTCCGCCCTTGGTTGCAGGTCTCTGAGCAGCTGTATTATGGCTCGAACAGGAGATTCAGGAGTGATTGGAAGGTGGCCCTGGTTAGATGATTCGCGAGCAGGAGCTAACATCTCATCTGTGACGACTTTAGGATTGAAAGGCCATACACTGGTTTTTCGGAATGCAGATTTAATGGTTTCTGATGTGAGTGCACGAATGTGGGCAGCACCATAGATTGCAAGGAAGTTGCTTTTCGTCACTTTCTCTCCTTTCTCGCGCTCCCATTTGTCTCGTTCTTCTGACCAACACTGCTTAAGGACACCAAATACTGCCACATCTAGGCCCTGGTAGATGTGGGTACTGTGTGCAGGATAGCAGAGGACGTGAATTCGGTGCTGCCGAGCATACTCCAGGAATGCGCGAGTGTAGTGAGAATTGTGCCCATCAACGAGAAGTAGGCGAGTACGACCATTAGCTTTGTCACATGTCTGCTCATCGAATTGTTTGATCCAGAGTGCACCAATCTCGCCGTCAGTCCAACCCTTCTTTGAATAACCAATACTATAAAGAACAGTGTTATATGAGTGATTAAGAGCACAACATAATGCATGCCAACTCACGATGCTTTGAGTGGATTATTTTCGTTCCACTTGGACTGATATGCCTTTCCCTTGAAAATCACCGCAGGTGCAATTGTACTTCCATCTGCGCAAATTGTGACTAACACAGTAATGTTTTCACGATTGCCGTTTCGCTGCTGATACTGAACCTGCGTTCCAGCACTACCAAGTGCTTGTTCTTGGGTGCTTCCTCCTCCTGGTTGAATTCCAGTCTCATCGACACCCCAAATACACTCTGGTGCCATTGGTTTGTTGTCGTCACCACTCTCCAGGACATCCTTCAACATTTCGAACCATGCCTTGTTAGTTGTCGGGTTCACGGCACGGCCACGAGCAGTATCAAGTGAATGTGCTCAGTAAGCTCGTAGGTGATCAGAGTGCTTCTCGACGAAGCGCTGAGTCCAGTTTTTTCCCACTCCAGACTGCGGGAAGGCATCTCCAAGTCGGGCTCGACAGATTTCATCAACATGCTCCTTGAGACGCTTGTGGCTAAGTGGAAAGCCACGTCGAGCCATTTCCACAACATATTCGATAACTTTGTCTGTTTCTGTGGGTGTGAGCCAGCTTTTCGTGGAGCTATTGAATTCGCTAAGCCGAACCCCTCCCTTGGCGAGATTTGCCAGAGTATTATGACTTAAACTGACAACTTGGCCCGTTTCCTTGAGGTATGCCTTCTGAACATCCCTGCACACCTTTCGAAGGCCCTGCTTCTTCTCTGAGCTTGGTTTTGCGAGTTCAGCTTGGTACATAGCCACAGCACGAGCCATGACTTTTTCTTTCTCCTCACGCAAGACCTGTGCCTTCTTCGTCAATGATTTTGGCCTCCCAACCATATTAAGAGAATATATGCATGTTTTGAAGATATATGTTGAATACTGGCAGCAAAAGGGAGATGTTGAGCGAGACTGAGTCAAAAAGGCACCTCGTGTCCAAGCTTAGTCTGTATAATGAAGTTACTCATGGATCACAACGTGTTTCACCAATGAAACTTTGACTAAAATCATCTCCACTGCTTCTAATCCATCTGTAATGTTCATACATAAAGTAGAACGGGTGAAACTTAGTGCAGTGGTGAGGTTTTGATGCTCGAGAAATTCAAATATATTGCCCTAGAGGTATAATTTGCAGCTTCGGATGGATTTATAAATTTGAGCACTGTAATTTTGGTACCATCGCATAGCAGGATGTATTCTGAACATGATGATATATGATTTGCAGGGAGTCGACAAAGAATGCAATGAGAAAATCAAATTGTACAGTGGAGTAGTAGTGTACAAAGGACCGTGGGATCACTGTATATCACGCCTAATAAACCAGATATCCGACTCGAGATACCGCACTTCTCACACATCACCATGACCGGTTTCATACTATCTGCCTCGTTAACGTTCTCTGTAGAATCCGTCATCCGTTCTACTATCATCATGCCACTGTCATTACTGGGGATGAAGGCATGGATGATAATGGAAGCAGGGAGAGCCGGGCTGCAAAGCTTTGTGTAGTGCCGAGTGTAACGTATCTGGGATATGGGTGTACTGTAATTAACGTTCAGACATTATGAATAAGTAATTGTGAGTTTACTGATGCTCAGATAGCCAACACCAAAGTAATTATCTGTTAACTTTCGCCCTTTTTATTGTATGAATTCAAGGTCTTTGCAGTGTGTACGTACTCCTTCGTCTACCTCGGCAAGGCAGAGAGATGACGGGCATTGCACATCATGATAAGATCCATCCAATTATATTGTCGTCATGATATCTCAAGTTATTTTAACATGCTGCAGAAGGCGAGGTTTCTTTTTCAAGGGCTTGCTTTAATAATACGATCTCGGCCTACGGTAAGTAGGTTCTATATTATCCCATAGGACTAACTTGTATTATCACACGGCTATAATTCGAAAGATAAAATTTTGACCCGTATGTCATTAATTTGTTTCTGTGGTTGAGCAACTTATTTTCGGCACGCAATCCTATGCACCATCGCTCCCTCGAACGAGCATGATGGGGGCGAACCAAACCATTGTTTAGTTCCAGCTCATGTCTTAGGATGATATTCGCGACCATTCAGAATCATCCTGCATGTGTCTCCGAAGACCCTCCTCATGTATGTGCCAGCACTATTAGGGCCCATCTGTGAAGAATTTGATTGGCTCGTCGATTACCTGGCGCATGGTGCAGATCATGACACAGACGATGAATCAGAAGGTGATGCTTTGCTAGCACTGAGCGCCATGCATGGGCTAGGGAGCTCTACCAAGCGACGGTCCTACATCGAGTCGTTTATTCGCTGTATGGGCCCCACAAAATCTTCCCGAGTCCGGTATACCGCGCTTAAAGCTGTTTATGAAGCTCGAGAAGAACTAGCTTCTATAACCAGTGCCCCCAGGCCACAGGATATTGACGCATAACTCCTGGATGAACTTTCCTGCGCCCTTTTAACTGCCGTACGTCCAGACGGCTGGATAATCTACAACACTGGACCCGACGCCTCTTTCCACTTTGATCGAGACTATTACTACATCAGCGTCATCTATGACCTGACAAAGAATGACGAGTGGTGTCAACGTCTGATTCGTGATGGTCATCTCGCACGGTGCATTTCTCTAGTTGACGGAGATTACACGCGTGGTTTGTATTTCGGATTCTACCTTCTTATAACCTTCGGGCGCATCATGTCATTGGGCGAGGATCTTCCTTTCAGTCCTGCAGAGGCGAGGTGGCGGCTGCTCATCGCAAGCGGATGGGACTTTGCGGGATATTTCAAAGGGGACGACTACGTCGATGGAATAGCAGCCTTAGTGACAGCGACGATGCTGAATTTGACAGCCTCGTATGTTCCAAGAGAGTGGTTCGCGGATCTCGCTGCAAAGGTGCATATACCTTTGGCCGAATTGAAGGAGAGACAAGCGATCCTCGTGAATGGTGGTGCAGCTCAGTCTACCGTGGGTACTGTATTATCCTCTATGCAGGAATTGTACGACAATCTGAAAAAGGAACTTGAAGGTGGAACTTCGGGGCACTGAAGGATAACATCAGTAGCGAGGTACTTTTACGCATTTGTTACGCATATCCCTATGCTTAGATCAGCGCCTGGTTTATAAGATGTATTAGAATGGTTGCAGGAATTTTTCACTTACCTTATGTTCATTGCAACTGTTGTTTTGTTTTGTCTGTCAAATGTCTCTTTTTTGCGACAGTTGTACACATTGACTGCGTGTACCATAGTCACCCTGTATTTCCAATACCTGAATGGAAGTCTGCCTTTCGCTCATCGTTTAGTTCAAATGGGTTTGCCGTGGAGAAGTTCTTGGTTGGATCTCGATGACGCTCAATACCTAACGTGATTGCAGCGCCAAAACGTTAGTCGCCGGCTTTTTGACAGACAAAACAAAACTACAATATTTTCTGGTATAAGTAGGCGTCGAGGCAAATATAGATAAATAAGACGTGGTGTCCAATCAGAGTTGTTGATTACAGCCAGGTCCAGTCAGGGTGTTCCCAGTTCATTCAATGGCTTTTTAGAACTCGCGACGATGATGACAAGAATCGTAGGGGTTGGGAGCCAGGAGAATAACGTAGCTCAGGTAGATGATAGCATGATAGGAAGCAGTGATCGATCGACATCCGTAGCTCCCTTGGTATTTGAACGAGCGGCGAGCCACGCAGTATAAATCATCTCACCATCTCCCTACCAGAAACATCGAAGAAGGCCAGGAAATCTCGTATGTCAGAATTAATACAGTCAGTTGCGAAGCCTTAACTTCAGGTGGAAGTGAAGAGTGCATCCGGAAAGGTGGATGAGAATAGATCGTCGAAGAGCAATAAAGTAAGGCACAAAGTCTTGTTCCTTTTTTTTTTGTCTTCATTATTGCGCGGTTCATATGCGACCCATACAGTGACCTGTATTGCGAGAGAGGGAGACCCTGCTGTGAAGATTGGAGCACGCTAGCTGCCGCCATTTTCAATTCCAGACTGACGTTGGCCTGGCCATGGCATTATGATTTCAAAGTAGGATAAAGGCAACCTCTTGTACATTTTTTCCCGAGCGGGTACCCCTTGGATAAAGGCGTGGGAAACGGCCGGTCTAGATCAATGTACTCCTACACTTGGACATGCGAATGCGAGCCTGAGAATCGAATTTACTGAATCGTTTCATAATTGTCTCTATCTACCATCTTCTTGTTTTCTTCTTCACGACCACAGGACCTCCGTCGCTAACCGGGGCCACAGGACCTGTCTGCAACTTTTTCCAAAAAATATATCATCATCTACCTATTATACCCGATACCACCATCTTCTCCATCTTATAGATTCGCAATCACGACGTCGATCCCTAATTGAATCCTCGATTAATCCGGCCAACGATGGCACCAGGTCCAAAGACAGGCCCTGCGCTATTCCTCGGACTTGAACTTGCTACCGATCAACTGCGCGCTTCAATCGTGGATGAGAGCTTGGAGCTTGTGGGAGTAGAATGCGTTGATTTTGATACGGAATTGCCTGAATATCAGTACGTGTTCTTCTGGCATATGTTCTGTTCTTCCATGTCCCACTCTCAGTGACTTGGACGCGCTCAAATGTTGCGACATGCTCTCTTCACATCGCGTCTAGAGTCATTTTATTGCAGAGCTAATATTTTAATAGGACTCAGGGAGGAATTTTCACTACTCCAGGAGATGCATACACCACGCCAGTAGATATGTGGGTCAAGGCTCTTGGTGCGTAAACTAGGCGGAAGCAAATTTTTTGCTTCGACTTAACCAATTTGGATTTTTGGGTATTTGTCCGATCACTTACCACGTGCGCGGGAACATTGTTTACTTCCCCCCTGAACACAACAATTTGTTGGCGGCAACAGACTTTTTACTGGAAAAATTGACTAGGAATCATGATGTAACGAGGATAAAATCAATCGGTGGTTGTGCTCAGGTGACTCGCTCCTATCAAGCTGTGAAGGACCGTCCTAATGTGATACATACAACTTTACAGCATGCTCTTGTGTGGTGGAAATCGACACCCATTCCTTCATTTCCAGCACTCGACCCCCGACTCCCGTTTCACTCTCAACTTCCTCCTAACACCTTTTCATTACCGAATACACCAGTCGCTCAGGATACGTCCGCACACACCCATGCCCTCGCCCTCGAAGCCCTCCTTGGAGGGCCAGACCTCATGGCCGCTCGCGTTGGCACATGCGCCAACGCATCGCTCTTAGCTGCCCAACTCCTCCGAGTTCGTGAATCGTGGACATCTGATGTCTGGTCACGAACGGGGAAAATACAGCTTGCCAGCCAATTCCTTGCAAGTATGGTCGTGGGGGAGTGGGTAAATGTAGGAGAGTCGGAGGCCTGCGCGACCGGTATGTGGGTGCATGCCAGTGCTGGCGCTGGCGCACAAGGTGCGCCTGGACTGGGCCGCTGGGACGAGGGTGTTTTGGAGATCGTAGGTGGGAGTCGGGAAGAAGGTCGGAGGATCCGAACGTGGTTGGGCGACGTGGAGGTCGCTGGTGGGAGGAAAGCGGCCCATATCTCGCGATACCTATGTGAACGATACGGATTCGAACCTGGTGAGATTCATTTGCTATAATGTTTGTGCAACCCACTAATGCATTTGCAGATACGATTGTCACTCCCTTCACTTCTGATTACCTTTCCTCATACCTATCTCTCTGCCCATCTCCTGGAGATGCAGTACTTTCATTTGGACCAATGGATACCCTTCTTACTCCTGCTCAACATTACCTACCAACTCGACTTTACAGCCTATTCCCCCATCCTGCCCAGGATGCCAGTGAAAAGCGACGATATATCGCTATGTTAAGCAGCAGGTATGCAATCACATAGCCTCACCTTGCACAGCTTCTGACATTTACATGCAGAAATGCTGACGTTCCGCGTGCTCTTGTAAGAGACATGTACACGAAGAGTTGGAGTGCGTTTGATCGGCTGGTTGCCATCGTGCCACCTGGTGGATCCATAGGGTATGCTCATGCAAATGAATTCGAAACGTTTATCTTATTTCTTCGCAGTCTCGATGATAAGCTCTTCAGTTTTTGGCTCCTACAGGGCGACAGCTACCCATTATCGCATGTCAAAGGCATCTATCGCTTTGAGACCGGTATCAAAGTCAACGAGTTCCGAGACCTTCGTGCAAACCCTCGGTGTCTTCTTGAGAGCCAGGTCCTATCATTCCGCTTTCGGTGGTCAAGGATGATTGCCACCGGTGTTCTTGGTTCGAATATCAATCGGTCTCGAGGGAACGTTGCTCAGGCACCCGGTCCTACATCGCCACAAGGGCAGAATCCCCGTTCAAACATCGCATCCAGCCTTGGACTCTCCTTTGATCCATATGATTATTCCCCACTCCCTGCAAGAATACTCGTCACTGGCGCAGCTGCCAACTTCCCCTCCGTCGCAAATCTTGCAGGCGATGTGTTCAATGCACCCGTGTTCATGCCCAGCACCCAGGTTGATTCCGCACAAGTAGTGCCCCATCGCAACGCACCTGCCACTGGCTTCCCTGGCCGTGCATCACTAGGAGGTGCCTATTTCGCGCGGTGGATATGGGGAAAGGAGCGTAGTTCTACTATTGGTGGATCAAGTACCGGTCGAGGACTCGGCGGATTTGAGGAGGAGATTAGGAGGTTGCATGGAAAGCGCTGGGTCGCAAGCGGTGGTAACCCGCTGCGGACCAATGTAAATGCTCCTTTGGGTGGGAACGGAGGCAGTGGAGCCAACAGCGGTACTAGCACCCCCTATGGCCATCGCTCGGGACTTGGTTCCACTATATTTGTCGAGGAAGAAGAAGAAGAAGTGGAAGAGATGGAACGTGCGAGCGGTATACTCGCCTCTTCAGTGTTTGCAGGTGGATTTGCAGACAGGGATCTTGGCAGGGACATTAGCCGCATGAGAACGCTCACAGGTTCTACACTTGATACTGTGACGAGCAGTGGATCTATCGGGCCCTCGACTGCATTCACAACTCCCGATCTCAATGCAGGTGCAGGGAGTCCAGGCGGAGTTGGAGCTGTCGTACCACAAACAACTACGCTGACCCCTGTAACTGCCTTGCCCACTTCCGATGCCGAGGCACAGATTGGGTTGGCGAAGGTTGCTGAGGCGGACGTAGATGCGTTCATGACGTACGCTGCTATCGTCCCTGAGTATTGCCGCCTTGAGGGCATGCTCTGCAAGTCTCTTGTATGATCTGTGGAGGTGGAGGTGAAAAGCTCTCGTCGTGTATGTGAGTTGGTACAAAAAAAACTACATGATTTGTTGTATATATAGGATCTCATCAATACTTACGCGCCTTGGATATTTCTATTAGAGATTATTGATTGCCAATCAGTTCTCTAGTAGTATTACGATTTTCGAACTTGGCGTGAACATAGGTGTCCCTTGTATGACGAGCATGCGTACAAGCATCACGTGGAGGGGCCTGGCTTCTTTCCTGATGCGGCTCCCAGGCGCAAAATCATTCTACTATATTCTACCCCTGTCTGATCACTGATCTTTCGTCATAGTACTAATCGATAGCAGCGTCCTGCTGATAAAATCCTCATCGGACTCAACGAGCCCCTTTCAGTATTGATTCGTGATCGACCCCACAGAGCTAGGGGTGTCCTGACGTATCGTTTTGCCAGGTATAAATACAAGGCTGTTGGCAGCAAATATTCCAAACACGCACTACCATGTCTTGCATTCAGAACCAACACATCTACACCCTTAAAAACTGTCAGGGAGGCACTGTGATCGATCTCTCTGGTGGAGACAACCAGTCCAGTGAGCATCATCTCTTCCCCAGCCTCATCCAAGGCAGTGCTGACGTCGTGTCAATCCGTAGTCATCGGTTATAACGACCACAATGGCCCCAATCAATCGGTAATATGCTAATCATCGTTGCAGAATGGCTGCACTAACGAGTTGTTCGCAGTGGATCTTCCAACGTGCTGATGACGCCTGGTTCATCAAGTCCGCCGGGACTGATAAATATCTAGGGGTCGAAGGTGATGTCAACAACGTTGGTGATGGTACCAGGGTTGTTGCTGTCCCGTCCCCTTTCAAGTGGGATATCAAAAACTCTGATATGGAAGGTGTTGGAGGTATTAGGTGCGTACCTTTCTCTTTCTTGTTATTTATGTTTGGCGGTGGATTGATTGTTGTTTCCCCTCGGCAGGATATTGCTCCATGACAAGCAATTCAGCGTAGACCTGTCCGATAAGGGGAATGCGACAGAAGGCACACCTGTTCAACTCTGGACCGGGTGGCAGGGCGCTAATCAGATTTGGGCGCCTGTTGAGCGTACATGGTATGTTGATAACTGCTAAGCGTGTATATCGATTGACGTTGTGATCCTTTTTTAGAGCGCAAAAGAACAGAACTATTGTATATATATATGGTGTGGTTTATCATGTATAATACACAACAAGCGATATGTGCTGTAGCTTCATAAGTACTGGCAGTAATGAAGGTTGTGGCAGTCTAAGCAAATCTGGTGAATTCTCCAGGTCTATCCCAGTGCTGGGCAAGCGCACCATCGATGGTGATCGACTCCCTCCACTTGTGGGCCATATCATTCATCAGTTTCGATACATCAGACTTCGCGGGGCTAGTATCATAGAAAAGACGTCGTTGTTTAGGTCAGCGTGCCTGGGGCGGCATTTGCCGAAGTGTCACGCCCGCAGAAGCTCGGCCCAGGCATTATAAATCCTACCGGAGCCCCTATGATATTTGGGTTGCTCTACCTTCCACAATGACTACAAAGTCCCCAATTCATGATGATATTGCTACTACTCAACCTCCCTCGTACGATGCTATTTCGAAGTCCCCGCCAGCACATTCCGTCCATTGCAAACCACCTGTATTTTCTTCTCTACAATCCGAGGAGCAACGTCGTACCACAGTTCTATCTCACATCCGTGAAATCGTCTCCTCTCCCCATTTCACCCCTTCCTCTGTCGCCAAAAGTATCAATTACTGCGCTGCTGCTCTGCCATCAGCAGAGTTTTCCGACCTCCTGCAGGAAAACAATATCCTAGGCCATAATGCAATATATTGGGCGATTGTGAATAACCTGTGAGAAGTCCTTTGGGCACTCATGAAATACATTTCCCATTACTCGTCTTTTGCTTTTATGATGTGCGTCTCGCATGCATGACAGTTAACGACCACGCATTGTTCATGCAGCTAGATTTTGGAGATGATACTTTTCATAAGCGCTGGGAGAGAGACAAAGTAGATGCTCCATTACTTGAGGATAAGTCTTTTAGACGCTTTTTGGGTTGTCCGCCCGATGATATTCAAGTGCACGAAGGAGATGGACTGGGCGAACACCAATTTGTTGCCTGCTTCCGCTTCAGGATGTTCCAGAAGCGCCTGCGCATCACACCAACCTTGTCTGTAGAGTTTATTGCTGCAGGTATGTGGTCCGCGTATTTCAGCCTGGCCTTCACGCTGACAAGAAGTACATGTTAATTCTTGCAGGACGTTCATGGGTGTTGTGGTTCAATTTAGCGCTAGATGGGATCTGGCGCGTTACGTATCGTCTTGCTGAAGACAGTTTTCCAGCCGACGCAGCTGCTGTATTTCTGATAGAGGCTCATAGAGGGCCACCTGGTTGTGCGACGGGACCTGCTCCTCTAATCATACGCATGAATCAATCACCCACGTGTACACTTCTACCTCCTGGGTAAGTCATCGTTCCGATTCCAATGCAAAGTGAAGGTTTCCATTAACCTCATGGGACTGAATGTAGACCACTCAAATATTCAACCACTAAACCCGGTACCGATTCTGAATTCAGACCTCAACACTATACAGATATCCAACCCGGCGCTAAGGTTGGTACAGTCTGTAGACTCTTGGGTGAATGGCTGATGGACAAGTAAGTCTTCTCTATTAAGTATCATCCGCAAGCTCGCAACACTGTTTTATCCATCAATGTGTTTTGTGACTTTGAACTGACTGTGTTGTTGTAGCAACACCATCTATGTAGACTCTGATGGCACCCTACATGCACAACTGAAGATAACGGTAAAGTCACCGACCCCCCAGGCCAGCAGGCAATATAGTGGTATCGATATATCAAAGGTGGATACTTAATGTAGACAAGGACTCCCCTTCGGTCGGCTCTACAACAATATATTGTGTTTACAGTAGCACTGACTCAGGAAATACTATATTCGCGTCGTCTCTGCAAATAGTGTGTCTTCGCGTTCTCACTTTCGACAACACTGTGCACAATCGACAGTGAGCGAAGGGATCAGTCCGGAGGTCGAGCACGGTTTGTATGGAATGGGGAGGGATGCAGTGGCTTTCAAATGTATTGAAAAGTCGGACTTAGTTGAAGAGCGACGACCCAAATCACGTTCCCGACGCTGAAATCACGATGGACCCAACCTACTTTATGCAAATAAGATAGGGCTAAGGGTGACGTGAGCGATTGAGGTAAGGAGAATAAAAATAGTTGCATTACCCTTCAGATCGCAAGACAAGCTACTCAGATTGTCAACCAGAGAGGTCACATCCTTGATAGCGACTTCAACATGAAAACGATGCGCGCGTGGACTCTCTGTGGGATTCCAGGGAAGGAAGGCAAAAAGTTTACGATTGTCGCCCGTAGCAGATAAATGCGGCCTTTCGAAGAGGAAGGGCCTGAGATCGATGGGTTCCCACTTCCAGCTGCCATTATGCTCGTCTCCAACCATTTGGTTAGTGGTACCCGTGGATATCCACCGCCGGCAAAACCGGCCCAGCGGATCCGGGCCTATCGGGGCGCTGCAAAATTTTCAATCCATGGCGCGTTTCGCGAAATTTGCGTTCGTTCACCAGTATTAAGTAAATATATATCATATAACATCTATTCCATGTCTCAATATGCCTCTGTCAAGACCCTCTCTTGCACAATGGTGCTTGCCGGTGGAAGAACGACAGTGCTTCTCGGCGCTGCAGGTGCCAAATCTTTATCAGCCAGCACGTCGACTAGTTTCCTGGAATTGAGATTGATGATACTGGCAGCATCGAAATTTTCACTGTCGAAAGAATCAACTTTACTTGAGCCATCTTCTGCTATATCCTCGGGGTCAGCAGTGACATTTGAGTCTGATTCGTTGTCATCCCCATCGAGTGTTTCTGCTTCAAGTTCGTCTGCGAAGTCATCATCCACGTCAGAAGTTTCACGGTCGTCATTGTCGACACGATCCCGTAGTGTTAAATCGATTTTGTCCAGTTTTTCGCATTGCAATGCATGTCCGAATACTCGGGTCTTCCAGCAAGGTGCAGCCCAGGTAGTGGCACATCCATATTCAGCCCCAGCACACCGAGCAATCATCTTCTTGGGATTACTTTTGAGGTACGTGTTGACAGAGAGAAGATCCATCAGAGGATCAACTTTCACACCACCTTTTCCCTTCGCAGGTTTATGTTCGGCATCTGTGTATAGGTGCATGACAGACACGTCGGACTCGACAATCTTGATCTTTTTCTTCTTCGATGCCTTGGCTTTTTTGATTGGGGAGCTCACAAGCTCTATGTCCGGATCGTCATTTGACTGATGCAAAGACTTCGGTAACTGTATGGTGCGTCAGTGATGAATTTTTCTGGGGTGCGAAGTAAATGTAATTCACAGCTTTTCCAGCAGCAAGAATGACACTTTGCGCACGTAGAATGTTGCCAGGATTCAGTCATAATGAGAGGATTATTATGAAGTCACAGCGCTGCTGTGATGTGAGTAAAATGTGTGACGAATGTGGCGCGAATGTCTAGATTCGTGCCAGATGCGTCCCGGACGTAATCTGCGTTTTTCTGCAGTGATTGCTTGACATTCCACCAACTAAGTAGGCTTGTAGATTCGCAGTGTTCGATAATTAAGCTTTTTAAGAGTATTTAGTACTATTTAGCGTAACCCTGCGCATGTATACTGTTATTTGAGTTATTCACATAATCCACCCTATTAATTTTGGCCTTGAGTTATCCACCTAGTTATCCACGTGGATAACTAGGTGGATATCCACGCAGGTGGATTACCACGGTACACTACATCGGGTTCACCGTCTCATCCGAGGCACCGTCGATTGTGTGACAGTCCACGAATATTTAATGGCAAGCTTCTTCCCGTTGGCGTCCGTGGTACCGGCCGCCCTAATATTGACATGTTCTTCTCGCATGTGTGCGAGAAAGGCCCCTCGTATGGAAGGTATTACATGTCGAAGAATGGTACCCCCTTGACGTGGAAAATATTGTGACCAATGTCGCTCTTGTAGATGCACTCGACCTCGACACGGTCGTTTCGTGGTCACCGATTGGAAATAATTAAATCTTCGCTGTCCAATAGTATTGTTTGTGTACCATGATAATGGTACACGAAAAAATACTATCGTGACTAGACAGTGAACAATGAACATTAAGGTCCCACTTATCCAATATCCGTTCCGACTCCCGCCGCCGCTCCCTCACAATTTCATAGCATGATAGGGTAAACTCATCGAAGAAGCTTTAAGGGTATCGATACGTTAATCACGTAGTTCCAAGTTGTAAGCTTACCACACCACTGCCACGGTTCCTCAGAAATCTGCGCCGATGATCGCCAACTCTCATTTAGGTAAGGACATTCATGTGCCACATTGTGCATTGTGGTACACCGATAAGTTTCTGCGACTCAGCAGTTCTTGTCTACGCAAGCAAGCTGTGACACGTCTTTGCCAGCATGTAGGCGTGCCTTTGGGCAAGTTCGCAGCAACGGCGATGATACTTCCTATCGGTTTTTTTTTCCAATCTCTGTCATTTGCAGAGTAGTACTCTATGTAGGACATTACGATCTAGTCTATGGGACCCCCAGTGTCCCAGTCGCATCTCCAGGTACGCTCCAATCGTATAGTTACACAACTCTCCTCTACACAGACCTCTGGTACATACATCCTATCATAGGGAAAGAACGGACTTCTTAATCAGTTGACAGCTAGATTCTTCAAATAATCAACACGGGAAGGGTGCACATCTGTCGAGCTGTCGCGGTTGATATGAGTCCCGTTGGGTTTATCCTGTGAATGTTTCTTGTAAAGCCCATAAATAAATAAAAAGGCAAATACAAACCTTGTAGAAACGCAAAGATTTGATCATGTTATTCTCGTCAAGAGTGAATCGATGGTAGATGCCAGGAGGGATAGCGAATAGATCGCCCTCGACTATCTGGCAACGAATCCATGATCCTGAGGAATGTTCTGGATGACGAGCCATCAGAGTATGCCATAGAATGTGTAATTCCCCGCTCACCTCGAAGATCGAAAAAGCCGCTACCATCGATAACATATCTTGTCTCCTCTTCTTGATGCATGTGCCTAGTATTTCAAACTGTTGCTGAGTACAGACACGATGTTGTGAAAGTTGAGCGTACTCTTGGAAGAATTTCTCCAACAAGGGCTCGTACTCATCTCCTAGGTCCTGCTTGGTGACTGTAATAATGTCTCTGTGCTTGTAGCTTCTTTCCTCTGCAATAGTATCAATCTGTTCCTGTTGGTTCGTAGGGATGTGCCAGTATAGTGCTCCAATAGATTTCAGGATCTCATCTGACACAGGGTTGCCAGAATCGTGCGGCAGCCGCTGGTCGCCTGGAATGTTATCGAAGTAATAGGCACGCATAGTGATGTTATCGACTGGTCCGTGTTGATGTGGTAGATACGTTCAAGGACCCTTTTTATAGATAAATCATTGGGGGACATCCTTATGGGAAAGACCGGACTCCCGACCCGTTTCAATCAGAGTCTCTTGTTACTTGTACACCTGCTCAGGGGGTGTACCCGGCGAAGCTCCAGTCAAAGTAGTAGAAGCCTTAAGGACCTCAATGCGTCAATTCCAGTTGTAGGCTTACCAGACCACTGTCACGGCTCGGCTGCCAATTGGTTGCATGAAGTCAGATTCCGTCAGAAGCGCCAGCGGCAACTTTCCAGTCTTCCTTGAACTAGCATTCGCTGGCATAGAACATAGACACGTCCACCGAGCTCTCCTATACCAGCGTCGGGTAGCATACATGGTGAGAATGGTAGGTCCGGCATTGAGTAATGAGCGCTGTATCGGAAATAGTTTGGTTGGCATGCCTTATAGGGCATTGCAAGCCCTCAATTGACCGAATCCATTTGAAACGCCTTGGAAGCGAACTCGAAAATCTTGCAAGCGGGGCTCAATTGACACTTGCAAGCTGATTGCAACCTCGTTTAGGGATACATTGGGGACAAATTTCGACAAAAGCTTTGCTTACTAGATGCTCCGTTTCTGCTGAAGCTAACTGGCAGATCGCTAGACAAAAACAACGTGATAAAAGGCGTGAATACTCTGAGTTCGCCTCTGAACAAACGTGGTATGCTCAAGACTTGTGTCTTTTTCCTAACGATCTGCAGGTTGATACAGGCGTGATATAGGGAGATTATTATGCAAGTTGGTGCAAGGCTCAATATGATTATTGCCAGTTTGAGGGGAGGGGTTTCGGTTGCGAGGCTCGGTTATTGTCGGGTGATGAGATGGAGAGAACGGCATTGTCTCGAAGTCAGGAAATCGATGGTGAACCTGCCAGGTAAACGCGTTTTGCTGATCACGTGACCTAATATTTCAACGTGTTTGCACTTGGTTTGCACGGTTCAGCTCTAGATTTTGACCGAGGGACAGAAAGAAATCAAAACTGGAGACGGCGAGAAGAGGGACAAAGGCAACCGAAGCCTCGAGTGTGAGGTATTTGGATAAAGGTTTCGGAAGTACGACAAAACCCAAATACCAAGATACCAAACAGGGAAGTGGTGGGTGGGTGAGAAAAGTGTGCGAGTAAGAAGATGAAGTGAATCATGATGAAGGTGAGATACACGTATAGTCACAGCTAATGGCACTCGCTTAGTAAGCACTAATTTGAGCTCTATGCTCGCAAGCTCGCTTTCGAGCTCAAATTTCAAACTGCACCCCTTGCGACGCGCTTTCAAGTCCTTTCCAATTGACCTGAAATTTTTTCGGGTGATCTTGCAACCCCTCAATTAGTCTCAAGAGGGGTCTCTTGCAAGGTGTTGGACACATATGATAGTAGTAATGATCCGAGCGCAAGTACTAACGCTAACTAGTATCGTGAATAGCTGAAGTCCCAGATGTTTGTCAGCGACTGCATAGATCAAGGACAAACGGTTACTTACATTACCGAGAAGTTATTAGTATATATATTGCGTTCGTACTTTAAATTTACTTTAGAGTCTGTCCAAATAATAAGAAAGATTTAGACTCCTACCCATCGGCGGGTGTGTAAGAGAGCCCCCGACATCCGACAGCCGCTATTTCTCCGACGATTTACCGAATAGCCCCAAAAGTCTCGGTAAATCGTCGGGGAAACAGGCGACTCCAACATCATTGAAGACGATGCGTGCGTGGACTCTCTGTGGGATTCCAGCGTCCTTTCGCCCAACAGTGCCCAATTGCTTGGGAAGGAAGGCAGAAAGTTACCATTGTCGCCCGTAGCAGATAAATGCGGCCTTTCGGAGAAGATTGGCTTGAGATCGATGGGTTCCCACTTCCAGCTGCCATTATGCTCGACTCCAACCATTGGGTTCACCATCTCATCCGAGGCGCCGTCGATTGTAACATCCTTCCAGACCCGGACTCCAACAAAGTGTCTCTTGGCATCGGCAAACTCCTCCGCTCCCAAGTTCTTCTCGCAGGAGGCCAAGATTTTTTCTAGGATCTCGCCCTCAGATTGACAGTCAATTTCTCTCCACGAATCTTTGATGGCAAGCTTCTTTCCCTTAGCATCCGTGGCTTTGTACACGTGAGTTCCATGCCCAACCATAGAGTCTGCACCGCATGTGGCAAGTTCCCGTGTCGTGGTGAACACCTCGTCGCCAACTGTGAACTTGTATTGGATTTTTTCTCCTGCATGAATCCGCTCGACTGTGGCCCAGGTCCCATCCAAGCCCTTTCAAGGAGGTAGACGCAGACGCAAATCCAAGAGCGTAAAAGAGAGAGATGGCACCATCAATGTCCTAGATGTATTATACCAGTTAGTACCCTGACATACAGCGCGGTAAAGTGGTGTACCTCGAAGCAGTTGATAGGCTCTGTACGATTACTGAGCCACAGTCTCAATTGCATGATCTCAATTGTGATACCGAAGGCAAACCGACGACAGGGGTCCTCGCGCATGATGTTGTGAATGCTCCAGATTATCTTATGTTCGTTCTAGAGCAGAGTTATAAGCCGGCGCCGACCAGATCTGTAACAACTTTTTTTACATCTCGGAGAGCTTTGGCACCCCGTTCCTTCTTGAACTTGAATGGCACAGTGATATCAAACCAAGGCATCCTGGGCGCAGTTTGATCGCTCGCCCGCAAAAGGTATCCATCCAGCCGGAAAGTATTGTGGCGCTCTGAGAGTGGCGTTTGATTTGGATTCAATAGGTAGGATACTCCACAACTCGGGACTTGTTCCAAGATTCCAGAAATGATTCCCTTGAGGGGCTTTAACGTTGTCTCTTCGGACATCTTCACAGGTCGGATGAAGTCCTTCCATTCCAGGCTATCGTCAGTGAGAATCTTGCTCTGAATTAAGTTGTCACGCATCTCCTCCAGATGCTGCTGAGAGGGCATGGCACCAACACACTTCACTAGGGAAACGAATGGGACCTGCAGATACTTTCCCAAATCAGTGAGAACAGCCTCGCGGCTTAACTTCAGATCCCCCGTGTGGCGAGGGACTAGGACTGTCTCTGCTGGTGGTACCTGTGACTTCTGTGATTGAGGTGTATGAGGGGTGGTCATCGTGATTTGATCTGCGAAACAGTTCGGCTTGGGAAGAAATCCTCGAGGTTGCACAAGAACAAGACTGAAACTGTTATTGCAGCACTTGACTCGGAATACTTTCGTACGACAGTCACTGCGGAAACGAGAAAATAGTCCTACTCTATTCCAAGATAGATAATTTGTATAATCATACCCAAACCCATGTCAACTAGTAAACCCCACCCAAAATCGATGTGCTGCCAATTTTGAGAGATCCTGGGAACACCACAAATGTAAGCGGACCATTTTCCGACTTTGCCTTATCAATTTTCCCGACCTATGCTTACACCTCGCAAATACCTGCTATTCCATGACTATTCAGCTCTGCGAATCCAAGATCTTGACGTTGGTTTACAGTAGACTTGGAGCGAGGTAAAACTTCGAAAATTTGTCTAAGTCCTCATTACCCAGTAAGTACTTACTACACCATGGCAGACCGCGACACCATCAAGCTTGAGCTGCCCGCGTGGGTGAGATCATTCAAGTTCACTTTCGAATGCAGAAAGCTTGGTCCTATGGTAAGTGCCGTTTAGTCAAACTAGACCAATACTAACTACTATGTAGGCTATTGACGTATCCATGCGAGAGCCTCTCGACTTGGAGCTGCCGTCTGGCACAGCATGCTGCGCTGATGCCAGCGAAACACCAACGATGAAACCGGGAGTACTTACTGATTGGTTGGAAGACCAGACAGCTGTAAGTCCTTTTGTTGTTCTATCATTTTATGATATTGAACATATATCTAGCAGCGCAACTTGAAGCTGTCAAGGCGGAAGCTCGGGTAATTGATGATAACGAAACGGAACCGGAGTCAGAACCGCCTGCTGAAAATACCAAGTGCCTAGTTGACGATCCAGCCAAGTGGTAAGTTGTTTTGTCTGATGTCAATTCTCCTCTCGCCCTACTACCCCAGACTGACCTTCCTGTTAGTGCTGGACCTGTGCCCGACAACAGTGAGATGGAACCAGAGTCTGAACCCGAGGCACAGACACCTGTAGAATTTACCATTTGGTATGAGGCTAACAAGGACGTGCGTATTTTTATTCTCTACTATGACTACTAAGTTGTTAACTGAGGGTTTTTTGCAGGGCCATGTATGGGTACGACGGAGAGGTCTCGACATCTGGTGAGCGCATGTGCTTTTGGTGATCTGGAGTCCCGTCATTAAGGTGTTCTTGAAAGGACGAGAATGTGGGATCAGGCTGTCATCCAGAAGTGAGTAGCTCGTTATGATTTAGCTTTGCCTTGACTGATATACTCACTGCCATGGATTGCTCTCGGCACAGATTACCTGGGTGACTGGTGGGCCCAAATACATCGACATGCAACCCATTGCGACCGAAGCTGGTGGGGCCGTGACTGGGTTGTGATGTGCCACGGATTTGGCCCTGCATGGGGTAGGCACCTGTCATATCTTGTTGCGCATGCTCTGGGCTCATTTGTGGATGGTTCGACATGGCAGGGGCACCACTCGGGCGTCTCTGAGTAGTACCATGGGGTACGCACATCACGGAGGGAGAGCAACAAGGAGGTAGGACAGCCTGCAGGATGTGGAGGATTCCTAGGTCGGCACCATATGGTACATGCTTCCTGTCTGTATGTACATCATAATCCGATCCACTTTCACTTGAAAAACCAACCATAATCTGATGTGCAAATCATTTAAATCAATATTAAAACTGAGGTCTGCTTAACATGCAGGCAACAAACCCGCGTCTGGAAATCTCATCGTTTCACAGTCGGTTTTGCATGTCAAAACTGAACCTTTCTGTATCTGCATTGGTGTACTTTGCCTCGATTTGCATTCTATGCTTTGTGTGTATTTACAGGCTATATTCGGACTCTATGCGGATCCGTTTATTTTGTCGTTTCCGCAGTGCTAGTAGTGGGTTTTTCCCAGGCTCCTGTCATGGCAAGCGACCGTTTTACTTGGTTTTACCTCGAAGCTGCCATTACATCACGGATGTGTTGACTATTGACACGCTTCTTGATACTATACAGCGATTCACCATCGCCACTCGACCACCGCATCATTCTGCTCCGCATTATATTTATAGCGTGTCGTATGTCTGTTTTCCTCAGCATTTCAAGTTGTTCCCACTCGCTGAGGTATGTTCGTTATTGCACTCGTACCCAGACTCATACTAATGTAGACTAGACTTACTTGTCTCGTTGTTTTAGCCCATTAGGATGCACGATTGTGGGGCGGTCCCATGTTTCCTCAATCCACAGTGTTAATGCACTGCCTAATCATCATCTAAGAACGAACCCGAACCTGCTCGTCTGGAGACAAGACATCGTTGATAGCGAGCAGATCGCTCAAACCCACGTGAGTACTAGTACCTGTGCTGTGGACGCTAATGATTGGTACGTTGCGAGGTCACAATCTTCTAGTGTGCGGGAAATGCTCCTTCGTCTGGAAGGCATTCCATGTCGAAGAATGATACCTTGTTGAGTCGTTGACGTGGAAAAAATTGCAACCAAGGTCAATCTCGTAGATCCACTCGATGTCGAGGTCATTTCGTGGTCACCAACTGGAAATGATGAAATCTTCGCTGTCTAGTGATGCCCTCCACTACCACCGCGGTAGTGAAGAAGCCCCATTAAACAGCGAACATGACGGTCCCACTCATCAAATATCCAACTCCTACCGCTCGCTCACAATTTCATAGGGCAAATTCATAGACTCAAGCACGCCTACGCCAAGAACGGGTGGTTGAAAATCGAGGCGGCAGTAGTGAGCGAAATACATATTTCGATGGTGGTACACGTAATACCCGCGAGTGCCCAATGGAGCGCAGGCGGAAAGGCACATGGCACAGACACACGAAGCTCCAGTCATAGTAGCGGAATCTTCAAGGGTGTCAATGCGTTAATTAAGAAGTTTCGAGCTGTAAGCTTACCACACCATTGTCACAGCTCCTGTCCGGTGCCTCGACCGTTTACAACAAAAGTTAGGGGGAAGAGATTCAGAAGAGCCTGGAAATTCTGATATCCCAGTACGAACTCAGTCACTCGGGGAGTCGGAAAGCTCATTTTCTCAACGGGAATTTGACACCACTCCCCACGTGACTTACCGTTGAATTCAGGGCCTGTAGCCGCCAGTGTAGTCAGTACGTATAGTAGCGATTGCGGGCAAACATTCTGTGAAGTTTCTGGACCCTCACTCGTCCTCGTCCTACATCAGCATTTTCGCTACCAAGATAGCCAGCACAATTGACAAAGTCAATAAGAGACTAAGAAATCCATCTCCATCGCCAACTTTCATTGATGCAAGGACATTCGTATGCCACATTGTGCATTGTGGTGCACCGATCGGTCTCTGCGACTCAGCCGTTCTCGTCTATGCAAGCAAGCTGTGACGCGTTTGTCAGCAGGTAGGTGTGCCTTCGGGCAGATTCTCAGCAATGACGATGATACCCCCATTCGTAATGTTACATGATTCTCCTTTACATACACTCCTGGTATATCCCCTCGGGCACATCCTTATGGGAAGGACTGGGCGTCTTACCCACCTCAATCAGTTGACAGCTAGACTCTGCAAATAATCGACACGGTAAGGGTTCACATCTGTTAAGCCGCCGCGGTTGAGAGGAGTCCACTTGGGCTCATCCTGTGAATGTTTCTTGTAAAGCACATAGATAAAAAAAGGGTGAATACGAACCTTGAAGAGACGCAAAGCTTTGATCATGTTATTCTCGTCAAGAGTGAATCGATGGTAGATGCCAGCAGGAAGAACCAAGAGATCGCCCGTGTCTACCTGACACCGAATCCATGATTCTGATGGATGTTCTGGAAGACGAGCTATCAGATTATGCATGGAATATGTGATTCTCTGCTCACCTCGAACATCGAAAAAGCCGCTGCCCTCGAGAATATATCTTATCTCCTCATCTTCATGCATGTGCCTGATATCGAAGTTCAAGTTGTTGCCAAATACAGACACAATGTTATGAAAGCAGAGCGTACTCTTGATAGAAGTTCTTTAACTTGGCCTCGTACAGATCTCCAAGGCCCTGCTTGGTGATTGTGATAGTGTCTCTGTTCTTGTAGCTTCTTTCCTCTGCAACATCGTCGATCAGATTCTGTTGGCTGGTCGGGATGTGCCAGTGTAGTACTCCAATAGATTTTAGGATCTCATCTGACACAGGGTTTCCGGAATCGTGTGGGAGCCGCTGGTCGCCTGAAATATTATCGAAGTAATAGGCACGCATGTTGATGTTATCGTCAGTCTGGGGTGCGCCACGTAAATACATTAAGGATCCTAGTGGATCTATCATTTATTAGTCAGCTTTTATTATATAAGATTCTACTTCCAGTCCACAACTCGTCTATTACGGTACTCCGAGTCGCAGCTAGACTGGTGCCAGCTGACCTCAAGGGTGAGCTAGTCACCAGTCTAACTTGCAGCGGATCGGCCTTCCTAGCGCGCTTACCTTCTACCGCTCCGAGGTTGGGGGCTTGGTATGTCCGTGCCCAACATAACAGTATCCAATCTGATTGCTTGATAATCAGATAATGCGCCTCACCTGTTCATAGCGAAGATAAGCCATGTCATATGGTTTCAGCTGCTATTAACAGCTGAAATTTTTGACAAGCCACACATGTGATATAATACATATATAGGAAAACTTGTCTTTCAGCGAATTTCTGGAGGTTTTCCCTGATCTTGAAGTTGCCATGTTTTCACTTATGCCCTCGCTATGTTAAATAAGCTTAGCTAGTTAGTACGTTCTCGCACCACTTGCACTATGTATCAGCGGTTTCCCGGGACCTTTTTTCTCCGATCCCGTTCGATCATTTTGAATTTTTAACTGTCAAAACATGACTGACAGTGATGTTGCATAAAAAAACCGCAGCACGAACAATTTTGACCCCATCTGTCACGTCGCTTGACCTAATTTGGATGTAAAGGGTCCCGGAAAAGGTAGCGGCAAGGGCCAAAATTTGTGCCGCAGTTTTTATGCAACATCACTTACGTAGGAATTTGTGGCGTTACAGTCACGTATAGCCTTTACACCTCTTGAACCCAGACCTGTAGGGTCCAGGAATCTGTCCCTCAGTTTGAACGGAATCTATCACCGACTCTCGGCCATGTCTCAGGTGTCGACAAGTTATCCGCCAATCAAAGCACATACCGTCTATGCGGTTAGATCCAACTTTTGGCCGCCGTCCACCAGAACCGTCTTAGTATGATCTTCAGCGCCCAATAAGTGCAATCGCGGGAGAGGCGGAAATTTCACTGCAGCGGTCCACCCACGCAGAGGTCGTTGTTAGGTTACCCTCTGCTAGAGGAAACCCGTGCTCAACGATACGGTACTAGACTGATCAATTTGCTGTGCTCGAACTAATTTCATTATGGATAGCGCTCAGCTATGCAACGCCTGCTAAGTAAACGAACTGCATCCATAGGTATCTCGACATACCCATCTTATCAACCAAGTGTTGCTGCTTGCAGAAACTGATTCTGAAAAATGGAATGAACATCTGCAGCATAGGCTAATTTTGAGACCTCCAACCTCAGGACTCGATCAAACAATTGACACCGGAGACATTGGCAGACAGATGCTGTCGTGCCTCAGGTGTGACAGACAATCACAACACTAATGGCGCAAAAACGTGGTACCATTCATTATTGCCACGACAAGTATCCCAGATCTCCAACCTTATCAACCTGTTTTCATATCGTCCTGTGCGACCCTGTGCTCTGATTTGCACTAGTCTTCTATCACCATACAACCGCTTGTCTACCGGCGGTCACTGTGCGCTGCTTTGCACTAGTCTTCTGTCACCATACAACCACTTGTCTACTAGCTTGAAACCATCGGCAACGACCTTTAGCGCTCCAAGGTTGGTCTATCGCCTCTTCTTGTATAAAAAGGATATCCAATCTTCTTCTATTGGTATCTACCAGCAGCCTCTTTTTTCTTTCACTGTTCTCCCATAGAGCATCCCAGCTTATATCTAATCACTCGTAACACATAGATTAATACCGCAATGTCTGCAACACTCCCAGTCACCCTGCACGACGTTCTCTCTCAAGCTGCCAAGCGGTATCCTTCGCACGAGCTCGGATTCATCACATCTTCCGCTCATGACTCTTCCATTCGAGCGACAACATTCAGCTCTTTCAACCAGTATGTGCGCAACCTCGCTCGCGCCATGCTGGATTGGCAAAAGCCCGCTGGCTCAGTTATCGTTGTCTACCTGACTGAGCACGAGGATAACATGGCCGCTGTTTGGGCTTGTCTCCTTGCAGGTTACGTTCCATGCTTGCAACCCGCCCTCAGTGCCCAGCAGGCTCATAAGGAGGGCCATGTCGCTCATATCAAAAACCTGTTCTCGTCCGCTATCTGGCTCACTAACGAGTCCGGTGCTGACCAGGTGAATTCCATCACCGGTCTGGAGGTTAACCTTCTTTCGCAACTCAAGGCATCAGCTTCGAAATACCACGTTTCTGCCGACTGGGTCGCCCGTACCGCCCAGCCGGATGATGAGGCAATACTATTTTTAACCTCCGGATCAACTGGCTTTTCCAAAGCAGTTGTCCACAGCCATCGCACTATTTTGGCCGCTTGCTCTGCTAAAGGAGAGGCTTATGGCTTAACTCCGAAGACTAATGTACTTAACTGTAAGTCGACTTACTCGTTGTTGTTACCGATGTTGATATTTTCCCAGGGGTTGGATTCGACCATGTCGCGGGCTCCTTGGAAATGCACATCACTCCCTTGTTGTTCGGTGCCTCTCAAATTCACGTCCATGCATCCGCTATTCTCTCCGACCCGCTTCGTTTCCTCCGTCTGATCGACGAGAAGTCCATCAACGTTGCCTTCAGCCCTAACTTCTTGCTTGCGAAGCTCACGCGGGACCTTGAGAAGAGGTCTGATCTCATTGGAGCCTTCGACCTCTCTTCAATCAAGCGCATCAACAGCGGAGGGGAGGCTGTCATTTCAAAGACTGCTCAGTCCTTTGTAGCTGTCCTTAAGCAACTTGCAAGAGACCCTCTCAAAGTTTCTTTCGTCATTTCACCTGGATTTGGTATGACTGAGACTTGGTGAGTCATTTCTGGCTTACATTGTGGCGTAAAACTTAATTAATCTTAGCGCTGGGTGTATCTACGAGCCGGTGAACCTCAGCACTACCGTGCCCAAACACGAATTCCTCGACTTGGGACGCCCTATACGCGGTTGCGAGATGCGTATCGTTGATCCCGAAGATGGCAAGACGGTCCGCAGGGACGGAGAGAGTGGTGAGCTGCAAGTCCGTGGCCCCATGATCTTCCTTCGTTACTACAACAACGCGGAGGCCACATCTTCCAGCTTTGTTGATGGTTGGTACCGCACCGGTGATGTCGGAATTATCGAGGGCGGTGTTATGCGTCTCAGTGGCCGCATCAAAGACACTGTTATCGTCCACGGTGTGTCATATGGTATTCCAGAGCTGGAGACGCACCTCCAGACTGTCGAGGGTGTCACGCATTCCTTCCTTGCTGCTGCCCCCTACCGTGCACCCGGGCAGGAGACTGAAGGCTTCATTATCTTCTACTCTCCCACTTTCGACCTTAATGGAGAAGATGCTTCCATGAAACTATTCGCCACGCACCGCGCCCTCCGTGACATCTGTGTCAAAATGATCACCCTCCCTCCTCAATTCATCGTCCCCATTCCTATCAACCAGATGGAGAAGACTACTCTTGGGAAGCTCTCGAGAGCTCGCCTTGTCAGCCTCTTCAAGCAGGGAGAACTTGCCAAGCACATCGCTCGTGCTGAGGAGCTCCTGAGCGAGGCTCGGGGCTCTTCATTTGTCACCCCTTCCACGGAGGCCGAGAAAGCTCTTGCCAAGATTTACTGCTGGGATCTTTAACCTCAACGAGAATGAAATGTCCGCAAGCGACAACTTCTTCGAGCTCGGCGGCACCTCTATCGATGTCATCAGGTAAGCAACACAGGATATTTAATAACGAATGCTTCTCATGTTTCTTTCTATCAGACTCAAGCGCGAGGGCGAAGCACACTTCGGTTTGCCTGAGATACCCACTATTCAGATCCTCAAGCACCCCGTCATTTCCAGCTTGGCGAATTACATCAACGCTCTCCTCTCAAAGGACAGTGCCGCAGAGGAGTACGACCCCTATCGTTCCCTTGCAGCTCACGGGTAACAAGACACCCATCTTCTTCGTTCACCCCGGTGTCGGCGAGGTTCTGATTTTCGTCAACCTCGCCAAGTACTTCCAGAATGAACGTCCCTTTTATGCTCTTCGTGCTCGTGGCTTCGAGCCAGGTCACCCTTTCTTTACCTCCATGGACGAAATGGTGTCCACCTATGCTGCTGCAGTAAAGAGGACCCAACCCACTGGTCCTTACGCCATCTCTGGTTACAGTTACGGTGGTGTCGTTGCCTTTGAGGTCGCTAAGCGCCTCGAGGGCATGGGTGATGAAGTCAAATTCGTCGGTCTCATCAACATCCCCCCTCACATTGCCGACCGCATGCACGAGATCGACTGGACCGGTGGCATGCTCAACCTTTCATATTTCCTTGGCCTTGTGACGAAGCAAGATGCTAATGACCTCACACCCACTTTGAGACCTCTCTCGCGGAAGGAACAACTGGAGGTCGTCTGGAAGCTATCACCTCCCGACCGTCTTATTGAGCTCCAGCTCACGCAAGAGAAGCTTGACCACTGGGTCGACATTGCTGGCTCTCTAATTGAGTGCGGCAAGGAGTACAACCCGGGTGGCTCAGTTTGTGAGTGCCCTTGATCCTGTAGTTTTATTCTCTCACTGACGACCATATTAAGCTGCTCTTGATGTCTTTTATGCCATTCCCTTGAAGGGAACCAAGGCTGATTGGCTTAACAAGCAACTCAAGCCTTGGGACGGTTTCAGCCGTGGCCAGGCCACATATACCGACGTCCCTGGGCAACATTACACTCTCATGGACTTTGACCACGTTCCTCAATTCCAGAAGATCTTCCGCGGCCGTCTCGAATCTCGTGGTCTTTAAGACTGCAGATGTCACGGTTGGACGTTGGAGACGGACTGATTTTTATTGGTTTACTGGATGCATATTCTATGTACATATATTACTGTATGGTCTGACATCCTATTATTGTAGTGTTTTTTGTAAAAATTCCTTAGAGTTGGATCAATAGATTACATGTGATTGTGTATCAGGTAATACATATCATGAGCATGAACCGATTCGAGTGACACCAACAAGGGATTCGAAATGGTGATGCGTGATCAGAGATATCACCACGGGGGATTTCTATCATGCTCAATTGAGCTATGACACTGCACTGGATGTATATATATTAGGACTGAGAACCCAGGGTAAATCGTGTTAGTAATAAGAAGAGAAGTACGCATACGAAACCCGGGGGATTCGATTAGCCTCCGGGTAACCTTTCCTTTTTGACTCTTATTACCTCTACACTCCTCATAGCTGATATCGCTTCTTTCCGCCTCGGACTTCTTGACGCCTAATACTTAAACCCTCTCTTGTACGCAGCGTTGCTTTCACGTTCGCTGAGACTTATTTCGTGTCTAGCTTGCAGCAAATCGGATGCATTGAATTCAAAGGAACGGTGTATGCAGCACTAGTTTACAGTATTAACGCAACGACACAAGTGTCGCACGTACAGTTATGATATTAAATAACTAAGTAACTTGGATCATAGAAGTCTGGTCTGGAACAGAGGAGTAGTGAAGCCTGATGGAGCTCAATGGCCTCATCAAGGTCTAATACGACACTTCACTACAGGAATCTGTTTCTATGGGTGGCAGCAAGACCATCGAAAGATGAGGATTGATTAGAATGACCGGCGGGACAGAGGAGTGCAGCCCAATGGAGCTCGATGACTCCAGGGGTAATGGAATAGCGAAGCCTGATCAAGCTTGGTGGCCTCATCGAGATCAGGAACGATACCCCGCTGCAGGAACTGTTTCCTAGGCTGACAGCAAGATTGTTGAGAGCATTGGAAGAGCATTACCGAGGACTAAGAGCGAAATGGCGTTATCGAGATCAGACCCAGCTGCCAGAATTTGTTTTGGAGGTCGATAGCAACCCCATTGAGAAACTCGGATCCGAGTCGAAGACTGGCGTAGGATGACAACTACCCCATTTTACTGTGAAGGGTCTGCTAATGACTGCGAAATTGATATCAGATTGAATTCGTATGCAAGGTGCGAAAGAGGACCCACTAGGATACCGAATTCAACCTGCCTTGGAGACCGCCACTGATTCGAAACTGAGTACTGACCTTGAAGTCAACGATTGGGCAAGCGGGTTGCAACAACTATGTACATTAGTCTCCCCTATGCAGACCTTAGAGTCGGATGAAGATAGTCAGTTCCTTCTGAACCAAGTATGTTACTCCGGAGTCCGGTGTAACATACTTGGTTGTCCGCATGCATGGACTCTCGGAGAAAGCCGGGGTGGCGTTGAACTTGGGCTACATCGATATTTGCATCACTACTGGCACTCACTGTACCATTCGTTCGTTCCTAACATCCACGGAGCCTCGGTACTGTATACGTCACTCAGCCTCATCCATAGCTCAACATGGTACTGCCGCTGCTGCGCCAGTATCTACATGTCGCGTTGACCAAGCCCGGGCACCTTTCGCACATAGTAATAGTTTGAATTACCAACAGTATCTCCTTCCATACTGACAGAGTCATACACTTGCATTCGACACTACTTTGTCACATGTAACACATCCTATCCGCCAGGATCCGTAACCAAAATCGACGAGACAGTGCCTATCTCGGGTACTTCAAGCCAGCTGCCACCGGTAGCACATTCGCGTTATTCGGTTACCTACGCGCACGCTCCATTTATATCACTTCAAAAAGCGGGAAAATGGGCTTGTTTTCGGCGTGAGCTGACGATTGTCTCTCGTGTCAAGTTTCAAGACGCTTACCTCTTTAAGGTGATAGTGATATGAACGGCTGAATACCACCACTCACGGTCTAGGACGATGTCGTTCGATCCCCTCTTTCGGCTTGGTACAATCCGGGTATCGTTGCTACTCTCGAATCATGTTCTGCTTGTCATACCCCGTTCCCATCTGAGCCTTCCTCAACACACCCAGCTTGCCCTCGCGCAACCTTTGCATGCTGCATGCAGGCGTATGGGGCAGTCACAAGTTTCCTATCAACGGCTTGCACCTTCCGTAATGTTTGGAATCAGGAGACTGAGAGTCTTGATCTCCTGGCAGGAGATCGCCGAGGTGAAATTGATTATTGTCGAATTGAAGATCAATCCGACGTAGTGGCAGCCACTTCGATATCCAAGTGACTGTGATGTTCTAGTTCCCTTGGCAAGTGGAACTATGCCAGCAGTCTACGTGGAGGAATTAAATGTATCTTTTGGCCTTTCCCCATGGAGAAGCAGCCATACAAGGCGCGTGCAGGTGTCTTCAGTCAGGGTTAGAGCAAACACCAATATCGTGTTCAAAGTTTGCACGTCAGCCAATTTCATGTCTTGTTGGCATTAAAAGCATGGGAGCACGTCGGCAGCCGTCCGGTATGAAATATCTGGTGAGCTTTTTGGCTGATTATCGGTAGATTGCGCAACGTCAACAAGGGACACGCAGCTTGTACGGCACATGCTACCTGCCCCGACCTTTCCGGCTGTGCCCCTATGTATTAAGACGTAATTGTATGTTATATTATTCTCGTTCAAAAATCATAAACTCATCAGCCTCTACATATGAATTCCACTCGTCCTCCTAGACGACACCTTGATGCCGGAACCTGTCTTGAAGGCGTTTGCAATATGGTTGAGAGATAAGGATCGATGAGAATGACTGGGGAGTCTGATTGAGCTCAGTGGCCTCATCACGGTCAGACGAGACACTCCGCTTCTCGAATCTGCGATTAAGCAAGGTCCCTGAGAGCCGCGAATCGATTAGAATGACTGGGGGGTAGGAGATGCAGTATAGCTCGATAGGTCAGATTGTAGAGATGGGTAGAATGAAGATAATGGCCGGGGGGACAGCTTCTGCAAGGTCACCCAAAACTCCGCTACATTGTCTGAGAAGTTACACGAGGGATGTCAAGAGCGCAGAGCATGGAGCCGAAGAGCAGAACTGGGCGTTGGAGACCCTGACCTGTGACTAAGACTTATTTTCGACACGGACACCAGCTATGCGATGCGTGACTATCGAATTGATTGCATTAGTATGATATGGGATTTTTCGAAGTCAAGGACACGGAGTCAGAGCCGTTGTCGGCGATGCAAACGAATCTATGCTGGTTGTTTTTTGACCTGCGATGTAATCATAATTAGATTCTGCACCTCTAGTAGTCGTGTGCGCCGCGGCATTTTCAACGGCACAACGCCAATAGCCACTGGAGGAATACACAGATATATTTCTGTACAGTGTTAAAACTTAAATTACTTAGTGAGCACTTACGGCTACAGGGCCCAGGCGTAAGCAATTCATTTTTGCAACCGTTATCTGTCTTATGATCATCCCCCAACAAATGGTAGGACGCGGATTGGATAGCATGGCGTCAAAAAATGAATGATTTAGTCCAACTCCCAAACATCTCGGCTTCCAGGCGCAGAAGACGTCAGGACCTGCCAGTTATCCTCTAGCGTTTCCCGGTAATGTAAATTAGCGCGACGCTTCCAACTCTGTCAGAAAAATAGCATTTTTTCGCACCTCGTCATGTATGCGGAAAGTGCAGCTTGTGCATGTGACTGTTGATTAAAATAGTGTAAATAAGGTTGAATACAGATCTTGGTCTCAAAATATGGTACCGAGGAATTGAAGTCGAAGGTGCTGTTATCGCGCCACCAAGTCTCCGCACCAGTCATAACGTGGAATGGCAGAGCAGTACTGGATGACCAGGTCGTTAAAGATTCTCAGGAAAGGGACAGTGTTGTACCCTCCCTTCTCATAGATATACAGATCACGCACAACTAACAGTCATTTCTATACCCCTATTGCCCACACTGTCACTTACTGAGTTCGCTCAAAAGATTTGGTGTTCCGCAGAGGTTCTGTCTCCCAGGAGATCTCAATCAAACATTGATCGAATGGAAGATCGAGCAACTATTAATTATAAGACACTTGATTAACAACAAAGACTCACGTCGAGCATAAATTTAAGATTCGGCGGTGATAACGTTGTGGAGGAACGGGAGTACGAAAGAAGGTCGTGCCGATCGAAGGCCTTTGGTTATAAACACATGATAGTCATTCAAACGATTTCGTGATAGGGATGTGATTTTTTTATCCTGCGTCTATGTGCATGAAAACTCACAATAATTCCAAATATGCATGCACTCACCGGCATAGTCTCTCTGAAAGGATCATATGTGCATACGTTCTGTCACACGATATGAGGTGATAGAAGATAGTAATGACGACAGATCATTCTTTACCTGGAAGCTTTCCGTACGCTCCGCAAAAACGATGCGTAGAACTATCACCATTTGTGCTGGCTCCGGGAGAGCTGGTAACGTCTTTCACACCACCACTGATATCTATCTGTAACTCCGCGGTCGCGTCAGCATCATTGGGGGTGAAAGATGGGTTCTGTTGGAGATTTCCGACAAGGGTATTGAATCATAGTGGCGCTGGGAAGTGCCAGTCCCCAACTCCAAGAAATAATGATGGATTGGCAACAGACAGTATATCGATATACATCAAAATCATTCACCTCTCAGCGCATTCTGTTTTCGTTCTAGATGGGCTGAATTGAGCTTGACAGAGTGCGGGATAATTTCCTGTGACAGACGTTCGGTAACAAGCACACTAAACTCATGAGCGAGAATCTGACAGATAAGCGACACCCAAAACACTTCATGAAATAGGTGTAGTACATGTTGCCGAACATGATTCGTTACATGTTTTTCGATGAGAGAGCCTTTTGTAGAGTGTGCGATATCGTGGCGTAAATCGACGAATACACGTCTGGACTCGGACGCCGGTGCGGTTCAGGCTCGCGTGGCCGTTGAATCGGTAGCAACAGATGAGCCGATGATCATGGAGGAGTACGTAAAGCATTGGCCACCTGAACGCAGTACAAGTTCTGAAACTCAGCAGCGAGCAAAGTGCCACGTGTTGCAAGCAGGTGGGACAGGTGCTGTCAAGAGACTCTTGAAGAGATGATCATCCTGCATACCTACGTTTAAAAGTGAAATGAGACATCATTGCATTGACACTACGTTCTTTATTTCGCGCACCTCATCATTTAGTTCCAACGTGCAGTGCAACACCACGCAGAACAGGCGCGGACAAAGTAAATTTTTGCTGTAGAGACGACAGACTTCGAGTAACCAACTAGTACTGTAGATGACAGTGAGAGTATGGAGTTCCCACGGTTCAGGGTTGAACCTCTTCGAGACTTCGAAGCTCATTATTACTAATAACGTGGGATGTACTTGAATGTCGACTCCGCGTGACGCACTGCAACTGTTGAGATCTAGACACGACTGCCGCGGAGGGGGATTCGATTCCAACCAGCTCTATATTCTTTACATCATGACATGTTGCTGGCAGGTCAAATGGCCACGATTTGATTGGCTAACTTCCTCACCAGCAAACGTCCTTAGCGTTCACTCTATGACTTCAGCTTTTGTCCAGTGCGATTCCAGCCTTTTTCTAATGTCTAATCATTGGTTCCTTCGTGCCCGCCGTGTCATCATATATAAGCTCCCTCGCTCCCATAATTTCTTCACTACCTTCGTTGGCCACCCATTCAACCATTAACCAGCCATGACCTCAACTCACCAGGTGTCTGCCAGCACCACCACAACTACGATTCCCCTACCAAACAGAGATGCTATGTCTGGCAGTTTGGTCAACAAAGCGCCACCAGTGTGGTCACTGGAATCTAACGGAACCTTGACTCCACTCACCGACAAATGCGATAGACTTAGCCGCCAGGATGGTATCTGTTGCAAGGAACTCAAGGGCGAAGACGACAGACTTCTGATAGATCCTGATGTTATCCGTGACATGTGAGTTTCCCCCTTACCAGCTCGCAGCCTTCTGTCTGCTTTTTTCTCGCAAGTTATTGACATAGTACACCTTCTATAGCATTATTGGATTGTCGGATGGCCTGACTGTTCCCTTCGCGCTGACAGCTGGTTTGTCTGGCTTAGGGAATTCAAGACTAGTTGTTGTCGGCGGCCTTGCAGAACTCATTGCCGGTGCCATATCAATGGGAATAGGTGGCTTCCTTGCATCCCAGGCTGAGCGGGACCATTATCGGTTCTTGCGACGTCATACCCACTCACGGGTGATGCGGAGTTGCATTGGGGAAATGGAGAGAGAGGTACACGCTGTTTTGGGTCCCGTCGGTGTCGATGAACCAACCTCCCATGCTGTCGCGAATTGCCTGCGGAAAATAGAGGATGAGCCCGGGTTTGACGGAAGTAAACCCGCACCTACTGACGAGGAGAAACTATCGCGGGGGATGAAGAGCGACTCTGGGCTAACACCTTTCTTACTGAAATTTGGAGAGGGGATGGGTATGTCTATCTTGTTATTATTCTTCCGTTTGACGTGGTTCTGATTGTTACTGTCTTTTTCTTGCTCAGAGGAAGTTCCGACTCGCCGACTATACATCTCCGCGTTCACTATCGGCATGGGATACCTCCTTGGCGGTATCATCCCCCTTCTCCCGTATTTCTTCATATCTGAAGCGATTGAAGCATTAAAATATTCTTGCATAATGACTGGGATAGTTCTTCTCATATTTGGTGCCGTAAAAGGTCGAGTCACGGGAGCAGCGAGGAATATCTGGGGATACATTTGGGCAGCAGTCAGTACGATGGCTGTTGGCGGATTTGCTGCCGCTGCAGCCTACGGGTTGGTTACCGCGGTGGAAAGATCATCTATATCGTAGCAGCGTTTGGTCGCGCCAGTCCCCGACTCCATTGTTCCACATGATTATTTAGCTCATTTGAATTGTGTATCGACTTCAAAATAGTAGACAATGCGCCCTACGCCCTACCTCATTACGAAACCATGCACCGTTTTAGATGCTGAATGCAGAAGGATTTTTTCACCGCTGAAAGACACAACTTGAATACTTGTCCGCGATCGCAGTGGTTGATCGATCATGGACTTTGACTCGTCCTGCAATGTCCTATCTTCCGCGGCTGTTCCGAATATCATAGACTAGAATAACAAGTAAGCCTTTGGAAGAGTGTTATGTGTTGCCCTTGATGGAACGTCCGTGCTGCAGAGTCGATAATCTTAGCTGACTTGCTGGCTCAGCCTCGTGCGGTGAGAGACGGTATGTGTGTACTTCGAATTCATTATGACTGCTTTGTGTTTGCCTAGTTTCGTCACAAACTCTGAGCTGACTGTAGGACTGGGAGACTTTGCCTTGTGATGAACAAATGAAATCAACATGCCCAAAAATCGAAACTCCCACGGCGTCGGAAATGTGCTTTCTTAATACGTCAAAGCCTGTGCCAAGGGCCCGTGCCAATGGCGTCTAACTCAGCACTCTAGCTTCGTGTTAATCCACCTTGCAAGATACTGAGAGATACGATGTCGCATTATACCAGGTGAGATTCCAAGGTTTCTGCTGTAATTCCCTTAATTGAGGTGTTTAGTCCTCCTCCTCCATACCAGCAACATGCTTCAACACAAGCATTCCGTCCTGACCATTCTCACACCATTGCGCAAGGATACACACATAACGGTCACTCACATGGCTATGGTTGTCATAGGCATCACGGATATGGACATGTAGACCAGCCCTCGATCGCGGGTACCTACGCGCCCTGTGTCTCGGATCGTGTAAGCTTCCATTATTCACACATCTCTGTCAGTACTCAATAGACGTGATTAGTATTCATTCCAGGTACGGTGTGTGTAGCACGAAAGCATGGGCGGTTGTTGATACTCATCTTTAGGTACAATGAAACCGATTATCTCCTTCCGAGAGGAAGTCATCGACGAAACGATGGCCTAGGATGTTGCTGCTTCACAATTATCGGAGCTATATTCATTGTAGCGATGTTTTATATCGTCCAATTCGTCTCGTCTATGCCCGTCGATGAGGTTTCTTGGACCAATCTTGAATCTCATTCCTGCACCACTTATGCAACAAGGGAATACGTAGCAGAACTCAACGTCTCACCTTGGAACCCCCAGCGGACGAAAATCTGTATGAGTACTCGGGCGGTTGTTCATGGCCGGCCTCACTGGCCATCCAGATGCGAATATGTGAGTTGACATTTCTCGTTAGTCCTGATAGCAGCGTCTGACTTGGTATAGCGCTCAGGCAAGGTAATCGGACATTTTGCCATCGACCATGACGAGCCAGACTGTGTCACCTACTGGAGTGGATATAGGAATTGGGTAAGCTAAAAATTTCACTTTGCACTTAAACTCACCGCTCTACTTCGTAGGGATGTACCGCTAAAGGCTCGAAGAAGAGGGTGAGTGACAGATGCACTGTTCTCTGGGACTTGATTTGATCATTATTGTAGCACATTGAGCAACATCTCATGAACGTACCGGCCAACACTGACTATAAGGAATTCTGTGCGACAACGCCTGCTCGTTTCCTAGACCAAGAATTCTCTGGTGCAGACTCGTGCGTGAATAGCGTACGTGCATTTGAGCTATCGCTCCTGCATTTTATCTGACATATATCTAGATCTGGGGTGTCTATGGGCAGTGGTTCATCGACGACCCTAATTGTTGAAGCGGGTGAAGATCGTGGTTTCTTATATCCAGCATTGACCACTTTTACTACCATTGCTTTCCTGGCATTCTTGTACTATTTACTGATGAAAATTGTGTTTTGTGTACATACCTCCGTGGCCCGTTGCACACTCGAAAGAAGCGACCAAACAGCAACTGCAACAGTGCTAGGACGATTTATCAAGGACTCTCGATGTTGTCTGCAACATTCAGTGCGTGACCTTACCTGTCGTCATTCTGCGGAGTGATTCAACTTTTGCTGCAGTAGTCGTGAGCGAGCATCTGATCACTAGGGCAGGATCGCATGTCATCTCAAGGGATGAATCATGAACTTGTTTGTTCAATACGCTTCAAGTCAGTCTGGGTTGCGAACACTGACTTCTTGCTCATAACTACGGCGAGGGGTGGACGACGAGTCCAGCACCTTGCCTGATGACAAGAAGTTGAGCGGTTCAGGTTCAAAATGAGGATCAAAGCCGAGGATGGCGAACACGATGTGCGTTGGGCAGTCGTTAACAAAATCGATAATATCCCATCATATTGGGTTTCCGTTGGTCGCCGTATTCGAGCTGCGCCAAGTGAGTGGATGGTGTGCTGCAACTGAATTGCACCTTGCAGAAGGAATTGAAAAAATTCGTCATCTTCGTGCGCAAGGAGAGAAGGGAAGGCCATGGAAGTATGAACTTCACCTTAATAATGCTGAGTCACCGTATATTGAAATAGCAGGCAAAAGACCCTGAGTTGGAAGCCTGTGCTGCGACAATGCAATCGCATGAGCTCGGCTCCATGTGATGGTGTCTAAGTCACAATCAGTACGGAATAAATAAACAGATGCGTACGCCATGGGGGCAGCATTGCAGGGTAGTTCACGGGTGATAATGCTACGGTTGCGATTGACTTGAAACTGTGATGAAGCAGGAGTAAATCAGATTCATTCAGCGGAACGGTATGTGTAGCACCAGTACGGAACAGAGTAACAATGTATCGTGCGGAAATGTCATTAAATAACTAACCAACAGAAGAGCGAGGGAATGAAAAACAACTAGAAATATGGCGAATGGAATAATATAGCGAATCGAGTTTCTAACTACACACCTATGTGGACAAATACAATCTGCTGTTCTAGCGAAATCTCCTTGCGCAACGACTTCACAGCCTCGTGCAGCGCTACCGCAGCACGTGTGCAGTCCAATCTCCCTGAATCATCAATGAGGTTGGGGTAAAAAGCGGACGCGACCTGGCGTGCAACCTCGTCGTCAACAGACCACATGGAACCCAATCACACTACGAAATCCGGAGAATTGCATAGCTGCAAGCAAGATGAATCGATTCGTCGAGACTCTTCTCGTCGCCAACGGTAGTGTGGCAGGCCGATAAGAATGCAAATTCCGGATTCTGCCAGTTGGATGGAAATGATGTCCTTGATCATTAAAGGCCCGTCGCGCATGGCAAACGAAGACTCAAATGGTGTTTTGTCGATTCGGCATCCCATGGCAGGCTAGGTGAAGCCACTGATTATGATTGAGTGCATTGAGTGCACCCTCGACTGTCGCGTTGCCGTCCTCGAGCGATGTAAAGGTCACGATGGGCGCGAGATGCTTAGCTACGACAGCTAATTCAGGAGCGACACATTGGAGTCCCTTCCCTCTGTCTGGGTTTGCTTGACCAATGGCAACAAAATGTTGCGAGGACACATCTTGAGAAACTTGCTGTCTCGCACGAATGAGAGTCGCCAAAGTAGGGGTATAAGAGGAGATGTAAATGCGAGACAAATTTTTTTCTCTTCTCCTCGGTAGGGTCCTGCTGCATGGAGAGGAAGCAGTGTGAAGTCAGCAGTGGGACACCACCAGATACGCGAACGATGGGAAACTTTAGACTCTTTGAGGGATTGGACTATGGGGTGAACGATATTTTTCCAAAGCTTGCGGAGGATGCTGACAAGCTTGAGTTGATAATCAGAAGAACCAAACTGCTCTGCGAGTGACTGGAACTCGGAGGATAACCCGGATACTTCAGCTTGTGTAATATGAAGCGGAACATGGACGGGAATTTCCGTGCTATGGATAATCAAGGCGTCACAGCCATATTAGGCTTGCATTAAGAATAATGACTGGACCGTCTTCTGCCGCTTTCTGTAGGTCGGAGAACAGGGGAGGCAGGAGAAACCGCGAAAAGCCATGAAGCATGCGAATGCGCGAGACGACGTCATCCCATTGCATGGTCAGTTGTCGGATTTGCGGAGACTGGTCTTCAGTAGACTGATCAAATGCGTTACGAAGGCGAAAACTCAGTTGTTTGAACTCTTCTGCCAAGGCCGTGCCAGTGTCACCTGAAACAGAAAGTTCATCGAATGGTGTGCTGAAGCGTGCCAACTGGGTCCAGAACACTGCACGACCTTGCTCGACCAGCTCCACCGCAGTCGTCAGCGCACCATGACGAACACTGCATGAAAAAGCATCTGTGGCAAGGGAAGAAACAGCCTCCCTGATGGCGTCGAAATGATGCGAAGAAGACGACAAAAGAGCAACTTGCTGATCTAGGAATTTGAGTGCAGTCTTATAGGCAAGCAATGCAGAGCCGTGATTGACTGTCTCTGCGAAGGCCGCCCATGACTTGGCAACACTGAGATCTGTGCGAGATGCTGCATGTGATAGGTGGGAGAGTTGCAAATACAAGCTAAATGCTTCATCACGGTCAGGCTGAACGCCCCGCTGCTGGAATCTGGATTCCAGGTTGAATGCGAGATTTCTGAGAAGTGAGGATCGATTTGAATGACACGGGGAGATGAGCTCTAGCGCAGCCCGATAGAGCTCGATGACCTCATCAAGGTCAGACATGATACCCCGTTGCCGGAATCGCTCTTCAAGGCTGAAAGCAAGATTGTTGAGAGACGCGAATCGATCTGAATGACCGGTGGGTCGGAGGAGTAATGCAGCCTGATGGAGCTCAATGGCCTCATCAAGGTCAGACATGATGCCCTGCTGCCGGAATCTTTCTTCAAGGCTGACAGCAAGATTGTTGAGAGACATGGGTCGATCTGAATGACCAGGGGGACATAGGAGTGATCCATCTCGATTGAGCTCGGTTGCCTCATCGAGGTCAGACATGATGCCCCGCTGCTGAAATCTTTCTTGAAGGCTCTGTGCAAGATTGTTCAGGCATATGAATCGAGCTGAATGACCGGGAGGATAGAGGAGTAATGCAGCTCGCTGGAGCTCAATGGCCTCATCAAGATCAGACACGATGCCACGGTGCTGGAATCTGGCTCGAAGGTTGTTAGCAAGATAGTCAAGAGACACGGGTCGATTTGAATGCCCGAGGGGACAGAGGAGCAATGCATCCCGATTGAGCTCGATGGCCTCATCGAGGTCAGAAATGGCGCCATGCTGCTGAAATCTGTCGTGAAGGCCGAGTGCAAGATTGTACAGAGACATGAATCGATCTGAACGACCGGGGGGACAGAGGAGTAATGCAGCCCGATGGAGCTCGATGGCCTCATCAAGGTCAGACATAATGCCACGTTGCTGGAATCTGACTCGAAGGTTACCAGCAAGACCGTCGAGAAGCATGGATCGAATCGAGTGATGAGGGGGGAGGTGATCCAGCCCAGCTCGATAGAGCTCAATGGCCTCATCAAGGTCAGACAAGGCGCCCCGCTGCTGGAATCTATCATGAAGACTGACTGCAAGATTGTTTAGAGACGAGGATCGTTCTAAATGACCGGGTGGCCGGAGGAGTAATGCAGCCTGATAGAGCTCGATGGCCTCATCAAGGTCGGACATGATACCCCGCTGCTGGAATCTGGCTCGAATGCTGATTGCAAGATTGTTAAGAAATGTGGATCGAATTGGGTGATGGAGGGGGAGGAGCTCCAGCGCAAGCCGTTGGAGCTCGATGGCCTCATCAAGATCAAACATAATACCACGCTGCTGGAATCTGACTTGAAGGTTGTGAGCAAGATCGTTGAGACACATGGATCGATCTGAATGACATGGGGGGAGGAGCTCAAGCACAGCACGATGGAGCTCGATAGCCTCATCGAGGTCAGACATAGTGCCATGCTGCTGGAATTTGTAGTAAAGGCTGAGTGCAAGATTGTTCAAAAACGTTGATCGCATTGAGTGATGAGGGGGGAGGAGCTCCAGCGCAGCCCGATGGAGTTCGATGGCCTCATCAAGGTCAGACATGATGCCACGCTGCTTGAATCTGACTCGAAGGTTGCCAGCAAGACCGTCGAGAAGCGTGGATCGAATCGAGTGATGAGGGGGGAGGTGATCCAGCGCAGCTCGATGGAGCTCGATGGCCTCATCAAGGTCAGACAAGGCGCCCCGCTGCTGGAATCTGTCATGAAGGCTGAGTGCAAGATTGTTCAGAGACGATGATCGTTCTGAATGACCGGGTGGACGGAGGAGTAATGCAGCCTGATGGAGTTCGATGGCCTCATCAAGGTCAGACACGATACCCTGCAGCTGGAATCTGTCTCGAAGGCTGAGTCCAAGATTGCTCAGAGACGTGGATCGATCTGAATGATTGGGGGGACGGAGAAGTAGTGCAGCTCGATGGAGCTCGACGGCTTCATCAAGGTCAGATGTAATGCCCCGCTGCCGAAATCTCTCTCGAAGGCTGGCAGCCAGACTGTTTAGAGACATGAATCGATCTGGATGACCGGGGGGTCGGAGGAATAATACAGCCCGATGGCGCTTGATAGCCACATAGTTTGCTAGGTCAGTGAGGCAAGATAACCACTGCCCCATCTTACTGTGAAAGGTCCATTGAGTACAAAATGGAGTGAGATCAGAGTGAATACACACTTAAGCTGTTAAAACTGCAACACTGGCACACCAAAGATCTCCGGTACAAGGGAAATGATATGGTGGACGCTCAGCGATCCCAGGAATTTAATGGCGAGCCGCGAGGCAGGACCTCGTACCTGTTCCCGCGGGGGTGCCAAGCCAACCACAGGTACCCAGGACCCAAGAATATGCGAGCCAGCTGAAGAATAATGTTCGCCAGTTACACGTCGATGTGCTTCAAACGGGGTCCAGAGAGGGAGGAAAAGAATATAGTCATTGGTTGATCATGACGTAGCTAGTAGTATGTGCTCCCTGAGGTAGAACACTGGCGCGTCAGGCTGACGCGCCAGGCATCAGTGAACCGGTGAACAGATGAGAAAGTTATTTAAAGCATTATATTGTAGAGTATCGCAACAATCTTCGTGTATCTGCTGACCGCTTTGACATGGGAATATTCGGCATTGTCGAGGAAAGACGAATTTACAACAAACTCTGCACAGGAACAAGCGCCCATACATTTTGCCAAACACAATTCATCATTCGACTCTTTTATTGACGATTTCTTTCAATCTTTGATCTTCTACGCACTGAGCCGTGATGATTCGCCCATAATTGACAGAAACCTGCTGGAATTTGTTGGGACTCTTCCAAATCTCGTTCAGGATATTACAATAACCCAAGGACGGGATGAGTTCACTGGCCTTCCTAGTAACTAAATTGCAGGTGCGTTTGTCTTGACAACAATAACCCGGCAGCATCCACTTATACTTTCGTCTAAAGTCTCTTGCTAGCGAATCCAGGAGAAAGCATCCAGAAAAACGCGAGGTACGAATGACAGCACTCATCCCACGTACTGCTTGCGTCTCATGTCCTCTCCAGAGCAAGCGACAGCCTCATTGGCCTCTGGTGCGTGATTCCATTCAAATGTGCCCCACTTTCTTCATCGTTCACCCACAAATAGCGCACAGTCAAATGATCTTCTTCGTCCAGTGTTCTGTGTTCACGGGGGGATGCGGGATGCGCGACTAAGAACGCGAAGGTCGTAGCCGTCTCGTCGGGGTCGCTGCAGCGGTTGATAGCACTCAAGGTTGTACCGCAGTCTGCTGTCGCACTCATCATAAGCACGATGAACGATGCCACGAGCCAAGGCTGTGGACATTCAACTTCAGATCCTGCAAACCTGTCTCCTTGATCACTAATTCACTTCGATACACGGAGAGCTGCTGGGAAAGGTACGATCTGTCTATACTTTTTGATATATATCTGATTACCTGTCAAAGGCATTGCTTCTCTGTTTTAAGCTGCAGGATTCCAGGATCGCAGTAGTCTCTTCAACAGCTACAGCCACCCTGCGTCAATTAGTCATGTTTATCTTTGAAAAAATGGTCAGTGACGAGGATTGTCAAGAGAGCAACCGCACTCCAGAACTGTCTGAGGCAACGCTTCTGGACGGTAGCACCAAAGCGTTAGGGCCTTGGGCCAAAGATGCATTCTCTGTCTTCGAAGATTCTGTCTCATCGCAAATTCAGAGAAACCCAATTTCTTGAAGCTCGACCACCTACATAAGACCTTCGCCCTTGCCTTCACCTTGGAGTTAATTGAGAGCGTACTCACGAACTACCACGAGCTGTTCAGGAAGGTAAGTTTGTCGGTCCCATTCAGCTGGTTCATACTAATACTCGTTGCAGCACACGGAACTTTTGATGTTGCTGCAACACCACCTTCGCCCACTCATTCTGAAATCTCTCTCCGACCGACATGTCTTTCCACTGACACTCAGATGCACCCGAGTTGTGTTCCTGATCTTGAAGCAGTTCTCATTCGAGCTAGAGACGGAAGCTGAAATATTCCTGATGCTTCTCATATAGACTATCAATTCGAAACTGAGTCGTGTAGGCTATGTGGGCCGAATCATATGCTGCAGCCGCGATTGACTTAGAACTGTGATGAAACAGGAGTAAATCAGATTCATTCAGCGGAACGGTATGTGTAGCACCAGTACGGAACAGAGTAACAAGGTATCGTGCGGAAATGTCATTAAATAACTAACCAACAGAAGAGCGAGGGAATGAAAACAACTAGAAATATGGCGAATGGAATAATATAGCGAATCGAGTTTCTAACTACACACCTATGTGGACAAATACAATCTGCTGTTCTAGCGAAATCTCCTTGCGCAACGACTTCACAGCCTCGTGCAGCGCTACCGCAGCACGTGTGCAGTCCAATCTCCCTGAATCATCAATGAGGTTGGGGTAAAAAGCGGACGCGACCTGGCGTGCAACCTCGTCGTCAACAGACCACATGGAACCAATCACACTACGAAATCCGGAGAATTGCATAGCTGCAGCAAGATGAATCGATTCGTCGAGACTCTTCTCGTCGCCAACGGTAGTGTGGCAGGCCGATAAGAATGCAAATTCCGGATTCTGCCAGTTGGATGGAATGATGTCCTTGATCATTAAAGGCCCGTCGCGCATGGCAAACGAAGACTCAAATGGTTGTTGTCGATTCGGCATCCATGGCAGGCTAGGTGAAGCCACTGATTATGATTGAGTGCATTGAGTGCACCCTCGACTGTCGCGTTGCCGTCCTCGAGCGATGTAAAGGACACGATGGGCGCGAGATGCTGAGCTACGACAGCTAATTCAGGAGCGACACATTGGAGTCCCTTCCCTCTGTCTGGGTTTGCTTGACCGATGGCAACAAAATGTTGCGAGGATGCATCTTGAGAAACTTGCTGTCTCGCACGAATGAGAGTCGCCAAAGTAGGTGTATAAGAGGAGATGTAAATGCGAGACAAATTTTTTCTCTTCTCCTCGTAGGGTCCTGCTGCATGGAGAGGAAGCAGTGTGAAGTCAGCAGTGGGACACCACCAGATACGCGAGCGATGGGAAACTTTAGACTCCTTGAGGGATTGGACTATGGGGTGGACGATATTTTTCCAAAGCTTGCGGAGGGTGCTGACAAGCTTGAGTTGATAATCAGAAGAACCAAACTGCTCTGCGAGTGACTGGAACTCGGAGGACAACTCGGATACTTCAGCTTGTGTAAGGTGAAGCGGAACATGGACAGGATCTTCCCTGATATGGATAATCAAGGCATCACAACCATATTGGCTTGCATTAAGAATAATGACTGGACCATGCTCTGCCGCTTCCTGTAGGTCGGAGAACAGGGGAGGTAGGAGAAAACGCGAAAAAACCATGATGCATGCGAATGCGGGAGACAACGTCATCCCATTGCATGGTCAGTTGCCGGACTTGCGAAGACTTGTCTTCAGTAGACTGATCGAATGCGTTACGAAGGCGAAAGCTCAACCGTTTGAACTCTTCTGCCAAGGCTGTGCCGGTGTCACCTGATACAGAAAGTTGATCGAGTGGTGTGCTGAAGCGTGCCAACTGGGTCCAGAATACCGCACGACCTTGCTCCACCAGTTCCACCGCAGTCGTCAGCGCACCACGACGAACACTGCATGAAAAAGCATCTGTGGCAAGGGAAGAAACAGCCTCCCTGATGACGTCGAAATGATTGGAAGAAGACGACAAGAGAGCAACTTGCTGATCTAGGAATTTGAGTGCAGTCTTATAGGCAAGCAATGCGGAGTCGTGATTGAGGATGTGGGCGGAAGCCGCCCATGACTTGGCAACACTAAGATCTGTGCGAGATGCTGCATGTGATAGGTGGGAGAGTTGAAAATACAAGCTAAACGCTTCATCAAGGTCAGATTGAACGCCCCGCTCCTGGAATCTCGCTCTAAGGCTGGCAGCAAGGCTGTTCAGAAACAAGGATCGATCTGAATGATCCGTGGGGAGGAGTTCCAGCGCAGCCCGATATAACTCGATGGCCTTATCAAGGTCAGACATGATTCCACGCTGCTGGAATCTCTCTCCAAGGCAAATAGCAAGATTGTTGAGAGACATGGATCGATATGAATGATGCGGGGGGAGAAGCTCCAATACATCCTGATGGAGCTTGATGGCCTCATCAAGGTCAGACATGATGCCACGTTGCAGGAATCTGTCTCGAAGGCTGGCAGCAAGATTGTTCAGAGACATGGATTGATCTGAATGACCGGGGGGACAGAGGAGTAGTGCACTCCGATGGAGCTCGATGGCCTCATCAAGGTCAGACATGATCTCCCGCTGCTGGAATCTGTCTCGAAGGCAGGTAGCAAGATTGTTCAGAGAAATGGATCGTTCAGAATGACCATGGGGGCGGAGGAGTAATGCATCCCGATGGCGCTCGATGGCCTCATCAAGGTCAGACACGACTCCACGCTGTAGGAATCTGTCTCGAAGGCTGACTGCAAGATTGTTTAGGGACGCGGATCGATTTGAATGGTGTGGGGGGAGGAGCTCTAGCGCAGCCTTATGGATCTCGATGGCCTCATCAAGGTCAGACATGATTCCACGTTGCAGGAATCTGTCTCGAAGGCTGAGTGCAAGACCGTTGAGAAACGCGGATTGACCTGGATGACCTGAGGAACGAAGGAGTAATGCATCCCGATGGAGCTCGATGGCCTCATCGAGGTCAGACATCACTCCACGCCGCTGGAATCTGTCTCGAAGGCTGACAGCAAGATTATTCAGAGATATGGATCGATCTGAATGACCGGGGGGGCGGAGGGAGTAGTGCACCCCGATGGAGCTCGATGGCCTCATCAAGTTCAGACATGATGCGACATTGCAGGAATCTGTCTCGAAGGCTGAGTGCAAGGTTGTCCAGAGACGTGGACCGCTCAGAATGACCAGGGGGACGGAGGAATAATGCAGCCCGAAGGAGCTCGATGGTCTCATCAAGGTCAGACATGATGCTCTGCTGCCGGAATCTGTCTTGAAGGCTGAGTGCAAGATTGTTCAGAGACGTGGATCGTTCAGAATGACCAGGGGGACGGAGAAATAATGCAGCCTGATTGAGCTCGATGGCCTCATCAAGATCAGACATGATTCCACGCTGCAGGAATCTGTCTCGAAGGCTGAGTGCAAGATTGTTCAGAGACCCGGATCTGTTTGAATGATGTGGGGGGATAAGCTCCAGCGCAGCCCTATGGAGCTCGATGGCCTCATCAAGGTCAGACATGATGCCACGCTGTTGGAATCTGTCTCGAAGATACATAGCAAGATTGTTGAGAAATATGATTCGATTTGAATCACGCGGGGGGAGCAGTCCCAGCACATCCCGATGAAGCTCAATGGCCTCATCAAAGTCAGACATGATGCCCCGCTGCTGGAATCTGTCTTGAAGGCTGAGTGCAAGATTGTGGAGAAATATGGATCGACCTGGATGACCGGAGGAACAGATAAGTAATGCGGCACGATAGAGCTCGATGGCCTCATCAAGGTCAGACATGATGCCACGTCGCAAGAATCTGTCTCGAAGGCTATGTGCAAGATTGTTGAGAAATGTGGATCGATCTGGAGGGCCCGAGGAACCGAGGAGCAATGCAGCACGATAGAGCTCGATGGCCTCATCAAGGTCAGACATGATGCCACGTTGCAGGAATCTGTCTCGAAGGCTGAGCGCAAGATTGTTCAGAGACATGGACCGATCGGAATGACCGGGGGGGCAGAGGAATAGTGCACCCCGATGGAGCTCGATGGCCTCATCAAGGTCAGACATGATGCCCCCGCTGCCGGAATCTCTCTCGAAGACTGGCAGCAAGATTGTTCAGAGACATGGATCGATCTGGATGACCGGGGGGACGGAGGAATAATGAAACCCGATAGAGCTTGATGGCCACATGGTTTGCTAGGTTGGCGAGGCAAGATGACCACTGCCCCATCTCGCTGTAAAAGGTCTCATTGAGTGCAAAATGGAGTGAGATCAGAGTGAATACACACTTAGGGAGCTGAAACTGCAGCACTGGCACACCAAAGCCCTGCCAGCGTAAGGGAAATGATATGGTGAGTGCTCAACGATCCCAGGAATATAACGGGGAGCCACAAGGCACTGGGCAGGACTTTCAAGTTGTACCGGTTCCCCCGCGGGTACCAAGCCAACCAGAGGTACCCGCAACGTGAAGTTCAGGAAAAGGCACATGAAATGATGCGAGCCCTTCGCTGCCGCATCTGAAGAATGTGCGCCAGTTAAAGGTCGACGTGCTTCGAAGCGGGTCCAGAGAGGGAGGACAAGAAAAGAATCATTGGCTGATCAATATAGCTAGTGGTCCCTATGATGAATAGAATTTTATTAACGAAGGAATGGACATTGTGAACCGTGCAACTTGATACATTTCCAATGGGGGAGTCGGAAGTAGAACGCAGGAACGTTTGCACTGGGCCATCAGTGGCCGAATCTGGCACTGAGGCTGGTCCGACAGGACTCTACCAGCGTGCTTACAAATATAAAGCAGTTTACTCTAGTGATGAATCGATGACGGTCAATATTTGTTTAAAAGAAGACTTGTTCGAACGTACGTATACGGGACCTTAGGGTATGACACGGGTAAGCTTACCCGGGTACCCACCCGGGCACCACCCGCCGCAGGTGAATTGACGGGTACATGCTTCGATCTGAATAGTGCAACAACGGGACACCCCTGCAACGGATGTCACTATCATGACGGTGACCTAGTAAGTATAAACCTCAAGCTCAGCGCTCACTGCGCACGAACAAGCGCCCATACACTTTGCCAAACACAATTCATCATTCGACTCCTCAGTTGCATTGGCGATTTCTTTCAATCCTTGATCTTCTGCACATTGGGCCGTGTTCCACTATAATTGATAGAAACATTCTGGAATCTGTTGGAACTTGGGACTTGCCTAAATCTCGTTCAGAATAACGCAAGGACGGGATGAGTTCACTAGCCTTCCTAGTGACTGTGTGTTTGCGTTTACCATGAAACCCATCAATATCTAATTATACCTTCGTCTAAAGTTCCTTGCCAGCGAGTCCAGGAGAAAGCATCCAGAAATACGCGAGGTACGACAGAAAGTACTCATCCCACGTACTACTGGCGTCTTATGTCCACGCAAAGGCAGCGGAGAAGTCGCTTGCGATACTTAGGTCCTCTCCAGAACAAGCGACAGCATCTTTGGCCTCTGGTATGTGATTCCATTCAAATGTGCCCCACTTTCTTCATCGTTCACCCACAGACAGCGCACAGTCGGATGATCTTCTTCGTCCAGTGTTCATGGGATGCGCGGCCAAGAACGCGAAAGTCGTGGCCATCTCTTTGGGGTCACTGCAGCGGTTGATAGCTCTCAAGGCTGTACCGCAGTCTGCTGTCGCACTCACCGTAAGCACGATGAACGATGCCACGAGCCAAGGCGTAGACTTTCAACTTCGCATCCTACAAACCTTAGTCCCCCTGATCACCAACTTTCCTTCGATACACGGAGAGCTGCTGGGAAAGGTACGATCTGTCTATTCTTCTTGGTATGTATCTGATTACTTGTCAAATGCATTGCTTCTCTGTCTAAGCTGCAGGATTCCAGGATCGCAGTAGTCTCTTCAACAGCTGCAACTACCCTGCGCTAACTGGTGATGTTTATCTTTGAAAAAATGGTCAACAAGGATCGTCAAGAGAGCAACGGTACTCCGGAATTGTCTGAGGCGACGCTTCCGGACGGTAGCACCAAAGCGTTAGGGCTTTGTGCCAAAGATGCATTCTCTGTCTTCGCAGATCTCTGTCTCCTCGCAAATTCAGAGAAACCCAATTTCTTGAAGCTCGACTACCTTCGCCCTGGAGTTAATTGAGAACGTGCTCACGAACTACCACGAGCTGTTCAGGAAGGCAAGTTTGTCGGTCCCATTCAACTAGTTCATACTGATGCTCGTTGCAGTACACGGAGCTTTTGATGTTGCTGCAACACCAGCCTTCGCCCACTCATTCTGAAATCTCTCCTACCGACATGTCTTTCTGCTGACACTCAGATGCACATGAGTTGTGTTCCTAATCCTGCAGCAGTTCTCATTCGAGCTAGAGACGAAAGCTGAAGTATTCCTAATGCGTCTCATAAGAATGATCTCAGAAGATTCCGACGCGTCGAATCCGGACCATTCTGGCTCACGTCCAATATGGACAAGGGTCCTTGCGATGGAGATAATGAGAGGGTATGGCTAAAACTTGGCACCCTAAAGTCTGCACTAATGTTTCTTTTCAGGGTATGCAGCGATGCTGAGCTTGTTCGAAACATATGTGATCGCTATGATGCGCAGCAGCCGGGCTCTAAGGTCTTCAGCTCTCTCATAGTTGCATTGAGATACCTTGTTACTGATAATCCTGCTCTACTTGGAGTGAGCGCGCATATGATGTGGGTCGGAATTTCTCTTGTGGGTGATAGTGCTGCACCATCGGGATCTAATTATGACCTGGATGTCGGTGTGATGTCTGGAGTCTGTGTTCAAGGCTGACGGGTCACAGCATGACTGCTGAGGGTGATGGAGCAATTTCCTTGGCTGACAGCAAGTTTGTTGAGAACGTCAGGAAAGTATTTCTGGGGAGAGCGAAATGGCGTTATCAAGGTCGGAGCCTCCTGCTAGAATCTATTCTGAAGGTCGATAGCAACCCCGTTGAGAAACCCGGATCCGAGTCGAAGGCTGGCGCAGGATGACGACTGCCCCATTTTACTGTCAAGGGTCTTCCAATACAGTGAAATCAGATTGAATTTGTAGCATGTACGTAAGGTGCAGAAACTAGAGGACCTACTACTAGTACTAGGAAAGTAAATGCCGAATTCAACCTGTAAGGGAAATAAATGGCGAGATGACCAACTTGAACAATGTGAAACCGAGTCGTGTATGTACTAAGCTTGAAGTCAACGATTAGGCAAGCGAGTTGCAACAAAGCCTGTGTACATTTGTCTCCCTTAGGCAGAGCTTAAAGCTTAAAGTCAGATGAAGACTGATGGACGATCGGCGAAAGCCGAGGTAGCGTTGAACAAGCACTCACTCAGGCTGTACCATTCGTTCGTTCCCAATATCCATACTATGTCATCATGCCGCGTCAAGCTCAACTTTCCGAGCAGATCGCGTCCTCATGGAGATTCGCATTCTTCAGAACGAGAATGGCACTACTAGTAGGGTCTGTGCGCCTGCCTAACAGTTTTAGTCCGCCCGCCCGCCTCCCATTTCCATATTCCAGTGCTTTTTGGTTTAGTATTGCTCTCCTTCAGACCCAATGTCTGCTCCCGATACTAAATCAGTTAGCGCTCTGAGAGGCTGTCTTCTCCTCTCGATCCGCATTGCCTTTTGTTTCGATGCACGCGCCTTCGGTACTCCGAGCTTTATAGACACTGAGCAGAAACGCCGTGTCTCGGTTAAGCAACACCGGCGCTCCCACCAAATCCCTTATCGATCGAGCAAACGAAAATTTGTTTATCCTCCGTATATTTCTCATTCACCGCGATTCTAGATATTTACTATCACTACCCTCAACAAATATCTTTCCCCCTTCCATCTCCTACTCGAAGATTAATTTAGTCTCTTCCCCTGACATATTTAATCTTCCCCCTTGCTTCACCTTAACGCTACTACCGTACAAAGGACTGCCGCTGCTGCTTCAGTGTACCTCGTTGCATACGACACACCTCACTCCGAATAAATATTTTGACATGGCCATCCCTGTGCATGAGCTCGGCTCTATCGCATTTTTCGTTCACCACCAGTCATCGATCCGAATGCATACGGAAACTTTCAGCCCCTTTAACCCACTACCAGTACTAGTGTATGCGCACCCCTCCCCGCGTCATGCTAGATTTCACAAGCCCACTAGCTCAGTTATCGCTCTTTATCTAAACTGAGCTTGATGACAACATGTCTGCTATTTGGGACTGTCTATCTCATCCCTTCAACCTCTCCTTCAAGTTAGCTCCCAGCAGCGTCGCAGGCAGTATTATGTCGTTCATGTTAACCATCTGTCTGCGTTCGCTATCTGGGTTACCAATATGGTTGGAACTGACTAGGTAGACTCCCTCAGGTTTTGGAGCTCATGGTGTCTGCCTCCAAACCACGTTGACGCAAACAAGTCACCCATACAGCTGAGCCAGACGATAAGGCAATGCCCTTCTCAACCTCACTCAACTGGGTTACTCAGACTCTACACTAGTTGAATACTTGCTTTATGCTCTTCTGACTCCGCGGGGCGAAGATTGACGTACTCGATTGTAGGTCTTCTTATTGATATTGTCCGGCACCAGGACTTCTTACATTCTGTCAAGGATCAATTACGACTTCTGTTCCTTGCCCTTCGTATATGGCACCCATGTTATTTTATGACTCCACAATGTCCACGCTTCCGCTATCCTCCCCGACCCTTTTCGTTTCTTCCTCCGATTGACCGGAAGTTCGTCAGCTTTGTCTTTTCTTGCTTGACAAATTCACTCCGGACTTGGGAAAAAGAGGTTTCATTTCATTGGTGTATTTAACCACGCGTCACAACAACGGAGGGAAGGCTACCATTTTAAAGATTGCGCAGACATTGACGCCGTCCTCAAGAACCTTGATTGTGTCTATGAGTCATAATCAGCACCGAGCAGAAACGTACGTCATGCGGCAGCAAGGGTAGTTCACGGGTAACACCACTACACACTGAATCATATGCTACAGCCACGATTGACTTCGAACTGTGACGATGCAGGATTCATTCGACGGAACGGTGTGTAGCACTAGTACAGAACAGAACAACAAAGGATCATGCAGAGGTGTCATCAAATAATAAGCAGCAGAAGAGCGAGGGAAACGAATGGAATGATATAGTGAATCGAGTCTCCAACTACACACCTATGTGAACAAATACAATCTGCTGTTCTAGCGGAATCTTGTTGCGCAACGACTTCACAGCCTTGTGCAGCGCTACCGCAGCACATGTGCAGTCCAATTTCCTCGAATCATCAACTTGAATGAGTTGACGGTAAAAAGCAGACACGACCTGGCGTGCAACATCGTCATCGACAGACCACATGGAACCAATCACACTGCGAAATCCGCAGAATTGAATAGCCGCAGCAAGATGGATCGACTCGTCGGGACTCTTCTCATCGCCCACGGTAGTGTGGCAGGCCGATAAGAATGCAAACTCCGGGTTCTGCCAGTTGGATCTGATGATGTCCTTGATCATTAAAGGTCCGTCGCGCATGGCGAAGGAAGACTCAAAGGGTTGTGTCCGATTTGGCATTCCATGGCAGGCGAAATGGAGCCACTGATTATGGTTTAGTGCATCGAGTGCACCCTCGACTGTTGCATCGCCGTCCTCGAGCGATGTGAAGGAGACGACGGGCGCGAGATATTGAGCTACCACAGCTAATTCAGGGGCGACACATCGGAGTCCCTTCCCTCTATCTGGGTTCGCTTGACCAATGGCAACAAAACGTCGCGAGGACGCATCTCGAGAAACTTGCTGTCTTGCACGAATAAGAGTCGCCAGAGTGGGGGTGTAAGAGGAGATGTAAATGTTAGACAGATTGTCTTTGTTTTTCTCGTAAGGTCCTGCTGCATGGAGGGGAAGCAGCGTGAATTCAGCAGTGGGACACCACCAGATACGTGAGTGAGGGGGAACTTGAGACTCCTTGAGGGATTGGACTATGGGATGAACGAAATGGTCCCATAGCTTGCGAAGGATGCCGACAAGCTTGAGTTGATGATTAGAAGAACCAAACTGCTCTACAAGTGAGTGGAACTCGGAGGAGAACTCGGACACTTCGGCTTGCGTAGTGTCAAGCGGAACATGGACAGGATCTTTCGTGCTATGGATAATCAAGGCATCACAGCCAAACTGGCTTGCATTAAGAATAATGATTGGACCATCGTCTGCCGCTTTCTGCAGGTCGGAGAATAGGGGAGGCAGAACAAAACGCGAAAAGCCACGAAGCATGCGAATACGAGAGACGACGTCATCCCATTGCATGGTCAGTTGCCGGATTTGCGGAGACTTGTCTTCGGTAGACTGATCGAACGCATTATGAAGGCGAAAGCTCAGCCGTTTGAACTCTTCTGCCAAGGCCATGCCGGTGTCACCTGACCCAGAAAGTTCATCGAGTGGTGTGCTGAAGCGTGCCAACTGGGTCCAGAATACTCCACGACCTTGCTCCAACAGCTCTACCGCAGTCGTCAGCGCACCATGACGAACACTGCATGAAAAAGCATCTGTGGCAAGGGAAGAAACAGCCTCCCTGATGACGTTGAAATGATGCGAAGAAGACGACAAGAGAGCAACTTGCTGATCTAGGAATTTCAGTGCAGTCGCATAGGCAAGCAATGCGGAGTCATGATTGAGGATGTGGGCGGAGGCTGCCCATGACTTGGCAACAGTAAGATCTGTGCGAGATGCTGTATGCGATAGGTGGGATAGTCGCAAATACAAGCTGAATGCTTCATCAAGGTCAGGCTGGAGGCCCCACTGCTGGAATCTGTATCCCAGACTGAGGGCAAGATTCCCGAGGTACAGGGATTGATTAGAATGATACGGGGGGAGAAGCTCCAGCGCAGCCCGATGGAGCTCGATGGCCTCGTCAAGGTCGGACATGATGCCCTGCTGCCGGAATCTGTCTTGAAGGCTGGTAGCAAGATTGTTCTGAGACCTGGATCGTTCAGAATGACCAGGGGGACGGAGGAGTAATGCATCCCGATGAAGCGCGATGGCCTCATCAAGGTCAGACATGATGCACCGCTGCCGGAATCGGTTTCGAAGGCTGTCAGCGAGATTGTCGAGAGACATGGATCGTTCAGAATGACCAGGGGGACGAAGGAGTAATGCAGTCCGATGGAACTCGATGGCCTCATCAAGGTCAGACATGATCCCACGCTGCTTGAATCTGTCTCCAAGGCAGATAGCAAGATTGCTGAGAGACATGGATCGATATGAATGATGCGGGGGGAGGCGCTCCAACACAGCCCGATGGAGTTCGATGGCCTCATCAAGGTCAGACATGATGCCATGCTGCTGGAATCTGTCTCGAAGGCTGACAGCAAGATTGTTCAGGGACGCGGATCGTTCAGAATGACCTGGGGGATGGAGGAATAATGCAGTCCGATAGAGCTCGATGGTCTCATCGAGATCAGACATGATGCTACGTTGCAGGAACCTCTCTCGAAGGCTGCCAGCAAGATTGTTCAGAGATATGGATCGTTCAGAATGACCAGGGGGACGGAGGAGTAATGCAGCCCGATTGAGCTTAATGGCCTCATCAAGGTCAGACATGATGCCACGCTGCCGGAATCTGTCTTGAAGGCTGATCGCAAGATTGTTCAGTGACGCAGATCGATTTGAATGATGTGGGGGGAAGAGCTCCAGTGCAGCCCGATGGAGCCCGATGGCCTCATCAAGGTCAGACATGATTCCGCGTTGCAGGAATCTGTCTCGAAGGCTGAGTGCAAGATTGTTGAGAAATGTGGATCGATCTGGATGACCTGAGGAACATAGGAGTAATGCATCCCGATGGTGCTCGATGGCCTCATCAAGGTCGGACATGATTCCACGTTGCAGGAATCTGTCTCGAAGGCTGGATGCAAGATTGTTGAGAAATGTGGATCGATCTGGATGACCTGAGGAACATAGGAGTAATGTACCCTGATGGTGCTCGATAGCCTCATCAAGGTCGGACATGATTCCGCGTTGCAGGAATCTGTCTCGAAGGCTGACTGCAAGATTGTTGAGAAACATGGATCGATCTGGATGACCTGAAGAACATAGGAGTAATGCATCCCGATGGCGCTCGATGGCCTCATCAAGGTCGGACATGATTCCACGTTGCAGGAATCTGTCTCGAAGGCTGGATGCAAGATTGTTGAGAAATGTGGATCGATCTGGATGACCGGAGGGACGGAGGAGGAGTGCACCGCGATGGAGTTCGATGGCCTCATCAAGATCAGACGTGATGCCCCGCTGCCGGAATCTCTCTCGAAGGCTGGCAGCAAGACTGTTCAGATACATGGATCGATCTGGATGACCGGGGGGACGGAGGAATAATGCAACCCGATGGAGCTTGATGGCCACATAGTTTGTTATGTTAGTGAGGCAAGATGACCACTGCCCCATCTCTCTATGAAAGGTCTCCCATTGAGTGCAAAATGGAGTGAGATCAGAATGAACACACCTAGGGAGTTGAAACTGCAGCACTGGCACACTAAAGGCCTGCCAGTGTAAAGGAAGCGATATGGTGTGTGCTTAACGATCCCAGGAATTTAACGGCCAGCCGCAAGGCAGGACGTCGTACCCATTCCCGCGCGTGTGCCAAGCCAATCATAGGTACCCGTGACCCGGAGCTCAGGAAAAGGCATCCAAAAATATGCGAGTCCTTCACTGCCAGCTGAAGAATGTGTGCCAGTTAGACGTCATGCCTCGAAGAGGGCCCAGAGAGGGAGGAAAAGAAAATAGTCATTGGTTGATATAGCTAGAAGTATGTGTCCCAAACGTAGAACACTGGCGCGGCGTCAGTACCAAGAAAATAGTTATTGGCTGATGTTGCTAGTGGTCTGTATCCCTATGAATAGAATTAACGAAGGAATGGTCATTAACCCGTGGAACTTGAGGCATTGATGAGGGAGTCGGATGTCGAACGCAGGAACGTTTGCACTGGGCCATCAGTACTCAGTACGAGTCAGCGGCCGAGTAAAGGCTCGTCCGACAGGACTCTCTACCAGCGTGCTTACAAAAGCAGTTTACTACTACGTGATTTGTTTAGACGGGTATATGCTGAAGCAAGTACATGCTTCGATCTGAATTAATAGTGCAACAACAGGACACGCCTGCAACGGATGCTATCATGACGGTGACCTAAGTATAGACCTCAAGCTCAGCGCTCACTGCGCAGGAACAAGCGCCCATACACTTTGCCAAACACAATTCATCGTTCGACTACTCAGTTGGTGATTTCTTTCAATCCTTGATCTTCTGCGCACTGGGCCGTGTTCCACCATAATTGATAGAAACCTTCTGGAATCTGTTAGGACTCTTCTAAATATCGTTCAGAATATTAATAACCCAAGGACAGGATGAGTTCACTAGCCTTCCTAGTGACTGAATTGCAGGTGTGTTTGTGTTTACAATGATAATCCGCCAGCGTCCACTTATACCTTCGTCTAAAGTCCCTTGCCAGTGAGTCCAGGAGAAAGCATCCAGAAATACGCGAGGTACGACGGAAAGAACTCATCCCATGTACTGGCGTCTTATGTCCACGCAAAGGCAGCAGAGAAGTCGCTTGCGATACTTAGGTCCTCTCCAGAACAAGCGACAGCATCTTTGGCCTCAGGTACGTGATTCCATTCAAATATGCCCCACTTTCTTCATCGTTCACCCACAGACAGCGCACAGTCAGATGATCTTCTTCGTCCAGTGTTCATGGGATGCGCGACCAAGAACGCGAAAGTCGTCGCCATCTCGTTGGGGTCGCTGCAACGATTGATAGCTCTCAAGGCTGTACCGCAGTCTGCTGTCGCACTCATCGTAAGCACGATGAACGATGCCATGAGCCAAGGCGTAGACATTCAACTTCGCATCCTACAAACCTTAGTCTCCCTGATCACCAATTTTCCTTTCATACACGGAGAGCTTCTGGGAGAGGTACGCTCTGTCTATACTTTCTGGTAAATATCTGATTACCTGTCAAAGGCATTGCTTCTTTGTTTTAAGCTGCAGGATTCCAGGATCGCAGTAGTCTCTTCAACAGCTGCAGCCACCCTGCGCCAACTGGTGATGTTTATCTTTGAAAAAATGGTCAATGAGGATCGCCAAGAGAGCAATGGCGCTTCGGAGCTGTCCGAGGCGACGCTTCCGGACGGTAGTACCAAAGCGTTAGGGCCTTGTGCCAAAGATGCATTCTCTGTCTTCGAAGATCTCTGTCTCCTCGCAAATTCAGAGAAACCCAATTTCTTGAAGCTCGATTACCTACATAAGACCTTCGCCTTGGAGTTAATTGAGAGTGTGCTCACGAACTACCACGAACTCTTCAGGAAGGTAAGTTTGTCGGTCCCATTCAGCTACTCCATACTAATACTCGTTGCAGCACACGGAACTTTTGATGTTGCTGCAACACCACCTTTGTCCACTCATTCTGAAATCTCTCTCCGATAGACATGTCTTTCCATTGACACTCAGATGCACACGAGTTGTGTTTTTGATCCTGAAACAGTTCTCATTCGAGCTAGAGACGGAAGCTGAAGTATTCCTAATGCTTCTCATAAGAATGATCTCAGAAGATACCGACGCGTCAAATCCGGACCATTCTGGCTCACGTCCAATATGGACAAGGGTCCTTGCGATGGAGATAATGAGAGGGTGTGTCTTAAGCTTCACGCCCTAAAGTCCGACCTAATGTTTCTATTCAGGGTATGCAGCGATGCTGAGCTTGTCCGAAACATATGGGATCGCTATGATGCGCAGCAGCCGGGCTCCAAGGTCTTCAGCTCTCTTATAGTTGCATTGAAACGCCTTGTTACTGAGAAACCTGCTCTTCTCGGAGTGAGCCCGCAGATGATGGGGGTCGGAGTTTCTCATGCAGGTGATAGTGCTATACCATCGGGATCCAATTACGGTCTGGATGTCGGTGGGGTTGCTGGAATGGTCGCCACGGCTGCCAGTGCTACCGTGTCAGGAGTAGTTGGGATAATTGGGTCTGGCGCTGGTCTGAGCGTACAGAACTCGGCCATGAAGCTCCAATGGTACAGTCCCCACTTCACATCTCGCAGATTACCCTGAGCCATCTTTCCTGACCAGCATCGATCAATTAGACAAAGCGGACTCGCCACCAATCCCTGAAGCATACATTTACCTTCTCGCTGTACAGTGTATTGTATCCTTGTGCGAAGGTTTCGCGTCGTTCACTGGCCCCCTGTACACGTCCATCATGGTTCAACGTCCTCGAGCGGCTGGCGAGCCTGTCATTCGTGCACCTGCCGCTCTTGACCTCTCCACACTCCCGCAGGACGATCCTGCAACTCAGCACCTTATCATCGTGCGTTCTATGGTTGAGAACGGCTGGCCTGCGCTTCTCGCAGCCCTTTCCTTCATTATCTCGACAAATCTGTCAGACGAGCTCTTCATAGACGTTCTTAGCAGCTATCAAGCTTTGACGAATGTTGCGGGGATGCTCGCCCTCAGCACTCCTCGCGATGCATTGTTCAACTCACTTTCTAAATTTGCGATACCTTCACGAGTAGTGTCCAGCTTGGAGTCCTACGTTGAACCTCCGACACCTCGAACGTCAACTTCCTTCACAGATAACCTGGGGTTAACGGCACCTATTCAAGCTCCAGGGCTCTCCGAGCGAAATCTGGCATGTCTCAAAGTGTTGGTATCTAGTGCCCTTTTCCTCGCCGGGAGCCTGGGAGAGAGCTGGTATGGAATTCTGGAAGCTTTACAGAACGCGGACTATGTTTTGAACATCAAAGCATCGCAAACATCTACCAACCGGCGGATGAACGCACCCATGACACCCAGTCGATCCGTGTCAGCGATGAGCTCTGCAGAACAGGGGAAAGTGGCTCGTCACCCCCTCCTCATGGACATCGATTCAGAGAGCGTGCTTGTTGCTGTGCAGCGCCTCTTTGATGCGTCCAAAAACCTGGAGGATTCAGCTTTTCAGGATTTTGTCACCGCTCTCTGTAAACTTAGCTCAGAGATGGTCGGGATGCAATCCAATGGGAGCAAGCTAATGGAGTCGGATGATTCCTTGAGTCCTGTACCGATCTCTCCTCACAGAAGGCGCGTCAGTGGGATTCATCTACCGCGCACGCTGGTGAGTTAGGGTCGACCCTCGTGCGTCACAATGAGATCTAACATCTTCCCAGCGTCAAGGTGATTTCGGTGTAGAGCGGCTGGGCTCAGTAGCGACGCTGAACTTCCATCGCCTCATCTATCGCGCACCTGAGGTTGCATGGAACACTACTACAAATCATCTACTGTGGATCATGGGTCTATCCTCGGCGCCGCAATCAATACGAGTGCAAGCAGCACGCGTCCTCGATGAAATTCTTACCGTTGTCCCGCGTAACTTGTCGTCCACTGGAGACCTGCAGGCCAAAGTTCAGGGTCGCGTTCTCGACGTTCTATTTAAACAGATAGTACCCGCATCATCCGACGTCCCGGCAACGAGCACAAATATCGAACTCCGGCGAATGGGATTGGAGACCCTGCACCAAATTCTACAGGCGTCCGGACACACTTTCGTCGTCGGGTGGGGTAGCATTTTTGAGATGCTAGGGAGCATCTGTAAACCCGCGGCTCTCTCCAGATCTCAGTCGGTCGATTCTATCAGCACGTTATCGCTTCAAGAGACACCCCGTCACAAACCACTGGCACTGGGGTACGTTAACGACCGCGGCTACACAGCACTGGTGAAGATAGCCTTCCAGTCCCTCAAACTTGTCTGTGACTCCGTGTCTGTGTTATCCCCCGAAGACTTGCGGCTTTGCATCAAAACTCTCGGACAATTCGGTCGACAAGCCGACACGAACATTGCGCTTACTGCCGCAGAGAGCCTTCTCTGGAGTGTGTCGGATTCTATCCAGGCAAAGCGGAAGGATGCAGAGATGGAACCGGAATATAGCGCGCTGTGGATGTGTTTGTTACTGGAAGTTCTAGGTCTTTGTACTGACGCTAGGCACGAAGTTCGTGTTGGCGCCATCCAGACCCTTTTCCGTGCAATGCAACTTTACGGCGCCACGCTTACGCTGGATACTTGGAATGACTGCATATGGAAGATCACATTCCCGCTACTCGACGCAATATCTATCGAAACCCGGCGCAGTGCCTTTGAGCCCGGAGTTATACTGAACTCTGGTCTGGCAGCGCAATCTCCCGAGCATGCATGGGACGAATCGAAGAGTCTTGCATTGCAGTCGATTGGATCTATTATCAGCGAATTCCTAGTCATCAAGATCATGCATCTGGACTCCTTCTCGAAAGCATGGTCCGTGTTTGTTACCCACGTTCACGATACCGTATCCTTGGACCGCCGAAACTTGAGTCCGCCTGCACTGCTTTGTTTGGGGAAAGTGGTGAAAGCACTTTCTGGCGCAGATGCCTCTCTGCAAGTCAAAGTGTCGGAGGCTTGGGAATGCGTATGGAAGGCATGCAGTGACATGGGGAGCATGGTTCTCCAGGGTGGGAGTTCTCAGCTCTCTCCGAGTGCAAATACGACACAGCTCCACCGTGCATTTACTCAGGAGAGTTTGGTTGCTCTTGTCGACGTCATACGGAGCACACGTTCCATTAGTCTGACTCAGACGAAGGAATGGCCGCTTGAGCGCCTCAATCGTCTGATGGAAATCCTCAAGGGTACGTCTTTCTTTATTTCTGTCGCCGTCCCTCTTCCTGAACCATGCACAGGTGTTCTTACTTATCCCAACTCGACGGACTATCGCCCGGATGTTGATGGTTTGTCACCCGTTCAGGTAGGTAAACGTTCAGCACTCACTGAACATTATCGTCTCATTGATATGATAGGTAGTGGTTTTGGACGCCATCGCGGATATTAAGTTAACGGGATCTGGTGTCCCATCTCTCATCTTACGAGATCTCTCGGAATTCAGCACACTTGCGTTTCTGGCTGCTTTTCATGTGCCCATCGTGTCTCCCGCTTCCCCGGGAACGCCTATTGCGGCATCATCTCAAAAACAAGTCACGTACATTGCGTTGTCCAAGAAGGTCATGCCGCTTATCGTTGAGTTGTACATGCGCTTCAAGGATGAGCTCGAGATCTATGAAGATGGGACTTTGGAAGCTATCTTCTCGGTGCGTATTGTTGATGATGACCTTGGTCTTCGAATGCTCATTTGGTTTCGTGTTCAGGCCTATTCAATACCGATAAAGCTAAAGTACGAGTGTCCTGCTCCATCAAAGTTCGGCAAAGATCCTCCTCTGTGGAAGACCGCGACAACAAGTTTTCTCCGTATAGTCACTGAGTCGGTCAGAAAGGTGGCAGCATTCGGAGATCGTACGTAGTCAGTGATCTGGTTGATTTCATCTAATCATAAATACAGGTATATCTGATACTCGAGTTGAGGGCATATGGCGACAAATCATTGAAGTCTTCCGGGGTGGTATTTTGGCTGACTGGTGCGCATTTTATTCTTCTCTCATTCTGTCGCTTTCTCGCACCCAACGACTAACTTGTTTGCAGCACTGCGACAGAGGGTTTCTCACTAGAAGATCAGGAAGCGGAAGAAAACTTCGATCTCTCTCTCATCAGCTCGTTGGAGATTGATCTCGTGCCACACCTGGGAGACACAAGAGTCCCTGATTACCTCATTGCACAGTTGGCGAAGATTTTGCACAAGGGCAGCCAACTGTACAAGTCAAGTATGAATCCCTCACGCCCTGATTCGCCCTCGACAAATACTACGAATGTGTCAGACGACTCTCGGGAATCACACGACTTCGAGAAGGTGGACCTCGACATTGGAACAACTGCACCTGGGGTCGTGGTTCCGAGGGAGCGATTTTCGTTTTGGTGTTTTGATCTTTTGATCTTGATATGTTCTAATGTTACAAGCGGTAACCAAATACCTCTACGCGTATTTCCAGAGCTAACTATTCTCCTAGATCAAGAGTCTTCAAGGAAGCGAGTTGCTGCACTTTGTCTGCCGACCTTGCTTGACCGATGCAAAACCACGATGGTGAGCTATATTGCTGACGAGGCTCTTCGGGGTAATATGCCTTTCCCGAGGTAAATTGTGATCGTGTCGCAATATTCTCTGTTACTGAACCAACTTTGACAGGGCTCGTGAAGATGAACTGTTGTATGTACTTCGCAAGGTCCTGGATTTACAGCTTTGGTCAGGAACTCTGTGGGCTGCACTGTCAGAGTCGCCATCGAAGTTTAGTGATTCTCAACCCGGTACCTGTCCCCTTGCTATGTGATCTGATATACGCTGAACGTTTGCCCAGCTGTTGATGTCACTCTTTCACCGTCTGCACACATTGCGGATGTGGTGAAACGGTCGTCAGTCGCTCATCTCTTCTATTTCTATTCGGTGTTATGTGAAATCGCCTCTATCCCTCGGAAGACACCATCGGCATGGGTGATCTCGAGTTCCTCGCCACCCGAGACCAACCAGGAGAGGAGAGGGAATTCGCTGCAGCCTCATATCGGTGCTCCGGAAGAGGGTGGCGATGCAATGGAGGTAGATGCAAGAACACTTGCAAGGAGGGCGCTACAGATTCTTGGGAAGGAGATGGGCGCGATATAACAATGGATGCTTTCGTTTTCTTCGCAAGAGTCTCATGCCTAATAACTATGGACCTGCCACGATCGACTTGAATGGGTAGCATGGGTTATCTATCGGAACGTTCAAACTTGCTTAGCCGTGATCACTTCTTGGGATGTTATCCATATCATTTGTACCAGCCAAATCAGATAATTTTCAGTGCATTCATTCATCTAAAATCGTTGTAATTGTACAGCGTTGACAACACAAGTCCTTCGTTCGCACCTTAGGCAAAGTATTGTATGCCTCTCAAACATCATAGCCCATCAAGCAACAGTACTTAACATCCAATAGGACGATAAAATGATACCTTTCCATGCCTTTCACCCGCCCATGCCGCAATATCAGCCACCTGTTGAGCCTTTGATTTGGATTGTCAATCCTTCGAGCCTCGATATCGACGAAAAATCCTTGCGGTCCTAAAAATCCTTCGTGGGCTTCGGATGACGGTCATGGACCTCATGTTGCACTCTATCTCGAAAAAGGCCCCCATGGGATCGGTACGTCGCTCTTTTGCCGTGGGTTACCCTTTATGCGAGACTCGTGCATCGTCGGTGCTCTTGTATGCCAGCAGCGAGCGATAAAGGTCGTATGGAACTCGTGGTTCATAGCATATAGGCTGAGCGAGAGGAAACACATAACTTGGAAGTACTGTATGATCGCAGGTACCTCAGCCGGCACGATCGGCATCTGTCAAATTTCAAACTCCACCTGCCAAATTTCTCCGAGATCGACCAGCCTGGCTTCGCCACGGCCCACTCGACTTGTCCGTGGTATTAGTAAGCCAGGCTGGTCAGGAGCCTAGTCTCTCCCCCTTTCAATCTCTCGCCATACACATCCAGATTTCAACCTGCTGTTTTACAGCATACAATTTTTCTTCACAATGGACTTGGATGTTATAATGGAGTCTCCACCAGATCTCAGGGGACTTTTCGACAACCTGCAGCTCCAGCTCACTGCCCAGAAATCCCAAATCGAGGAACTCGTCGAAGACGCGAACCTATATAAGATAAAGATTAACAAAGTAAGTTCAAGTTGTAAACTTCATTGTGCCAATGTTTGACTGATGCCATGTGCAAGCTCACTAGCGATATGGAGGCAGAGCGTACTGCCCTGAATTCACAAATCGAGGAACTCGTCGAAGACGTGAGGGTACAAAAAAAAAATTAAACAAAGTAAGTTCAAGTTGTAAACTTCGTTGTGCCAATGTTTGACTGATGTCATGTGCAAGCTCACTAGCGATATGGGGACAGATCGAAGAAAATCCGAGAAGGACCAGAAAGAGCTCCAAAAGACGATAGACAGACTCACAGAAAAGACGGATGAGCTCAGCGAGGAGAATACGGAACAAAAAGCAAGGATCAGTGCGCTCGAAAAGGGCGTTAATAGGCTCAAGGCGAGAAGAATAACCTTCAGGAACAGGTCACAGAGGTAAGCGACCATTTGTGATATTAGTTCAAATTTTGACAACTTCACCGCAGAACCGAAAGATGATTATGAAGATGAAAGACGGACCATCGTCAATCACGCGAGAGACAAACTGGCAAAACTTTGCAACCTCAAATCCCACGATGAACTCCTCCCCAGCTATTATCAGACAGGGCAGAATACAGCAAACGAACAATTGGACGCAGCGGTTAAATCTGTATCTGACAACCTCCCTCGCAGAGATACTAGGATGCTTCCACCTGAGGCATTAAGGCGTGTGCTGGACACATCGCCACAGAGCTTCCGACAACTTGGAAAAGACGTTGCGCACCCGATCTCACCTACTGAAGACGCGGTGAGAGACAAGAGCCTACGCAAGGCACAGATCGTTTCATTAATCCAGATATACAACTGGACCTATGACACTTCTCTTTCGACTCGAGTGTGAGTAGATGTTTGATACGTATACCCTTGTATGATTCTTGATGTCACTCTCTGTACTCATACTTTTCTTTAATACACATTCACTCCTTGTTACCTCATAGCACCTGTAATTCACCGTCTCAGTCAGTACTAGTGTATTAATTCATCTCCCTGTCGAATATTCTTCGTCAGTCTTTTGATCTTGAAGTTAACCTATCCATTGAACGCCTCTTTTGCCTGTACTACTTTCCTAGAATGAGTTCCACTGCCCTACTACCCAGCCTAGCTCTGAACGCATCAAACTCGAGTCGTCTCCGAACTCTCCGCGATTGGCAAACGACCCTTCGACTTGAAGACCTCAGTCATGATCAGTGCGTCATTTGTTTGCAATCCCTGGTAGATCGAACTGTTATCCAACATGAGTTTTGTTTTGAATGCATTTCGATTTGGGCAGGTGAGCCTGCTCCAATTCTACTTCAGTAATTGAGCCTGGGAGAGAGCTGGTATGGAATTCTGGAAGCTTTACAGAACGCGGACTACATCTTGAACATCGAAGGGTCGCAAGTATCTACCAACCGGAGGATGAACACACCCATGACACCCAGTCGATCCGTGTCAGCGATGAGCTCTGCAGAACAGGGGAAAGTGGCTCGTCACCCCCTCCTCATGGACATCGATTCAGAGAGCGTGCTTGCTGCCGTGCAGCGCCTCTTTGATGCGTCCAAAAACCTGGAGGATTCAGCTTTTCAGGATTTTGTCACCGCTCTCTGTAAACCTCACTTAGCTCAGAGATGGTCGGGATGCAATCCAATGGGAGCAAGCTAATGGAGTCGGATGATTCCTTGAGTCCTGTACCGATTTCTCCTCACACAAGGCGCGCCAGTGGGATTCATCTACCGCGCACGCTGGTGAGTTAGGGTCGACCCTCGTGCGTCACAATGAGATCTAACATCTTCTCAGCGTCAAGGTGATTTCGGTGTAGAGCGGCTGGGTTCGGTAGCGACGCTGAACTTTCATCGCCTCATCTATCGCGCACCTGAGGTTGCATGGAACACTACTACAAATCATCTACTGTGGATCATGGGTCTATCCTCGGCGCCGCAGTCAATACGAGTGCAAGCAGCACGCGTCCTTGATGAAATTCTTACCGTTGTCCCGCGTAATTTGTCGTCCACTGGAGACCTGCAGGCCAATCGAAACCGTTCTTTACTAGCATCAGTCCAGGCTCATCTCTCCCAACCCACATCAAGAAACAAACATCACGCAGATACCACCGCACGGAAAAAACGATGTTGTGTCTCAATACTTATCTCATCTACCAAGACACCAAGATGCCCATGATGATAATGGTAGTGGTGATGGTACGCGTATCCTTCTTTCACAATTGTCGAGTCTTCCCACCAATGTGCTGCCTGCAGCACTGCTCCGTTATCTTCTTCTTCTCTCGGGCGGAACTGCACCTGGGGTCCTGGTTCCGAGGGTGCGGTTTTCGGTTTGGTGTTTGGATCTTTTGTTCTTGATATGCTCTAACGTTAGAAGCGGTAGCCCAATCCCTCTACGCGCATTTCAGAGCTAACTATTCTCCTAGTTCAAGGAAGCGAGTTGCTGCACTTTGTCTGCCGATCTTGCTTGACCGATGCAAAACTACAATGGTGAGCTATATTGTTAACGAGGCTTTTCGGGGTAGTATACCTTTTTCGAATTGTGATCGCGTCGCATTATTTTCTGTTGCTGAACCAACTTTAACAGGGCTCGTGGAGATGAACTGTTGTATGTACTTCGCAAGGTCCTGGACTTACAACTTTGGTCAGGAACTCTGTGGGCCGCATTGTCAGAGTCACCATCGAAGTTTAGTGATTCTCAACCTGGTGCCTGTTCCCTTGCTCTGTGATCTGATTTACACTGAACGTCTGCCAATCTGATGTCACTCTTTCACCGTCTGCACACATTGCGGATGTGGTAAAACGGTCGTCAGTCGCTCATCTCTTCTATTTCTATTCGGTGTTATGTGAAATCGCCTCTATCCCTCGGAAGACACCATCGGCATGGGTGATCTCGAGTTCCTCGCCACCCGAGACCAACCAGGAGAGGAGAGGGAATTCTCTGCAGCCTCATATCGGTGCTCTGGCAGAGGGTGGCGATGCAATGGAGGTAGATGCAAGAACACTGAGGAAGGCGTTACAGATTCTTGGGAAGGAGATGGGCGCGATTTAGCAATGGATGCTTTCGTTTGCTTTGCAAGAGTTATTTTATTGTCATACCTAACATCTGTGGACCTGTCACGATCGACTTGAATGGGTAGCACGAGTTATCTATCGGAACGTTCAAACTGGCTTAAGGGTCGCGATCACTTCTCGGGACGTGCACTCGGAGGGGTGGGCACATCAGTGCTGATGTCACCCTGCTTTGCACCCAATACTTCCATCAACTCTTTCCGACCAAATATATGAGCTGCCTCTATCGCGGTGGGTTTGCCTATTCTCGGATCTGCGCCGGCTTTGGCCAGAATACGCACAACCTCGTCGTGCGACTTAAACACAGCGCCCGCAATAATAGATTGACCAAGATCGTTGAGTCTGTTTGGATCTGCTTTTCGTTGCAGAAGTCCTTGAGTCAATTCTGCGTGGCCTGCGTATGCTGCGAGCATCAATAACGTGTTTCCTAAATGAATATGTCGTACGTCATTCAGGGGCCTGGGATATCGATGACTCGGACGCACCTTTGTCATTTGTGAGGTTGACCGGCAAGCCCGCATCAACTGCTTGAAGAAGGAGCTCCGTGTTTCCCTCCCGCGCAGCGTCAAACATTCGGTGTGCAAAGTTGACGGTCTCAGCTGGCAAGCTGTTGGCATTGGACTGTGTGGGAGCTGCAACATGATCGGGCACTTGCGGGGATGATTCAGTTGCCTAGCAGTTCGCCTTAGACTCTACAGATCTAATAGTAAGGAAGGTAAATGTAACTGACCATCGACAAATCAGGCCTCAGGGTCGGAGCAGGACGTTCAGTGCTAGATGTTGAGCATGGGAATAATTAATATCAATGTCGCTGAGCCTCGAGTCGGAGACTGAATATCCCTTCGTAGTTCAGTTCACTTGCATCTCGTCGCTAAACGAATAAACATTCGTTGACCAGCAGAACACTGAATGCAATCATCTGTCTGTCGTTCGTTCAAGAGACAGATGGCTTCATTCATCAAGATCTGCCATTGGACATATCATGACACTCATCTTCCGAGCCAAGTCTGATTAGATGTTACTAGATACATTCATTTCTTGATACTCTTGTTTCAACTTAAGTTGCACCAGGACCTTGCTTCCGTCAATGTACTACTACAAAATGCATTACCCGCTGGTTATATAAATGATTGACTTAATGTACCGGTAACCAATGAGTAACCAATGAATACTTAAAGGTTGAACTTGTCTGTCGAATGCCTCTATTGCCTGTACTACTTTTCCTGGAATGAGTGTCAGCCCTACCCAGCCTAGCTCGAAGCGCATCAAACTCGAGTCGTCTCCAACCTCTCCGCGATTGACAAACGACCCTTCGACTTTGAATGATGAAGACCTCAGTCATGATCACTGCGTCATTTGTCTGCAATCCCTGGTGGACCGAACTGTTATCCCAACTTGCTCCCATGAGTTTTGCTTTGAATGCATTTCGATTTGGGCAGGTGAGCCTGGGCCTTGCTCCGTTTCTGCTTCAGTAATTGATAACCATGTTTTCTAGAGCAATCACGAAAGTGTCCATTGTGCTCCCAATTAATCGGTGAACATGTTATACATCATATACGCTCGCAGTTCGACTATCAAAAGCATTATTTACCCCCACCACGCTCCTCGTCACCACGGTTATTGCCAACAGGGGAATCTCGTGTACGTGTTGCCCGACGGGCACGTAGGGATCGCTACTGGGGTCGCAGGGTTCGTCATGACGCTGATGAACTTGAACGAGCAATCGCTAGAAGACGTTGGGTGTACCAGAATCATCTTTACGCAAAGGTGTGTGCTTCTTTTCGCATTTACACACACGTCTCATCTCGCCATGTATTAGCACGTCGCGTCCAACTCATTCACCCGGTACCGTCCTTACCCCAGTCCAGCCCAGTTTGCAGCATCTCCGAATACGATAAGTCGAGCCACCATCTTTCTCCGTCGTGAACTGCGCGTCTGGCAAAATCTCGATGTCGAGGTACGTGCGTCGTAGCCGCTTGGCAAGATTCATGCATGCCGCTCTGCGCCTTGCTCCCATCGCTGATATATGTTTTAGTTCCTCACGACGTTTATAATCTCTCTCATGAAAGCGATAGACATACGAGCTGAATCCGCCGTCAAACTTCTCTCCGAGTTCCTAGACCTTGGCACTCCTTACATCGAGGGTCAGAGGCACCCAAATGCCGAACATTTTGCACATGGTCAGTGGCATCGTTTCACTCATATGTGACTATTCTGTTTCTCTCATTGACTTGCTCCTAGAAATATATTGTTATATACGGAGTGGCCGTGATCTATCGATTTATGACAATCTGGTGCAGGTGTGACACTTTCTCCCAACGAGCTCGGGGATCCGCGCTGAATTTAGGCAGTATGATACCTCCCCAGATCATCCGACCCATGAACCGGAAAGAGAGGATCGGTGGCGTTACAATTCCCGTTCTCGATCTCGGTCGCCTCATCACCGTCATCACCGGTCCCGGTCCCGATCTCGATCTCCGTTATCCCGACATCCTTCCCCAACTCTGCGTCCCTGAACACAGAAGAACTCCTCCTGCAACCTACCTTCAAGAAAGCTCTCCAGACCATCTCTCCCAAGATCGCAGGAACCGCCGACGAACTCGCAGCGCAGTCAGCGAGTGTCGAGACATACCTGATACCTCCAATGACCAACAGAGTCACCTTGACGACACTCAGGACCAACTGACGAACAATTCTACAAAGGTGAAAGGAAAAGAACCCGAAGGCCATGACACATCTCTTCGGTGCGAGAGTGAACATCCTCCGAGTAGCACGCCACCACGTATTTCAGGTGAATTTGTGCCGAACGCTGTTGTCGAATCCAAAGAGACAGCGCAATCACATACCCCCGGAAATCGGAAGTTCAATACGCCTTCTGTAGAGTCTAGTCTTAGACCCTCCCTTGTCGCCCCTGCGCCGGCTCATGTCCCAGTAGATGCTGACAGGATGGACATCGATCCAGAGCCCGTAGCTCCTACGCCGCGTGAGCGCTCAAGCACGCTCGGTCGCCCCCCTCGAAACCGTACTTTACTAGAATCGGTCCAGGTTCATCTTTCCCAACCTACATCATTGAGAAACAAACATCACCCAGACACCACCGCACGGAAAAACAATGTTGCTCCTCAATACTTATCTCATCCATCACAACACCGAGATGCCTGTGATGATAATAGTAGTGGTGATGGTACGCCTGTCCTTCTTTCGCAATTGTCGAGCCTTCCCACCAATGTGCCGCCTACTTCGTTATCTTCCCCTTCTCTCGCGTGGCGCTCAGATGCATTGATACCTCTCGGGAAAGAATGCACGTCGGCGGTAGGACATCAACACGAAAGAATCCGGAGTTTGCTTGCCGATTCAATCGCTAAAGGCACCGATGAAGAAAACATGTTAGTTGGAGGGAAAACTATCGCTTGTCCGCGCGATATGCCGGGTGGAGGCACAGATAAATACAGAAACAAAAGTAAAGAAGAACAGCACGCCAATACATTACCGTCCCCCGTCATCAACCCTAGAACCATTGGCCCGCATCCCGCCCCACCCCCAAACCCAAACCCTATTTCAGCGCCGCACTACTCTAATCCCAATCACGTCGATATCCTTTTGGATGTGGCGGAGCATATCCGGCGTGGCAATCGGGAAGTCGCGACATATGAATATAGGAACAGAAATACCGAATTATCAGCACGCACTTCCACGGACATGCGCGCAGTGCTGTTGCAGAGACTTGAAGAGGAGCAACGGTTAGCTCAGAGAGATGTTACAACCCCGACCTCGCACTCTGCGTCGCCAACTGTAGATCTCTCGTTGACAAGTCCTTCCGGTGGTGAGGAAGCTTCTGCGCTGGAGACGAGGCTGCGAACCCGGGCCTTATTGCGCGTCCGTCTCGCGGCGATCAAAAGTAGTTCCAATACCACTCTGATCGAATTGTAATTCATTTATTCTGCCTGGATCGGGAGGAGGGAGAAGAAGAGGGTGACGGTGGCATTAGTCGCAAGACCGTGGGGGTGCATCCTCACCCGACCACCCAGTCAGTGGATGGTTCAATTGATGTTGAACCTGACGTGATTGCAAATCTTTTTTTTCGCCAAATATCATGGTGGATGGATCGTGTATCGCAGAACACGGTGCCGTGCGTAACGGAATTCTTCCCGTTCACCGCCGTGTTTGGCTTTTCTGGAAGTAAATGGTTCCGCGCACGCTTGGATCGATGGTACCTTTTCAAAGAGTCGCACCGGGTAATAATTCAACATTAATGGCTAAGACTGAGGGGTAACGGTAGCTGGTATCTGCAAGGTATCAAATCGGTAGTGTTGGTAGAAATAGAGTTCTGTATGCTAGAATTAGATGCATTGTTGACAGGACGCCAAAGATAGTGGTGATAGAGATAGTTCCGTGAAGATGGGGAAGCGCTCGAAAAGAATGACAAACAGGTGATAAAAGAACAGTGGTTATAAAGGCTGTACTGGAATTAGTATGACGGAGTTCCGTAGAGATGGACGATTAAGACACGAGAGATGATATGAATAAAAAGGGTGTGCGGCAACGATCGAATAGACAACGATAACGGGAACGAATGAGAGTGCGGAGAAAACGAACGATTAAAAATTGTACTTTTGTACGGTGTGTTTGTGGTAAAGAACGAGCATGGTATATCGGGCTTGCCAGGAAACTCATCATTTTTTTTCTTCATGGAATGCGTAAATATTTCAATCGTGAATCGAAATGCGCAAAAGCGTCAGCGTCAGCATCATGCACTGATGGGGAAAGAGGCTATTAACAATTTTGGCGGGGTTCGTCATCGTCTGTGCGCATGCGGCTGTGGTCTGCAGATGAGGACTCGCGTGCAGGGTATCCCTGGGGATCGATTATATCGCGGAAAGTGTTGGAAGGACGCGGAACCGAGGATGAGCTGAGCTGGCGCTCACCCAAGGATGGATGATATTCCCTTGTGTGAGGCAATTCTGGGGAGACGTGGAGAGCAAAGCGGTCACGAGATCCAGGAGAGAAGAAGCTCCCAGGCGCAAACTGTGTAGACCTTGATGGACTCGAAAATGAAGCGAACTCGGGGCGAGTGAATGGCGCGAAGCTATTCGGATCCCACTGCGGCTGCGGTTGCAGTGCGAATGGGGGTGGGATGCCTAGCACTGTGGAGATGCGGTGTTCTGTGTGGCGTGTGGGCTCGTGGTGATGCATGATGCTGGTAGAGGATGATGGTTGAGAGGGAGGAAGTGGAAAGGAGGACGTTGATGACATGTAAGGGTCAGTACTGATGCGTGAATCCAAAGCACTAAAGTGGATGGGTGGGAGCATTCGCGAGGAGGGAGGGGACTGTGCGCCCTCGTGCATTAAAAGTGAGCGTGACGCAAGCATGCGGGGAATAGGTTCGCGTAGCGTGAGGCTGGGGAACTCCTCAAGGCCGCGAGAGCTGCGGTTGGGCATTGATGAGGTGGAGTCGGGGCTCTGTGCAATGCGGGAATACTCCTCTGAGGAGGCGGGGTACGGTGACGTGCGCCGTCCGGGTATACCAGGACCTGAAAGCCCAGGGTCAAGCGACGGGCCTGATCTAGGCACGGGGTTCCGCGAAGCAGAAGCTTCTGAAATGTTAGGGAATGATTCCGACATAGGAACATCAGGAGCTGTATGGGAGGAAGAAGCTGATTGTGGCGCGCTTGGGAAGGGCCCAAATTGAGCTGGACGAGATAATGGTGCAGAATCACTCTGCGGACGTCTGGCTTTCTGACGCTGATTCTAATACAAATCGATGAATTTAAACGGAAGAATACGGAAAAAACCTGGAAAAACTGACTTGAAACCAGATCTGTCATCAAGATTTGTGAGCAACTTGAAGGTATGATATTCACATGATCATGTTACATACTTGGACTTTGCGAGCACTGAGACCAATTTGGCGCCCTACTTCCTCACGCATTGCTGTTGTCGGGAAGCGAGACTAAAGCAAAGGATTAGACGCTCTGATAAGAGCGGTTGTGAGTGAAGAAATATACCTGTGAGAGGAGTGCGTGTAAGACAGCAGATTGGTGTGGAGTCGTGAGAGTGCGTGTGCGTTTCTTCTTAGGAGCTGGAGCAGTAAGAGCAGATATTTCTGACTGTTGTTCTGGCTCCGTTTCATTGTCTGCCATACCACTTTGCGATGAAGTATCAGAGGCAGAAGAAGGATGCTCGATAGTCATATTTCCTGAGTCACTCCTTCGTGGACGTTTGCTTGTGTGCAGGGTATCGTGATGATGAGGAGAAGTGGATAGAGGATGAATTCTCTCGTGTTGAATGCGTCGTGAAGGAATCGGAGGGGGCGTATGACACTTTGATGGAATATTAACCGTTGTCGGAGTAAGAGAATTAGACATTGAATAAAACAAAATAAATGAACGAAAAAAAGCTGCTAGTCAGTCGTGAAATGATCAAGATTAAAGACACATGGGACAACCAAGCTGAATTGAAATGAGAGGAGGGATAACGAACGAGTCGGGACGGTCACTTGCGAACTTTGACAATTGTAAAAGTAATAGTTTATTACTGTATCCGTCCCCGATTTCCAAATAAACTATTACGTGTCATTCTCGGACTAATCCTGCACCGGCATCAACGGCAACAAAAATTCTCTTCCTCTCCCGCCCGCCGTCAATGGCAACCGAGAAATCTCTTACAGTTACATGCTTTTTCTTCAGGAACAATCCTATTTTGGCTCATATTAAAGGTCCATTAATTCCTCTACGAACTCTCATTTAAGCTCCGTGGCTGTGAAAATGATATCGAGAAGCATTCATTTCATCGAAGTGACGTTTAGTCCATGGGAATTCCATCTTTTCGAGTCAAAAATCATGCAGCAATCATCATATCCCGTAATCGTCCGATACCCCACCCCAATTAACTTTAATCTGTCCGGTACTCCGTCCCAATTAATTGCTCCAGTCCGCGATCCCACGATACATCATCATGACACTCGTACTTACATTAAATACATAGTCTGTTAATCATGGGATGCCTCAACCCCTTGACTACTTGAAAGGCACCCGTCGGGTTATCGGAACCCATTTTCTCATATGTTGCAATATGTCACACTCCTGCCAGATATGTAGTATATGCTTTTTGCCGACCATCTCGTCGTGACATACTACTATGCGCAGTACGTACAGCGAAACTTCATATGAGGCTTGACATGTGAGTCACCGCAAAAGCCATTTTGCCTAGCGCAGTGCAAAGACTCACGTGAAATCGATTCGACGCTGCAGTAAAATGTAAAGGGGGAACGACTCCGAGGGTACGCAAAGAACCCGATGCGTGCACAGCCTAGAGTTCTTGTACGTCGCCTGTGACAAGCACCTCTATTAATGTAGTCTGTAAACATGCCTAACGAAGGCAACCTCGTTTCTTTGCGCACCCGTACATAGTTACTGAGGCGTCGATAGCCGCGAATTCACCGCTCTGGTGTGAAGCGTTGCAATCTGCGTCATGATCACGAGTCCGAAGACGATGAGAACGGATCCAAGTCGAGCCCAGGCTGCCCAGATACGGCCTTACGCCCAAAAAATAGTAAAGCATCAGGCTTATACAGGGACAATGATGTTAGTTAATCAGCGGTGATCTTCCCGTAAGGTCACTGCGCCACGACGCCTGTGGAAATATATCAACCCTGAGGAGCGTCTCGACCACAGCCTTGGAATTTGAAACCGATTTCAGTGGCTTGATACACGCGTTAATAATATTCCGTTTGAAAGTAATGACCTGAGGCTCCGTTCGGGTTACTCCGCGGCTACCTGTATGGTTTCCCGCACTGATTCCAAAATGAATTGTAATAAAAAATTAATTGACCTCAAGCGTTATGGTTTTGAAATTCACTACACACCTATAGCAGAGCAACACATGGCGCCTGCAACCTCGTGCCAGTACTGCATGTGTGGAGCCGGCCCGAGAGTCAAATCGACATGGACGAAGATCCCTTCAAGGTTCCGCGATAACCGCACAATGAAGTGTGATTATTTGGTACTGGGTCACCTCGCCTAGAGGTTGGCGCATATATACACCGCAAACCTCCGCTGCAGGAGGTTCGCTTGCAATCCACAGTCATAAACGACCACTTTGAAATGATCAATAATGCGGGAATAAGAGAATTTGTATGCAACTTGAAGATGCCAAGAAGTCGTTACCCTGGCGATGGGCACGGGAGGTTCGGTAAAAATCGATACGGCATGAATAGAAACCCACCCTGAAACACGAATGAATTGACTCGTGTATGAAACCAGGAATGCATCGATGCATCGACGACGAGCCATATGGACGATGCTTGGCAGCCTATGCCAGCCGCGCTAAGATTTAGATCATGTCCCTGCTTATCTCGGCCAGCATTACATAATCATTTCACCAACTGTTCGAGCATGGACGATTTCGACTCTTTTGCTGCAGATGAAGATGGTGCTTCCACGTCACATTCAGCTGTCGAAACTAGGCAGAACAGTCATGTTCCATCTGGAATTACGCTTGTCTTGCCCTCGCTCAAAGCTATCAAGGCTGCGAAGATGGGAAAGAAGTCAAAACTGAAAAACCTTAGTTCCATGCAGGACGCAGAGGTGAAGAAAGCGCCAAGGCCTATGAAGCTCAAACCACTGAAGGAGGTATTGGCGAAGCTAATCGGGCAGTTGAAGAAGTGAGTTGTTGTTTGTGACAGGGGTGATTGGTTTTTTATGCGCATACTGATGGATGTATGGCATGACAGGAAAGATGATTATGCTTTTTTTATTTCTCCTGTAGATCCGTCACGAGTTCAAGGATACGCGGAAATGATTAAACATCCTATGGATCTTGGGACTATGTCTACGAAAGTTGCCAGGGGAAAGTACCGTTCATTGGAAGAGTTTACAGTGAGTAATACTCCTTTTATCTTTCAACCTTGCTGCAGTGGATTGTCTCCACGCCTTCCATGCGGTCTTGCGACTCAGACAATTATGTTTTTACACAAGCAGTTTCAAAAAACACGGTGGCTAGACTGCATGGGTGGATGACACGCTGGCAGAGGGGGTTCACGCGACGCGAGCTGAACTCTACATTTTTTCTTTTCTTTAGACGGACTTCCGCCTAGTCGTCACCAATGCCAAAATTTTCAATCCTCCCGGAACGATCTATCACACGGAAGCCGACCGCCTTGAAGTATGGGGACTCGACCATATCGCCAAGGCATCTGCGCATGTTATTGAATACGAGACAGATTGGAACATCGATGTGGAGCAGGATGAGGATGCTGCTTTGAATAGTGATGAGGACGACGATCATGTCACGGCGTCCACTCCGAGAGAGATTGAGGGGAGCCAAGTTGCCGCGTCACCCGCCCCGTCTTCCGTTCCTCAACAGTATGTGAAGCGTGGGCCTCGAGGACCTTATAAAAAGGGTACATCGATAGGTATCTCTGAGGGCATTGATGCAGAAGGGAGACTTCCTGGCTCCAAGGATGGTGTCGGAGCATTTCCCCCTGGTTCTGACTGGGCAGAAATGATGATTGCGCTGAAAATAAAAGGTATCGTTTTCTGAGCAGTATTTTGAGTCAAAGTCCCTGATTTTATTTGCGCGTCAAGGCAAACGTTATAGAACTAAGAAAGAACGGCTGAGAATTGAGAAGGAGGGCCTGCCCCATCTTCATGACGGTAGTCTCGATTACACAGAGAGTGCGAAACTTTCTACTCATGCGTGCTGCACACTTCTAACGATATATTAGTGGAAGATCCGTTTTCTCTACTCAACGTCTTGGTGCCCGAACCGCTATCTAAACCCCAACTTAATCCACTTTACCCTTCTCAAGCAAATAATACAGCGCAACCTCTCTTTCCAGGGCCAGTTAATGTGCCTTCCACACGTCCCTCTCCAACACTGGCCACTCTTGCGGCCTCAACTTCGCAATCCACACCGCGGCGCAGACATTGGACAATTGTCCGCAATGCCTCAACACGGGCAAAACTAAAAGAGAAAGAGGACGAAGAGCCTCAGTCAACAGAATCCCTACGCGATCCATATCCATCTGACTTGGTTCTTTTGCGGCGTTGGGGGCAGAGTTAGGTGCGTCGGGATGTTCCGAAGAGAGACTGGCTACGGCTATACGAGCTAGCATTGAGAACCGCCCCATAAAAAGAAGCCTGAAAGCGGGAGTTGACAGTGAGTACTGGACGGATGAGAAAGCCGAGGAGGCATGGGACTACATACGAGACGTGGTATACGGAGGAGTTAACGTTTCGCCTACGTCAGAAGCATAGCCGAGTTTGTACGCCCGCCAGAAGAGATTTCTGTGAGTTACCCCATTGTCACTTTCCCGAAGTTGTTTGACCGCTCACATGATATACAGCATCAGACAGAACATACCCACCCCCTTGGCACGTCCGTGGCTCGATATGTGGAGCAACATCTGGTTGATGTCGTCACTCGCGGCCGGCACGAGCTGCTCTGTACCACTGCGGCGTACCTGCACTCAATCTTAAAAGAGCCTCTGTCACCAACGATGGAAGCACAAATGGCAGCAAGCCTTACATTCCGACCAACGGCGTTCCGTCTTATACAGGCATTACAACACGAGCAGTTGGATATGGCAGCGCTCATCCGATCTCCGGATGAGTTGGAGAAAGCTGGTTTGGGTGAACTGGGAATTCCTGAGGGTCCTGCAGTTTTGGAACAGGCATTGGAGTGTGCCGTCCAAGCGCTAGAAGAGCTCGACAGGAAGGTGCAGCAAAATGATGGGGTGAAGGTAGAGGACGATGCGATGGATGAAGATAGGGCAGAGGAGGACCCTGTAGCTAAGAAGCTGAGGTTGACATTGTTGGCGCTTGCGAAACGCGCCCCACTTGACAAGATCGCGCCTTTACCTGCTGCGCTTGTTCCAGCTCATATCCGGAAGATTGTACCGACAATTTAAGGACGCTGTTCTATATTTGTAGCAGACGATCTTGGGATTGGACTGCATTAGATTATACTATACGTGTAAGCATGGTGTAGAAGTAATCAATCTTGAGATTAGACTTCTTGCGACGGATTTGGATGTGCGCAGTCCCTCATCACAACCAGTCGGTCCCAAGCGCTTTGTCTATTTTACGATGAGACCTCTAACTTTCAAAGCAACCCGTCGGAGTCTAGCCAGTCAGTCACTCATTTCTGGGTCCGTCACTAGGTTGATAGACTCGCGAACGATCCAGTGCACAGAGATACGACCTTCACTCCTCATATAGGCCTAGCATATTTATCTCGTCTGACAACGCTGATTGTTTGCTTCTTTTATGTTCGTTCGCCGTCGGACATAGGTCTATCACCGAGAAGCTTCCATGTCAAGTCGTGTGCTTGACGAGTCTCAGGCTCCTCATGTTCACACAGTGGGTCCTCATCATGATAATGCATCGACGCAAGATGTCACGTACGTAATCATGATCATCACAGCTCACTGGCAGGCTGAGGATTGCCGCTAACGTTGTCACTGGTAATAGTGACAATCAGTCGAAGACCTCTTACTGACATCGCTGACTTTATAGGATGGACTGACTCGGTCGAGTTGGTGGGAACGCCGTCACGGTAACCTTCAACATTGTAGTTGACTCCTGGACAACCATCGATAATCACTGTTTCAGTCGCCTTCGATACAGGTAAGCAGTCCATCTTTAAACCTCTTCGTGTCGAGATACAGCCAACCGTCTCTCAGCTTCGGCAAACCATCTATACGCTGGTAAGAATGTCCAAGTTGTTTTATTGATACATTGTTTATTCATTAACATCTTCCACGGTTCCACCTCGTACAGTGTGGCCATACTCCGTCACGGCACGAAACTCAACCCAACGGGTGGCCCGTATCTGGAAACATGGATTAAGATCCTGTTCTAGCCCATGGGCTATAATACGTATAAACCCCGACAAGCGGAGGAACTTTACAACCATATTCACGATGCGATGCACCGCTTAAAAACATCACCTGAGGAGATGTCGAGATTGGCTCCGCACCCGTTCGCACAACCGCCGTCGGATTCTTCGTTGCATTAACTCTTTATATGTCATCCTGTGCTCACGGAGGGTATGCACCAGTCATCGACGAACCTACCATGACATCAAATCTTCTCACTTCCCATGCTATTGTCATTCGCCTCATACCATTGTCTCTCACCTACATTCGCAAAGTCCTTTGCGCATGCCTGGGCCCTGGGTAACACTTCTGCTATTAGATGTATATGTCATCCTTTAAGTCCTCACTACTTTGCTTACTAGATGCTTCCTTTCTGCTGAAGCTGACTAGGCAGATCGTTAGACAAAAATAACGTGATAAAAAGGCGTGAATACTCTTATTTCGCCTCTGAACAAACGCAGTGCGCTCGATACTTGTGTCTTTGTCCTAACGATCTGTAGGTTGATACAAGGTGATGTAGGGTTAAACCTGGGTAAACGCGTTTTGCTGATCACGCGACCTAAGAATTTGGCGCGTTTACACAAGTCTTGATTTTGACTCAAGCCCTATGAAATTTATATTTCTCTTGGTGCAAGATCTCTTTAACATTTGAAATTTTACATCCGCCTAGACGACAACCTAAATATAAGTATTATCTTGACATTTCGCACGACATTCAAACCTGTCTTAAATATTGCGGAGGACCCGGTAGTGTGAGCCTATGGCGCTGTGGCGTCTACACTGACACCAACTGAGACCCTCCACTGAACATGTGATTACTTATCTTTATTCCTATAATATTCCCTATCTCCAGTCCCGTGTTTGCCCGCGCTGTGCGCCCTTACTCATTTCACGTGTTACCTTACAGAAAACCATATAAAAGACCCAGTACATAGACTTGTAAAGCCTGGCGTTCCTGCAACTAAGCTATTACCTGGTGACATTGCAGTGATCGTCTTAAGTTCTTTCCTTGTGTCTTCACCTCAAGTATTACTACTTCGAGCTGTCGCCACATATTTTTTCACCTTCACTCTAGCTTACTCTACATCTACCCCTACCGCCGTTCTCGACAACCTAGGTTTGGCCAACCTCTGGCGACGAGCCGGCAACACAGTACCCATTCATCATAGCATATCAGTATGACTACCATCCGTTACGACTTACGTCCTATCAACAACCGCGCCCGGAAATTCCTACCTACCCCATACTCTCCTGGCGCTATGCCCACTACTCCCATCGACTCTCCCTTGACTGTTTTGGACGACACCCCTGAGATAGCCACTTTTGAAGTGGCTAGATCGGAGACATCCGTCCTAAGGGCCGTCCGCTCTTATGGCGACGTAGCCCGGGCGAGCAGCCCTTGGTCAAGGCCTCGTGCCCCCAAGCAGACAGCCACAGAGCAGGTCTCTGTGGCCAATGTTACCCCTGTATATAATACAGCGTCAGTAGAGGACGTAAATCTTCTGTTAAACTCAACTTTGCCTCCCACTCCCAGTGTAGTGGGTCCAGACTCCGAAAGTGATGAGTCCGACGACGACGGTCGTCCATGGATCACGGTGCGATGTAAGTACAGCCGTGAGGGTGCCCGCCCCAGGGATCTGAAGAAAGAGTATGATGAGTCATACCCACTTACACGGTGTAGAGACTCGCGTTTCTGTGGGCTCATATGGGCTCATTTTACGAATTCTGACAACTGGCCTTCATGGCACGACTCGCACTATCATCCACTATGACTTCCCTATAGAGTGCACCACTTTCCTGCGAAATGCGCCATAGGCGCAATACTTTCCCACACAACGCACAGCATTCCTGCGTGTGCGCCTTGCGCGCTTTCTCGCGCTTAAGCGCCCTGCGTCGCACGGCATCCAGGAGCATCCATCCATCGTCCAACCAGTCCCTCGGTATGTCCCTTTCATTATCTGACCATATTTGGCATATTACACTTCCCATTTCGTCATGGACCCTTACTTTACATCACTTTACATCACTTACATACTTAGAGCGCTCCCTATTCGGCTCCGAGCCCTGGGAGAGCGCTTAGGTAGAACTTACATACTCTCATGTTCGTTTTACACCCCACTATTATACCTTAGCTTCTAACCACCACCTTCCTACCACTCAGTATCTATCACCAGTTAGCTCCATGCAATGCATGTGTCCATCATTGTTTTGAGGCCCTAGCATCAGTCTATAGCTAGTGGCACTATCAGTATCCGTCTAGATCCGCGCTTTCCCTCTTATCAGTCTCAGTATATATCTTTTACACCTGTGCACTGCTTGCACTACCTTCCCGCGCTCCGCGCACTTTCGCACTTCGCTTTCCCGCGCGCGCTTTCTCGCGCTTTCACCGCCATTCACCAGGGTTGTTCAGCATCATTCCGTGGATCCTTGCTTTCCTTGCTTCCCCTTTAGGGTCGAACGTTCTTGCATTCTGCGAGTATAGCAGCTAGGCAGAGCTGAGACTCACTTATACTGGCTGAGCACTTTTCTTATATGTGCCTGCCAGGTTGTGATACCCACAACGGGAACAACAAGACCTCGTACGTGAGGCTGAGCGTCGTCTAACAGATGACGAACGTGAGCGTGTTCATCGACGACAGTCGCGAGTGCACTCACGTGCAGAAACCGTAAGTCCTGCATCTAGAATTGCAGGGCCCTCGAAGGGCAAAGCAACCGACCCACGCGAGTGGGGTGCGGCCGGCCTGAACGAGGAAGACTTAGACGAGGCTGCTCAGCGTGCTGCGTTCGAGTCCTGGAATGCAGCCAAGGCTGCAGCCGAGGTCACGGATAATGACCCCGGCGAAACCAGTACTGAGAGAGCGACGGGGGCAGCGGCTAGCATCGAAGTCTCCAAGGAGGAGATAGAATGCCTCGTCCAGGAGAGGGCTCTGGAGGCTGTGTGTGCCGCTGAGGCCCGGTTGCAATGCAAGTACGAGAAGAAGATCAGGGAACTGAATCGCCGGCTGGACGAAGCGTCTGTCAGTGAGAAGGAACCCACCAGTGGGAAAATACCCACCACTGCAGACGCTAGCACCTCAGCTAGGCTCAAGCCAATCAAAAGCCTGGTTGAGAAGGCTGTCCGGCCATCCTCAAAGGTCCGCGCGGCGAGTGAGACTCCACGTGCGATGCAGCCGGTGCACCAAGTGACCACGCAAAGCTATATTGGGCGAGCGTTAAGCAGAGTCAAATCACGGGACTCGGACTCATCTGGTGATGACTCTGGCAGCAGCAGCGATAGTTCGGACGATACCTCGACTTCAGAGTCGTCGTCTGAGCCTTCGAACAGCTCCGACGACGGCACACGAAAGCGCAAGGCCAAGAAATCCTCGCAAAAGTGTAAGTCCAAGAAATCCTCTAAGAAAAGGAAACATACCATCCTGAAACCAGTCCCCCCTACTGTGTATGACGGTGAGGTGGACTCCAGGGCCTTCCACTGCTTCGTTACCGAAGGAACAGCCTATGTGAAGGATGGACAGGTCAAATCTAAGGCCCGCGTGTTCACGCTGTCGCGTTACCTGACTGGGAAAGCGCATGAGTTCTACATCAGGGAGGTGGCTAGGGACCCTTACCGTTGGAGGCTCCTGGAGTTCTTTACTGAACTCTTTAACCATTGCTTCCCTGTAAATTTCCGCACTGAACTGCGTGCTAAATTAAAACGATGTTACCAGAATGACAAGACCGTGAGAGCTTACTTTATGAGCTCAGTGAGCTTTGGAACATGATTGGCGATATCGACGAGCGTCAGAGGGTCGAACGACTCTGGTTTGGCCTAAAGACCGATATACAGCGCGAGCTGTGGAAGAAAGAGTTGAACCTGGAGGTATCGGGTTTCAATGAGGTCCTGGCGGCGGCTGAAATAATTGAGATTTCTCAGTCAGTACCTGTAGGGCGGGAATGGAGGTCTAAGAAAGATTCGACGCACCTAGAAAGTTCGTTGGTCACCCCGGAAAAGGGCGGTAGAGGCAAAGGCTCCCGGAAACACGATCGCAAAAAGGACGCTGACAAAGGGAGGAGTGATAAGTCCAAGGACCACAGGTCCAAGGGTAGGGATCGGGGGAGGTCAGACGGGGGCCGTAAGCCCCAGGAGTCGACTGGTCGACGGTTTGAACCTCTGCCGAAAGAAGAACACGACCGGTTGGCAGCCGAGGGGAAGTGTTTCAGGTGTAAACAACCTGGACACCAATCTCGTCATTGCCCAGAGCGCAACAACATCAGGACGGACGCACCTGGTAAGCCCCCTGGGGTATCCAGCTACGGCATCCATGTCGACCTCACTGAGGTCGACCGATTATGGGATTTAGCGGACGCCACGGAGGCAGGGAACGAAGTCTTCGTGGGCCCTATGGTGTTCACTGACGCCACACCTCACCCACACCACTCTGGCTTCCAGCAGCTGGATCGCATGGGCGACCCCTTGGCAGACAGGGCACGTATCTTGCTCTCTGGGATCTTGTATCCCGGGGACGCGCCTGACGACGCAAACTTACTGGCCCTGGACAGGTTTTACCTGTATCGGGTGTCTGAAACCGAGTATGTGGTCATGGATGCAGGGTATCGTTTGGACCCAGAGCTCACCATACCTATCGCACTCTTGACTAACCCCTGCTTTGAGATCGACCATTGGTATTGGCGCCAGATTGGGCTGCGCAAGGGATTCAATAAGCGAGCCCTCAGAAGCAGTGAGCGTGGGCGTACCTGGCGGTCAGGTTGCATGGGGGACGCGTTAGCAGAACACGCCGTGTTCCTGTTGGATTCTAAACCGGATTACCAAAATGACGGGCCGGCGTGTAAAGCGCCTAGGAGGTTCGAATGCAACTTTGTAGGACAGGGCCTCTACGAGGTCTACAATACGGTGCTGTCGTTTGCCGCGACAGTACCCGAATCCATGTTACTGAATCAGCGGTTCGACGTAGCCAGTTGGTATGCGAGGCAACTCACCCAGGGATATCACGCCTTGCAGGACGAGGTGGACAAATGGACGTGTGAATGGGACATCTTCAGTCTACTGGATAGAGGTCCCCTCTCTGCCATGGACCATCAATTGGACAAATTGGCCAAGTACCTGGTACAACCAATCCCGCCGATGAGGATACGGCAAGCCAGAGGGTTGGTCCACGTTCTTGAGCTCAATGGGGTGTCTGTCCCGGCTGGGACGTACCCCGCGCTGCAACGGAATGCGGCCCTGACGCGTGACTTTACCAGGCTGTTGCCTAAACCTATCATGGTTGTCGTTCACATGAACGGGCGTCCTGCCCGCGCTTTGATAGATACGGGATCGTTAGCCGATTTCATGTCGTTGACACTAGCAGAACAATTGAAGTTGCCTTTGATCCAGTTGGCGAAACCTCTAACGATCCAGTTAGCAGTCCAAGGCTCTCGCTCCAAGGTAAACTATGGTGCGAGAGCGCGTCTCCAGTACCAAGGCATCAATGACGAACGGTACTTCGATGTGATTAATTTGCAAAACTATGATCTGATAATAGGGACACCGTTCTTGTACCAACATAAGGTCACAGTGGGATTCAACTCACCAAGGGTAATTGTGGGCAGCAATGTGCCCATGCCTATGAAGGGTGAGGAAGTCTCCGTGTTGGAGTCACGTGCTGCGGAGGTATACTGTGAGGAGCTTGACAGAGTGCATGAGCGCTTGAAGGAATTGGCACGACCGCTATATACTAAGGCCTCGGAAACAGGCTTACCTCCTCTGAGGGCCATAAATCACACCATCCCCCTGATCGACGAAGCTAAGGTCTACCATTGGCGACCTTCGCGCTGCCCAGAGGCCATGAGACCTCAGTGGTCGGATAAGAGAGCAGCATACCTGGCGTCGGGACGTTGGCAGGTTACAAGTGCTGGGAACACTGTTCCCATGTTGTTTCTGAAGAAACCTGAAAGGAGCCAAACCCAGAGCCCAAACAAACAAAGGAAATGGAAACGCACCCACCAGAAACCCTGCGAGCTGTAACGCGAGAGGAATTTGAGAACCTCGAAGAGGGACTAACCGAGTCAGAGTTTCGACCGGCACAGATACCGATCACGTACCCCGAGAAGGAGGCGATGCTGTCAGAAGTAATAGGACGTTATGAGGAAGACCCATTCTTCAAAACTATCCTAGACGCACCTAAATCCTACAAGAACTTCACACTTAAAGACGGGTACCTGAGACTGAAATTACAGGACAGGGAACTGCTGTGCATCCCCAACATCATGGTTGGGGAACGGAAACTGCGCGAGATCCTGATTGATCAAGCCCACTCATTGTTAGCGCATTTGGGTGCAAGGAAGACGATGTCGTACCTTCGAGAGTATGTATGGTGGAAGACACTGGTACCTGATGTCCAGGCCTTCTGCTCCTTGTGCAAAACCTGCCAGAAGAGCAAACCACCAAACCAGAAGCCATATGGGCTGCTGAACTCACTTAAGGTCCCATCCAGACCCTGGGAAGCGATAGGTGTTGACTTCATAGGCCCCCTACCACTATCAACGAACCGAGACGGTGAATTTGATAGCATTACCGTGATCATAGACCTGTTCACCGGAATGGTGCACCTCGTACCGAGCCGGACTAACTATACTGCTAAGGAAATAGCGGAGTTAATGTTCGCGGAAGTCTACAAACATCATGGCTTACCAAATGCAATCATAAGTGACCGAGATGTCTTATTCACGAGTGGATTCTGGACGTGGTTTAATCAGCTAATGGGCATCAAGCAACGAATGTCCAGTGCTTACCATCCGGAGACCGATGGTTCGACGGAACGAGCGAATCGTACAGTTGGACAGATGGTCCGCTGTACCATCTCACCCAACCAGACGGATTGGGTAAGTCGGTTGCCTGCAATTGAGTTCACCATTAATTTAGCGTGTAACGAGTCAACGAACTACTCCCCATTCTTTACGAACACGGGACGCTTACCTCGTTCCATGATTTGGGAAACCCCTGAGCCTACGGAGTACCCTGGCGTAAGAGTCTATGCCCAGAAAATGAAGTCAACAATACTCACCGCGCATGACGCACTTTTGGCTGCTCGTGTTAAGCAGACAAGGGAGGCGAACAAGCATCGACGGGAGTGCCCGCTCTTAGTAGGTGACCTGGTCTATGTGTCATCTAAAAACATCAGCTTCCCGAAGGGATTAGTACGGAAGTTCATACCCAAGTATATCGGGCCCTACCGAATCTTGGACGATTTCAAGAACAATTCTTACCGGTTAGACCTGCCCGACCGCTTGAAGCAACGGGGTGTACATCCTGTATTTCATTCATCGTACTTGAGAATTCACGTGCCAAATGATGACTGACGGTTCCCCGGTCGACTGGAGACACAGATTGCTGAGTTTGAAGACCACGTGGAACGTGAATGGGCCATCGATCGGATACTATCACATAAGGGCACCCGAACCGACGCGGACTTCGAAGTTCTCTGGAAGTCCAGAGATAGGACTTGGCTGTCTTACAGTCATATCGAGCACCTCGACGCGTTAAAGGATTATTTTAACCTTGTCGGGGTTGAGACCATCGGTGAACTGGCGGATGGCAACGGGGAGGCACCAACTGACGCTCCCCAGGTGTTTTTAGGACACCTATGTCTCAGTCCCGACAGTACTTATACCCCACCCATCATCGAACTCTTCTCAACCTCTTTTGAACTCGACACCCATCAGCCAACTCGCATGCATAACCCCGCCCTGCGTAACTTTACCCCGTTGGGTCCTGGACTATACGCCTTCACAGACATCCACGATCCCCCCAATCGTTATTCCGTCACTCGGGACCAAGTCAAGTCCTTTGTGGCCTATGATGCGCTGTTGCGCTCGGGGGTGGACAGAGCCAGCCACCACGTCCCCATCGGCTATGACGAGTTCGCTTTTGCCTTCAACTTCAATGAGCCTGACGTGCTCGTGAGGTTTACCACCATCGGACCCAACAGCACAATCCTGGTCAATGGACCTGCTGTCACCGCATCCTACCTGGTTGGGGATGACGACGTCCCAACATCTGTTGCACAGCCCGCAGCCCCCACAGGGGGACCTCCTCAGGACAAGGATGGAGGGCGCTGGCTCGACAAGCGCAAGGTGGAGATGATTGACCGTTCGCTCTGGGACAACCTAGAGAGGTCCCAGCGCCAGGGCACACGTCGGGATGAAGCTATTAAGTCCCGCAAGGCCAAGAGGCAGAGGACCGATGTAGAGACTCGCGTTTCTGTGGGCTCATATGGGCTCATTTTATGAATTCTGGCAACTGGCCTTTACTGCACGACTCGCACCATCATCCGTATGCGACTTCTATCTTGTTTCTGGTCATTCCACACACAACGCGCAGCTTTCCCGCGAAACGCGCCATAGGCGCGCTACTTTCCCACACAACGCGCAGCATTCCCGCGCGCACTTAGCACATTTCTCTCGCACTTGTCGCCCTACTCCATACGTAACTTCTGCTATGTCTCCAGTCATTTGCGCATACAATGCACAGCTCTCCTGCAAAGTGCACCATAGGCGCAACACTTTCTCACGCTTTCGCGTTTCGCGTTCCCGCGCGCGCGCTTAGCGCGTTTCTCGCGCTTAAGCGCACTCCGTCGCGCATCATCCAGGAGCATCCATCCATCATCCAACCAGTTCCTAGGTGTCCCTTTTCGTTATCAGACCATATTTAGCCTATTACACTTTGTATTTCGTTATGCACCCTTACTTTACATCACTTTACCTCACTTACATACTTAGAGCGCTCCCTATTCGGCTCCGAGCCCTGGGAGAGCGCTTAGGTAGAACTTACATACTTTCATGTTCGTTTTACACCACAGCTACCTACCACATCTTTCTACCACCATGTACTTGGCAGTTAGTTCCATGCAATGCATGCGTCCGTCGTCGTCTTAAGGCCCTAGCATCAGTCTAAAGCTAGTGGCAGTATCAGTATCCATCTATATCCGCGCTTTTCACCATATTATCGTCTCTCTACACTTGTGCACTGCTTGCACTACCATCCCAGTTCTCTGCGCATTTTCGCCTTTCGCACTTTCGCCTTCCTGCGCTTCGCGCATTTGTCGCGTTTCACTTTCCCGCGCGCGCCTTGAGCGCGTTTCTCGCGCTTACATCGCCCTTTTGTCGCCTTTGATCAGGGTTGATCAGCATCATTTCGTGGATCCTTGCTTTCTTTGCTTCCCTTAAGGGTCGAACATATCGCACGGCATATCAAGACCCAACATAGAGAGTGTTTGCTTGTCATCTGACTTGCGTTCACCTTTGTTGTGTTACCCACACCGATGACCATCCCCCACCCTCTGACAAACCCAACAAACCTCGTCCCCCTAACTCCCCCCGCACCTCGCATTCCCCACCCCTCCTAAGAACAAGTCCACCACTGATACATCTGCAACTGCTAGCTCTAGCCGAGCCCCAGTCCCAGCCACGGAAGGGACAGCCGAGGATGACGTGAACATGGAAAACACCGAGGGCACGGAGGAGGCAGGCAGAGACCCTGCTGACAAGAAGGGCAAGGGACACAAGAGGTAAAGGGGCCTAGAAAGTCCCCTGAAGGGGGGTATGTGGCGTCTACACTGACACCAACTGAGACCCTCCACTGAACATGTGATTACTTATCTTTATTCCTATAATATTCCCTATCTCCAGTCCCGTGTTTGCCCACGCTGTGCGCCCTTACTCATTTCACGTGTTACCTTACAGAAAACCATATAAAAGACCCAGTACATAGACTTGTAAAGCCTGGCGTTCCTGCAACTAAGCTATTGGATGACTTTCGGTAGGCAAAATAATCCAGAATAGATTATTTCGGAGCCTGAAATACATTTGCAATCATGTCAATAATTTAATCTATGCAACGATAATCCCCCGTACGCTCAGTAGTATTTAGATTTAGTCCAGTCCTCGATGGACAATCTTGCAATGCAGTACCTGCTTCTCAACGATGACGAGGCAGAACTTTTTGATGACGACGAAGGAGCTCAGGTCCTAGCTGCAGCCCTCGTTTGTGGGATCGAGGTATCACGACAAGAGCGCATTGACACCCGGAACCCCCATCGTTCATACCTTTGCCGGCCCCAGCTTCTTCCCAATCCTCGCATCAACACACCTTGGCAGGTGTTATACAATAGCCGGAATGATCGAGCGTTTATCACCACAATGGGTATTGATGTAACTACCTTCACCTCGCTCCTTACTGCAGGTTTTGCCCAACTCTGGGTATGAGACACCAATCCCTCATGATGATGTGAATACACGTGGAAATACACGCAGCGAACGGCGCTCGCTCGATGCTGCAGGGGCACTCGGACTCGTGTTGCATTATCTCAGCTCCACTATGCATGCTATCAGCCTACAGCAAATTTTCGCTCTTATCCCCAGTACTGTCACCTGCTACCTTCAATTCGGCCTTCGGCTTCTCCTGCTCACGCTCCGCACCATGCGAGATGCCAAAATTCGATGGCTCGAAGGCCCGGAATTCGAACGCTGTAGTGCGCTCGTTGTCGCGCGTCACGAGAGACTTGGAGGGGCGTTCGGCAGCATAGATGGTCTCAAATTACCTGTACAAACCTCAGATGATGTTGACATCGAGAACGCAACATTTAATGGTTGGCTCTCCGAGCACTTTATCAGCTCAGTGTTGGCATTCTCAGCTGAAGGTGAGTTTGATGCCGAATTCACACTTCACTCATTAACTAAATGTCGCAGGGGTTATTATTGCTGCCAGGACGAATGCCCCTGGTAGCTGGCATGACTCACGTCTCGCTCAACAAATCTACGCATCCCTTCGAGACCATACTCCCCCAGGTTACTACATCGTGGCTGATACAGCCTTCCCACGTGGGACCAACGACATCCAAGGCCGGATCTGTGCGCCCCTCAAACAAGGCCAACGTCTTCAAGGGTCAGTCGCCAAAATTAACGAACGCATGGCGTTCAAATCGTGAGCTCCTCTCCTACCGGCAGACCGCTGAATGGGGGATGCGTGGTCTTCAAGGTGCTTTTGGGAGATTGCGTGTACCGCTCGAGATCTCTAACAAAGATTCGCGGGGGAGATCTCATTGAGATTCTGTGTTGGGTTGCACAATCTGCGCGCAATCAGAGTTGGCATCAATCAAATCCGCACGGTGTACCTTAAGTATTGGCAGGAGACAGATGATGATGCCGCCATCTGGCAAAACTTCGAGAACATGCTATTTTCCGAGCAGAGGCAGAAAGATCGGGTTAGTCGTTTCCACGTCACACTAGAGTACTTGGGGTAGAGGTACATATACATCCTTTAATTCACCCATTTTGAATACTCTTGAGCAATCGTCGATAAGGTCTGAATGATAGGTCTGGAGTTAATGGTGAGCTCTGCCAGTCACGCTCGCTGTAGCAATCTTCGATAAGGTCTGAATGATAGGTCTGGAGTTAATGGTGAGCTCTGCCAGTCGCGCACGCTGTATACTCACTGATAAGGTCTGAATGATAGGTCTGGAGTTAATGGTGAGCTCTGTCAGTCGTGCTTGCTGTATACTCACGAGCAATCATCGATAAGGTCTGAATGATAGGTCTGGAGTTAATGGTGAGCTCAATCCGGTTAGAAGACAATCGGAGTAAGGGAGAGATATGAGTGTGGTGGAAGAGATGCGGCAGAGGCTGGATTCGGTTAGAAGACAATCGGAGTAAGGGAGAGATGAGGGCTGGATTCGGTTAGAAGACAATCGGAGTAAGGGAGAGATATGAGGTTTGAACAGTCATTTTTTTATTCTCACGAAGTGCGAGTTAGAAGACAATTGGAGTAAGGGAGAGATATGAGGCTTTTGGTAAGGGTAACCAGTAAACGGCTCGAGACTACACTTCTGTGCTCAGTGGCTCATCCTCGCCGAGTAAGGGAGAGATATGAGGCCTTAGTGAGTAAGGGAGAGATATGACACCTTTGATAAGAGTAACCAGTAGACGGCTGGAGACTACACTTCCGTGCTCAGTGGCTCACAGGCATCCTCCCTACTGTTGGGGTCTGTAGGCTCTTGGATGCCTTCCCTGCGAGAACAACTCGGACAAACCACAGTATTGCGTGGATATCCACCACGGGAACGTGGTCTACTTGCCCAGCGAGACGGTCCTCCACGCCGAGGAGAAGGAGTAGTACCGAAATCAGTAGGGGTAACATCAGTAAAGTGAGGAGAAATCGAACGACGATCAGACATGTTGGTGAGAGTCTCTGTCTCACTGTGCCAAATGACACTTTGGCCTCCATCAGGGTAATAGGTGTAACTCGGCTGTTTGGGTTTGTGCCGGTGACGTGCATGGCGAGGAGCTGAGTTGGGATGGGCGTGGCGAGGAGCTGGGTTGGGAGCAGACCCATGCATCTGCATCATTTCCACGCGAAGCTGACTAAGGTCGCGTTCGCGTTCGACAGTGTAGAGTTTGCTGCGCATGTCATACAGTTGAGTGCGTAACTGCTCTGTGACTGCATTGGTGTCTCGTAGCTGCTGTGCTTGGGTGAGTAGTTGAGTATTTGCGATGGATCGGTTGGCACGTTGCTCGTCCCGAGCTTCCTGGACGGCGGGGTCAAAGGCCCTGCTGATGCGCGTGAGCAACTCTGAGGCAGCCGCACCTCGGCAGCGTGGCACAGGAGCATCGGTGCGAGTGGCACGAGTGACTGCAGTATGCTCAATGGGGGGAGTAGCATTTCGCAAGTCATCATGGCTGTTGTCGGCATCGAAATCCGAGTCGTTGAGATCACGCGTACCGGCACGCTCATTGATGAGTGCGTCAATCTCATGGGCACGAGTTACGTCGGGGGGACAAACACCATCGCCTGTGGGCTTCGTGGTTTTCACCAACTGAGGTTGTTATGTGAGATGCGGTTAGAAATACTTGAATATGTAAGACTTACTTGTTTGAACTTCGTTTCAAGCGACATAGCTTTGCGAGGAGGACGTTCGTGGTCCCTTGCCCACTCACTGTACTTCGAATGGATGGCTTGCCACCCTTTCTGGCCCAGAGGGCACTCATCTTCGACGAAGTCCAGGAGGACCTGAATGTCAGTCGGGCTGTAATTGTTAGACCCAGAGGGCCGGCCGCGTTTGGCCCCGGCCCTTGGGTCATCTTCGTCGTCCTCAGCTGCGCGTGCGCGCTTGGGAGCACGCTCAGTATTCTCTTTCCCTTGCCTTTGTTTGCTTTGGCTGCAGTCTTGCGACGTGCGCCAGCAGTTCTGACGGCAGGCGCATACCCACGAGCCTCAGCAATCGCCACAGGGTCACGAAGGTCTCTATCTGGCGAGTCAGGGAGTGGGATCTGAGCAGGGCCCAGAACAAGACGGGACCCAGACGGTAAGGCTGGTGATTCAGATGCCTCACGAGGTTGGGAGAAGTCGGCAGGAGTGGTGAGTCCCATACGTCAAGGGCGTAACTCCACATTGCTGCAAGGTGGTAAGTCCTTGTTGCAAAGCTTGAAGAAAAATGAATTGACTTACTTTATAAGACATGTGATCTTGAGGCCAGTGTACTTGAGCGACAGCCCGAGCGATCCCAGGATGGGACAGCCAATTTCCCGCATGATCACGCGCATACGCATTCCCTGCGCCGTCATAACACAACTCAGGAATTGATGGGCTATCAGCGTTGAACATAGTTTGGGAAGGAGGGATATCAGACATTGGAGGGACTGGCTGTATGAATGTACTTACCTTATGACTGGAAATGCGCTGAATCCATATAGTCCTTGAGTTTGTTGAGCCGTCCGAAGGAAGGGGTGGGTATTTTCATAGTAAAACTGCAAAATGCAAGGACCCTGCACTAGTAACAATGCAACACAAGCGCACCAGCCCAACATGTAGCAATCGTGAGGGAGTGGACCCTAAATACAGGGATGGTAAGTAAATTTTCGTTGACGGAGGGTGGGGATTGGTTGGAGGTATACGGCGCTGGCTGCCGCTGGGACAGATTGGGTGAGATTGGAGGCACAGGCAGAGGCAGCGTTGTCAGGTCGTAGTTTCGTATATACGACTTGGTATTTCTAAAAAGAAGAGGGAGAAAAAGGTGTCAACAAACTTGGCAAGATGTTGACGACGCACCTTTGTGTGACCGCGAGAGGTGCCACGCACGATGAGCAACGCACATTACGTCAGCGAATATCGCTGGCGTTAGTGGCCTAAAATGGACGAAAGTCGGATATTCAAGTCTGCAGGGGGGGGGCCGACCCCCCCTACAGATTAAAATAGATTAAGGTTTGAAAAAGGGGGGCAAAGAAAATACGTTTGCAAATTCAGCTCAAATGAACAGCGGCATCGCGGCACACCTTCCTAATGTAGGCAAATTTATGATATTATATTCTAATCAACATATTTCGAGCCTACGGAAAGTCATCCATTACCTGGTGACATTGCAGTGATCGTCTTAAGTTCTTTCCTTGTGTCTTCACCTCAAGTATTACTACTTCGAGCTGTCACCACAGGCGCTCACTCGTTTAGTAAGTACTAGTTTGAGCTCTATGCTCGCAAGCTCGCTTTATAGCTCAAACTGCAACATGGCTTAACAGAAACGTTGATATCTCAGATGGAAGCAAACTCGGGGGTCACATTCTACGAAGCTCAGATCGCTCTTGCGTGTCAATGGGAAGGTCCCCGCTATAATGGCGGCGACGCTCCGAAGGAAGTGTTTATCAAAGTCCCTCAGCCTGCGCAGGAAGGCATGACTTTGAGCCAAACCAAGATGAAGCTGGGGAAGGTGCCTCTACCGGCCTCATACGACGACGCAGTGAACATTGTACGGAGATTCGAGAAAGGCTCAGATGATATCAGAGGCGACGAAGATGTGTCCGATACCGCATCGCAACACAGACTGATGGACCGAACACGCTTGAGCGACGAGATTTGGTATGGTTCCGAGGCAGAGGAGCGGGATGCGTACTATCGTTGCATGTCACTGGTAATTTATACATGTCAGAGCTTCTCTATATTCACTCGAAAGTCATGATCGTTGACGACAGACGTGTTATTGTGAGTACTTCCGGATCGGCCTGTATCTTTTTCTGATTGGTGACTGGAGCTAGATGGGTTCTGCGAATTTGAATGACAGAAGTCCAAAGGTAGGCCGGCTACTGCTGAGCAGGCATGTGTAATCTCACAACCCTCGCCTTCTAGGGAGATGGCGATTCCGAAATCGCGCTCGTTGTCGAAGACGGTGACATAGTGCGTGCGACGATGGACGGGCATCCATACATGGCCGCACGCTTTGCGACTACTCTGCGTCGCAAGCTCTTACGGGGTGAGAATAATGCGAGACCTGCTCGAGTGTTAGTAAACTTATATACACAGAGCACCTCGGCCTTATCGAGCCTCAGAACGTCTTGCATTCCACCGAGAAGGTCACTTCGTTCATGCGATGCGCGCCAGAGCCCGACGACGACGAGATCGGGACGCGGGAAGACAATGCCGTAGCGGATTCCCTAGCAGACAGCACCCTAGAACTATGGAATCGTACAGCAAGAATAAATCGCGAGATTTTCACTGAGGTCTTCCGCCCTGTGCCCACTAACCTTGTTCGTTCCTGGTCTGCGTACGAGGCAAGCAACGATGTCTACGAGTTTTCTCGGAGCATGTTTGACGGTTACTATGCAGAACTATTTGCCAAAGGTTAAGACTGGTCACGTTGTACCAGAAATACAGCTGCAACGTATCAAGGAACGTCTTTCCCAGGTCAGGGGTTCAGTGGTCGAGTGCCGTCTGGTGCGCTCCAGATATTCTATACGAGATTGCCGCTCACTTGTCACCCCAGGATTTCTTGATCGATGACAAGGAGTTTGTTGAGGATGTTGACTAGCTGGGATTGAACCCAACGCTTCCGATTTACATCTGATCGAAGTCGTGGTGGCGTCGTCGTGCTTGGCAGTATGGACACAATGTATACTGGTATCTATGATCAATTGTGTATAAAATGTTGTTGCGAAGTTTGTGGGTTAATCATGCCTCTGTAGATTTTAGAAACAAAAACAGAGACTATTCAAGCACCATTTCAAACACCAAAACCGCGGCGAAGAGCATGGATTAGTGCATGCGTTGGTCAGGAGGACATGAGGCGTTCATTTCGATTATTTGTGGGTAAGGATAATGCCCGAATCGCTTGAAGAGTTCAAGCTAAAGCAGACTAAAGCAGGTTATTCGAAATAAGGCAACGTTGCTGTGGCAGAATTCGCCGCAGAACGGATCATAATAAGATTACACTTACATAGTCTCAGAAGCGCTTCTGACTCCACTGTTTCCCTTCCCAGCTCACCGTGTACTTTTCGCCGTTGCCACTTGTCGCATTCAACGATGAGCACAATGACTGACTCTCAGCGGCAGGGTCTTCACCATCCATTTCTTTCTCATCTTATTGCTCTTCTGTCAGCTTATGAACTATGTCCTATGTCGACTCCACCTCCACGATATGATGGGCCTGCAGATTGGCAAACAGACACTATCATTCGCTCTCTAGAGGCAGTTGCACGCAGAATGTACACTGCGGAGGAGATCCTGGCCTCAATGAAAGCTTCGGAGTGTTGGCAAACAAATGGGCCAGAGACAAAGAAAGGACGCAGTGTAGGCGACACTCCCATGTCCTCATCTTCATCTTCTCAGAAAGAGACCAACTCATCTTCTTCCCTCATGCAGTCCAGTACCAATGTCAATGCTTTCGCTCCGTCTTACAGTTCACCAGGACCAACATCTTGTTTTCAGACCAACTCAAACCTGGCAGCTACTGTAGAATCAATCGATGTCGCCGATAGCACGAATGGTGTAGCCAGCAATCGATCGCACGCCAGTCAACAAACCACACTCTTCTTGTGCAGGTTCAATGTCCTTATCACTCGATGAACTTCCAGCTCATATTGATGCTGCAACACTCCTTCAGTCATTTTCAAACGGAAGCTCGGCCTCGGCACCCCCGACATCGCATCTCGAATGCATGGCTTGCACAACGTGCGGAAAGGCTATTACCGACACTCTGATTGTGAGCTGAATTAATAGTAGCTTTGATGGCTCGCCCAATGGATCTCCTCTTGTCGTTCCTCCTAGTCCTCTTGCTGCTGCAACGTTCGAAAGCGGCATGAGCGCCGTCGAAGAACTAAGGTTACTCAAGGCTCAGGTTTCAGATGTCGCTCGTGTGTGCAATGCCGTGGCCAGAGGCGACTTGTCCCAAAAAATTACGGTTCCCGTGCAGGGTGTGGTCATGGTTCAATTGAAGGATGTCATAAACACTATGGTATTCGTCCAGAATCTTACCTGAAGGTCTCACTCATGCATATCATTATCAGGTCGACAAATTGGGACAGTTCGCCAAAGAGGTCACTCGTGTCAGTCAAGAAGTTGGTACAGAAGGGTAAAGTGGCTACCAACCCAGATCTTATACGATTTACTCAGTCTTCCGCAGTAAACTCGGTGGACAGGCTCTCGTATTGGACGTCGAAGGTACTTGGCGGGACTTGACTGGCGTCGTCAATAAATTAGCCGCAAATTTGACCAGTCAAGTCCGAAGTATCGCCAAGGTCACTAAAGCTGTCGCGCAGGGAGATTTGTCGAAACAGATTGACGTTGGAGTGGGGGACCCCTAGGCGAGGGGCGGAAGTAGCAGCCGGGTAGCACCGTAGCTTAGTCAGCCACTCAGTGTCCTTTGGGCTTTGTCGTAGCGTAGTGCTGTTCACCACTTTGCCTTGCTCGCGACACGCAGGCACACAGTCGCGGATACACCGCTCCAATATCGATGCCTGTGGCGAAATCCTTGATTTGAAGAATACCGTAAACGGAATGGTTAATGCATGCATTAGCCGTCGAAGTTACCCGTATCACGTTAGAACTTAGAAGTCGGTTATCAAGGCAAGTTGGGTGGTCAAGCGCACATCCCAGATGTTCAAGGTGTTTGGTTCGAGTTGGTTCACATTGTGTGCCCTTTACCGTGTCTTATTGGCACAGTGGCCTAATCTGCGTTTCAAGGTCAATCGGATGTGTTCAAGCTTGACAGACCAAGTGCGGTCTATTGCCAACGTCACAGCGGCCGTTGCTAGGGGCGATTTGACACAGAAGATTGAGATCCAGGTCGAAGGCGAGATGTCAACATTGAAGGGCACGGTCAACTCCATGGTAGACCAGCTGAGCGCCTTCGCATCCGAAGTCACTCGTGTCGCGCTTGAAGTCGGAACGCAAGGTATATTGGGTGGTCAGGCTCGCGTAGAAGGTGTGCAGGGTACCTGGGCTGACTTGACACGCAATGTGAATGTGAGTTATATAAATAGTGTTCTGGTCTCGTCAAGCGTCGTTGATATGTCGTGTGACAGAAAATGGCTAGTAATTTGACTGACCAAGTATGATCGATCTCGGAGGTCACAAAAGCTGTTGCCTTGGCGATCTAAGCAAAGTCGTCAACGTCGATGTCCAGGGAGAAATGCTATATTTGAAGATGACTGTCAATTCTATGGTTGCCCAATTGTCTACGCTCGCCAACGAAGTCACTCGTGTGTCTCTGGAAGTTGGTATGGAAGGTATCTTGGGTGGGCAAGCGTATGTCCCTGATGTGCAGGGCATGTCAGCTAAGAAGCTGAGGTTGACGTTGGCGCTTGCGAAACGCGCCCCACTTGACAAGATCGCGCCTTTACCTGCTGCGCTTGTTCCAGCCCATATCCGGAAGATTGTACCGACTATTTAAGGACCCTGTTCCATATTTGTGGCAGACGATCTTGGGATTGGACTGCATTAGATTATACTATACGTGTAGGCATGTCGGTAGAAGTAATAATGTTGAGATTAGACTTCTTGCGACGGATTTGGATGTCCGCAGTCCCTCATCACAACCAGTCGGTCCAAGCGCTTTGTCTATTTGAAGGAGAACTATGATGAGAGCTCTAACTTTCAAAGCAACCCGTCGGGGTCTAGCAAGTCAGTGACTCATTTCTGGGCCCGTCACTAGGTTGATGGACTCGCGAACGATCCAGTGCACCGTGATACAACCTTCACTCCTCATATAAGTCTCATATTTATCTCGTCTGACAACGCTGATTGTTTGCTTCTTTTATGTTCGTTCGCCGTCGGACATAGGTCTATCACCGAGAAGCTTCCATGTCAAGTCGTGTGCTCGACGAGTCCCAGGCTCCTCATGTTCACATGGGCCATCCTAATGCATCGACGCAAGATGTCACGTACGTAGTAATCGTGATACAGCTCACTGGCAGGCTGAGGATTGCCGCCAACGTTGTCACTGGTAATACAATCATTCAAAGACCTCTTACTGACATCGCTGACTTTATAGCGATGGACTGACTCAGTCGAGTCGGTGGGAACGCCGTCACATCAGTAACCTTCAACACTGTAGCTTGCTCCTGGACAACCGTCAACAATCACTGTTTCAGTCGCCTTCGATACAAATAAGCAGTCCATCTTTAAACCTCTTTGTGTCGAGATGTTCAATCTACAGCCAACCGTCTCTCAGCTTCGGCGACCATTTATACTCTAGTAAGAATGTCCAAGTTGTTCTATTGATACATTGTTTATCCGTTGACATCTTTTACGGTTCCACCTCGTACAGTGTGGCCGCACGGAACTCAACCTAATGGGTGGCCCGTATCTGGAAACATGGATTAAGATCCTGTTCTAGCCCATGGGCTATAATACGTATCCGACAAGTGGAGGAACTTTACAACCATATTCACGACGCGATGCACCGCTTAAAAACATCACCTGAGGAGATGTCGAGATTGGCTCCGCACCCGTTCGCACAACCGCCGTCGGATTCTTCGTTGCATTAAACTCTTTATATGTCATCCCGTGCTCACGGAGTGTATGCACCAGTCATCGACGAACCTACTATGACATCAAATCTTCTCGCTTCCCATGCTATTGTCATTCGTCTCATACCATTGTCTCTCACCTACATTCGCAAAGTCCTTTGCGCATGCCTGGGCCCTGGGTAACACTTCTGCTATTAGATGTACATGTCATCCTTTAAGTCCTCACTGCTTTCTTGTCCAGCATTTCTCTCTTTTCATGTTTGCTGTCCATACCTTGCTATTTTTGTACTGGTATGTATTCACTCGTAGCTAAGACCTGGGGTATTTGCAAAGCTGGATCTCGGCGAACCTAAACCGTATCATGATGCACGATTCCAACCTCAGTACAATATATATGTGTATATTAATCTATGATTACTATATAACCTATCTTGGTGCTGCGTTGCGTTCTTTATACCTGTCCATGATCATCGCCACTTCTCCCAGTGGGGTACTATATTGTTCGTCGAGGAATTTCTGCATATTCCTCCGTGTAACCTTGCATACTTGATCATCTCCCTGCACACCTGACGTCGAAATCAGTTGATGCCTGTTCAGATTGAAGGCAGCGTGACGTACAGACAAGAGAACGGTCGATGATTGCGTACAAACGGGCGAGTGCTTCATCGAGTGCTGTTTCCCCCTTATTCCTTGCCATTCGGACGGCCGTCATGACTCGATCGACGAGTCCAGTATATAATTCTCGGGCCTTCATTGGACTAAATTGTTCCTCATTCAGATCCTGGGCCTGATGTGAGACAATAGTTGTGATCTTTACGAAGAGTCAGGGTTGTACTCACCTTCATTCGTTGAAACATTCCTATGCCAGATTCCCTTCCAACGATGTGATAGTGCTCCTCCAGCGCAGCGCGGAGAAGTCCCTTGAACGAACCGCAAAACTCCCTGCGATGATACAGTCAATGTAAACAGAACATATTGACGGAAGACCTTACCTTTGCATTGTCAAAAGGGCTGACAAGTACTGGTCTCGCGCAGGATAGATGGTATCAAATGGATGTATAAAGTTACATGCATTGTCGATGTGTGGTGCAATTGCTGTCGTTCGTTGGGCTCGGTTCTCTGCACAGAAATGAAGTTGACGTTCGGGTTGTCTCATTCGTGGAGTAGACTACTTACTGATAGATCGAATTGTGTCGTTGCAAATATTCGAGATATCCTTCAATCGAGTCAATAGATCGTAAACCATGCGCCACGGTGCTTACCACGACGAGCGAATGGAGCTCTGTTCTTATGAAATCGTTGAATAACTTGTGCCACATACTTTCTCGATAATTCAGATGAGCAGCTTTACTATCACGAAGCGACAAACCTTGATGCATTGCCTTCTAACATTCCGTGGACGAGGTCCTCGTTAAGATCTGTCGATCGCCATTCACCCTCTCGGCGCATGAGAGAACGGTAGCTGCGCCATTGATGATTCTCTCCGAGCATCTTGATGGTGTTCAGACTGCGCTCAGCTGCCTAATGGACAGTCAATATTTCATGAGCATTAACCATTCATTTGCAGACGAGGGGTGTGATGCTCACCCTTTCGGCTTCAATTCGAAGAGCTTGTTCCAGTTCATTCACGTTGTTGTCGATCTTTGCTCCTGAAGTTTTGCGTATCTCGTCGACAGTCTTTTGCTTGAATTAGTACATTCGTACTATAAAATAATAACTACTGGCTTACATCCTTGAGAGCTTCCACCAGGTTTCTTGCTGCATCCTCATAGGCTGTGAGCCTCGAATCTCGCCGTGAAGAAAGAAAGTAGCTCTCAATTGATTCCCACAGTAATGTTGACCTGTGCGCGTGGGCATCGATGTCTGAGATCGCTTTCTCGGAACCAAAATCATGAATATGACGACACAATTGCGGAATACCAGTCTAGACTCGGAAAATCGTTAGCAATAAGATTTGGTCAGCCAGAGGGGAGACAAACATCTTCGAGATCAGTAAAAACCACCGGAGCTCGGTATCGTCTATCCGTCAGTAAAAGTTGGGTGTAGTCCATGCTTCCAATGCAAAAAATCGGTAGCGAAGGGGGTCGACTGACAGAATCCTAACAAAAGAAGAGTTGACTTTGTACATTTCAGGAAGTTGATCTACACACCTGCTTAATACTACAGTACACTTGACGATAGAGCTCCAGAAAGACACTTCGTGCCCGAGCAGATCGTTGGTGCTGACAAAATATTCATGAGTAGATATCAAGGCATTAAATAGGTATACGCACTGCAATGTATGTGTCTTTGGCAGCTTTTGCCAATTGCAGTTGACTAGTTGTCTGGTCCTTCTGGATTGCGAATTAGGTCAGACCCATTCATGCTCGAAGTAAATGAACGTCAAACCATCTCTCTGGTCGAGCGTAGGCGCTCCGACAGTCCCGCGAACTCGGGACCATCATTCGGAGCCATGTAGAAGTTGAGAAAGAGCCTGTCCAATCGTTTCTCTTGCTCATCCAGGCTTTCGCTGAGATGGACGATCTCCTACTGCATGCATAAGTGTCGAGAAGCTTGTGTCAAATCAACATAGCTTGTGCACCTGACGCATTTTCTGGATTATCTGGCGTTGGTTTGAACAGAGATGATGTAGCTGGTCCTCGTTGATTCGTACCTAGTATAATTGTGAGGAACATGGACTAGAGAAGAGTGGCGACATACGTCCGCTCCGGTTAGCACGATCAACAGCGATTCTACGCGGCCGTCTATTGCGATCATTTGATGCAAGCTGCAACACGTGGGTGCACAGATCCGGAAAGTTGCTGAGCACTTACAATTTTTCGAAGTAGTTGTGCATGGCCTAGCGATAAAATTGACAAGTCAAATCAGATCAGTATGTTCATCCGTCTTACCTGGTCATCAGCCGCACGCTTGATGTCTGCAACTGATACAGATATTAGCGGTAAGACGAAGCCATTCATCTCGCTTTTCGAACCTAAAATTACTACCTCAACATTTTTGAGGTATTCTTTAGTACGCTTCGTTCTGTGAAAATACTGTCAGTGCAAGAAAATAAATATCCATAGTGCTACAAAACCTTGTTTTATTGGCATCCCCGAAACCAGGGACGTCGACGAGTGTGACAGCACCGGATGCGAGCACTTCAAACGCTCCGTAAATGCGAACACTAAAATTGAAAGTGAGGACACTACACGATCGGTGTCGTTGAGATGTTTACCTGTCTACCAGATGCCAGACAGATTGTTCCGACTGGAGGGCCTTGAATGATCACAGGGTCATCCACGGTTTAAGAACTGCGTGACGCACCGGTTGTTCTCCTGTTATATACGAAGTTAAATATGGCCGGAGCTGTGCATGATTTAGATCAATGGAGTACGAAATATCCATTGCTGACTTTCCTGCAATTCCAGGCTATCAAAGCCTGTGCCTGTCATCTGAATGGTGGTACCAAACATGGACGCCACGGGTTCGTGTTGCAGGAGTGCATATACGTCTTGATGGGGCGGGGGGAATGATAATGCACGAAGGCTGCAGCAAGCAACGGTGAATGAAAATTCAGCTTGAAGTCATGACTTACTGAGGATAAACCTGTACCGACAACGACATTAGCATAGCCCGCACAGTAACATAGAAAGAACATTCCTCTTTTAGGATGTCCCATGCATCCAACGCAGGCCTGAAATCGTCACGTTCGATCTTCAAAGCACCACCTTCACAGACAGCACTGCATGTGATGGATGTGATGCGGAAATAAAGCTTTCTGAGTGAACACCTACGTGATATCATCTAGAAGATTTTGCAGAGTCTATGGAACATCAGCCCATATGTCTGATATGTCTGGTATAAGAGAAGGTCGTGGAAACTCACCTTTTTCCACTCGTCTTTTTCGATGAAGTTAACGCTTGCTCTCCAAGTTGAAGGGAGCAAATCTTCGTAGATTATTTCAGTCTGAACAGACGTGCACGCGCTAGACGCGCAGCGTGCCAAAAGGGTCAGAATAAATAAGGCAAGTATCAGTGAATAAGCTGACCCCTGCGAGATGCAGTTCAATAATTCCAATCAGTGAGCGCTCAAGCTTAACGGTAGTAGTAGTAATAGGTAGTAATCATTACTCACGTCTGCTCGCGTTGATAACACTGGAGCACCCAATATGGCATTGATAGCTGTGCTTTTGCCAGCTCCTGTCCTACCGATAAAGGCAAGCTTTCGAGTCCGAGGTTTGCAGTTGCCGAGATCATGTGCTTCCGCTTTCCATCTCTGAAGGTCCTTGTCGTAACCCTCCCTTCCTCTTGGACCAACTTTTTCGAGCTCTCGTTCCAAATTCTTATTCATGCGCCAGATGAGGTTGTAACACGACTGTGCGTCGTGTGGCAATGACATGTATATCCCGCGATCTTCGACTTCCGAGCCGCATACTTCAACTTGTCCTTCCATGGACCGCCGTGCTACAGTCAGTGATCACTACTAGTCAATTGCAGACACAGGGATTGTTGAGGCTTGGAGGCTTGGAGGCTTGGAGGCTTGGAGGAAGATATATCTTATCGATCAAAGTGCCTTGAACCAAGTTGATCGATTCTGATTCCTCAGGTCTCCTAGCCGCATGAATCCTCCGACTTCTTGCAACGAGGTGTGGAATTTCTTGGGAATTTCCAACCACCGGCTCGCAACTTCCGCAACCATGATGTTGAAGATGGGTGCCATTTTATTGATATAGTAATGTGAATATGAACATATGGACTCATGATGGATGAGGTTGACAGAAGAGCGCTAAATGGTGCTAAATGATACCCAAATTGAATTTGAAATACCGCACCCTCACTAAGTTGCTCGTCGCTAAGCGCTAAGTACTGCCAGTGAGCGCTGAGCTTTGTATACGATTCAATCTGGACTCTGCATGTGCAAAACCTCTCAGGATAATGGTGCATTCGATTATTTCCCTGGACCAGGCTCATCTGAACCCCCTTTGCAACGAGGTGTTGAACTCCAGCCACCCGGCTCTCGACTTCCGCAACTACACAAGTTCCGGGTGTCGTTTTATCGGCCTAGTACCACTGGTAGTCCATCAGACTATCTTCCATCTTGTGCAACCTTATCAGCTAGTCCTGCGCAAACAATGCAATGATCGATGTTCAACATCTCAAACAGCCTTTTGATTGGGCGTTAGATCACATACTACCGGAGCTGAAGTTGCTTTGCACTTTGAAATGTTCAAAACGATCTATATCAGCCCCAACTCGAGTTTTATACCCACGATCCATCACGACCGTTCGAAATGTTGCATTCATACCGTGATGTTTTCCAGACCTTGCCCACGTATCGGAAAGGGAATAGATCGCCTCTAATTATGCATAATGTTGACCGCCCTCCTGATTTGCTAGGCAGACCTGCCAGCTCACAGCACACACCGAAGTAAAACAGTTTGCTGGCATCGCAAACAATTGGCATGACCAGATCAAACCATGATAGGGAAGCTTCATTACTGCCTCCGTTACAACATCATAGGACAGGCTGAAGTCCAGACAACGCTATCCTGCCTCACGCTGTTCCATTTGCCCTGAGTGCTCATGGACCTCTTCTCATTACCCGTACTCATCTAGAAGTAAGTTCTATCATGAAAATACACGTCGTTTGCTAATTATGAATGCAGGGAACATCCTGTAAGTCAGTTCCAATGTCACATCCGGCACCGTTTTTGCTCATCGGTGTTACCCGCAACAGTCCTGGGCAATGCTGGCCTCACTTTAACACGATCCATAGTCATGGAACGACCATTCTCGAGGACATCCTCCCATCCCCTTGGCAGAATTCTTCTTATCACCTTGTCACACTACCATGGAGGAACCACCATGGGTGATGAGTCGAGCTCCGATGAGGAGATCCGCCTCGCTGCAGCAATGCAATTCTCTGGATTTATAATAGGCTGTGTGTGGTCTGTCGATGTGTCAGGTTGTTGTTTCTTTGCCTTTTACAATATAATCGATGGTCTAGGACGATTAGATTGCACACACGCCGCGGTAGCGCTGCATTAGGCTGTAAAAACAGTGCGTAAGGGGATTCCACTGCAACAGTGAACCGCTTACCGCCGTTGTTAACTGTGCAGATCTGAGTGGTATATATAACTTGACAGCGGAAATTGAGATGCCGGGACACACATGAACCTTGATGGAGATTATACTAGAATGATATTCTGTTGCATTGAAACTATTTACAATGTGCATTCCGTGTGACAGTCATGTTTGTTTTCGACATGCTCTTGACGACCTTATTCTTCCTCAGAGTCAGAGTCACTGGAATCCGTATTCTCCTGTGCAAAGAGTCGTCAACTACACAATTGGTGAGTTAGATGCGATAACTCACGTTGATGTATATCGGCACTTCTGTGCCATCCTCGCGGAGAGGTGCCCACGGGACGGGAGCGGGAACCCACCTAGAATGTCCCTCAATTAACGTCAGTCTGACGGCAATAACGAGTGCACTCACAACTGTTCGCCTGTGCGTTCTGGGGATGGCGATGACCGCCTGTTACGAGGGTGCCTGACATGCAGAAGTTCATACAAGGGGGTAAAACAATGCTCGATCTTGCTTCCGTGGCGTGCTAATCCAGTTTGTGTGTCACTCCACCATCTCATCGAAGCCTTTGTTTCAAGAGTGGCCACGGGCGCCACAACGGGCGCGGAAGCCAGAAGAGCCATACTGATCTTTTCGCCGCCTGCACCTGTATCAGTGATTGATTTTCTTTGCGATAGGATATTGCTCTCACTTGTATCGGAGAGGTACAAGGAGTACGCAGGACAATAAAACACCTTCGTCACGAGATGCATGGACTGAAGAAGTTTGATGCTCGCGAGTTTCCCAAGAACATCAGACGTGATGTGTTTCATGCGAGGGTTATCCATGAGCAAGACAGCGCCAGTGGTGCCTTTCTTAACCTGCCATGTTCCTTTGATACTTGCTGCGGCAATCCCAGGTACGCCTCTGGTGGAAACGATCGGAACGCGATATTAGCATCAAGACAGGAGGATCGAACGCTAGGGAGTGGGGAACTCACGCATGAGAATCGACGCTCATCTCGATGCGCTTCACGTTCTTAGACCAAGTCGTGAATTCAGACTCATCCGGACAGTCTTTGGCATGATGCTCATCAGATTCAGGGTTGATACCTGCCTTGATGAGAAGAGGCCTGAATTTATCCGAGTAGATGTTGCCTTCGACGGACAAGTTCCCCGTAGTTTTGTCGATCCTTCCGTACGACCCAACCTGCTCGAGATTGACATGCAACAGATGGTTATTTAAGCCACAATAACTCGCACCTGCATTTCGGAGGGCGGGTCCCAGTTGGCATACTTTCCAGTTCGATCGAATATAAGTTCGATGAACTTGCGTTGCGCATGCGAATTGGGTTGCGTGTTCCAGGACCACATTTGCATGGCAAGTAGTATGCTTTCAAGTTGCCAATGAATATTGACCGCGAACTGGAGGTATATATAAAGAATGCTCGAGGCAGTGTGCTACTGCATCAAGGCAGTATGCTGCTGTGCAACCATAACAAACAGGCGTAAAAACTTGCTGATGGGCCTTGTCACGACACAGCACGTTGAGTGCATCGAAGCTATCTGCTTAAATTCCAATGGAAGTTGCCATACACCTGTGTGCGACTTGCCTAATCTAAATCGGGCTCTTTTGCTGCGCCTTTTGCTAATCAACCACTTACTACTGCAAGTATCTCTGTCGAATTTGCCAATTGATTCCTGCTTCATCACCTTTCCGAGCTACCGCAATGCAATTAACTACCTCAAGACTGGGGGGTTCTGGTCTGGGATTCGACCAGGGTGGCTAATTTACGCTATTGTAATTTGAGCACATGGTTTTTCATGATCTCCCGATAACTTGAAGGTTTAATTGAATCTGGATGTTAGGTATCCGGACCGCAGTTGAATCTATGTGAAAGGGCCTCGTGTACACCGCCTTGAGCATAGTCAGCTTCGTAATGACCTCGTGCCACTGGCTCGCTTTCAAGTCGATGATCGTGCAATCAACCATCACTCCGCTCGCCCTCTGCTCAAACTTCGATCCATTGGTGCGTTCACTGGCACGTTTTCCTGATCTATTTTATGCTCACCACTGAGATATTCTTAGCTGAGCTGGTCATCCAGTTTTGCGTTACTGGTACCCTCCATTGACTGATGAGCGATATCTAGTTGGCATAATTTCCGATACTTCAAGTTATGGGTGGACTGACTGAGTCAGGGCCTCAGGTGGCAATCTTAATCTGCCATTCGAACAAAATATTATTGTCATCAACCGTTTCGAGACAGTAGTGGGGCTTCCTATCCGAGATCATTGAGCCCCACGCTCGCGCTATCCCCCGGCTCTTCTGATCGATCTGTGTCTCTCAGCAACCTTACTATCGGCCTTTGAGAAAGATAAAAATCGCAGGGCTTTTGAATGGGGTCGTGAAGTTACTGTTCCAAGTTCCAAGTATACAAAGTAGTTCCACGTTAGTGAAGATTTTTGTGTTACTCGTGTTCGAGTTGCTCATCATATACCTTGTCACTGTACCAGTCACATTTTGTTTCCGCTTCGTCATACCTTTTCATACATTCCACCCACTAGCTCGATCGTGACATCGATAATCGCTTTTCGTGATCGTACAGCCTGAGGGTGAAGACATCGTGTTAACTTGGTACTCAATGACATGAGGCATTCTCCGACTGCTGATCATTGATATTATCCCTAGGCTAATAACTTGAACCCGGGAAGACCATATCTGAGATGTTGGAGCACCGGGAAAGATGCACCGGTGACTCTAACAAATATCAATCAAAGATCGGCAGAGTCGAGCTCTCTTTAAACCCACTTCTTGATGTATTCCTTCGAGACTCTGATATCCTCTCCATCCAGCCGCCTCAATGCAGAAATGGTCACCTAGATGTAGGTCTCGAGTCCCGAGTAGACTCGCTCAATCGGACCTTATGAAGAAGAGGTACTTGAATGAGAGTCGAATCCCCTACTGGTCCTCGTTGGTGCAAATATACAGAGTGCAGCACGAGCCCATTTAAGCTGCGGATCAATCAAATTTTCGTCCTCAGTGCGAGAGTTTGGACTGATCGTAAATGGGGCGTTAAACTGTTGCAGTCACGATAACAGGGCAGAAGAGAGAGGTCCGTGTTCCTCACGATCAGGCTGTTCACTGACGACACCTCACTTCCCAGTCATCTAGAAATTATACTCATAATGCCATGCATTGTGTTTCTCGCTCTATTAATTTCTTAATTCAATTCGATCGATCTTCTCAAAAATGATACATCTGTCACGGTGGCAAAGATTTAATAGTCGAGCCATGGCGCCCATCTTCACAAGGATCATACACTGTTCCATTTGACAAGTAGCTGCATAGACTGCAACACCACGTTACCAGTATCTAAACGCCGCAGCTAGGCTTCAAGTTGTGAGGTATCGCTAATTATTCGAATCCCCAATTTCGGCACCCCTTAAGTAACCCTCGATTGTCCTCTGTACACGCTGAGGTTTTAGGTACCTTGACTTTTATTCAAAATATCAGTAGAGCTGTTTATGATGTTTGTCCATCGATAAGATTTCAGCTGTCTAGAAACTTGAACCTCAACAATTGTAAAGTGCAGCTGACTGTGCATCCGACCGATCATCAATATTCAAGCCCATAATGTGCCCTTCAGAGTGCCCAGTATGAATGCACAACAGGAAGTAGTGAGTGTGGAAGAATTATGGTCAATATAGCATAATTGATGTGCCACAAGTAACGCATTTATCATAAATTTATGTATTACAAAAAGAATTAGGGAAAAGGGAGAAGAATTGGGCGAGTATTTGAGCTCGCTGTCGAGGACAGCGAGCTCAAGGCTCAAGCGTTGTGTCGTCGCACAGTATTACCAAAACAGGAAGTCCCGCTAAAATTCACACGTCTCGGCAACGGTACGTATGTGTGAAAATGTTGTATGTATGTGTGAAAATGTTGTGTATGTGTGGATTTTGTGTACAGAATATTTGAACTGATCCAACGCCATACTGGCGTGTTATGCTGACCGCGTTCTACCAGATACATTTATGTAACCTACTGTACAAAGTGGTATCGTACAACATTAAACATACAGACATGTTCGGCACTGCCGAACTTCTGTGGTGTCGCGTAATCAGACCTATTAAAGGTTGCTAACACAGTTATACGCAGGTAAAGAGTGTGAATATATAAAAGCAAGCAAGTAAAGTGAGACTATAACAGACGTAGATAATGAAGATGTCCTTGATATGTAACACTGGTTTGACCCGATTATGACAACTCGGGACTGGCGCTGTTGGCGTTGTGGGGGTCACTGTAGGGGTATGGAGCTAGCCTTATTGATTCCTCGGTGAGTGACTTATCACTATCTGTCACTGACCTACCGCCGACCCTAAATGCCTGTGCAAAATCCATCTTCTTACTTGAGTGAGTTGACGAGGCACCACGGGGGCGGGTAAAGAAGAACTTGAATGAGCCTCCTATCTCTGTGACAAAATCCCCTGGTAGTATGTTAGGCAATAATTTAGGAAGATATCATAGAGCGCTTACAGTAATTGACGCTATGAAGATATCAGCAATTGAAATATTCATCAATCATGGAACATCGACGCACCTGTCCCATAATGGACGCCATATGCTCGTCTTCTTGTTTTCTGCCACCTTGTATTCATTGACTGTGTATGCCCACATCATTAGTACTGAGAAGAAAACCATCTGTCGCGTGATAAATCAACACGAGGTTCCCGCATTGTATTCAGGAGGTGGTAACTGACCTCGATGCAAATGGCCAGCGCATTAAGACCATCTGCGATATTGGCCGCAGTCCAGTATTCGGTGGCTTCGGCGCTCATGTCAGCATTGAGTAAATTAGAGTTCTGAAAGGACACACCTTTGATAACGCGACCTTCCAGCGCGCTAAACTGCAAATAACTCGGGCGTAAAGTGGGTAACAACTACAAAGGCGGGAAGAGCTCACGACAAAGGACTGATAAAAAGTGAACATCACGATGAGCTTGATGGAGAGAAATTTAGCCATTGGTCGTCGCCCAACCAGTTCCTCCTTGGTGAGTCCGTAAAACAGCAAAAGACCATAGAGTGCCACACTATTCACGGGAAAATATGTTATGGGTCCGATCTCTATCACATCATGGGTTGGACATACCTGATACTGGCGAAATCAATGGCCTCGAGATAGACATTGGCAAAATATATGCTGTAAGGGCCGGATTCGCAAAGCACGTTGTATACTTGACAGACGATCCCAGCGATAGATACGGCTGCTGTAACGTGAGATGTTTATCTATGCGTGGGATAGTTCGACCTCACCTGGTCGAAAGATAACGTATTGTAAAACTGACCACTATACTAAAAATGGGTATTTGTCAAAGCATTCAGTAGCCGACTTACCTTGACGGTGTACATGAAGTAAGGCTGAAGAAGCGTGTGAGGGAAAGACTCCTAAGGCATCAGCAACAGCATACCTTTGTTGGTCGATAATTCCAACAGCAGAACTATGAACGAGATTAACATGTAGTTATAAAGAATGTGAAGTGAAATACGCACAGGGATCGGTAAACGTCTTTTACCCTTTCGTTCAATTGCCTTTGTGGCATCGCGACCTGCGGCTGTGTCTGCCACGAATTCGATTAGAAGGAGTCTGTCATACGGTCAACAAGTAAGCAAGAGATCTACGCAATCAAGAAACAAACCACAAACAGGAATGCGCTTAAGGTGACAGCCTAATCAAATGTTTGTGAGATAATGGACAAGGATGGTGTACACGACAATCAATTACCTCGTATGCTAAAAGGATTAGGGCGCTATCAACTCAACATGCGACAGTGCTGTCACGACAACGTACCGGTTTCAATGAGCGAGTAGTACGTGTAACTCCGGAAATATCGGTAGGAAAAGAATGAAATAACAGCGTATACTGGTGGCATGTACAGGATTCGCAGACTGAAAGGCGTGAAGAAAAGCACTCAAGGAAGAAGTGACGGACGCACATTTGACGCTGCTCGTTAGGTTTGGTATAATTTCTGATGTAACGAATTGAAATTGAAAGATACTTTCAACATTCAAGGCGCCTTACCGACAATGCCCCAAGACTGAAATCATAGAAATAATAACTGTCTGGGTGAGGTCAATGGTAAACCACTTGGGACATATATGAACCAGTGAAGATGAACATACTAGCATAGCACATCCTCCCGCGATTGCCCATCCTATTCGATGTTCGTCCCAGTTCAGATTGCCAGAGCTCCAGAAGCTGGTTTGGTCCACGGCTACAGTGTTATCGGACGGGCAAGTAGGCGCCATAATAGGTTGTGGTGGTAAAAGTCTGTGTCGGTATTATTGTTGTTCCACTGAGCAGATATTACAACGGTGGGTATAAGAGAAGCTAAACCAGTAGCTGAAGCGCTTGAATCGTTCGAGGAGGCGAAAATGGACTACGTTTACGAACTCTGTTTGTACAAAGCAATGCATGTTTACGTAATGTTATGACCTTGTTTTATCTTCTTTTCTCGCCTTGTGTAACGTCCAACTCTTCTGAAGGCTATACTAGCGTGCCATGGGCCTACGACTTCTTTGGCATAGGGTTTCAACTGATCAAGTCGTCTATTCCCAGATTCCTTCCAGCAGTGCTAGAAGCGAAGACTTCAACTGGCGCTCATGCACTTCTTTTCGGTTTTTTAATTGTGCATAGGCGCTCAGACTATTGTTTCAATAGGCCAGGCCTCAGGACCCGCTGAGTCAAAACGTTGAAATGCTGAGCACAGGCATCGGGGAGCATTTGTGGTATAGCCTCAATTTCATATGTTGCCAAATCTCATACGCGGCAGCTGTACATGTGCATTCTTGGAGCGCTTGGTCTATTATCATCACAGCCATCGCCCTGGTGCTTCCAAACAGAAATCACAAAGCGTGCGAGGTTTACTTCTTCTTCGGAACCTTGGCTTTTGCCTTGGCGGCGGGAGCCTCTGCGGCAGGTGCAGGAGGTTTGGCACCTTTATTCTGCAAGATTGACAATTTATTGGTGTTAATGATCGTTAGACAGGTCACGCACTGGTGCAGGGGCACCCTTGGTGGGTGGGCTTGGTGCTCCGGAAGCAGCACCACCGGTAGTAGGAGCGCCTGAGTGTCAAAATATCAAACGCCTGTCAGACGCCACCCAAATAAAGACAACGTTCAGGCATACCAGTCTTAACAGCTTTCTTTGCAGCGGCCATCGTGTATTATTTGCACGAGAGAAGAAGTATGAGCGAGGATGTGGTTGTGGTAGTCGAATGGAGTACAAGCAGACAATCTTTTATAGCCCTCCCGCAGCCCTGCCCTCACCTTCGGCAGAGTTCGTACCGTTTCTCCCTGTGGATCGCAAATTACGCAGCTGCATTCAGTTCCGGAACTATCGATGTCCAAGATGAGTTTGGACTCTGTCAGTTCAGGATATTTTCGCGCCATTTACGCTCTGATCTGTTTGTGGCAGTTCCAATGATCTCTACTGGAGGGAAGATACAGCGGAAATGAAGCCAGCAGAGCTTATCCTCCCAACCATCTCCTTTCCCCTTATCTGGGAGCTGCGTACGTTGAAACTTACTATATTTCATCACAAGCTCTGCAGTTTGGCTGTTGGTCTGCATCCTGAAACGGATAGTTCACCTTGTGACAGACCACACTTGTACCAAATACCATTCTTAATCACTCCTCTACATCCCCACCAATCGCATCATAGCACGGGCGTTTTTATGTGTGACTTCTCCCCTTGCGCATTCATTTCGGTGGAAGTGCCCTTCCCTGTGACCTCGCTTCTTGCCCGAGCTTATCTACGTGGAAGTTAGGATTGCGCAATTTTGGCCTTCCAGTCTGCCTCGGGAAAGACGCGAAACATAATCACATCTAAACAATAATTGTTGAGGCGCTTACAGAACATGATTTCCTCATGACACAATCATGTTATCCTCGTTACTCTTCACACCACCCTGAAAAATCACTATGACATGTCCCTAGCACGAACACAGGACCTCGGTGTGAGTATTCATTGTGTACATTCTAGGCTTGTCATACGGGGAATAGGTATCAAGTTATAAGTCCATCGCCGGGGAAACCCCCTTCACAGAATCTGGATCCTCCATCGCACTCATCGATACGATCAACTCAGATAGGCAGTGTAGCTACTTTTCATATAGATCATGAATTCAATTGAAATATCAGCGATCACGCTGTCCTGATGAAACACTATCAGATAAGAGTGCTATCTGCTCCTACCACGTCCTCGATGATTTGAACAGGGTGCCTGTCTCTCCATTCCTCTAGCCCCTTCTCTAGAATTCGGTCATTGAGACCGTTTGGGACAAGCGTGAACGTCACGCCTGGTGTAATTGATGTCAATTTAAAGGTATTTCATCAGCTCGTAAGTTCACGTACCAAGTTCTTCTACTTCCTGATTCCTCCATTCGTCGTCGAAGAACAGCTACCCAAACGTGCGTGACAGCGACATCCATGCATAACTTTCACCTGCTTACCATCTCGTCATAGGGTATCCCAGTCTTCTCGTGAAGTTTCTTGAAATGTCTAATCTTCGAAGAAGGGTAAATCTCCAGCTGGTCAAAAAACTTAATTGCGGGGACTGGTTTCGCGCTGCTGTCGCTACCAGTCCTCGGAGGTATAAGTATGAGATCCAAGGCTTCACGAGCTCTTCGGGTACAACATGTTAGTGCAAAGCTGCTAGCAGTAGTGGAATCGTTCAGATCACTCACAATGACGGCGCATCTGTCCGCGAGCATGCAGCGATCGTCACGCCTGCTGCTTGTAGGCGATGCATGATCTGTGGCACATCCCTGTAGAAGTCGATTGCCTTGGGATTGCGCTGGCTATCGGTGACTTTGCCAGTGACGTGGTGTCGCCTCAATGGGGGATGTACGTGAGTATCAATCCAGAAATCCCAAAGCGTATAGCTACATATTTTGCGATCAGTCACAATCGAGTCTCGATGGGAGGCGTCCTTTACTCTAGATCGAAAGCGACTAGTTTGGGTAGCCTGGTCGACATATTGGTTACTGTAGAGGGACGGTCCTGAATACCACCACTGAGACTGAGTGTCTTTTGCATCGCCTCATTTTCCCAGGCTCTCAAAAGCGTCGACGACGATCAAACATTCTACCTCGACGATCCAACGAAATCAATGATCTTCGATCAATCCCGGACTCGGAGGCCCGGCGGGTTTCAATAGTATGAGCAAGTACTACTTACATAAATGAGCATTGCAACCTTCCTCCTCACCATGGCATTGCGGCGGGTTGAGTATGTAGCGCGGAGGACTTTTAAGTTTTGACTGAGTGTTTTGGGCCTTGGCAGCACGTACTGGTACGATTTGACGAATAAGTACTCTCCCTTTTTTTCCGAGTCTTCAAACTTACATAATTGTACGTATTCTGAACTAGTACTTGCTTTCCTTTGCTAGCTTAGACCAGTCAAAGTTGGCTTCGAAACCTAAATGTGAATGTCCTTCTATTACCTCTTCTGTTTCGGCCACAGTATGGGTATGACTATAACCTTTTCAGCTGCGCGGACCTGCGCCAGCCCTCTTCTTGGACCAGGATCAAACCAAGATCATGGATGCTACCATGATCTGCCTTGCGGCATGGCCACAACGTCGTATCCAGTGGTATAATCAACCTCTTGCAGTTGTGATCAAAGGTTTCACCAAAAAACATTTATCATCATTCTGTCCCAATGATCATAAACTCGTGAGTCAGTTCTCAGGTCCAATAGGGTATCGCCCAAACTAAACAAGTTTGGGCTCTAATAGGCATTAGTGACTCCGGATTGACAAAGTGACTCGGAGTCTCGGACACTCAGGGAACCGAGGAAGTTGGGACGTAGTGGTATGAGGTAATTTTAAAGTACAGTTATCAGGCAGGCAGACTCGCAATTACGAGATTGAAAATATTTGTTTGATAGATCCCATAATCGACGACACCCGGGCCAAGCCAGGTGACGCTCTTGACCTGGATCTACTCAGTATCAGCGCAACTAGCTAGACATGCTGCATTCCTTGTCATTCAAATATTCCTCTCTGCTGACAAGGGCTTGCTCGAATGGTCGGACGCTCTCAACTTTACCTGCCTTTACTTCGTTAGGCTGCCTACCCACGACGCACTCACCAGTCGTGTCAAAGCTCGCGTTCTTCAATTCTGTAACTGGCGACGGTAGCAAGATACCAAATTATAGGGTTCTCGATACGCTTGGTGTTCCAGTAGAAGGTGCTGAAGTGCCTGAGGTAGGTGTTGTGCCCTTCCATCTCCAAACAAATTCATTGACATTCGAAATTCATTCAGATTAGTAAACACTTCGCGCGGCGATTGTGGGTTGTTTTCGCACTGACTCGGGATTGTATCTTACAGAGTCTTGAAGATATGAAAACATGCAGTTGCTTCCTACGCTGGATGATATACTTTGCAGTGGTCAACGCCAAGGCAGAATACCCTTCTATGTACGTGGACAAGAAGACGCCTCAGATATTCCCTTACATAATTTAAATTTAGGCGACTTCCGTAAGATAATTGGTCGTGCGGGTATGAATGCTAGTCGCTGACCGTCATATCTCCCAAGTATGGAGAAGAGGCTACTGTAATTGGCTCTGCTGCTGCACTTGCTGATGATGACGAGTAAGTTTCTCTGGACACGTAGTCTCCTTTGAGTTTCAACGAGACACTCTTGTTTCCAGAGTATTATGTTGGACTAATTTCTGTGTTATTTATGTTTTTTGCTAATTCTGCCACAGCACAGTATCGCGAAACGGGGGTGCTCTTGTGGCGTGGCTTCAGTCTTGACGGTATTATGGCGCAAGTTTTCGGAAACCATGAAGATTCTGGCAAAGGCCGCCAGATAGCTGTGGCATGTCGCCTTCTATTTTCCCTTTCGCAGCTTTGCTCAGTATCTACTGACGCTCCCTTAGCATTACAGCTCCAAGCAGCATCATTTCCATACCATATCTTCTCCGCTCGCAACTCAAATACCACAAGCTGCTGGAGTCGGATTTGCACTTAAACGTGACCCAGCGAGACGCTCCAAAAATGTGGCCTGCGTGTTTTTTGGGGAAGGCGCAGCGTCAGAGGGGGACTTCCATGCTGGAATGCTTTTTGCTTCGACAGTGCCCTCGCCGACATTGCTTCTAGCAAGAAACAACGGTTTTGCTATCAGCACCCCGAACTCGCAACAATTTTACGGCGATGGTATCAGTGCAAGAGGCCCAGGTAACCTGATCGCGCCTCGCGCATTTGTGTGAACAGTAATCGAACATCACCCGCAGGTTATGGCGTGGATACGGTTCGTGTAGACGGAAACGACGTACTCGCAGTAATGAACGCTGTCAAGGAGGCACGAAGGCGGTGCTTGGAAGGTGGTCGGGCAGTTCTAGTGGAGATGATGACTTACAGGGTTAGCCATCACTCGACATCTGACGACTCGTATGCCTATAGGGAGCGTCAGGAAGTCGAAGACAGAAAAAAGAATGACAACCCCATTACGCGATTTCGCCTATTCATGGAATCTCGGGGATGGTGGAACGAGACGGAGGAGGAGGAGCTCGCGTTCCGTCTGAGACGTGATGTGATAAAGGCATTAAAGCGCGCAGAAACTGTCAAAAAGCCTGACCTAGAGGACATGTTCACTGACGTATACGCGGAGGAGCCCTGGAATATAGTAAGTATATGGATGGGTCAGTGACGCATACTCATTTTGGCTACAGAAGGAACAGCGGGAGGAGCTGGTGGCACTGCTCAAGAAATATGGACAAGTATGGGAGCCGTGGCAAAATGAACTCAGGGCCCTCGAGAAGGACGGAGGGAAGAAACTTTCGGATTGACGATCGACATGCATGCACAAACATTTAATGACTTCAATATGTAACTCACACTGGTAAAATTTGGTATGACTATCGGCTATCGACATCAAATTAAGCTCCAGGCCGACAATCATAAGTGGGTAATCATAGTCGAAGGCTGCCAGTCCAGCGGCGCGCCATGACAAGGCGAGTACAAGGTCCTGATCACTATCGCCAAGAACCAGAACAAGAAACTTTAGAAACAATGGGAAGGGCGATGCGTGGGTATGAAGGGATACGCAAGGAATAGATACGCAATAAGAACCACAGACGGAGCGCACGTACTACTTATCGATAACGATTCTGGAAGAGGAAGGGGGAATCAGATATGTAACTTAACACTGCAAAAGTACAGAAGCGTCATAAAACCGAGGCCAAGGATCCGAAACACGATAGACCAAAAGAAGCGACATTCTTATCTTACGTAAAGATACACTATCAGACCAGGATCAAGCAGTGCCAGCGTAAGGGTCATCATACACCTGAGTGTAACGATTGTTTTGCTCGCCACCCTCCTCGGTGCAGAGGCTGGGAGTGTACAACGTCCGCATACCATTACCGTTGTAGCTGGCGGCTGGGACAGGGAATGCCAAGGAACTAGGGGGAGGGGACTTCATTCTCCGTTCGGCATAGGCGCGGAGCATCTCGTCGGGAGACATAACGCTAGCAGGCATGGGCATCATAGCGAGACCTGATTCCGGGGCAGGATGCGCTGGAACGGGAGGAAGAGGCATGTCGACGCTCTGCTGCTCCTGGGGCAGCAAGTAATCATCTCCACTGGCTTCATTTCCTGTGCGCATCACTATTTTTAAAGTCAACTTTCAAGTACACAGGAAGCAACTTAAGAAACCTACTGCTCAAGGATGGCCAAACTTCATCCATACTAGGACGTGCCTCCGATGCTCCACTAAGGGACATACGGGCACGAATATCATCCGGAGTGAGAGTAAAGGGTCCCTTAGTTTGTGTGGGAGAGAGATCTCCCGTCTCTTCCTTATCGTCGTTAGAAGGAAGAGGGGGCACAATGCCAGTATGGAAGGCACGACTGGTTCCAACGGTGCGACGAGACTCTATTGATGGACGAATGTCTGTAGCGAATGATACTCGCGATACCCGCTCGCCTAAGGTAGTCTGAGAACGCAAGCCGGGACGTAGTTGAGACATCCTTGGCACGTCCAAACTGGCTTTGTCTGATATAGAAGGAACGCCTTCGACAGCAGCAGCAGTGCTGACGGGGCGAATCGGACCAAAGGAAAACGATGAGTTGCGATATCCTCCACCTGAAACTGCCATGCTGTGACGAATAGCTGCCGAAGCACCAGCAGCAGACATGGACTTCCAGTCCACGGAGATTGTCGACATACGCTTGTCGATGACCTCGCTGAAGCGCCTGCTCTTTTCCTTGGATTTGGCGCGACTTAATTTGAAATAGACGGCTATGCCCAATCCGATGACAATCAGCGGCACCAGGACGCCGGCAGCGATCTTTCCGCCAGAGGAAGAGCTGCTGGAAGGGAAGTTTCCGACATAAGTGACACCATCAGGAGAACTGAGATCGGCGCTGGCTGGGGTAGAACCGTCGGATGGTGCAGTATATGTAGCAGTAAATACAGGGCCCGCAGGAAAGGGGCTAAGGAATGGTTGTGTGTTGGAAGTGACGATGGAAAGCTGCAGGTTGACCGTGGAGGTGTCATTCCACCACTTGGTCTCGAGGCTGGTCTGATAGTTTCCCAGGGCGTAATTAACGTTTTGCCATTCGTGAATACGGCTGCTAATCAAGCTGGGGGCGATAAGATAGATATCAACACCTTGTGTATTGGACAAGCAGGATGTGTCCCAGGTGATGTTAAAGGGACTACTGCTGTTAACGGTTTGACCCTGAGAGGGGCTGATATAAAAACCGCCCGTGGAGCATGCTGCGAAGATCAGATCTAAAAACGCAACGCACATTTCATTTATTCGTAAACTCACAAGAACGCTTTTGGTGCGTTTGTGGTGCACCAGCATGCCCAATGCGAACGTGCGCCAATCCTCGTTTGTTCATATCGTTGAAATGTAGATTTTTTCTTATAAGTTTGGGTATAAGAACCCCTTCCGAAAAAGAGCGTATCCGCTGTGTGGCGCGGTCAAAAGAAAGGAATGGCGGGAGGTATGTAGCAGTAGTAGTGGAAATAGGGCTGGTTGTGATGGAGGCGGTCAGCATCATCACGTATTTGAAATTTAAACTCAGCTAAGACCCCAAAACACCCCATGGCAACAATTAAAACGCCAAAGCAATAGTTGACAGATTTGTCTTGTACTTGTCTGGCCAGACAACTTGTGGGATCATAAGGTGCAAATGAGCAAGGTGAGCGCAGAAGTCGTGTTCGGAAAGTTTGATATTATTTGCTTCCTTCACACCAAGGCTCGAGGTTAAAGCATGTATGAATGTTGGCTGACAAGGCAGGTGTCTGCCATCCGCATCTCCCGACATGTGACATATCCATGTATTGGCGCTCACGCGTGGTCAACGGATCACCTCATGAACTAGGGCTGGGGGCTCTCACGTCTCCTTTAAAGTGCTGGAGGCACGCTAATTCCGCTCCAAACTGACAGCATGAGTGGCCTCGTATTTTATGCTCCACCAGTAGCTCCTCTACTTACTTCGTCGTCGTCCAGCAACGTACGGTGCTATAGATATTCTGGTTCAGCTAACAACGAAAGACATGTGGCTGACTTATCAGGCGATGTCGTCGCAGACACAAGCGTTCTGACAACATCAGGAGGTATCACGGATGTTTGGAAATGTACATGGTTCAAGGACACCGGCTCCACGAAGGTTCGTTTTGGCTTACACGGAGCTGTTTTGAGACTCATCTGGCTGGTACAGGTTGCAGTGAAGACGTTCCGGATCGAGAGCACAAACCAGGGTGAACTCGCCAAAACACACAAAGCACGTACCGATGTTTATATCTCAGAAGCCTCGATATAAACCATGATATGATAGAGATGGTCACAGCAAATCCATGCCTGGGCGAAGCTCGAACATGAAAATATACTTCCTTTATATGGCATTGTCATGGACTTCGGCCCCAATAGTATCAATAGTCCATCCTTGGAAAGAAAACGGAACCCTCTCGACTTATTTATCATGCAAACATGCAACATTAACTGTACAAGATAAATTCAAACTCGTTTGTGTCGGTTTCTCATTGCATTACTACCTTGACTAAGACCTCCTGCTTGCCCCTGCCGAACAATAGCTTGAAAACATCGTCTCGGGACTTCACTATTGTACGTTCAGTCGTTTCCGTTCAATATTTGACGTGATCTTGAGCTATGCTTCCTCTCCGCAGTGCACTCTCATGGCATTGTTCATGGAAACCTTTCTGGCGTAAGGATAATTCTCATTAATCTCGCAAATCAATCTAACATATATCTGAAGAATAACGTGCTGGTAGATGCCCTTGGCAGAGCCAGTCTGGCGGACCCCGGTCTCAGTGTGCTAGTCCCAGAAATCTTAGGCATGTCATACTTTCGCCTGTCAACATCTGGCGCTACACGGTTCGCTGCCCCCGAGCTTTTCAAAAAGTCCAGTCGCGGAGAAGTGCCCTGGCCAAGTATATCCAGTGATAGGTATTCGCTGGGCAGTATCATTTACCTTGTAAGTCTGTCACCACGCAAATACGCGCTTTGTCAATAAATTACGCAGGTCCTTTCGGGCTCTCTACCATATTCCACCTTGAAGGACAGTGATGTGCTCGTCGAGTTGCTTCTAGGAGTCGCCCCAGCATCACCTTCTGATTCGAACAAGTCCATCACTCGGGAGCAGTGGCAGTTCATCCAAGGGTGTTGGTCAGAAATCCCCCAGAATCGCAGGACGACGAACGAAGCTCTCGAGTTTGTAGATGTCAATCTCGCTCTCTACGTCCCTTTCAGGGCTATATACTTGACTACAATGGAAATGCACTCGAGGTCGAGCAAGACAGACGGCTCAAAGCCTCGGTTAGTTTTGAGCCGCAGAGACTTCTCTCCGGGCGATGCATTACCTCTAGGCTAGTATACTCGACGACCGTCATCACGGTTAAGATTGACTTTTCTCCAGATATACAGGCGAGTTTGGCAGTCGGTTTGCGTCGCTCGCGGAATCCTGCGAAAGCTGCCGAGGTACGCGAAAAGTGACACATGTTACTGTTTCTCATTCATAGGCTCAGGCTGCTGTATCCGTCATTTTAAATGACATTTTCGACACAAGCCATATCGTACCTCAGTGGGATTCCAAGGAAACAGAAAACGCGGTAGTTAATCACACGTATAATGTTCTCGTCGAAGATATCAAGATGATCAGCGACGCATTACAAGTATTACAAACAAGCAACCCAAAGTGTGTGCTCATTCCTGCGAAATGCTGATAGTCTGTCCTAATGCCTAGCAGTGCGGTAGAGAAGTCCCTCGGTACTCTCCGCTCAACAGTCCAACATTTGTTATTTGACGAGAGACGGAAACAACGAGCACCGCGCGCCGCTTTCCTGATGATTGTCTCCAAACTGCAGGACTTTTTGGACGATCTTTGGAAGGAACTCTACGGGAATAGAGGGAAGTTGTCAACTCCATTCTGGGAATGGTTTGAGAAGTGGATGTCGATGATGAGAGCATGGGATAACTCGCAATCAGAGGCTGCCGTTCAGAATACTGCTACGTGCTTGCAATCCATCCTATCCTAACATGGATAGTAGTAGTACTAGCCTGAGTAGAAATATGCGTCCCGGATTACAATTATGCAGCTGTTGGCCGTTCTACTAATACTTATCAGCAGCATGTTTCAGCGTGATGATCGTTTGTCGGACGATGCGGACAGATGGGACAGGACGGACAGGACGGACGGAACTTGCCATGGGTACTGCCGAACATGCTGACAAATCATCAACCTGGCGCTGATGGTGTGAGTCACCGCTTTGAGCTCTGCCTTCCAAGAACCATCCCAATATCGTAGTATTCGTGACTCAAGCTCGAATGGCATTCGATCACTGGCACTGTTAGAACCAGATGTGAGTGCGAGGATAGAAGTATCATTGGTGATTGACCAGAACTCGTAGGGATCGAAGTCGTTGTCGTCGTCATCGTCATTTGGCAAATTAACGACAATTTTGAGTTTGGTGATAGACGAGAGGGTGTCTGCGATGGTTCGGTAAACCTTTCTTTCAGGACGTTTGAATCCAAACGTTTCTTCCACATCTGCCAAGATGAGTCATCGTAGATGTTGAAGAAACGTTTTGATTGACCGCCCCGACTTCAAGATCTAAAGTGAATTCAGAAGACATGACACACGTCAGAACGGGGATAAGGATGTACTACAGACTCGGCGGCGGGCTGTTTAATGGGCAAACGGTGTGTGTCAACTTATCAAGCACGGGAACGTGAGGAGGCAACTCACCATGGTGAGAAGTTGTTACTGCGGATCACGAACCTCTTGCAAGAAAGGTGGTCTGCTTCCTGTCCAAGACAAGTATCAGACAAAACCAAACTTGTAAGCATTCTCGTGGAGATCCCGGTACCCGCGCGCGTTGTCAAGATTCGCGGCAAGTAGAAACCATGCTAAAGAACTACCTGCAGAATTTGCCCCGGGTGGCACATAGCGGATCGTTCGAACTTCATCAATGCCGCACTCCTCCTGTGGTCGTTCAGGACCACTCAGGACCCAGATGAACCCATTGATGAGATGGGCTTCGTGGATGGCGCGTAATTATGCACCTGAGTGGGAAGGTGAGTGGCCGTGTTGTGGCTGATTTACTCAATGAGAAGCAGGCGGGAATGAAGTGTTTCCTCAATGGTGACTGTTTAAGGGGGTGGGTGATAGAATGCATTTAGAAGCGAGGAACTCATCATTGAGAATAGATCATTCTGGGAGTCTCATGCCTGGATATGAATGGCACTTCTCACTACTCGGTCAGTCCTACTTTGTCAATCACAGCACTTGGACCAAGGCGTGGGAGAATCTAACACCTGAACGTCCACTGACTCCACCAGGAGCTTGACGCCGGAGTGCATTATTGAGGGTGGTTCCCAAAGTATGTGGAATCTTGCCTGCTTGGGCACAGTTGCATTATAATAAGCGCATCGAATGATGGTTCAATTCGCCAGTGGTCACAAGACGGAGAGTCAGTGGGAAGGCCACGGAATAATGACGGAGGAGCAGCGTCCTTAATTGCAATGTCTCCGGATGAATCAATGCTCGTGAGCAGAAGCGCAGATGCGGCAGGCTAGGGCAGGCTACAGCCGTGGAACATCAGGAAGGGCAGCTCGGTCGGTGACCCGTGGAACTTCGGGGCATGATGCAATGATTCACTCGCAATGCCCTGGAGATAGTAAGGGGATCAGAACATGGCACCATGCGACGCTGGAACCCAGATACTGGCCAACGATTAGGGACGCAGCGACGCTCAAAGTTGGGTTGTCGTCGTCATTGTCGTGCTTCGCGACGCGGAAGAAGAACGCTGAGAGTCGCAATTGAATGGACAATCGATGTAATCTGGCAACTGCTGGCCCAAATAAAGTTACCGGAAAACAACGTTGTGCTATTGGGGAACTTCAAGAAAGGCGAGGTAAGTGAGTCCAAATGGCACAGCAATATGACATCACCACCAATAACGAGCGAATTAGATTCCCCTATCCAACCTTCATCTTATCAGTCATGCATGTTGCATTCGAGCTTCAAGCAGATTCACTGAAACTCAAAAAGGCTCCTCCTCTTCCTGTCACCCACCGTAATCCCAATCTAGCACACTTACAATCCGCCCCAGCACGTCGTGTTGCAGCAGCAGCCAAGCGCAAACACCGTGAGCAACAGTTGGCGGCAGTTGCAAATGTCATAGTGTGTTTGGGCTATCGTGCCTCCATTTTCTCGCATGCTAAATCTCTATACTCCCTACCTAATATGGAGGTGTGGAATGTCGCTCATATGGAAGGACTTGGTGCTGCCAAACATCTTAAATTGACGCTTGGTGTCGGGTTGCTATCCCCTCATATGTCTTTCGAGAATCAACAATGGGACCTTGAGGTCTCTGCAGTCGTTGACCGAGTAACTGAAGAGATGTCATTAGAAGTGTCGCATCCGCGAGCACTTCATGTTCATGTCTTGTTTGAATCAGGCTTCACACTTGGTCAAGCGCAAAGTTTGTGTCAAATGTATGCGCTTGATGAAAGTGAGTATAACCACCTGTCTCTTCCAACTCGTGGTTCATGATATTATAGCTGTAATTGACGAACTTCGTTTTGCCGGTGACTTACCATCTGCCACGACACACACAGTTGAATCTGTGCGTCGTAATGAGAATTTGCGAGACCTCTCTACCGGAGACCTATTATCAATGATCGGTAGAACATCATCTATCTCAGAGCTGGCTTCGTTGATCAACCCGGTCATTCAAGATGATAACCCTGTCATCATCAGGAGCCACCTCTACAAGATTAATCTATCACAATTGTCCTTCAGGAAGATTACATTCAATCAGCATCCATCAGTTCTTCGTGGTAATGCCATTGTAAATTGGGGGCGCTTTGTGTCCGAATTTGCACATTCAGCGCTCTCGCCTCAAAGTGTCGATATCCTGCGTCTTGAGCCATCTCTGGATGTACTCTTTGGCAGCATCATACATGCGGACAGCTTAAGACTGCCTTTGATCCTCGTCTTGTGTAACAATCTGCAAGAGTTTCAAGGTATGGAGGCATGTCCACACACAAAATCTGCGATGAAAGGCTCCCATTCAACAGATAATCCATGATAGTATCGTGTACTAGCACATGTCGCTTTCATGTTGAAGTTCTCCCATATGTCAAACCTCGGGTGCAAATTTTCAATCCTCGTTTCACTTCCGGAATGCATCCAGCTTGCTAGCTTCCATCAAGCACGGTCTGTTCGAACTTGAAGTCGATTCAGTCGAAGTTCCCCCAGTGACTCCCACTCTGAGACGGCATCCTCTAGCAGGGAAGATTATGTATCTATCGACAATGCGGATGCGTTCCGATGGATGAATGAGATAGTTGTGGTGATGAATGTGGCACGAGTATACATCGTGAAGTTCTGCCCGGCCTCTTCGGTGGAACTGGTTGATTGATGTTTTTGTACTGCGGGACCATTTCAAGACCATTCTCTGTACCTAAGTATCAGGAACTACAGCAATCATTGCTCATCAAAGGGACACTTTCAACGATATTCAAGTCGTCGATCCCAATGACAGTTCCCAGACCCTCAGTTCAGTCTTCACATCCTCTGTATCAAATCAAGCAGTTCGTGTCGTTCCAAAGTAACAAGTGCGTTCCCGCACGACTGTCCTCTTCGAGTCATCATCGCCCTAAATTTTCAGGCTATACATAACGTCCTAGGCTCGGATCCTCAGGGGGAGGCAAAGGTAGCTCGGTACATTCACAATTTCCAATACAATGTCCCAAGATCACACACATCCATGCAACGACCATTTCAACCCTGGGTGACAAGTCTTTCCATTTCCCTCGGATTTGCGACCTGAAAGCAATCGTTAAAAGGCCTGATGAAAAACAAAGGACGAATGTACCTTCCAACCATGGATAGCTGCTGCCCTCGTATACCCTGACAACGCCTCCTGTGGATGATACGGTCTTTAAGAGTCAGAACTAGGATCCTCTATCTAACAGGCGATAAAACGTACTGCTCCCAATTTTGGTCTAGCCGCGCAGGTTTGGGGTCGGTGCTCGAGATGGCGAGCTTGATTTGTAAGAGTACGGAAGCGATACTACATAGAGGGGTGTCAGATCAGCGTGAATGATACCCGCGAGATACACACTTGTAACTTGGAAGCCATCCTAGATACACGTTAGTACATGCTATCAAGGTCAAATTGACAGTCGCGACTCACCAGCTGAAGTTAGAAGATCCATACAAATAGATCCCCCTACATAAATACCGGTAAATCAGTGTGTAACAATAACTCTTCGGCGATACTCACCAACGGTGATGTGACCACCTCCGCCCTAGATACCAAAGTCAGCTACAGCGAGCATTTGAAAAATTCACATCGTACCTGCATGAAAGGAAGGAATCGAGGCATTACAAGGCGGAAGAACGGAGGAGAATGAGGGAACGTCGACGGGAAACGTATCTCGAAAACAAGCGAATTGACACCCCTTTTAGAAAGAGGGACGATCTATCAGTATAGTTAATTCCACAAGACGCAGCCCAAACTCACTTTGACTTCAAATCCTTCGCAATAGGCAGATCAGGATCAAACGAATGCATCTCCACCACCCACTGGAACAAGTTCTCGTTGAACTCGGGAGGCATGTACCATCCCAGTGTAGCAAGTGACTCCGCGCCCCCCTGTTCTTTCATCATCGCCCTGAACTCTTTCTGTAGCGCCATCGTCGCTCCCGGGGTCGAATCAGCAGGCGGAGGCAACAAGAGGTTGATATTCTTCTCCACCCAACTCGCATCATGTACCCAATCCTGCTTTGGTTTTCCGTTGACGTGTGTTCCGATGCTCTTCGGCTTCACTTCCTCTTCATCGGGTGCGTTAAACACAGCACTGTCATCCTCATCGAGGTTAAGAGGGACATATGCGTCCTGGCAAAGTCCGAGAAGTTTCTCAAGCTTGTAAGAAGGCTGTGGGATCTCAACTTGGGCATTCGAGAGTAGGGGACGACGATTTGGATCGTGTTTGATAAAAGGAACATTTCGGACCTTTGGCTTGGTGGGGGTGGGGGTGGTGGTATCGATGCTGGTAAACATACTATTAGAGTGTAAGTTATCGAATGTGTTGACTAGCAAGTATCGACTACAAGCAGACCGTCAGCCCTTGATGACCGAACTGAAGTATGACTCTTACCACATAATCCATTCCGTTTGCTTGACCACGTAATACGGGTTATATGAGGTAAATTTTTGCGGGAGATTGATGATCTCCGCGAGAGCTACGCAGGCTGAAGGGGCGATCGTGCTATTCTTCCAAGACTGCAAGCCGCCCGTAGCATAGGATCCCATCGAGATCACGCCGTCTTTGGCGAAGTAGACACCTGAACAGAATAAGATAGATCATTGACGATTACAAGATAGTCTGCTTGCCATCTCCGTATGCACGACCATTTGCTACGGTCTTATACCACAGTCCGTGCCGTATGATCTATCGAAATATCTCAGTGGTATCTTTCGAAGACATCTCGAATGACTTACGGAATGCCAGTTCCTCAAGGGTGACCCATGGAAAGCCTAATATGCCGCATCAAAAAAACCGCAACTGACGAAAGTACCAAGAAACATACATAGAGAGTGGGGTAATTCTTCGCATTAGAATCTCCACATGTTTCCTGTTCCAAGGCATATTTGAACTTCGCTTCTTTATCAGGGGCACCGACCATGAAGCGGAATTGTCGCCACTGCGAGCCTATACCGTCACCGAATAAACAAATGAACTGGAAGCAAGCGAATCGCATGTACCTATGTTCTGCACTTGATCTTCCTCTTCAGTTAACTCTTGTAGGTGTGCCGTGCAAGAGGCAACACACCTAGTGGGGTTTAAATTAGGTCAATGACTCAAAGGCATGAAACGTACCAACGCAAGATGGACCATGCGGCGGGCAAGATACTGGGGTCCATGTCCTTCAACTTCGGCTTGTTAGTCCCTACGACGACTTTCTTTTCAAGGTGTTTCTTCATGTCCCGAATCTGCATTTACTTGAACATTAGCGTCAGCAATGAAGAAAGATATTCGAACCGGAGGCAGTGTGTTGATGAGTTGCACGATTGCAGTACGCATTTCGTTGACAGCCAAGCTATCGAAGTCACGCATGGGATTTTGATAGACGGGGTCTGGAACCTTCAATAATAAGCCACGCGGAAGGGGCTCATCGAGAACTTGTTCTGCGGCAGCAACATAAGCGAGGGAAACCAGGAGATCTACCATCTCGGTATTCTTGCATATATCATACTGAATGAGTTAATAAGCAGATAATAATGATGATTCAAGCGAAAAGTCGCTAACCTCTAGGGAGGGCCCAAAGTTGAGGCTATAGTATTGGTATGCACACAAACCAGAGTTGCAAACATAAGGCTTTAGCGCCTCGAACACGGTATCGAGTTTCTTGTGACAAACGACACAATAACGATTGCATAGCTGCTCTTAAATCAGTGCAAGTCAGAGTGACCATCTCGATGGTACTGACTGTGAATCGACGGAGAAGGTACGCAAAAGCAGTCTCGAGTAAGTTGATGTGACCATCTTGGGTTTCCAAGGGATCATGCGGTAAGTAGCGAGAGCCAGCCAGACGTCGCTCCTCCTCCTCAGCTTGACGAAGTTCCTAGAAATAGAAAAAAGATGAATAGATGACAATTACTTATGTCGATCTAAGACGCACCTCCTGCATCTCCTTGACAAGAATTACGTGCGATGTCTGAAGTTCCTGCGATCTCCAGTGCAGTTCTTCAGCTGCGGCCCATCCAAGTTTGAACTGTCGTCGAACTCGGAGTAGTTGAAGAAAGTGCTCATCAAGTAACGATTCAAGCGAGCTGCTCAAACTAAATTTGTCAAAGGTGCTGTCATCCTCTGCCGACCCCATTTCGGACTCCTTGTCAACATCGATGTACTCTTCGTCCACTCCATCTTCGGCCCCGTTCTGCTGGTCGGACTGGAGACCGTATCGGCGGAGCGAAGCGACAACGTGTTCTTTTGACGGCTTGTACTGTCGAGAAAGGCCGACGTAGAATTTCAACGAAGTGGAAGAATGGATTGCAGCAGGGGAGAGTGTCCCATCACTCTGAACAGGCGGGTAGACACCCCAGAAACCAGAGATGACGAGCACGAGATGCTGGCGAGGACGTAGGAATTGGCTATCCCAAGACATTAGGACGTGAGCGGGAATTTTATCAGTTAATTCCACCACAGGGACAGAGATTGTCAAGAAGAACTCGCTGCTGCCACTCCAAATGGCTCCTGGGTTATAACCGGCTGCATAAGTGCCTTCGAAGTCTCTGTGATGCGTGTAAGTGAATAGTCATCTGGGTAGAAATTGGCGCACCTGCGCAAGACTGAGCGACAGATCTCTGGTCTGGTGAACGCACTCAGGTCCTCATCTACGGTCATATCATAATTGTGGTCATCTTCGCTGTCATCGTCACCAGAAATACTGATCAAGAAATGCTTTGCCACGTCGTGAATCGTACTGGGACTGTCGTTGAGTACCCCCGTCACAAATCTCCTTCACCTGCTCCCCATAACTCCCAGGTTCTGGTGAATGGCAGAAGAATGAGTGAGTGTTGGGGTACTCGGAAGTATCTTAGATATGGATGACGATCAGTACCGATGACACTTCCCCTCTCGATAACGACTAACCTGAACATAGGAGATGCATCACTATCCTTGTCCGATCTCTAGATTCTATGAGGTCAAACTCTACCGAGCCATCATCATCTCCTGCTCTGAAACCTAAGAACACCGATGTTAATGGTACCGAGTATCGAAGGCGCTAAGCCACACTTACTTTGCGCAGACCATGTTCCCCAATCAAGGTCAGATGGGCAGCTCGTATGCAGCTCGTGGAGATCAGCACTGAATCTCTTACGGCCTTTCAAAGGCTTTGCTGTAGGTGCCATGGAAGGAGACGAAGAAGAAGAAGATGTTAAAGGAGTCAGCTGCGTCACCGGTACTGGCGATATAGGGGTCTGTGCGTCAGCCAGCTTTGATAACTTGTAGGCATCATCCGCGGACATAGCAACTTGTTTATCATGGACTTTCTCGCCAGGTCGTACCTGCAAGTTGACGCGCTTGTGAGGCTGTTTCCTGGAGGCTTGACTTGAAGATGGTTCAAATTTATTTTTCTTGCGTGCATTCCGTGTGGCGGGCATGGTACTTAATGATTTGAATATGTTTTAAGCTGGGCTCTATCTTAGGAAGACAAGTTTAACTGACATAGTGTGTGCACAATGCAGGAATCCTTGAGTTGTAGTTGTAAAGGCGCCGCGTCTTCAAGTTCAGACTCCTTTCGCAAAGACCCTGCCATTTATAGCAACCGGAATCCCGGATACACAAGCGCCCACACGTGGAAGCCAATCCAGGCTCTAGCTCCAAGTTTTCAAGCTTGTGATCGCCTCAAATGATGATGCATCTACAACAGGACACATGTATATGAGGAATACAAACCCAATCGGTAGGTATTTGATCCTTATAGATCTCAGAGAGATGATGGCTGGCCTGAGCCATGGCTCCTGGCAGTTGTGAAGGTCTGTTTCGTATTCTCTGCAGTTCTTTCAAGCTGATGCGTCGTATCAGGATGAACAATTACTTACCTACTCCAGACCATCACTCCCACCTTTTTTACCATGTCACGCACGATTCCGAATCACAACTTCACTGTGTCTGTTGATGATGGTCGCACAATAGACATGGGTGAAACGTAGTTTTTCCCCGAGCTTATGCCAGCATCTCGCTTACGGGGGTCCACCAGTTGAATACCGATACTCTTTTGCGTTTGGGGTGCAGGATCAAAGTCCTCCTTATGCGCCACTCTGATTTCCTCGATCCTCGCACAGGTCATGCTCCTGGCACTTTTCGCCTTTGCCATGTGAGTACCAGACACACCGGTGTCATCGATGGAAAGGGAAGTAGCTCCAAACCCCGTGAAGTTCCCATAGGAGAGGAGAGGGATCCATTCCCAGAATGCACGAGACTCTGCATGTTTTGCCTGAAGACGAAGCCTTTTCCGAACTTCCAATTCGGGAATCCATACAATTCAAACGTTGACAGGTCAAGTTATCATGATCTGCTCTAAACTCAGCGGTGCAGCTCACTAGATTTCACTTGCACCCATATATAGTTCATTTGGATCACATACTAGCCCCGACATGGATGATACAACTTTCAGGACAATGATATCTCGTGTCAACTTTTTGCGCCGTCTTACCGAACTGACTCGAAGTTGCTTTGTGACATTTTGTAGGCTACGTACGCCTGACACTTTCCCATGCCTACATCGCCTGCATCCTAATCATGTCAGTGTTTTACGTCGTGCAGTCACTCGTTCGAGTGATTCAAACCGTCCTCACGCAATTGGCCCCTATTCTGCGACGGCCCGCATAGACGGTACTCACGAGTCTACCTACCACCCACCAACGTAGCTCACCAACGAATTGTGGTGTACACATACATTGCTAATGAGTAAATGTGCCCAAACAAACGAGCGAGGACATGAAAAACGGAGACCATGTGTATTGCGTGCGATTGTGTCATGGATGAACGACCAAAATGAAAATGAACGTGCAGATAGACAAACGAGTGTATGAAAATGAAGACGATGTCCGTGGAGGAAAACGTAAACATAAACGATGACCAAGTCCATGCTAGTAATCAGATGAGCATCTGAATGTAAAAGAATTAAGGGATGAGTTGGGGAGGATAGATGTACCTGGGCATCGATATCTATCTTTCAGATCTTATTAAATGCGATATGCACTTCGAGTAAGAACAATGCGGGCATACGTACGAATGTAAAGCAATGCAATGCAGGGGGCGGGAACGCATACCAGCACCAACGTCCTCCTACAAACTAAACACCCCCGCAGCCCTCCTCCTGCTCTGAACAGGATGAACGAGCACCAAACTGATTCCAAGACCCACAGTCAACCCAACACTCGTGCTGATCAACTGGAGCGCGGTGTTGAACCCGCTTGAATAGGAGGAACTCGACCCTGAGGTTTGATCAACGACGAAGTTGAACAGTCCGCCGTTGCCTAGGCCTGAAGGGAGTTGGAAGAGTATGCCTGTGATCTGCGAGTGTGCGTTTGTGTTGTGATGCGAGTTTGATGCGCGTGGTGAGAGTTTTGTAAATTCCTTGATGCGAGAAACACAAGAAAAAGAGAACGCACCATAACGACAAACGCATTCCCCTCAAAAAACCTCCCATAGAGATTCGACACCAACCCTACAGCAAACGCCCCAACAGCAGCTGATATATCGCTCTGGTTCGGGAACTTGATGCCAACGAAATGGTTCGTCACCCATCCTATGCATGAGATGGCGACTAGGAGGAACTAGTAGGTGTCTGAATCAGTATCAGCTCAAAAGAGGTTTGGCGTGTGGAACGGGACCAAAACCAAACCAAACCAAACCAAACCAAAAACTCACCAACTCCCTCCTCCCAATAACAGCCCCAAACCTCAAACTCAAAAACAGACTATAACACGGCACACTCAGGAACGCCCACCACATACTCGGGGTGCGCTGCCACCATCCGCCTGTGGAATCGTGGCTCAAGGCACACATGGAATCCATGCCTCCTACTAGGGGTTTGCCGAGCATTGCTTGGTAGAGCTCAGCTCCGATGGCCAGCCCGAAACCGAGGAAGAGGCTGTACATGAGGGCGTAGCAGAGACGGACTGAGCCTGCTATTAGGGAGCGGGAGGAGATTTCGAGGGAGCCGTTTAGGACTATGAAGCCCTGAGGGGTCTGTCAGCGGTGGGATGCGATGCGAAGCCGGGTAAGGAAGGAGAGACGAGGGACGTCAAAACTCACAGGTAAAATCAAAACCACACTACTACTAGCAACAGCCTCATAACAAATCCTCTGCGTACTAGCAAGCGCAGCGCTCACAAAGCTTAGAAGCGTGGCAACCGTTATCTCAAACACGTTCCCATACAGCTCGTTGCGCACGCTGAGGAGCTGGATGGTGACGAGGAGCGCACCGAGGGGGAAGGAGAACAAGGGAGTCGATAAAAACTCCCGTTGAAGCTAACGCTGCAAATGCTGCTGCTACACATCCCGCCTAGGAATATGAGTTGGGGGAAGGAGTAAGTAGATGGGCTTTTTGTGCATTAGGGTGTCGAGGGCAGTGTTGGCTTCGGATACGGAGATGACGTCGTGGATGACCTGCGCGTTTGTGGTAAGATACGTTGGTTTTATTGATGAGATTAGTTTGTTGAGCATCCGAAAGGAGACACATACATCCCAATACAACCCATGCGCATCCCCCAGCTTCCCCAAATCCAATGCACTCGCCTGTCTAATAAACTTGACGTGACTCGTCCCCGTCGCGTTGTCTTCGAAGCTGATCCACATGACGTCAGGGAGGTATAGACAACTCATATCAAGCTCGAGGACGCGCGCTGTGCTTTGGATCTGCGCGACGAGCCTGTGTGAAGGACCCCCGAACATCATCATTGCACGAGCTAGTTTGAGGATAAATTCTTGGCGTTGGAGGATGGCTGCTACGTGTCGAGTTATCTGTGGGGTGGGCGTGAGTGAGGTGAGGTAGCTGGACGTGAACGAAGGAGGGAAAGGAAAAAAGAAAAGGAACGCACGTAAACCTCCGCCCTTTTCCTCTTCCGCCTCTTCTCCTTGTCCCTCCTCTCCCTCTCCCTTCTCTCTTTTCTCTCCCTCTCTTTTCTCTCTTTTCTGTCCCTCTCCTTCTGCTCCTCCATCCACTTCGCACCGAAATAATCCTCATCGCCCCCACCGTCCCTTTCCTTATCCTTTTCATCAGGCGAACCAGCAACACTACTCGCCCTTGTTCCAGTCCCACTAGTCCCAGGTGTAGAAGCCCCACTCGCACTGACTGGATGTCTTAAAGGTGTCCCGGGTAAACCCAGCGAAAACCCCTTGAAGTGCCCGCCAGGCAAGTGATGTGGGAGCGGGAGATCTTTCAGGACACCTTTCCAGTGCTTCGACTTTGGTTTCTCGATGAAGGTCGAAGTCGAAGTTGGGGGGAGGTTTGGTGGAGTTGATTCAGAGGGGGTGGAAGTAGGAGTAGACGTAGAAGTAGTCGCGGTCGTCGGAGGAGCGAGTGTATCTGGTGAATCCTCTTCTTCATCATCATCCTCCTTGACATCTATCACTTCTTCCTCGAGGTCTATTGTTGCATCGCTTTGCGATTGGATAGCAGCTTTAGAATCAACTTCCCCTTCACCCTCGTGGTCCTCCTCGACACGCCCACCGACCCCCCTCGTAAAATCGGTATCGGTGCTCTTCGAACGACGGGGGAGACGAAGGCTGAGACGGGGAGGTGTTGGTGTTCGTTGTGTTCCCACTTCCTTCGCTTCCCCAGCCCCCTCCCCCTCAAAGCCGTCCTCAAACCGATACCTAACAAGTCCATACCCCCTTTTCGTCTTCAAATCAGGCGCCAACCCCAACTGCATCGGGGCAGCAGCACCGCTCAATGTCCCCGCACCTGTAATGAGCGCAGCCATACTCGAGGGGCCATTGTCTTTGGGTTTGAGGGAGGAGAGGAGGGAGACGGTGCTGCTTGAGGCGGAGTGGATGGTTTGGCTTAGGGTTTGGGAGGGTGTTTTTTTGTGTTTAGATCCAGACTTGGGATGAGAGGCAGAGTGGGGGAGCCATGGACGTTCGGGATTGGAGAGGTCTGACTCGTCTTCGCTATGCGCAGGATCGTGCTCGTCGTGGTCCTGCCCGTAGAGTGCCAACAACGCACTCAGCACGCCAGAGCCTAGTTTCGGCTGAGAAGGATGTACCGGAGGGTGAGATTCGGGGTCATAAGAACCGCGCGATTGTGCGTAAGGTGGAGGATGGTGAGGGGTAGGAGCTACTGAGGGGGGGAGTACGGAAATGCCACCATGATTTCTTGGGTGATTGTTGCGAAGTTGTATGGGGTTTTTCTTCTTCGACTTTTCCGTTCGTATCCCAGCACTCTTTTTCAGAGTCTGGCTCTGGTTCTGCGACCCGTGATCGTGATTTTGAGCGGTGGCGACGACCGAGGATACCCCGTCGTTTAGTGTGCGCTCTGACGACGCCCGCCGCTTCGCGCACGGCGAGGTGTTCGACGCGGCCGTCTGCTGGGAATTCAGAGTCCCCGCTTGCTTGTCTTGAAGAGAGAGGGAGGCCAGCACTTTCTAAGGGGTCAATAAAGACTTCGCCTGGCAGGGCGTGTGTACGGCGTGGGAGGAACGGGGTAGAAGATGTAGGGGATGTATGCACGGTCGAAGGTGTGCTTGGGGGATAGATATGTATGTCTGCCGTGGTGGGTATGATTTGGGTAGATGGAGAATGTGTACGAGAGGAGTGGTGGCGCTCGAGTGCTTCTTTGAGCGTTTCAAACGCGTTCGGCTAGGCGTTTGATATAAGCAACGGTGGAAAATAAATAAGAGGGTACTCACATCCTGAGCCATCTCGTCCAGTGCGCGTGGACTGACTGGTTCTGGTTCGTGGACATGTTCTGTGCTTGCCCATTGCACGCGACGGGGAGTACGGGTGCCAGGCGTTGGTGACATGATGATGACTGGCATCGTGTTAGAGCGGTGAGGCGACGGTGAAGACATGAAAGAAAATACCGACGCACCCGTTGATGATTTTTTAAATGGGCCTCCACGGAATTGCAAAATGACTATTGTTGCGAGGTTCGCGTCGGTTACGGTCACCGTCGCCGACGTTGACACCTAAAGGAAATATCTTAGCTATCATGGTTTGGTCTACTGGACTAAGTACTTGAGGAAGAGGTGGACGTAACGTAACCGAACAAGTCTCTCACATGATGTCATTCACACTCCACTTGAGTACTTGTGGTCTCCACTCTAATTTAATTCGTACCCTGATACTTGATACAAGCACATTCAATACGTCAAAGCGCCACCTGATCGGGCATGCGGCTGGTCATTGCGACCCATCTATCTCCCCCAAAAGGCATCGGACGTCCGACTCACTGTTATCATGACATCGCACGCTATAGCTGAAGATAAGGCTCCACCTTTAGCTGCCACTTCATCCTGGCGAAAACGAACAAGACAAGAGACGGAAGGCCGAAATCTGCAGTGAGGCATAGTATTTCTGTACTCGTAGTCGTGTAATCTGAGGCCCACATGTTCGCATCCTTCGCGAACGCATGACGGAAATCATCGGCATGTACACATCTGTCGAGAAAGGTAGCTTCAGTTTCCCAGTTGCCGCGAATTCCAGATCTCACCGAAGCGAGTATCCAAGCTTAAGGTTTGTATGATCAACTTGAAGATAACGGGATAACTTGAACGAGAAAAGGATATTAATGTGCGGATCTCACAGAGCAATTTCATGCTCCTCTTGCTGAGTGCTTTCATCGTATTTGACATTGAAAGCACTTCAGGGGAGAAATACTAGACGACTCACGAGACACTTGGTCAAAGTTTGCATATATTTGTTTGTTGCCTTGAAGTTCGGGTATGAATCGGTCGACGAAGAAGTTTACAGGTGGTTTAAATTAATGGGACTCGCACTCCACGAAACTCATGTGCTGAACACTACTTGCAGCTTCTACCCCAAATGAAGGGACCGCTCCCTTCTGTCATTGCGTTGCAGGCCACTCCTTCCGGATCGAGCTCCTGCTACTTCTTTCCACAGAGTGGATGACGTTCGAGGACTGCGCTGGAAGAAGCCACCGTCATTTTGCTGTGCTCCCTAGGTAAGCTTTTTCTCGAGGTTCTACTATCATGACTTAATCCATGGCTTCAGGTGACGAGAGGGTTTCACTTGCCAAGAACCTTGCGGAGGTGCTTCCCCTTGAACTCGCCTCCATCGACCAATTTGAGGAACGAGCCACAGAATACCTTCACTACAGGCGGTTCTTCACGATCTGGGACAGTCGTGATCACGTCGTTGAGTGTTAGAGTCCACAGGCGTCGATAATGAACCGGGACACCGGAGCTGCTTGGTTAAGCGACTACAAGGGACTTGTCGACTAGGCTTACGATGCCGTTGTGAAACTGCTCACCTGGGATTTGATGATGCCAGACGAGACAGTAGATCGCCGTTCTCTCGGGTTCGGCAGGTATACGTTGGAGCAGGGCCAGCGACCTAAGCCCAGAGCAAGGCAGACAAGCTGAGATGATGATGAATGCTAGCTACCAAGATGGCGAAACCTAGTCTACATGCTGACTAAGCTGTGGAAAGGGCCGATAGGGCCTTTGAATCCAGGCTCCTACCCACCCCTTGCCGGAGAGGAAGGGGGCGACATCCGAGTGCGGTAGTGTAAAGCGGAAACATGCGCAAGTCTTTCAAACCCAGCCAAACCTTATCCCCCCAACCTCTCCTACAATGGCTGGCACAAAACATTTGTAAACAAGGGCAGCCACAGTGGCAAAACCCAGAAGAGTCAGCAGGAATTGAATTAAATATATTGTATCGCTAAATAAAATGATATTCCGACATATTATCCTTTTTTGTCATATGTCAGCGGAAGCTCCTAACTTCTCTGCCATTCGAGAGAAGCTTCAAGATCGTTTCAACAAGAGAGCCTGCTTGTGGCAACTCAAAGTCACAGACGCGTTCCTGCAAAATGATCGCGATATTATCTGCATAGTGGGGACGGGGATGGGAAAAACACTTGCATTCTGGTCACCGTTAGCTATCAAAGACATGGGCATCCTGATTGTTGTGACTCCACTTACCCAGCTCGGGGAACAAAGTGTCAGTTTCCTCGAAAAAGCTGGTATACAAAGTATCTCAATCTCTACTGAGACAGCGAGTAGGGCAAATTTCCGCGTAAATCAAAGGTCATCTGTTAGTTATGAACCTTTAATCATTGTGTTTGCTGCAGGAAATCGAAGACTCACATTACCGTGCAATTATAACCAGCCCAGAACAGCTGATGAAACCAGGCAGAGAGTTCAAGAAGCTGTTGTGAAGTATTGACTTTGCGTTGAAGTTAATTGGTGTCATCTTTGATGAAGCACACTGCATTGTGACATGGGGAGACTTTTGGTCCGAGTACAAGGAACTAGAGCGCTTACTTATATCCTACTGTGCCAGGTACCTTTCATGATCACATCAGCAACGCTCACATCAGATGCTCTGAGAGACATACGCAGGCTCCTTCGCATCCGACCAGAAAAGCTTGTCGCTGTTCATGTATCCACCGACCATCCAAACATCAAGATTGGAGTCTGCAAAATCAAATACTCACTTGCGTCTTATGCAGATCTTGCATTCCTCATACCTACCGGCATGAAATCAGACGATCCGGCACCACCGAAATTCCTCGTTTTTTTCGACAGCATCCAAGAAGGAATAAATGCCACGAAGTACTTGCAGGCACGTCTTCCGCCAGATCTACGAAACAAAGTCAAATGGTTCAACTCCAACATGACTACTGGATTTAAGGCAGCCGAAGTCACAAACCTCGTTGCTAGAGATACGTAGGGGTCTGTGTACCACAGAGGCATTTGGAATGGTGAGGGATACGGCCCAAATTGTGATGTCAATAAAGTATTAATCAATGCAGGGAATGGACGTACCAGATGTGACTTTGGTCATTCAGTGGCGAGCGTCGTGCAGGTTGTCTGCCCTTTGGCAGCGGTTCAGTCGTGCAGCCAGAGACCGCACGCTGGAAGGGACTGTGTTGCTGTTTGCAGAAAAAGAGTATTTCGACGATATACGTGAAGATAAGCGTAAGCGTCAGGAGTGCAAAAAGAAAGCAACAAACGCACCAGATAACCAACCGGCTGCCAAACGCCGTGTAATTAATAGTTCGACTGCTATTGATGTTGCGCACCTGGAAGGAGAGGATAGCGCCCAGTCTACCAATAATCCTAGTGGCTCAGCAGCAAACTCACCTAAGGTTATAATTACTGATGCACAGTTGAGGGATTTAATAAAACCGGCAAGCACATTGGAGAGGTTATCAAGGCAGAAGAGAGAGAATGAACTGGACCGAGCAATGGACTTGTTGATCAACGCTGATTATCGTGGCGTTGGGTGTCATCGGAAGGTGTTTAATATCCAATTTGACAACGGATCAGCAGGTGCGACTTTCCTATACTGTATTAATAATTGCAATAATATTTTATAGATTTGAGTCACCTTACATGCGACCCATCAGATAGTAAGGAAGGCTGCTCACATTGCGCTCCTGTACTTCCTAAAGTGTGCTGTGACATTCATCACCCTTCAGCATTCTCGTTGTTTGATCCCATCATTGTCCCTCAACCACCCAGACTTCCCATCCGCTCTAGACTTGCAAAATATACAATGGGCCCACAGGAGCACAAACTATGCGAGGCACTGGAGGATTGGAGAGACCAGAAGACAGTGGAGATCTATGGACGCTCACACCTTATTGACCTCAGTCCAACTGTTGTAATGGGCGACTCAGTCCTTGACCGGATTGTTGACTGCACCCATTTTGAGAAGATTAAGATTGTTGAGGATCTCCGCAAGGAAACACATTGGCCTGTCAATGATGATCTGGCCAGGGAGGTGATTTCTCTAATCCACTGCATCATTCCAATTTCGCTCTACACCACTGCCCCTCTACAACAGCGCCCTCTATCCACCACCACACTAAACAATGGGTCAGCTCAACATCCAGTCCTTGCTCCCCCCAATGGCATGATAAAGGTGTCAAAATGCAGCGCTTGCGGCCAGCCTGGCTATAACAGTAAGTTTTCGCATTGTTTCTCCTTATATTTGCTGACCTTTTGACCAGAATATGGGCGTGTTTGTCCCATGCACCCATCAAGGACATCTTCTGCAGCTGGGAAGGAGAATGAAGTTAAATCCGAGCGTCTTGCAAGAACGGTGAATTCTGATAATCAAGTGCAGAGCACATCAAATCCGAACTCTCAGCGTCTTGTAGGAACGGTGAATTCTGATAATCAAGTGCAGAGCGTTGGTCGGCCATAATGAATTCTGATAATCAAGTGCAGAGCACATCGAATTGAAACTCTCAGCATCTTGCAGGAACGGTGAATTCTGATAATCAAGTGCAGAGCGTTGGTTGGCCGTAATATTTACTCATCATATATCTTACTTACTACCAGACTAATTCAATCGCGACGTCATCGACTGATGGACGCTCATCCTCACCTTCCCTAATAGCAGCTTCTTGCCCTCCATCTTCGTTATCTACGCTATTCTTTTCCATCAACTCCTGTCCCTTGGCAAGGACGTCAGGGATACTGTAATGGCTTCTGCACCCCTTTACTACTTTGTTTGAGGAGTGTTTTCTCATGTGTCTGCATAGGACTTGGAACATTTTTGACATATCTGCCTCTGTGTGTTTAGTCATTTGTTGAACATGCAGAAAGTCATTCTGGAACATTGTATGCAAGTTCCGGTATATCTGAATGAGTGGAGACTCCATTATAATTCTCGAAACAGTGTGGTTTGGTCCTTTTCCTCCATTGGTAACCTGTGATTTTTGTTTACTGACTCGCATTTTTAATAGTGACAAGGGACGCGCACCTTTGTGAAAAGGTTATTCAATTCGACGCACCAGTCAACTGCTCGAAACCTTCCTTTCTTCCCGGTTGGATTGACCATGATGTGGTAGCGAACAGCCCGTCTGCCAATTGTAAGTCTTGAGTAGATGAAGATGTTTCATAATGCTTACTTCAATCCTTTGGGATACATGAAATGCACTTTGCACAGGAAGTCTGTCATAGCGTTTGCATATTTATGTTTTCCTGTGGCCTTAAAATTGGGATCAATGTCACAAGGCAAGTCTCGACCCGTCCGATGTCACCGATATTCATTGCATATGACAGCTCCTCATATATAAGCATGTACTTGTTCAAGAGGAGTCCATTTTCATATTGGACATCATGTTGAGCTGCCGGTGCACGTTGCATGCACCGAAGTTGGTGACCTGCAATGTAGTTACAAGCAAGGGTGCATGCCATTGCTTTGATGTCTTTCCATGTTGGTTCTGATCCTGCAAATCCCTCCAGACTTGTCCACTTCGTGTCACCTTTCCCAGCCTCGACTCTCCAACAATCAAGGCAACGACAAATACCGTCGTGCATGATCAGTTCGTGCATACGACGGAACCCTGGCTTTGATCCATAGTGGCCGGTTTCCCTTGGCCGCGAGATACCTACATCTTGCATGAGGCTGGTTTCATCTAGTCGTGCTGCATTGGGCTGCAGGAATATCCGCCAAATTGCGTCTGCGGCCGCCATCTTCAAATGGAAAAGACCGGGGACAAAGACAACATGTTGTAAACAGTCCCATGGTGTGTTTTCAATTCCTCGACGCTGCTGTGCAGACTGAAGGTGTTCCCCCGTCCCAAGGTCACCATGAAATAGAACTACGTACTCTGAGATGTCGGGCATCCCTGGATCATCGACGGCTGCAGGATCTCCGATTCTGCCCTGCTCGAGCAGCTTAACGACACTTTGTATATTGCCTGTAACGGTGGAATTACTGACATCCATTACAGATGTAGCAATGATTGGCGTTTTGATGACGGGGATGGCTTCAATGGCCTTGGGTTCATGAAGTTGGTTACGGAATTGAGAAAAGTATGGAGGGCCGTATGAGACGAGGTCCGAGAGAAACTTCCACGAATTAAATCTATCGCGACGGGTAAGATCTGCTTCATCTGGTGTGTCCTTGTGAAGACTGAGCAGATCTGTCCATCCCTTCTTTGGTGGCAGCTCTGCTTGGGTATTAAACGGCGACAGCTTCCACAATTCTTCAGAACACCTAAGGTCTTCCTTGGAGATGTTGTGCTGCAGTGGGAACATCAGGCCTGATGTTAGATGCTTGAGTGATTCCATCGAATTTTCAATTGTGTGCTGATGGGTTTTCAGGTCTACATCAAAGTTATCATATGCATATGCTGCGAGAATTGACCGTCCGAGCGACTGGAGGTGTCGGTGAGTTTGCACTGATAATGATTTTGTTGCGGCCTGAATAGCGTTTGCAGACACCGATGTGAAAACACAACCTGACTAGGCACTTGTCAAGGTACTAAGCCAGTATATGTCTAAGCTCTGCCTATGCTGCTATACTTGCAAACAATAAAGCAAGAACGTTCGACCCGAGGGAAAAGCTGCTAAGGACAACTCAAGATCGAAAGACCCGAAAGAGCGCTAGATGCGCGGGAATAGCACGTCGCAAGATAGAGCGCTAATGCGCGGGAAAGAGCGGAAGTCAAGAAAGCGGACACTGAGTTCAAAGGAGGGTAATGAACAGCGAGTGAGATCAAGGGTATTGATTGCAAGGGTAAGGAAAGTCAAATAGGGGCCATAGAGCGCAACTAAAGGGTGACTACTTCTAAGTAAAACCTAAGGGAAAGGAAATACAGTTGAAGGGAAGTCATGTTCGAAGTAGTCACCATAGGCTTCTTATACTAGTAAACTATACCAATCTCGGACTCGGAAGGGATAGGATATACATGTAATAAGACTGTAGCACTTTTTACAAACTCGAGGCAAGGCAAATTACATACCAATGAGGTAGGATGGACCATGGATGGATTCCGACATTTCGGGTGATTCCTAGAGCGCGAGAACAGCGCGCTGGATTAGCGCTAGGCGTGGGAACAAGCACTAGATAGAGCGGACAAGGCACTAGGTAGAGCGGACATGCACTAATGCTCCTATAGACACATTGCTGGTAGTTCTGATAGCGCTATAAGCGCGGGAATAGCGTCGGATAAGTCGCGGGAGCATGAATAGTGCTGCGGGAACGTGCGCACATAGTGCGGGAAAGTGCGGAATAGCGTTGGACAAGGGTTATGGCTGAGACAAGTGAAGACTGCTGATAGGGGAGTAGTGAATGATATGAGGGATAACTTTGGTCCACCTATTGAAGGCTTATGCAGGTATACATGCCTAGCGCCAATATGATTGTCACACCGATACACCTATCCGTTCCAGCGTTTCGATAACTTTGTGTGGTGTGTGCGTTGATTGTAAGAACATCCCAAGCAGACTTTGAAAGGTATTTGATCACTGATTTGTACTTCTCATCATAATGCTCAGAACAGTGATTTTTTTCTTAATCACATGTAGCGATGTCAGTAATATTGATTTGACAGGCAGCGAAATAACACATGAGCAAGATCTTTGCTGTCCGTTTTGTTTGCAGTTTTGTTCTATCACATTCCGTGTTGTTGGTAAGCCTCGATATCAATGATCCCTCAAGATCCCCTTCCCCAATCTCCTCCCAGTAAGCTTCTTTGTCACTATCAATATTCTCCATGATGACATCACCATCACGATCCCTCCCGATGGCTACTTTAGATTGTGTTCCCCCGGACAGCATGCTCTCGAGTAAGTCCCATGTTGCTGGTGCAGATTTCTCCATGATTCTGGCTAACTCAGCCACCCTAAAATCCTCTAGTTGCTCCACTGTGGTGTGCGTTACATCAAAATGAGTTCCGTTATCCTTAGCAGTGAGGTGATGGATTTCTCGTGCACAAATCTCCTTTGCGATATCAGTAGCCCATTTGGACGCGGTACTTGTAGCTCGTTTCACAAAAGCATTAAGAATTTCACGCCCATTAGACAGGATATCTTTTACAGCTGGATGAGCGCTATGTTTTTCACTTGAGAGAAGCACCAGTATAAATTCTGATGCAGAAATGCCGACGCGCTGCAGGGTTTCAAGAACGTCGTCCACCGAGGTTGCCGACATATTGATATACACATATACATTATATTTATTAGCGATACAATATATTTAATTCAATTCCCACTGACTCTTCTGGGTTGTGCCACTGTGGCTGCCCTTGTTTACAAATGTTTTGTGCCAGCCATTGTAGGAGAGGTTGGGGGGATAAGGTTTGGCTGGGTTTGAAAGACTTGTGCATGTTTCCGCTTTACACTACTGCACTCGGATGTCGCCCCCTTCCTCTCCAGCAAGGGGTGGGTAGGAGCCTGCTTTGAATCTAAGCTGAGCATGACGAAATTGGAGAACGTCCCGAAAACCAACCGTACGACCCAAAGTGTGGCGGATTTGGCAGAGTGCGGCAGCACAAACAGTGAAACAGTCGGATTTTGAACTTTGAGTTCCGACCAACCCTAACCCTAAGTGTCTCAGCAGTGTGCAATGTATAGTATGTGGCATTTATTCAGTGCTAGTAGTCAGCTGCTCTTGCATCAAAAATATATCGTATGAGTGCTATCCATCCCCACATTATCACTCATGGCTCCAACATGCTGCTTAAGCCTGTCAATAACACCACTACCTTTCTTAGAGGCACTGAGGCACCATGAGCTACTTGGTGAACTTTCATTTCAAGAGATCCTCTCATTTGTCTTTTATGCATCCTCACTCAGGTGGGATATCATACTTCCACAGGCGTGCTCAGTTCCGGATGACATCCCACCTGACTTGCTACCACCATCTATACATGAATTTCTATCTACAAGCACTCGGCTCTCTGCTACTATGGTTGATGTCTGCTGGAGTGAGTTCCAAGAGGTAATTTGGACCATGCCAACCCTATCAGAGCTTGATATTCAGCACTGACAATCCTTTCAAGATCATGGTCATCACATTGGCTTGAGTAAGTCTTATGACTTAGCTGTAGCATTCTATTGGCTCATCTACTTGCTTTTAGCATCAATTACACTCTATCCTCCTCATACTCATTGTACACGTGCTAACTGTCCCTCTGCACAGACGCAGCTACTGCTAAAAAAAGAGGAATCTCGCCAAGTTGTATTACATACCCTCCACGGCATCGTACCAGCCTGGTCTATCCATCTTACCTGTCGTGCATGTGGCACAATATATCAGAACAACTTTTCTATCTCAGCAAACCGGCATTGTGTTAAGACTGTACTCAAGAGGTATCGGATCCGAAGGGCTTTGGCCTCAGCTCATGCGCTGTGCCCCTTTCCTGAGTCTTGCCCCTTATTTCAGAGTACTAGAGTATCACGTCTAGTGAGATGGATAAGTATCGTAACGGATCTGTTAAGGCTTCCGGATATCGGACATATAGAGTAACGGCTAATCCAGATCGGATTCAATGTGACAATCATACCAGCGCTAGGCGCATATGAGTGTCATAGGCACAATTTGCCTTACCTTGAGGAAAGGAGTAAAGTGCTAGTCACCAGCGCTATTCAGCTCCCAAGCTATCCGCTTTGGAACCGCTTTTCTCCCATAGCGCGCTGCCCGGCCCGACACCTAGTATTCCATCCTCCCATGTCCTGCCTATGTCCACCTACCTCCGCTGGTGCGTTATTTTTCATTAAACGTCGCTACTCATCAGTTGCAGGTCTTATTACATGCATCCTCGTGTTCCGCTGCACTGCATGTCTTATTACCTGTCGCTACATCGTGCCTCCATCAGTGTCGCTACTATTCTCGCCTACGCATTCCTGAACTTTTACGCAGTATGATAAAACGACCCGTTGCACATACAGTACAGTACTTCCCTTCCCCGGACCTTAGCTGGTGTCGGAGTCACTTTAGTCGCTATATCCTAGTTTTGGTGCAATCGATTCCGCTCTTGCCAATCTCTCTGATCATGTGTCGCTTGACTTGCTTCGAGTGCGCGTCGCTAAAGTTCCTTCATAAGTTTGATCTTCGCAACGTCGGGATCGCTGTCGGTAGTCGAGCTATAATCTAGTCGCTATCAGGCATTCCACTTGCACTATCATACCTTATCCCTCGCTTTCCCTTCTTTTGATTTCTTCTTGCTGTCGCTAGTCGGACGTCGCATAGCGCTACTTACTTATACGCACGTTTCTCTGTCGGAACTCACTTGTCGCTATAGGTCATTAGCCCTTCGCATCATCGCTACCCTTGCATATTTGAAGGGAGTTGCTTCAATAGCAGTCCTCTTGGGTCGAAAATTACACTTGCGCCTATTTGGATAAGTAGCGCTAGTTTCTAACCAGCCTAGTCGCTATTACTCTTTCACACCGAACTGGAAACTAATGGATGAGGACTGTCCAAAGACAGGCGAAGATACAGACTATAGGAATCAATCCTAAGTCTCGGAGTAGACAAGAGTATCGTACTCAAGTCCGGATGGATAATGGAGGGACTTAGAGTCCAGACGGAATGAGTGCAATCTAAGATGATATTTGAACTGATCTACTACAGTGCACGTACAAGGGTTTATATACTACGGATAACTAACAGAATGATCAATAAGCAAAGGTGTGAGGCTATGTACGAAGTATAAGCAAAGTATGTGCACAGTGTATTGGTAAGTCGGATGGATCATGAATCATGAACTGGGAATGAAGTATAAGTTAAAGCAGATCAGTAAGTGTAGCGGATCAGTAAGCATAACAGAAGTAAAGGATAACCGGAATACAGGTGTACAGGAATACCGAAAGGAGATGAACGATAGTTAGAGTTATATGAACAGGACATGAAATAAGAATCAGATTGGATCTGTGGACCGGACGATGGATATGTCCATTGAATCTGGATCGGATCTGAGATCTGGATCTTCGGATCTGTACCCGGATATATGGTATATGACACGTTGGTATTATGATGGTATTCCAGACTACATACAGGTGTCTGACCATCACTTTGTGGATTGTAAGGTCACCAACTTGTGGACAGAGCTGCACCTCAAAAGCCAGTGTGTGGTTTTGATGTTTTTCTCCCTTGCACCAATACTAACGTGTACTTTCAGTGTCTCAGCACAAGCATGCGCTCTCATATATGATAGCGCTGTGACAATCATATTGGTGCTAGGCATGTATACCTGCATAAGCCTTCAATAGGTGGACCAAAGTTATCCCTCATATTATTCACTACTCCCCTATCAGCAGTCTTCACATGTCTCAGCCATAACCCTTGTCCAACGCTATTCTGCACTTTCCCTCTGTAGAGACTCGTGTTTCTGCAGGCTGTTATGGGCTCATTTTACGAATTCTGACAACTGGCCTTCATGGCACAACTTGCACCATCATCCACTATGACTTCCACCATGGAGCGCACCACTTCCCATGAAACGCGCCATAGGTGCGTCACTTTCCCGCACAACGTGCAGTATTCCCATGTGCGCGCCTTGCGCGCTTTCTCGTGCTTAAGTGCACTGCGTCGCACATCATCCAGGAGCATCCATCCATTGTCCAACCAGTCCCTTGGTATATCCCTTTTCATTATCTGACTATATTTGGCATATTACACTTCCTATTTTGTTATGGACCCTTCCTTTACATCATTTACATACTTAGAGCACACCCTATTTGGCTCCGAGCCCTGGGAGAGCGCTTAGGTAGAACTTACATACTCTCATGTTCATTTTACACCCCACTTTTCCACATTAGCTTCCTACCACATCTTTCGACCACCATGGACTTGGCAGTTAGTTCCATGCAATGCATGTATCCATCATCATCTTGAGGCCCTAGCATCAGTCTATAGCTAGTGGCACCATCAGTACCCATTGTCTTACTACTTAAGGGTCTTATGTACAACACATGTATAGTGACAACACAACTATACAGGATAAGACTTCTTGCCAGTCCTTAAGTACACAGTCTATGACTTTTCTAGTTTTCGTGGTAGATAATGTGTGAGTTCTTGGGAGGGTTTACTGACGTGTCCTCTTCTTGTTGTTCCCTGGTGGAATACTCATAGATTACCTAATGTTCTGATAGTAAGATCTGTTCCAATCTCATAGGTCGTGTCTGAACCTATGAAAGTCTGTCTCAACTTTGTCGTGTTCTCGTGTCTCCCTTCCTGAAAAAGAGAGAGTCTGTCTTAAAATACGTGAAGCCTAGTTAGAAAGCTGTTCTGGTGTTGTATACTCAACCCCTGTAAGGTAGTACACAACAAGTAATGAAGTCTGTCTTAAATACGTAAAGCCTAGTACGAAAGCTGTTCTGGTGTTGTATACTCAGCCCCTGAAAGGTAGCACACAACAAGTAGTTTATAAATAGATTGTTATATAAGCGACCCCTGTAAGGTAGTATACAACTAATCTCTGATACGATGTTTATCTTACTTCAAGGCACTCTTGGCCTGCACTTTTAAGTCTTATGGACTCTCACGGTTTGAGAGAAGAGTGAAAAGTGGGAAGTTATTATTACTCAGTGTAGAATGGGCTCTTTTTATACCTTTTTTGGAGGCCATTTTACTAAGCATGACTCATCACAGCATTAGTAAGTCACTGGCTTACTAACCATGCCATTTGGCAGTGTTGAATCAGCTGCTTACAAAGTAGTTTACAAATAAAGTTCATAATATTACAAAGCATGATAAATCATGACGAAGCATGATGAAGCATGATAAAGCATGACCAATCATGACAAATCCTTACAAATCAGATTATTTCCTATCACATGACATGCTTACAAACATATCTGGTGGCTCACTGAAGGATTCTGTGGCTGAATGAGCCTGAAACAAATAGAAACAAATGGAAACAAATGGAAGCCACATGACAAATCATGCAGGATCCTTACAAAGCAGAATATTGCCTATAACATGACATGCTTATGAACACATCTTGGTGGCTCACTGGTGGCTGAATAAACCACACAAAAGAAATGAAAAGAAAAGGGGAAAGGTGAAAACTATCATACTGGAAATATAAATACAAGTAAATCTGTCAAAATGGAACCAATCATAATAATACAATGAGGTACACCTTAGTGTACTCTCTGTAGCTACTTCCTGTCTATCAATGTCATGGTATGAGTTCCATACCATGCATGACAGTGGGTTGCTGAGAACTGTGGATCATGTCATGGGATCTCTGGAGGATCGCCTGCAGGAGATGTAATGTAGAGGAGGATTGCTTGTAGTAGATGTAATATAGATATTTGATGGCTTTAGAACCTCATGCAATGCATTGCAATTTGACTGGCTGGTGAATGAATTGTCATTTCCAGTATATACAAGATGGTCAACCAAGCAAGTTATGCCCGGGGCAATTGAATTTTCATTCAAATGACATCTAAGAGACAGCAATTGAAATTTGATTCAAGATTGAACAAAGTTGGCAGCATATCTGGAGTTGGGCTTCTTTGATCTTTTCAGCTGGACATCCGTGGTTTTGCTCCTGGTGCGTTTGGCCGGAGATTCATCCAATGGATCTTTGGCAGGTCATTTCTTTCCCTTTGTTTGCACCCTGGTCCTTCTATCAGGAGGGTTGGGTGAGACAACTTTGGCAGCATGCCGCTTTCCGAGGCTCGGATGTCCAGTAGACTCTTGTGAGCTGGGTGATTCAACTGTGTTGGAACGGTCGCCCGGGCGAGATCTCAATGCACTGCTGGTGTAGAGACTCGCGTTTCTGCAGGCACATATGGGCTTATTTTATGAATTCTGGCAACTGGCCTTCATGGCACGACTCACACTATCATCCACTATGACTTCCCTATAGAGCGCACCACTTTCCCGTGAAACGCGCCATAGGTGCGATACTTTCCCGCACAATGCGCAGTATTCCCGTGTGCGCGCCTTGCGCGCTTTCTCGCGCTTAAGCGCCCTGCATCGCGCATCATCCAGGAGCATCCATCCATCGTCCAACCAGTCCCTTGGTATGTCCCTTTTCGTTATCTGACTATATTTGGCATATTACACTTCCCATTTCATCATGGACCCTTACTTTACATCACTTTACATCACTTACATACTTAGAGTGCTCCCTATTTGGCTCCGAGCCCTGGGAGAGCGCTTAGGTAGAACTTACATACTCTCATGTTTGTTTTACACCCAACTTTCCACCTTAGCTTCTTACCACCTTTGAAATAGGAAGTGTAATATGCCAAATATGGTCAGATAATGAAAGGGACATACCAAGGTACTGGTTGGATGATGGATGGATGCTCCTGGATGATGTGCAACGCAGTGCGCTTAAGCACGAGAAAGCGCGCAAGGTGCGCATGCGGGAATACTGCGCGTTGTGCGGGAAAGTATCGCGCCTATGGCACATTCCACGGGAAGTGGTGCGCTCCATGGTGGAAGTCATAGTGGATGATGGTGCGAGTTGTGCCATGAAGGCCAGTTGTCAGAATTCGTAAAATGAGCCCATATGAGCCCACAGAAATACAAGTCTCTACACCGGCAGGTCTGTTGTCTGTTGTACCAGAAATCCAACAGTTCGGCAGCCTCATTCTGATTCATCCTCGATGGCTCCCGAATTTTTCTTCCCTCCGGAAGATAAGGCGGCAGTATGAGCTCTTCTTGCCGAGGGATCACCCCCTTCCAAGGCACCAGATCCTTGGTCCTTCCACTGCAGTCTTCTAATATAATTCTCACATCATCATCCAAGAAATACAAGGTGTTCACCCACGATAATGCCAATTCAAGAAGGCCCGGACAACGGCTTTCCGGGTGTCGGAATCCATGTCAGTATGATCTGGGAGGATAGGAAATCCACTGGCCCCTATCTCCAAGGTGTAGGTGTTATCCTTGCGACCCTTCTTTACTAATGTCTCATCTTCGACATCACCATCTTGCTCATAAGACGTTTGTTAGCTCGAAGTTACTCCCGAAACATTCTACATGCACCCACTGAACTGTTTCGCAACATAGCTGTCCCATTCCGGCAGTATAATTTCCCAATCACAAGTCTTGATGAAGCTTTCCCCATTGCCAAACTCCTCATTGTAGTCGTGGCTGTCTGTTGTTGAGACCCGGCATTCCCTTATCACGCATTGACATTGCTCACCTTGACACCATGAGTTTTCCCTGTTTGTTCTTCCAGGCTGACATCATGAACAGCTGCATTCCAGCCTTCTTGAACATTTCCTTGGCCACGTACCGGAGAATGTCCTCGCCCTTTCGTCTCGCCATGTCTGCCTGAAGCTCCGGAGGTACGCCCTGCTTGTTCCACTCTGCAGCCATCTCAGTAGCCTCCTCGGTCTCCTTCTCGGTCAGAGAATTCACCATGTCCATCAGATACTTAGCATAATGGTTCATCATTTCTGGCTCTCCGGGCTTTGCGCCTGTCTCGGCCTTGATCTTCTTCAGGAGTTCCCTCTTCCTCAGAGACTCGACAACAGATCGGTATGTCCACTTCCGGCCTAGATTGATGGGAGGTTTGACTTGCTTCTTCTCCCCATGGTTCTGCAGCCATTTTCTGTAGACCTGAACACAGGATATCTAAATGCATGTCTTGCGATTCATGGCAACATGCACTCATGTTCTTCTGGGACCTCAACAACTCGGCTTTCATGGTGGGCGCCTTCACCCGAGCCTCTTTTGTGGCATCCTCCCAGACCACATTTCTCTCTACACCTGAAGTGGACTTCCATTGCTCGAGGTAGCCCTCTAGAACAGCCACCTCCTCTTCATTCAATGGCAGGTGCTTTGGAGCCTCCTCATCTGACTGCGAGTCATTTCCTGTCATGGAAGAAAGATGTTGGAATAAGAAGATGACAGATGGGAACAAGAATAGTCTGGAAAGGTTTCAGTTGAGCGAGGTTTAGATAATTAGCATACATCCGACGCTAAATTAAGCGAGACTGGGCCTGAACAAACAAGACTAGCATTGTGTTGTCCGTTCGCATTAGGAATCATTATGGGTTCAGGCCATCTTTGCCTTAGATTCAGATATATTACATGTCCCTATAATTTAACCTAGTCCTTGAACTTCGAAATAAGACTATGGAAGCATATAGGATGCATGGACTTTCTTCATCTTTGCGACAATCCCTTAGGAATTAACACAATTCATAGACTGAGCCTGAACAAACAAGGCTAGCATTGCGTTGTTCGTTCGCATTAGGAATCATTATGGGTTCAGGCCATCTTTGCCTTAGATTCAGATACATTATATGTCCCTATAATTTAACCTAGTCCTTGAACTTCGAAATAAGACTATGGAAGCATGCAGGATGCATGGACTTTCTTCATCTTTGTGACAATCACTTGGGAATGAACTCAATTGATTCTTACTAGGATATCTTGACCATGATTTGTGTCTTCATAAGTGTTGTGCTTTCGATCGTTATTTCTTAGTTAATACAATATGACTCGAGCTATTTTAAGGACGGTCTTGTTAAGGCAGGATGCAATAATAGATCAGCCCTTGTCTTTTATCATCTCACAGACCTCAGTATGGCCAAGTCGAAGGCAAGGGAGGTCATGCCTCGCGGGACCATGCATCTAGTAAAATGGGTGCAGACAAACACCACCCGAGGGGTGAAAGGTCAGTGGGTATCACAAAAACGCAAGAACCCAGGGAGATCTGCGCAGTCTTCCCCGACCAAGTTGCACACCAAGTTGCCCACAAAGCAGCCTTCAGACAAGACCATGTATAGGTTCTCTGAGGACTTTGATGCAAGCTACGACGACCAAGGGGGCATCAATCCCATACGACTTCCAAATGGCTGGGGAAAGAAAAAAACCGCGGTGAGTTGGTCTCCTCAGTTCCATTGATATCCAGCTGACCTTGTGGAGTAGAGTCCCAATGAGTACCTCTGGCAGTGGAAGTATAGGACCCATGATTATCTGGACATCATGCTTCAACGGGAGGCGCCTCCTCCAGACCGGGTGTGCTGTTTGTGCAGTGGGGATGGGACCCAGGAGTGCCACGACTGTCATGCACAGCCGATATTCTGCACGAAATGCTGTCGGGCAGAACATTCCCTGCGGCCATTCCACTGGATCAGTCAATGGAATGGAGATTTCTTTGAGAGGACCACTCTGACCAAGCTAGGCGTTGAGATTCATGCTGGCCATGGGGGAAAGCCTTGCCCACACCACGACTGGGAATGGGAGGACACGGATGATGAGGGTAGGTATGCTCCTGGAACCCCGGGACCAGGTGAAGATGCACCATCTGCAGAAGTGCCTCTGGGAGTGCCAGAGGCTTATGATGGAGAACCTGATGTATTTGTAGAACCGGGATCAGCTGCAGCTGCCAAAGACTCGCCGGAGGTAAACATACTGCCTGCAGGAAAAACAGCAATCACGGTGGTGCACACTTCGGGCGTGCATACCATGTCGATAAGATTCTGTCGATGCCCTGATGCCGAAACGCTTGACAAACAGCTTTTTAAAATGGAATTGTTCCTGGCATCTTTCACCCGCCCGAAGACCGCGTTCACCTTTGCATTGCTGGATGATTTCATCCTGGACAATCTGGAGTGCGGGACTTCAGCAATGAACTATTACAGCAAACTCAAGCGCACCACATCCAGCGTGTTTCCGCATTTAGTACTGGTGAGTCCAACAAGATCATACCAACCATGAGCTGAGTCTTGGCAGGACCGATATCGGGAGTTGATGAGGGTGGCCAGGCAGTGGCGACAACTGAAGCTTTTGAAATGGAATGGATTCTGTCATGAGAGGAGGGACCCGAAGGATGGAGAGCTGGCTCTTTTCTGCCCAGCATGTCCTCAACCCGGGATCAACGTTGCAGTACCGACCAAAGATGACGCATCACCGAAGTGGCTTTACACCTGATCGTTGGTTATGGATGGCAATTTCAAAGCCAAACATCTTCACCCGACGCACCCAGAAGACGAGGTTTGGCTCACCGACGGGCAATGTTTCATGGTGGCAAGAGCCAGATACAAAGCTCATCTTGCCATGTCAAAGGACTCAGCCCAAAGGTCCAAATGCAACAACCATAGAGCGGTGAACCAGGCCAACGCCTCTAGGCACAAATTGGAGGCCACCGGAATCGGGGGTGCGCCTGTGCCAGGCACGGGTGCTTTGTTCCGAATTCAATGGTGGATTTTCAAAAGGTAGAAAGGTGAGTCGTTCTCAAGGTAGGTTGTTCCGCTTGAATTTTGGGAGAAGACAGATGAACATGGACTACGCCCTATGCAATGCCCTGAGCTATAATACAGATGGGCTCAGCCAGGCATTCACATTTATGATGTCAACTGCCAGTACTACAAGCACCTCCAGCGGCGGGTGGATGAGAGCCTGCATCTGACCATTCCTTCCGGAATGGAGATCGTTCCAGGAATCAGGCTTTGGCACGTTCATGGCCACCAAGACAAATGCTTCGTCCAGTATGCATCCAACTTCATCCCAGGGCGCAGCTAGAATAGATGGCGAAATTATGGAGACCCTATGGGCACCTCTAAATATCATTTCGCCTTCAGCCCGGGGGATGTCAACGCCGCATAGACAAGAATGCTTGGACTATCAGATGAATGACTGTAATGTCATGAAGATGATCCGAATGGGTCAGTTATATTCTCTAGCATGTTTGCATACTTCCTGGTGACCCATGTTGCATTGAAAACAGGGTTGTTCTTGTCCCGGAAATACAAAGAGGCCAAACAAGGCATCCAAGAAAGCACCGAGGCCTTTGAGAAGTTGAACGATGCAGCAGATCCGGAAATGGTGCAGCGGTGGGAAGCAGAAGAAAATAAAGTGCAAGCTTGCCGAATGACCAATCCCTCGGCCATGGATGTTTATGATGTTAGGTTGTGCAAGGGTATGTATCGGTGATTCACCAATATAGCTGTTTTGTTGATCCGAGATTCTGTAAGCACGATCCCAGAAGGAGGTGGAGATAGCTTTGCTTCATAACTCAGCTCCCAGGCCGGGAGAAAGATCCCAGCTGGGGGCCGTCACTTGGTTGGCATCCGGTATTACCATCAAAGAAATGCAGATAGCACTGGCCATAGAGATCAGGAGGGTGTCATATACCATATTCCCGGGTATAGATCCGAAGATCCGGATCTCAGATCCGATCCAGATCCGATGGACATATCCGTCGTCCGGTCCACAGATCCAATCTAATCCTTGTTTCATGTCCTGTTCATATAACTCTAACTATCGTTCATCTCCTTTCGGCATTCCTGTACACCGGTATACCGGTTATCCTCTACTTCCGTTATGCTTACTGATCCGCTTTAGCTTAGACTTCATTCCTGGTTATGATTCGTTATCCATCCGACTTACCGATATGCTGTACACATGCTTTGCTTATACTTCGTGCATAGCCTCGCGTCCTTGCTTATTGATCATTCTGTTAGTTATCCGTAGTATATAAACCCTTGTACATGCACTGTAGTAGATCAGTTCGAATATCATCTTAGACTGCACTCATTCTGTCTGGACTCTAAGTCCATCCGTTATCCATCTGGACTTGAGTATGATACTCTTGTCTACTCCGAGACTTAGGATTGATTCCTATAGTCTATATATCCGTCTCTGTCTTCGGACAGTCCTCGCCTGTTAGTTTCTAGTTTGGATCCGATCCGGATTAGCCGTTACTATATACGTTCAATATCCGGAAGCCTTAACGGATCCGTTACGAGACTTATCCGTCTCAATATACGCAATACTCTAGTACTCTGAAATAAGGGGCAAGACTCGGGCAAGGGGCACAGCGCACGAGCTGAGGCCGAAGCCCTTCGGATCCGATACTACTTGAGTACGGTCTTAACAGATAGGAGATTACGTACCGAGATCAGGCATCAATGATTTCATATCCGGTTATTACCCCCACTTAGATTACGTCTTTGGGCATGCAAGGGGCCATGAGGCAGGTGCATAAAAGAGTGCCTTGTTGATAACCTGCTCAGTCGTTTTCCCCACCGTCATGTCCCAGATCTCACCTGAATCGTGCTCATACTCAAATCATGCAGACTTTCTCAGGAATGGTGTTTTCCGACCGGCCAGAATACCTCAGGACTGGGCATTGCACACCACCAATGTAGCAAGCGAATGGGTGGAGCAGCAATTCCTCGCCCATATAGCCGGCTGGCCCTTGGTGAATCTGCCACCCAAATTGGACATGGTCACGATGCTTTCATGTGGGCAACTGGCTTTGCGCATGGCCCACGCCTATCAACATTCGAGTGAGTGAATTTGCGGGCATGCTGGGATCGGATCATCATCCTTCCGAAATTAGTTAAATTAGACATAGACATCATCCGGTACAATGAGGCCCTTGCCAAGCGTGAATCTGGGATGAATGACGCCCAGGAAGAGGCCTTGTTGACGAAGTTCCCTCCTGCCGAGAACATATTTTTGGACACCCCGTCGGTGGTGATGGACTCAGGTTTCAGGGTGATCCTTTGGTACATCCCGGATGGGTTGAGTCCATGGGTGCAGGTTTGTACATCGGCAGACGTCCTCATCAACAATTGACCTTGATTATTGCAGAATGATATGTATGCAGCCACTGTGTCCATGGGAGATCTTCTCAAGAAAAGTGTCACTACCAGGAAAGGAAGCGGTTGGAGGACCCACGAGTCCAACTTTCGACCTGCCGAGTTGCCAGGATTGACTCCCGGGTGCATAAACATAGCACTGTGTTGGTTCCAGCAAGGTCATGAAGTGGGTCCTGCAATTCCAGTGCATAAACTTTATTGATGTGCAGTAGTGCTATGGCCCACCTCCCAATAATCCAGAAGATGGGTTCAAACCCGAGGTGTCAGCCACCCTGAAGGGCGAAAGGAGCCTGTCTATGATCATGGACATGCAGAGGCCCGCGCTTCTTGCATCCGCTGCCTTGCGGGTCATGCACCCTCAGCTGTACTGGGCTTCCGTAAAAACTCAAATTGCACTTGGTTGTTGGTCAGGAGACCATGGCATGGCGGACATGCATCATTTGTTGAAGTATTGGGCCTCTGTTTACACAGGCAGCAGCCGTCATGTGCAACCACCAGTCTCCCAATCACCGAGATCCGAAATGTCTGCCTGAGGCATTCGATATACTGACCTCCATAGGCAGTTACCGGCAGGCGATCATGAAGTTGCCCAACCTGGGGATCGAGTTGGCATACAATCCAGGAGTGATGGTGAGTTATTTGGGCCGTCTTGTAAGGCATGGAATCAGGGTTGATGAAGGCGATCGGATAGTATGGTCCTGGTTCCTCCGAGATAGTGTTCACAACTATGCCCGCACCCCTCGCCCGGATTATGCCAGATACAATCCGGCCGACCTCAATGCATACAAGTTGGCCAAATACAACCAGGCTAATTTTACCGTGTATGGCAAGCTGTAGACTCCTGTCCCACTCTTATTCTGCACATCATTACAACACCTTGTCCTTATCTGTCATTCCCTACATACAGACACATTCTCTTGCCCAAGTATCTCATTTGAATACATTATCAGATCTTTAATATAATTTATACAAGAGGGGAAAATGTGAGTAGGCATTCCCTCGCTGGGATCCCAGAGTAAGTCATCAACTTCGGATGTGTCACCTTGCAGCAGCCAAAGACAACCATGCCCTTTGCCCAGTCATTGAACCTTACCTAGGCCCAGGACTGTCTGTCCATTCCTGCATCATCGCCTTGGACCCGGTAGTTGACCAATCCCATATCCGGACCTGCCGGTCACATCCTACATTGTCACCCTGCGCCCAGTGGTTGAATCATACCATGGCATATACTGAACATTCCATCAAGGCCTACATCATCACCTTGCGCCCGGTCGTTAATCAATCCCAGACATGGGCTGGCCAGTCAAATCCTACATCGCCCCCTGCACCCGGTCGTTGAATCACGCCCATGCCTGGGCCCACCCATCAAATCCTACATCGCCACCCTGCGCCTGGTTGTTGAATCATATCCATGCCCGGGCCCGCCCGTCAAATCCTACATTGCCACCCTGAGCCCGGTCATTAACTATACCCATACATTGGCCCGCCCATCAAATCCTATGTCGCCACCCTGGGCCCGGTCGTTAACCATACCCATACATCGGCCCACCCGTCAAATCCTACGTCGCCACCCTGGGCCCGGTCTGTTGAATCATACCCATGCCTGGGCCCGCCCATCAAATCCTACATCATCCCCCTGGGCCTGGTCGTTGAAATCATACCTTATCCACTGGGCCCGCCCATCAAAACCAGCATCATCGCATTGGACCCAGTCGTGAACCATAACCACACCCGGGCCTGCCCTTCAGATCCTACCTTGGGCCCAATCGTAAACCATAACCATACTCGGGCCCGCCCGTCAAATGCTACATCATCGCCCTAGGCCCGGGTGTCGAAACCTACATCATCCTCTTGGACCTGGTCGTTAACCATAACCATACCTGGGCCCCCCTGTCAAATGCTACATCATCCCCTTGGGCCTGGTCGTTAACCACAACCACAACTGGGCCCGCCCGTCAAATGCTACATCATCACCCTAGGCCTGGGCATCGAAACCTGCATCACCCCCTTGGGCCCGGTCGTTAACCATAACCATACCTGGGCCCCCCGTCACATCCTACATCATTGCCCTGGGCCCGGTCGTTCAACCATTTCCATTCCACATCCGTCGGGCCCAACTGTCAAATCCTATATCATCCTGGGCCCGGCCATCAGATTCTACATCACCCCGGGCCTGGTCGTTGAATCCTACATCACAATTTGGGCCCGACCCACCACCACAACCAGCTCATCATCACATGCCCCTCTGGCCCAACCATCCTGTCAGTTGCCACCCATGGGCTGGGCCGTTCATATTGAAGCATCACAAACATCATGGGCCCGGCCATGAATATCGGCCTGAACTTGTCCCTGGGCCCACCTCGGGTGGCCCATCTCCCATGGAAGAATCTCAACCTCTGGGTGGCCATTTAACACGGGAAAAAGTTACTGAATGGGCTCCCAGAATGGTGCATACACACCGTTCAGCGCATGTCCGTGCAAGCCTCAAAATAAGCCTCCAGGTCGTTGGGATTGACCGTGATGCGAGTGAGCTGTCCAAGAGTAATGGAGTGCGTATGAGCAGGGTGCTGGAAATTATCCCCGAATTGCAAATACGAGGCCATGGTGAAGGGAGAGGTCTTCCTGCGCACACATGCAAGCATAGCTGCCTCCGGGGTATCAACAATGTACGCAGCGAGGGGGGTAAAACAATGGCGGACGTTTCCTACCAGATCAGACATCATAATCCCAACTTCCGCGGCTTTCGTCAATGGCTTTAACGCGATCGAGAGACATTCATGGACAAGGCAGTCTTCAAGCATCCCCGCATACGTTGATTGGGGTGTAAATACTTTGGAATTGGGAGGAGAGCCATAAGCAGAAAAGCCTTGGATGAGAGTTCTGTATGGGTGCGCATGCGGATATTGGCGAGGCCGAGAAGAAGAGGGTGAGCGACCCTGGCACCAGTCATGGTGGTGATGTTGGTTTTGTCAGACAAAAGAACGATGCCAAGAATTGTAGCGCCTCTGGGAAGTTGTGTCTGCAGTATATATGATGAGGCGATGCAGAATTTAGTAGAATCAGTACTTACTTGCATTTCCCAAGCAGAATCTCCCGTTAACCATTCCGAATATACACGCAGAAGCTGCGCTGCTATTTTGTAAATGCGGCGAGGGATAAAATCAAGCTTATCGTGAAACAGCGGATTACTGAAAATACTCTCCAAGCATTCCACAGGATCCCTGCAAAAGAGTCAGATTGGAGACTTGGTAGGATGGATGGAGGGAATAATCTGACATTTCCAACTTGGTCCACTAGGGAGCATTTCAGCACGGCTTCGTAGTTCTTTGGCATTGTTGAACGAAAGGTGTAGTGTTTGAACCTGAAACAAGAAGTGTTATGGCTGATGAATCAAGCACAAAAAATACACACCATTGAAAGCTTCAGAAATTCATCTATTGCTGCCATGCTGAGGGACGAGCGCAGGAGATAATCGGCAACTTCCCACTCTTCCTTGGATGTGAAAGGATAGTAGAGATTGTCTACCCTGCATTCTGCATATTCGTCGGCATCGAATAGATCCAAGAAGGTCTTGCCATCTTGAGAGTAACAGGTCCCCGCACCATCATACTCTTCATCCAGTGACTCTCCAAACATCCCGAAGCCATCATCAATGTTAGCATGTGAATGATCCCCACCACAAACTTCCAGAATGCTGTCAGTATGATCCATTAGTTCCTCAGTGGATGCTCGTTGAGGTGACTCTGTGTCGGCTCCTGCGTAACACCAGGGAGGAACCACTTCCATGAACTGCAAAATATCAACAATGTCACGCATATGACTGTGACACAAGGATCAAGGCTGGCTCAGGTGTCAAGTGATGCTGCTCTCCTTTGTAAATGTTTTCCCGCACTTTGGGCATATTGGTGCTGACATTGAAGATAGTAGTAAGTAAGGAAAGATTCGCACGATCTTTGTTGATATCACCCCCAACTGTTATGATGTCTTATCAGACTCCTACTGCAAGCTCTAATCCCCAACACCATTGCAACTCAGCCTCACGTGTACCACGCCTCCAAGGATCTTGTCAATCGCTATCATATTGGTCTGGCCTTAGTGAAGTGCCATCATTCGATGGATAAAAAACCACCCACAACGCTCAGACACCTTGTGAGTACTTATGCTTGTTTTTCCTCGTCATTAGTTATATTCTGCAGCAGGGTGACTACTCCACACTGGACGGAGAAAGAGAATGCTGATGATGAGCATTCTGATCTCATGCTTGCAGCCGCCCAAGCCAAACGAAAAGTATGCGAGGCCGAGAAGTACCTGGCTGACTGCATTTTGGCACACCAATCAGTGCTTCTCGATGTCTGGCGTCAACGTGCCCAGGCCGCAAATTCTCATTTGTTGGTAGCAGAGCTCAATGTCGGACGCCTACATATGGAACGGAAGAAATTTTGTGTTTCAATGTCCATGGCTCGGAGTGACGCAGAGAGTGCGACAGTGAGTACTCATATTCAGTTTTGTTGTTAGTGATGTGCTGACATCACTGCTACAGACAATCGGCACCTCATCCTCATACTAGATATTGATATTTGCAGCCTGAGTCGCATTCAGCAGGCTCACGCTTGCGGTCACCATCCAAAAATCTTGGAGTCGGGCTGCTGTAAAGCTCGTATAACCGAGACAGAGGCATAGCATGTATAAAAAAAATAGTTTTAGCTTTGACCTTCAAGTATATAGTACTATTATAGTTCTATTTGTGTTGCGATCACTTTGTCGCCCTTGTAGCCCTTGTGTCGTTCTGTGGATCCTTGTAGATCCTTGTGACACCTGTAGTACTGTACCCATGTACCGTCTATGGACTTGTATAGCTTTGTATTGATGTGTTGATTCTGTCACCAAATTTGTAGTTTGCTGATGGGTCATAGTGCTGGCCCTTATCAGACTCAATTCAGATATCCTTTCTCGTGGACGACTCGGATGAGTCGGGTGGGTTTTTCTTTCTTTCAATGAATACAAGTATCGAGATGTGTAGAGTAGTGACCAACATCGGGAAACACGTCCTCTGATTGCATGCAAGTTGAGCACGTCATCTCAGAGGCGATACTACATCCTGGCCTGGACCTCATGGCTTAGATTGAAAAGTCTTGTAAAACAGTATAGTTTGGAATGAAACTAAGTGAAATCGACAATACTCAACAAGTGTGACACATATCCCTCACAGGCTACCATGGAGTAATGTGACCACATTTTCACGAATTGCATGATGTTCTAGATCCGGTGACATTTGCCAAAGCTATCTTTCAAGGTAAAGCCTTGAATGGCCGTTATGTCCAAAACATACACAGGGAAAATCAAGAACACTCGACAAGATTGACACGATTCCTCTACTATCACTCACAGGCTGTGATGGTGCCATGTCACGGTATCGTCACAAATTCTCATACTAATTTACATCCGATGTTCAGTGCTAACGCCACTTGCCAGGAGAAAGCCTTGAATAGCAATATCATTCAAAACATAAATATGGGGAAATGAGAACACTCAACAAGCGGAACTCAATTACACTACCATCCCTTACTGGTCACGATGTGAAATAGTAATGACTTTGTTACGAACTCCTCATAGTAGTCTAAATTTACAAACATCCATGCCTATGTATCAATGTCTCAAATTTCTCCTGGGATAAATTGACATATCTGGTTGAAGCAGAATTGTATCTGTCTGTAATTCACACACGGCTACAAAATCAAGGACTCATGAATTCACTGATGCGACGTTCGAACATTCAAGAATCAAAACTTCAACCATGTGTCAACAGATCTGAGAGTCTAGATGCACGACATTACACATACTCACCAGCTGAAGAGCAGTTGATTGATCATCAGGAACTTGTCAAAGTTAACACGTCCCACCTCTTCTAGTATGGGACTCCCATGTCTGACGTAACTGCACTTGTGTCACTTGGTGAGGTGCTTCACTCCAAAAACTCCCGTACGTCGTGTCCACTTCGATCTACGTACGTCCTTATTTATCTCGTTTGCAGAATCAATATTGTCACACCAAGCCAGGTGATGTGCAAGTTTTGGAACGAAATATTCATCATGTATTGGACTGACCATTTGCTAGAATCTACGCTATGACTGGCAAATCCATCGAGTTCGACAACACGGATGCTGAATGTCGTCTTGTTCTAGCTGGTGCATGCCTTGCTATCTACTGGTGTTGTGATAAATTCTAATATTGTCAAAGATGCGTTGTACTACACATCAACCGAGTTCAAGCTGCACACGGTCATCAACGTTGCCACTCTCACTGGGTATGTATTGATTGTTCACACTTTTCAGCCTGAATTTACTAATGATAGGGTTATGGAAGTCGCACTGGGTGAGATCTACACTGGTGTTTTCGTGGTTCATCATCTCATCACTGCCGACACGACACGCTGATGACTAAACCCTTGTATTAGACCTCCAATGCCCTTTGAGACCGACTGAGTGTTGCCGGAGAGAGCGAGTACAATCACTTCTGGCACATGCCCCTCTACGAGGATTGCAGCACACAGATCTACTTATCTAACACTGACTTGTGCAACGTTGGTCATCTGTCTTCACATTAGTCTTGCTTGAAAATTACATTGTCTTTTGTTTTCTAGACTAGCGGGAAACCAGCAGGTTCATGCACCACTGCATTCCTTAATGTGTTCGTAGATAGCATCGAGGCCAAGGATGAACAGGAACCCTCTGTCCGATGGGCTCACCTTGATATTGCTGCGACTATGGAGGTAAGAACATGTCACTTGTGAACTCAGATGCAGAACGTATGTCATGAGCACAAGTATTATCTAAACGATAGCGTTGTTCGCAATGCACCTTTTATTGTGACTGCCTCCCATTATTATTTCCAATCTCTGATAATTTCACTGTAGTTCACGCGCTCAACACCATACCAAGAGAAAGGAATGACTGGGTGTCGTGTTCAGTAAGTCATTTCAAACAAGATTATTCTAATATCATCGTTCAGTGCATTGGTAGAATTTGTCAGACGTCTCTCAAGCCAAGAATGAGATGTGCAGAGATGGGTATTGCTCACTACGATAGGCCTCCATTTTACGCGTTTTGCAAAACGTCAGTGACTAGGTTAGCGATGAAATATCTGTGCACATTCCAATAGAATATTATTTGAGCGAGTGATTACTTGATTTGTGGGGACTGACTTTCCGATGTCTATGGAACCATGCCTGAAGCACCAGTTGTAGACCGTAGACAATACAACCATCAGTGCACTCAAAGTACTTCGGCAATGCAACGCCGATGTGCTGTGTCAATGGTACTATTCCCTCCTGGAGACCGATTGGTCAAAGAAATCTGGGTGATTTTTGTTCCTTCTCCTCAGGAATAGTGATCGCAGGCTACTATTGTCCCTGGGCGCTGACTATTCAAGAGTTCAGAAGTGAGTATGAGTCGATCACTCCTGCATACATGCGTGCGCATTGGATCATGTTGGTGATGCATCACATCAAGACGAGGGCTGTAAGATGCTCGATGCTGATAAACTCAATTATATTACATGGGAACATAACGACAACCAAGCGCTGGAACAAAGCGTAATCTAGTCTGCCCGTGTCTAAGACAATGATAACTTTGAGCGGCAATAAAGATCAACAGGGAGTAAAATTCGACACTTGATTCCCATCTATCTAACATCTCCATGAGTCAACTACCGCAATAACATCATCGTGAAGTAGGGCTAAATGTATTGAATTTAGCAAATGCGAGGGACAGATAGTAAAGACTAAGAACTTACACATCTCAGCAACTTGACCAGCGTGTCCCATGTGCCATGCGGCTCAAATCAAGCTCGACGCCTCCTCTTGGGATCACGAGTGAAGTCCAAGGATTATAAAATGCATGTCGGAAAGCGGGAGGTACCCAGAAAAGGAGGCGACGATCGGGTCCTACCACCCATCCATCATCGAGCAGCAAGAAAGGGGGCAAATTGGAATTATGATTGGAGATGCCCTCAAGGAGGTCAGCAGGGTTGCACAGCGCATGTTCCAACTTGGAGTTAGATGAGAAGGAAATGAAGTGATGGTTCCAAGTAATGGGCGACATGGTGGGATGCTCCTGTGTGCGAGGGGTAGTGCAACTTCTATCCAGAGAGAATGCGGATGAATTTGCCTCAGTGTACTCTTGTCGTGCCTGTCCAGATGCTACATCCCACAGCCGCACAGTCTTATCCTGTGAGCCAGACGCAATGCGGGCACCATCCGGTGAGAACGAGACTGACAAAACCCAACCAGTCACATATTGCAGTAACATATCTCCGTATTATACGAGTGAACGGACGTGCATAATATCCCGTATGATACGGGCCAGCGGACCATGGGCCAAGGTAGATATATCCTCGACTGTGACGGATGGGCCGGGAGTGTTATTATTCCCGATGGAGACGGGTTGGCCCAGGTGGGGAATATGTAAAGTAGATGGGTGGGCCGATGGACATGAATTTTCAATAGACGGATCGGCCGAGGTAGTTGGATATTATGTAGATGGGTGTACCAAGGTAGATATGTATCAAATAGCCGGGTATATCAAGGGTGCTTGTTATCACATAGACAGGTGGGCCCAGATATATATCATATTAGATGGGTGGGCTGACGAATTAATATTATTTTGTAGACGGGTGGGCCGACGTATTGGTATTATTTTGTAGACGAGTGGGCCGAGGGAGCGGTGAAAGATTTATTATATACGGGTGGGCCAATGGTAGACATATACTTGCATAGACGGGTAGGCCGACGTAGGGGTATATAATATAAACGGTGGGCCCAGGAGAATGATAATTGTAGACATGATGGAGCTCAGCTAGTTGTATATCATGGAGGTAATAATTCAAAGTCATCTAATGATGTAGTATGGCATGGAGCCTTGCAAAGGGGTGAAGTGGAAACTCGAGCGAAGTGTACCAAGTTCCGAGACCCGGGTCTCGACAAATGAATATGTGATGTCCAGCACACTTCCGATCGTCTGGTATTTCATTGAGCAATATATGATAATAGATCTTTGAAAGCCAACATCATCCAAGCCTACCAAATGCCAAATGCCAAGTTCCAACTACCGAAAATCAAGTGAAGTGTACCAATATCCGAGCCCTGACTATCAAATCCCGACAATCGACCATTGAGTCCCGACTACCGAGTCTTGAAACCCGAGTCCCAAAGCCCGAGATTTGAGTCCTGAAACCCAATGCCCGACCATTGAATCCCAACAATCGAGTATCAAGTCCCGACCAACGAGTCCCAAATATTGAGTCCTGACCATCGAGACCCAACACCCAACACCCAACACCCGACACCCAACACCCAACACCCGACACCCGACAACCGACACCCGACACCCGACACCCGAGATTCAAGACTCAAGTTCCGACTATGGAGTCCCGGATATCAAAAATCAAGTGAAGTGTACTGAGATCCGAGTCCAACCTGAAGGATTCCTTAGGCTGGACTTCCAAACCTTTGGATTTGTCCTTCCATCTCTATCCAAGCTTAAGGATTGATTCCTTAAGCTGGACCTTTGCCTTTCTGGCACTTCCTGTCTTTCCAAGACTTATGTCTACTTCCTGTTATCTCCGACTCCACCTAAGTGTAGCCTACCTCTGTTTGCTTCTACTCCAGACCTTGTCCATGGTAGTCTTTATTCTCCTGTCCTATAATGCTGTCCACTCCTGCTGACCTCCAGACCTTTGGATCTCCGGACCTTTGGATCTCCGGACATCTTACCCTTCGGATATCAAAACCTTTGGACATTGTAACCTTTGGACATCATGACCTTCAGACATCATAACCTTTGGACATCTGAACATTCAGATGGCGCAACCTTCAGACATCCTGTCCTCTGGACCACTCCTCCTATCTGATCCTGCTTTGGACTCTGTCCCTTGCAGTCTCTCCTCCATGTGCTTCCATCCAGGAAGCTTACCTTCAGAAGTCTTATCTTCGGACCCTATGCAGCAGGTGAAACTCCTCCAGAGTTTCCTGTACTTCTCTAGAAGTTTCTATACTCCTCCGGAAGGTTCCTGTGCTCATCCAGAAGTCCTCCAGCACTCCATCAGAGTAGCCAGTCTCCGGAAGTCCTTCGGACTTCATTGGATTTCATCTGGACTTCATTCTGAAATTAAGGGTATGTACTTGGGAAAGGTGCAAAATAAAATATACTGACTACCAAGTGCTGAGCACTAAGTGTCGAGTTCCAAGTTCCGAGTTCCGAGTTCCGAGTTCCGAGTTCCGAGTTCCGAGTGCCAAGTGCCCCGATGCTTTCGGGTATTAACACCCAGATAGCCCTCGCTCTCAGGGGCCCGTCAGAATTTAGATCATCTCAAACGGATGTGATTTGAGTGAGATATGAGTACCAAGTGCTGAGTGCCAAGTGCAGAGTGCCCTGATGCTTTTGGGCATTAACACCCAGATAGCCCATGCTCTCAGGGGCCCATCAGAATTTAGATCATCTCAAACAGATGTGATTTAATGAGTCCCAAGTGCTGAGTGCCGAGTCCCAAGTGCTGAGTGCCGAGTGCTGAGTTCTGAGTGCCGAGTGCCGAGTTCCGAGTTCCGAGTGCCCCGATGCTTTCGGGTATTAACACCCAGATAGCCCTCGTCCTCAGGGGCCTGTCAGAATTTAGATCATCTCAAACAGATGTGATTTGAGTGAGATATGAGCAAAATACTATATACCGGGTGAATTTCAGCATTGGAAGTTTGATGCTTTCGATGTTTTTGATGTCGGGTCTTGATGCTTTCGGGCATTAACATGTAGATAGCCCTCGATCTCAGGGGTGTGGCAAAATTTAGATTGTCTAAAACAGATATAATTTGAGTGAGATATATGCAAAATACCACACACTGACTACCGAGTGCTGAGTGCCAAGTGCCAAGTGCCGAAAACCAAGTTCTGAGTGCCGAGTGCCGAGTGCTGAGTGCCGAGTGCCCCGATGCTTTCGGGCATTAACACCCAGATAGCCCTCGCTCTCAGGGGCCTGTCAGAATTTAGATAGTTCCGAGTGCCAAGTGCCGAGTTCCAAGTGCCGAGTTCCAAGTGCCGAGTTCCGAGTTCCGAGTGCCCCGATGCTTTCGGGTATTGACACCCAGATAGCCCTCGCTCTCAGGGACCTGTCAGAATGTAGATCATCTCAAACGGATGAGATTTGAGTGAGATATGAACAAAATACTATATACCGGGTGAATTTTGGCATCAGAAGTTCGATGCTTTCGATGTTTTCAGAATTGAGATCATCTCAAACGGATGTAATTTGAGTGAGATATGAACAAAATTCTATATACCGGGTGAATTTTGGCATCAGAAGTTTGATGCTTTCGATGTTTTTGATGTCTGGTCTTGATGCTTTCGAGCATTAATATGTAGATAGCCCTTGATCTCAGGGGTGTGGCAGAACTCACATTGTCTCAAACAGATATAATTTGAGTGAGATATTTGGAAAAAAACTATGTATTTACTGACTACCGAGTGCTGAGTGCCGAGTTCTGAGTTCTGAGTTCCGAGTGCCAAGTGCCGAGTGCCGAGTTCCGAGTGCCGAGTGCCGAGTGCCCCGATGCTTTCGGGTATTGACACCCAGATCACCCTCACTCTCAAGGGCCTGTCAGAATTTAGATCATCTCAAACGGATGTGATTTGAGCGAGATATGAACAAAATACTATATACCGGGTGAATTTTGGCATCAGAAGTTCAATGCTTTCGATGTTTTTGATGTCGGGTCTCAATGCTTTTGGGTATTGACATGTAGATAGCCCTCGATCTCAGGGGTGTGGTAAAATTCAGATTGTCTGAAACAGATATAATTTGAGTGAGATATATGCAAAATCCCATATACTGACTACCAAGTGCTGAGTACCAAGTGCCGAGTGCCAAGTGCCAAGTGCCTTCTGAGTGCTGAGTGTCCCGATGCTTTCGGGCATTACCACCCAGATAGCCCTTGCTCTCAGGGGTCCATCAGAATTTTGATTATCTCAAACAGATGTGATTTGAGTGAGATAGGAGCAAAATACTATATATCAGGTGAATTTCAGCATTGGAAGTTCAATGCTTTCAATGATTTTGATGTCGGGCCTCAATGCTTTCAGGCATTGATATGCAGATAGCCTTCACTCTCAGGGGTCCTTCAGAATTTGGATCATATTTTCGCATCAGGAGTTTGATGCTTTCAATGATTTCAATGTGAGGCCTAGATGACTGTGTTCATTGACATGTGGATAGCCCTTAATGTCAGGAGTTCACAGAATTCATATGGCCTCACATGGACATATGAGGTAATGTAGGACATTCTCAACACATCAGGAGACACATAAAAACACATCATAAGGCACTACATCATGTCTTCAATAGTCATACCTATGTGTAGTATGATAGTGTGATCTTTAATATACTGTTCAGGCTGACACTCATCAAGTATCACAGGTCTATTGTACAGACTTAGAATAAAATACAGTAGTCCTAACTCGATAGTCATTACACGATAGTCTTCACTTGATAGTCTAATATGATTGTTGATTACTACATAATACATAAGCTGTGAGGGTTAGGATTATTATGGAAGATATGACAGTCATGGTTATTAAGAAAGCTTATATTATGCCTAGCAAGTTAAGACTATTGAGTTAAGACAATCGTATCCTTAGTCTAGTAAGCACTGTCAAAGCTTGTGACCTTCTGGTAACCGTGTGGCAAAATCATATTTTGCTGATGTATATATCTTGTGATTGTAACTTTCTTGCACCAGTGCACAGTGATTGCCTTGAATTTCGAGTTTTTTGTATTTAGAGATACATACCACTGACAGATACTGTTTCAGGGACTGGAACAGTACACTGGAAGCCAATCTATCATATTATACATAGGTGTGATCATAGCAAACCTGATGCAGTCCCTGATGATGTGTTTTTATGTTTCTCCTGATGTTTTAGAATTTTTCCCACACAAGGCTGACAACAAAAACATTGAACCTGCGAAGCTCAGACACACCCAATAAATTGTATTTTGCTCATATCTCCCTCAAATCATGTCTGTTTGAGGCAAAATATGATCCCCAACATCCCTTCAATAGTATATGCAATATATAAGGATACTAGGACAACAGGATTTATTCCTGTTGTGCTATGTGCTTACCCTTGGTGCAAGGCCTGACATCAAAATCACCTGATATATAATATTTTGCTCATATCTCACTCAAGTCTTATCCGTGTGAGACGATCTGAATTGTGACAGGCCCCTGAGATCAAGTTCTATCTGCTTGTGAATGCCTGAATGCATTGAGGCTAGACATTGCAAACATGGAAAGCATTGACCTTACAATGCTGAAATACACACAGTATATGGGATTTTGCTCATATCTCACTCAACTCTTATCCATTTGGGATGGGCTAAATTCTGCCAGACCCGTGAGATCTAGGGCTATCTGCATGTCAATGCCTGAAGGCATTGAGGCTTGATATCAATAACATCAAAAGCATCAAACTTCTGATGGTGAAATTCACTTGGTATATAGTATTTTGCTCATATCTCACTCAAATCACATCCATTTAAGATGATCTAAATTCTGATGGGCCCCTGAGAGCGTGGGCTATCTGGATGTTAATACCCGAAGGCCTCGGGGCACTCGGCACTCGGAACTCGGCACTCGGAACTCGGCACTTGGCACTCGGAACTCAGAACTCAAAACTCAGCACTCAGCACTCGGTAGTCAGTATATACATAGTATGGTGCAAATATCTCACTCAAATTATATCTGTTTGAGACAATGTGAATTCTGCCACACCCCTGAGATTGAGGGCTATCTACATGTTCATGCCTGAAAGCATCAAGACCCGACATCAATAACATCGAAAGCATCGAACTTCTGATGCCAACATTCACCCGGCATATAGTATTCTGTTCATATCTCACTCAAATCACATCCGTTTGAGATGATCTCAATTCTGACGGGTCCCTGAGAGCGAGGGCTATCTGGGTGTTAATACCCGAAAGCATCAGGGCACTCGGAACTCGGAACTTGGAACTCGGAACTCGGAACTCGGAACTCGGAACTCGGAACTCGGCACTCGGAACTCAGCACACAGCAGAAAGCTTGATTGCAACACTGAAGGCACTGAGGTGGATGAGGGAACACCTCCTGACAGTGATTGAATGCCTGAACGCATCAGGGCACTCAGCACTCGGCACTCGGCACTCGGAACTCAGAACTCAGAACTCAGCACTTGGCACTCAACACTCGGGACTCATTCACCCTGTATCTTGGATTGTGCATATATCTCACTCAAATCATATCTATTTCAGACTATCTAAATTCTGATGAATCCCTGAGATCTAGGGCTATCTGCATGTCAATGCCCGAAAGCATCAAGAGCCGACATTAAAAACATCGAAAGCATCGAACTTCTGATGCCAAAATTCACCCGGTATATAGTATTTTATTCATATCTCACTCAAATCACATCCGTTTGAGATGATCTAAATTCTGACGGGTCCCTGAGAGCGTGGGCTATCTGGGTGTTAATACCCGAAAGCATCGGGTACTGGCACTCGGAACTCGGAACTCGGAACTCGGTCTGGCACTGGCACTTGGTACTCAGCCCTCGGTAGTCAGTGTGTGGTAGTATTTTATTCATATCTCACTCAAATCACATCCGTTTGAGATGATCAAATTCTGACGGGTCCCTGAGAGCGAGGGCTATCTGGATGGTAATACTCGAAAGCATCGGGGCACTCGGCACTCGGAACTCGGCACTCGGAACTCGGCACTCAGCACTCGGTAGTCAGTATATACATAGTATTTGCAAATATCTCACTCAAATTATATCCGTTTGAGATGATCTAAATTCTGACGGGTCCCTGAGAGCGAGGGCTATCTGGGTGTTAATACCCGAAAGCATCGGGGCACTCGGCACTCGGAACTCGGCACTCAGCACTCGGTAGTCAGTATATACATAGTATTTTGCAAATATCTCACTCAAATTATATCCATTTGAGACAATGTGAATTCCGCCACACCCCTGAGATCAAGGGCTATCTACATGTTAATGCCCGAAAGCATCAAGACCCGACATGAAAAACATCGAAAGCATCGAACTTCTGATGCCAAAATTCACCCGGTATATAGTATTTTGTTCATATCTCACTCAAATCTCATCCGTTTGAGATGATCTACATTCTGACAGGTCCCTGAGAGCGAGGGCTATCTGGGTGTCAATACCCGAAAGCATCGGGGCACTCGGAACTCGGAACTCGGCACTTGGAACTCGGCACTTGGAACTCGGCACTTGGCACTCGGAACTATCTAAATTCTGACAGGCCCCTGAGAGCGAGGGCTATCTGGGTGTTAATGCCCGAAAGCATCGGGGCACTCGGCACTCAGCACTCGGCACTCGGCACTCAGAACTTGGTTTTCGGCACTTGGCACTTGGCACTCAGCACTCGGTAGTCAGTGTGTGGTATTTTGCATATATCTCACTCAAATTATATCTGTTTTAGACAATCTAAATTTTGCCACACCCCTGAGATCGAGGGCTATCTACATGTTAATGCCCGAAAGCATCAAGACCCGACATCAAAAACATCGAAAGCATCAAACTTCCAATGCTGAAATTCACCCGGTATATAGTATTTTGCTCATATCTCACTCAAATCACATCTGTTTGAGATGATCTAAATTCTGACAGGCCCCTGAGGACGAGGGCTATCTGGGTGTTAATACCCGAAAGCATCGGGGCACTCGGAACTCGGAACTCGGCACTCGGCACTCAGAACTCAGCACTCGGCACTCAGCACTTGGGACTCGGCACTCAGCACTTGGGACTCATTAAATCACATCTGTTTGAGATGATCTAAATTCTGATGGGCCCCTGAGAGCATGGGCTATCTGGGTTGTTAATGCCCAAAAGCATCAGGGCACTCTGCACTTGGCACTCAGCACTTGGTACTCATATCTCACTCAAATCACATCCGTTTGAGATGATCTAAATTCTGACGGGCCCCTGAGAGCGAGGGCTATCTGGGTGTTAATACCCGAAAGCATCGGGGCACTTGGCACTCGGAACTCGGAACTCGGAACTCGGAACTCGGAACTCGGAACTTGGAACTCGACACTTAGTGCTCAGCACTGGTAGTCAGTATATTTTATTTTGCACCTTTCCCAAGTACATACCCTTAATTTCAGAATGAAGTCCAGATGAAATCCAATGAAGTCCGAAGGACTTCCGGAGACTGGCTACTCTGATGGAGTGCTGGAGGACTTCTGGATGAGCACAGGAACCTTCCGGAGGAGTATAGAAACTTCTAGAGAAGTACAGGAAACTCTGGAGGAGTTTCACCTGCTGCATAGGGTCCGAAGATAAGACTTCTGAAGGTAAGCTTCCTGGATGGAAGCACATGGAGGAGAGACTGCAAGGGACAGAGTCCAAAGCAGGATCAGATAGGAGGAGTGGTCCAGAGGACAGGATGTCTGAAGGTTGCGCCATCTGAATGTTCAGATGTCCAAAGGTTATGATGTCTGAAGGTCATGATGTCCAAAGGTTACAATGTCCAAAGGTTTTGATATCCGAAGGGTAAGATGTCCGGAGATCCAAAGGTCCGGAGATCCAAAGGTCTGGAGGTCAGCAGGAGTGGACAGGATTATAGGACAGGAGAATAAAGACTACCATGGACAAGGTCTGGAGTAGAAGCAAACAGAGGTAGGCTACACTTAGGTGGAGTCGGAGATAACAGGAAGTAGACATAAGTCTTGGAAAGACAGGAAGTGCCAGAAAGGCAAAGGTCCAGCTTAAGGAATCAATCCTTAAGCTTGGATAGAGATGGAAGGACAAATCCAAAGGTTTGGAAGTCCAGCCTAAGGAATCCTTCAGGTTGGACTCGGATCTCAGTACACTTCACTTGATTTTTGATATCCGGGACTCCATAGTCGGAACTTGAGTCTTGAATCTCGGGTGTCGGGTGTCGGGTGTCGGTTGTCGGTTGTCGGGTGTCGGGTGTTGGGTGTTGGGTGTCGGGTGTTGGGTGTTGGGTGTTGGGTCTCGATGGTCAGGACTCAATATTTGGGACTCGTTGGTCGGGACTTGATACTCGATTGTTGGGATTCAATGGTCGGGCATTGGGTTTCAGGACTCAAATCTCGGGCTTTGGGACTCGGGTTTCAAGACTCGGTAGTCGGGACTCAATGGTCGATTGTCGGGATTTGATAGTCAGGGCTCGGATATTGGTACACTTCACTTGATTTTCGGTAGTTGGAACTTGGCATTTGGCATTTGGTAGGCTTGGATGATGTTGGCTTTCAAAGATCTATTATCATATATTGCTCAATGAAATACCAGACGATCGGAAGTGTGCTGGACATCACATATTCATTTGTCGAGACCCGGGTCTCGGAACTTGGTACACTTCGCTCGAGTTTCCACTTCACCCCTTTGCAAGGCTCCATGCCATACTACATCATTAGATGACTTTGAATTATTACCTCCATGATATACAACTAGCTGAGCTCCATCATGTCTACAATTATCATTCTCCTGGGCCCACCGTTTATATTATATACCCCTACGTCGGCCTACCCGTCTATGCAGTATATGTCTACCATTGGCCCACCCGTATATAATAAATCTTTCACCGCTCCCTCGGCCCACTCGTCTACAAAATAATACCAATACGTCGGCCCACCCGTCTACAAAATAATATTAATTCGTCAGCCCACCCATCTAATATGATATATATCTGGGCCCACCTGTCTATGTGATAACAAGCACCCTTGATATACCCGGCTATTTGATACATATCTACCTTGGTACACCCATCTACATAATATCCAACTACCTCGGCCGATCCGTCTATTGAAAATTCATGTCCATCGGCCCACCCATCTACTTTACATATTCCCCACCTGGGCCAACCCGTCTCCATCGGGAATAATAACACTCCCGGCCCATCCGTCACAGTCGAGGATATATCTACCTTTGGCCCATGGTCCGCTGGCCCGTATCATACGGGATATTATGCACGTCCGTTCACTCGTATAATACGGAGATATGTTACTGCAATATGTGCAACAGGATGATTCATACTAGATATGACTGCACTTCTCGTAAGCGCCCTGCTGTTTCTCTTTTTAAAACAATACCAGGGTCTCCATGTACATTATGGGCGCCTGTAGCTTTGGGGAGTGGCGGTGATTGTGATGAATTGAAATAGGAAGAGCTGGATGGCGAGATCAACTCGGACGAGGACGAGGTAACTGCTGCTACTGACATGATATTCAAGTATGAGTTAAAAGGTGATATCATAGTAATCACCAGGCATATTTGATGAATGACTTTAATCGGAGCTGTGCGGTATTTCAAGTGTATCATCAGAGGAAATTGCCCTTTAAGGCCTGGCTCCTTGTAGGCTTTACTTAGGCCTTGTTTGTTATTAAAAAAACATACCATCTCTTCAACTTGAAGCTTGAAGTCCGGAGTCTCTATTTCAGCTGGAGTGAGACCTGAATGCATATCCCTAGACTGCCTTGGGTCGTTCTGTCCTTTGGACTTCTCCTTATGGTCACTGTGTCCTTATTACGCTGCAATGGAACAGGTTGCTCCTGGACCAAGGATACAGATGCTCGTGGACTCAGCAGGCATCGCGCCACGTGTAAGTCCTACCAGAAATCAAGTACATTAGCTACGGAGAGAAGGCGGGAGCGGGCAAAAGAGGTGATACGAACTGTGACACCATACAAATTGACCCAACGCCTCGCTGTAAGTAATCTGATGCAGGTCGCTCAAACTCTGATGTAGACTTAGTGTATGAAACATAGCCGCTTGCCCCAATTCGATCCACGAACTTGAATGATCGACATCCGAAACCTATAGCCCATTACGAGCCTAGCAAAGGGTTCAGCTTAACTCAGAAGAGCCATGTGCCTCCTAAGTCAATTGATCCAGCTAGTACCACTCGTCCCAGCGCCTCCGACGAGTCTGAGTTGGCTTTTATTACCTCACAGGACCCAGATGTTGAAATGGAGGGTACCACTCAAGTTGGACTCAGGGGAGACCATGGGATTCCAGGTACTCATTTTCATGAATATTGTTTACTATCATAATATACTCATGGGTCGCCAACAGGGTCAGGTCATCTGAGTCGTCCCCCGCGATGCATATTTTTACCGAGAAATTTTGAAGACCTTCTACCTGCAGACGAAGATATGAATCACACAAATTTTCCCATGACTCATCCGTCTCCTATAACTGGGATTCAGAATATACCGCAGGGTAGAATACAACAAGTCTTTTTGACGCTATGGGACACACTCCAAACTGCATTTAACGTAATTGGTCTCACTCAGCTGTATCCTTGGCGTCCATCATTTGAACCAGATAAATTCGTTCCATCTCTGCTGCTAGCCAGATCCTCTCCTGTAGCTAACGACGTGCACAATGCTCAAGGACCTGACCCGTCTACTGGAGTCTCTGAACCGCCCTATCCATTTGCCAACATGACCATCTATTGTCTCATCATGTGGATGAACTCTGGCAGCCATCAGAAGTCGCAAAATGAAGTAATGCGCCTCATTACAAATGTGATCCAAGCCGAGGATTTCGATATGAAGGATCTGGATGGATTTTCTGTCCAGAGATGTCTGCGTGCACTGGACAATGACAAAGTAGTAAGGAGACAGTAACTTTTCCTGATGATTGGGTCGAGACCGATGTTCCTATTGATATTCCTTCGAAGTCAAAGGATGATCAGCCCATATCATTTAACATCATGGGATTCCATTATCGACCACTTGTAGCAGTCATTTGTGCTGCATTCGCCAACATTCAAACTAACACATTCCATATTTCTCCTTTCAAGCGTTTATGGAAGGATCCCCTGGACAATCATGAAGAGCGCGTTTTCAATGAGTTATATACATCTGACGCCTGGCTAGAAGCTCAGGACGGCCTGCAGAGGCAGCCGAAAGAACGTGGCTGCTCACTCGAACGTATTGTCGCTGGACTCATGTTGTTTTCTGACGCAACTCATCTTGCAAATTTTGGCACGGCCAAGGCCTGGCCTCTTTACTTGTACTTTGGAAATTTGAGTAAGTACATACGCTCAGCACCCACATCCAGTGCATGCCATCTTGTGGGATTTTTGCCTTTGGTATGTTGCCTACTTCCCATGTCTTGGGACCCTACCAATGTAAACTTTTCCAAGCTCCCAGACAGTGTCAAGGACACTCTGAGCAATCTACCTCGCATATCGAAAAGCGGACTCGCAACCTTCAATGCGCATTGTCGATGAGAATTGTTCCATTCTTGCTGGAAGGTCTTACTTGATCCCGAATTCCTTCACGCATACCGTCATGGAATTGTTCTACAGTGTCCTGATGGAATATTCAGAAGGGTCTTTCTGCGGATCTTCACTTATTCGGCAGATTACCCGAAGAAGTACATTGTTTGTCTTCATTTCTCATGCAAATATTGACTGTTTCAGGGTTTTAATAGCAACAATCAAAGACATGGGCTCTTGCCCATGTCCGCGCTGTCTCATGCCGAAAGTGTCATTCAATCTATTGGGCATCTTCAGTGACATGCAAAATTGCATAGCTAACCTCAGAGTTTATTCTATTGCCAGGGTAATCAAGGCTCGCGAATTGATCTATGGATGGGGACATACTGTTAACGGCCCCAATGTACAGACAATCCTCGGAGAAGGGTCGTGGGTGCCGACCATGGTGAGGGCTTCGGAACGAATCATATTGATCAGTAGCTGATTCTTCAGCAGAACATGTTCGTAGAAACACTTGGTCCACTCAGATTTGATGCTTTTCATATGCTGGTCATCGATTTAATGCATGAATGCGAGCTCAACACATGGAAGGCCTTATTTATGCATCTTATTCGTCTACTATATGCACTTCCTGGTGGCGACGACCTTGTTGCACAACTCAATAACAGGTTCGTTGTACATTAATCATCTTTCCATTATGAAACTGACGGTCTTAAGCTTAGATTTCGCCATGTACCATCATATGGCAATGGTGTGATTCACAGATTCACAAATAATACCTCAGAAATGAAAAAGCTCGCAGCACGAGACTTCGAGGATATTTTACAGGGCCGTCTCATCATTTCTTGCGCTGATGTGCATCGCTGATATCTACTACAGTGTGCGATACCGGTCTTCGAGGGGCTGTTCCCAAGGGACCATGACACCATTGTACAGACCCTTCTGTATAAATTTGCGCATTGGCACACCCTTGCAAAACTCCGGATGCACTCCGAATCCACTGTATTGGCTCTGGACGAGACATTCAAAAGGCTCTCCCGCCTGTTGCGTAAGTTCAGTGAATTCACATGTGCTGCTTTTGTCACCATCGAGCTGCCGAAAGAAAGAGCTGCTCGCGAGCGCAAAACTGCACACAGATATCAACAATCCAGTCGCTGGAGTAGCGGTTGCAAGACTAAAAAGTTTAATTTAAGCATATATAAATTTCATGCGATAGGTGATTACGTGTGACCAATCCGGCTTTTTGGAACTACGGACTCCTTTACCACACAAATTGTACATGAATCTCTTTCATATTTTCTCAACTTGTTTTGATTTCAGGCTAGGGAGAGTTGGCGCATAGAGCGTTGAAAGTGTTTTATCCTTTGACGAGCAAACTAGACACACCAGCCCAACTCGCTAAGCACGAGCGTCGCCGATGTGTCCTTCGGCGCGTCGCAGAAACAGCACACAGTTCGTACACTAGTCAACAGGCACCAATCGACTTACCAGCAGAGCTAAATGGTCCTCACTATATTCCGAAGCTTAGCCGTAACAATCCAACACATATATTCAAATTTCTCCGACACCATTATAATGATCCTGCTGTAGAGGTACTAGGTGTTACTCTCCGCATTGTCCATCTTCCTCATGATGAACCACAGGGGTTTATACCAAAACCCAAGGATCATATCCTATATCGACTTTGGGGGTTAGATATCAGTCATTGTGATCATACTTTCACAGATGATGAGCGCAATATGGTCATCATCCCAGACAGCAAGATTTACTCCGTTCAAACAATGCAGGTATGTCATGGTTATGCGTATTACATGTCTTACTAGGATATAATCCTTCAACTTGGCAGGTACATTATACTACTTACGACCTTCGACGGGAGTATGATGTCATTAACCCTTGGGCGCACCCTGTCATTATGGTCCTATCTGGGGAAACGAAGCCCCATCATCCATATTGGTATGCTCGCGTTGTAGAGACTCGCATTTCTGCAGGCACATATGGGCACATTTCGCACCTTTTCACAGCTCATGACAATTGGCCTTCAATGCACGACTTGCACCATCAGCTATATTCGACTTCTATCATGTCCCTAGTTGTTTTACACATAACGCGCAGCTTTCCCGCGAAACGCGCCATAGGCGCGGTACTTTCCCACACAACGCGCAGCATTCCCACACGTGCACCTTGCGCGCTTTCTCGCGCTTAAGCGCCCTGCATCGCCTATCATCCAGGAACAGTCCCTCTATGTCCACCCACCTCATTGGTACGTCATATCCCTTGCCTCGTGGTTTGTAACAAGCATTGCAGCGCTATTACATGTCATTACATATTCATAGCGCTTATTGCTCCTATCCCTTCCACTTCCGATGCGATTTCCATAGTATAAAGTTGCTGACTTACTACTCCATCATTATTACTCCCCTTTGCTGTACTTCCCTCGCTATTGGGTTTTACCTTAGAGTAGTAGTCACCACTTGGGCACACTTTGTGTTTCCAATGGTTATCGTTATCCGCCTATACTAGACCTTTATCCGCGCTCGTTATAACACTCGCTCTGCGTTTGCACTCGCTTTGCACATCCGCTTCCTTGTCCGTTTCCTTATCTGGTATTCTCCGCATTCTTGTGATCGGTGAAAATAATGATTGGATGGGGGTTTCCTTCCAAATAATGACGCCATTCTTGGAGTGCACGGATAACGGCCAGGAGTTCGCGATCGAAGATCTGATAATTTCTTTCAGCGGGGTTAAGGGATTGGGAGAGATATCCGCATGGGTGATATACGCCATTCTCGTCGGTCTGTAGTAAGACAGCACCCATTGCAACAAGGGATGCATCGGTGGCTACCGCGAATTGTCGAGATGGATCAGGGTTACGGAGGACGGGTTGTTTTAGGAAACATTCTTTTAGCGTCGTAAATGCCTCTTGACACGGTGTGGACCAAAGGAAGATGTTATCTTTCTTTGTAAGATCGATAAGGGGTCGTGCGATATCGGAATAATGAGGGATGAAGTTCCAGTAGAAGTTACAGAAACCCAGGAACGACCTGGTTTCTTTAACTGTCGAAGGGATTGGCCAATCGCGGATTCCGTCAGTTTTAGCAACGTCCATAGCTACGCATCCAGGGCGAATGATCATGCCGAGGTATTCAACTTCTTGCGCGTCAAAGGTACACTTCTCTGGTTTCAAGAAGAGTCGTTCTGCGCGGATTTTTGTGAGAATTCGGCGGAGTACGAGCGTGATGTTCATTGAGGTTATCCGAGAAGATGAGAATATCGTCCATATAAATCACTAGCCATCCTTCATTGATTTCTTGTTGAAAAGTACGGTTCATGTAGGCTTGGAACGTGGCCGGGGAGTTGCAAAGCCCGAAAAACATGACATTCGGCTCATAGAGTCCGAATTCCGTGGTAAACGCAGCCTTCCATCTGTCATCAGGATGAATGCAGATGTTATTATCACCGGATTGGACGTCCATCTTGGTGAAATACTTTGCTCCGTGTAATCGTGCGACAAGGGATAAGGGAAGCAGCAAGGGGTAGGCGTTCTTTATCGTCCAATCGTTGATATATCGATAATCCTGACAGGGTCGGAGATCTCCGCTCTTCTTTCCTACGAAGAAGAAACCGCTGGCTTGTGGCGACTTAGATTCCGATATAAAACCTTTCTTTACGTTTTCGTCAATGAATGCTTTGACAGCGGTTCGTTCGGCGATAGAGAGGGGATAGATTTTCGACGTTTTGGGGATGAATCCAGGTTTCGTTTCAATACGATGGTCAATACCGGGTCGTTCAGGAAGGAGTTGATTGAGACCGTCTTTAGCGAAGATATCAGCAAAGTCGTGGAGATAGGAAGGTACGAGTTCTTCGAAAGTTTTCTTCTTCTGTTCTAAGCCCGCAGCTAGAGCGAACTGCTGAGCTTTGTTACTAACTTTCGCGTATTCCGTAGGCCGCGGTAAGGGTTCGACCGTGGGTTTTTGTTCAGAACGACTGGTACCGTCCGGGGTCAATGGCGTATCCATGGTAGTATTTGAAATTACCCGGAGTTCGGATGCGTCAAGGGAATACTCCACCAGGAATTCGTCATCATCTAGGTTGTACATAGAGACTTCTCGCACTGGTGCGGCAAAGTTCTCTTGCGTCCAGACGTCTTCCTTGGTATCAAAGGTCTCATCGTCTTCATCGGGAATGGGGAGTAGGTCAGGGAGTGAGTCAATAGTGGGGGAGATAGATGGTGCTTCTTTGTCAACGATTTCTTCGATGGTCGCTTTAGGATAAACGACAGGGGTTTCGATTAGTGCTTTCCTAAGTTTGGATTGCTTCCAGGTTCGATCTATGGGTTCTTGTCGAAATAGAAGTGGAAGGTCGTTCTTCTTCCTTTCTTTGTTGACTTCTTCTTCAACTTGATTACTCTTTTCCGTTCGAGAAAGGATGAGAGTTTCGGCTGCCCAGTCAATAGCCAGGTTCATAGCCCGTAGCCAGGGGATTCCTAGGAGAATCTGATCTCTTCTGCCAAGACGTGTGACGTTAAACTTCCCTATCATGGTTCGTTCATCAATTTTGATGGTAAGAACGCAGTATCGGCGTATAGCTCCGCTTTTGGAATAGCTTCCGTCGGCGGTAGTAACCCGGAAAGGTTTACTAAGGGCATGGGTTCGGATCTTGTGCTTCTTGACGAAGTCTTCTGAGATAAAGGTTCCGGCTGCTCCGGAATCAACAACTGCGGTGGTTTCAACGGTTTTCAGACGTGTTTTCGAAATGAGGGAAAGGGGAACCCGAAGTTCTTTTCGTTCACCGACTTTTCATACAAGTCTTATGGGTACATCGAGAGATACTGATGTTGATCCAGTCTCCCATATCAAAAATCCTCGTTGAGACGGCGGACTTCTGCTTCTTCTTCCTCTTCATCGCTGCTTTCTACTTCTTTGCAGCGTACCGGAGTCTTTCCTTTCTTCTTCTCCGGACAGTTCTTAAAAAGATGTCCGGTCTTGTGACAGGTGAAACATTTTCCGGTCCGGAAATGTTCTGCGCGTTCTTCTTCAGAAAGTCGATCAATTACCATGGCATTGGGGTCTTTAGATGGCACGTATCGGTTGGATCCGAAGTTCTTCTTCTTCTGGGGTTGGTTGCGTGCCCTAATGGCGTTCAGGTGAAGGCGTGAGTTGTCGAGATTGATACAGGTGGAGAGGACAACTTCGAAATCGTCAGAGACATCGCCCGTGCTGTAAAGGCGAGCGAGCAGCCCTGGGTGTAGTCCGTCTAGGAAGAATTGCTTCTTCGCGACGTCACCTTAAATTCCTGCCCATTGTGTGAGCATCAGGAACTCCGAGATATAATCTTGGAGTTCGGTCCCTTGTTTAAGGTTGCGGAGCTTGGCTAGTGCAGTTCCTGAGGGATCAAGCGGCCTAAACGCGCTTTTGAAGTCGGTAAGGAATTCGGCCCATGTACCGTATCCTTTGACAAGGCCTGCAGTAGTTTTATTGTTGGGGTCTTGTGCTTGTCGAAGGAAATCTTCCTTCCAGTAGCGTGCGTTCCCTTCGTTCATGAAGGAGGTTACAAAAATGATCTTCTGCTTGTCATCGACATAGATCTTCTCGTTGATATCGAGGTAAGACATGCATGACATCAAGAATCCTTCGGATTTATCTCTATCCCCATCGAAGACTGGGGGAGATCCGATTTTGATTTCGATAGGTTTCGTGGAAGACATTGGGGGATTCAAAGGTGGTAGGGGTGGTACAGCACCTAGGTTCAAAGCGCCAAAAATTGGTGTTAATGACGTCAGCTTGTTTTCAGCGTCTGGGGACCTGGAGTTCTATCTGTCATGATGACCAGGGTTTGTTCTTGTTCTGAGTTACAACGCGTGATAGCGATGTAGTCATGGAAGACTTTAATCTTTTGTTACGAACTAGGATGGTTCTGACGTATGGCTACTCGATAAGAGTAATCGGCCAAGGTCGGTTCAAGGCTTCGGCGTATACCGAAGTTTCAGGGTTTCTTTAAGACAAGGCAAGGAGAGTGTCCTTGACTTGAGTCACGTTCAATACGACTTAAGATTGGAGGTCTTAAGCGAAGGAAGTTCCAGGTAAAACCTAGTAAGATTAAAGTAAAGAACTACATAGTACAAGACGAGTTATATAGTGAACGGTAACGACTTTAGGGCCAGTACGATGAGGTCATAAAGATGAGTCAGAGATAAGACGAGTCAGAGATAACAAGAATAGATCATCTAGCGACGGCAGGATGCGATCGTGATGTAAATACAATGATGTAAGGAAAGGAAAATGAATAGGGGCGTACTTGACTGTAACAATCTTCGTGTATTCTTCTTCCTTCTTTACTGCGGCTAGCAGCCAAATGTTCCTTAAGGGGAATGGGGTTTTCTTCTGTTCATTCCTTGAAGTGCCATCACGAGTAAGAGGGCTGTTGTAGGAGACATTCTCAATGAGCCAGACGGAGGTCCCATCAGAGGCATATTCAATCAGTACTTCATCATCGGAGAGGAGGTAAGAGGCGATCTCTTTTACCTCAGGTGCTACTTGTGCATCAGTGACCCAGGCATCTTGCATAGTGTCAAAATCTGGGATATCGACGATAACAGGGGTCGGTTCCTCCTGTTTCTCGGCTTTCTTCTTTTTTTTTTTTACTTTCTTCTTCTTCTTGATTTCTTCAAGAGCGTGGGTAGCATCTCTTAAGAGAGTTTCCAGAGGGGTAAAGGGGAGGTCTTCATCATCTTCGATGATAGGTTTCATACTGCAGAAGATGTAGGGAGCTACCCCACCTTCTTTTGGTTATTGTTGATGATCTTCTCGACTTCTCTGGATCTGGGGGTCTCAGAGAGGGCGATTGTATTGTTGGCCCAGTCAATTACTGGGTTCATGGCTGATGAGCCAGGGCTTACCAAGAACCATATCATCTTGGTTTGCTAATCAGGTGACATTGAACTTGCCCCACATTATGTGTTTGTCAAGCCTGATGAACAATGTTCAGTAGTGTGTGGAGCCCCTTCAGTGACTTGACCCAATAGAGACGGCCAGCCCACCTTGACATTCCTCCATGAGAGTCGGGCCAACCCACCATGGGCCCACATTATGTTGTCATCCTGTGTTCTCGGGTGGGCCGGTAAATGCAATGTGGCCTACGGCTAGGGCTGGGCCCACGGTGGATTGGCCTCTATGTTTTGGAGTGGGCCCATGGGTGCTAGGACTGACAGTAGATTGCATTGAAGGGTGGGCCCACCTGTCTATTGCATATTGAATTGCGGTGTCGGTGACAGATTTCCCCCCTATGCATATTGGATCGCAGTGTCGGTGACAGATTTCCCGCCATACAGATTGGATTGGAATGTTGGCGGCAAGTATCCTGCCGGTGCATATTGGATAGATTGTGGTGTCGGCGACAGATTTTGACATTATGTTGTCATCCTATGTTCTCGGGTGGGCGGGTGGAGTTAATGTGCCAGACAGTTAGGGCTGGGCCCACGGTGCATCGGCCGGAGTGTTGGAGTGGGCCCACGGTTGCCAGGATTGACAATATATTGGATTTAAGGGTGGGCCCACCTGGCTTTTGCACATTGGATTGCGGTGTCGGCGACAGATTTCCCGCCTATGCATATTGGATCTCGGTGTCGGCGACAGATTGCCCACCATGCAGATTGGATTGGAATGTCAGCGGTAAATATCCTGCCGCTGTATATGGGATAGATTGTGGTGTTGGCAACACATTTCTACATTATCTTGGGTGGGCCGGTGACACCGATGTGGCCAACGGTTAGGGCTGGGCCCATGGTGCATTGGCCTCTGTTGTGGAGTGGGCCCATGGGTGCCAGGATTGACAGTAGATTGGATTGAAGGGTGGGCCCACCTGGCTATTGCATACTGCATTGCTGGGGTCGGCAACAGATTTCCCGCCATTCATATTGGGTTGGAATTGGCAGCAATTTTCCTCCCAGTGAATATGGGATGCCCATGCCCCATTACATTGGCGATGGGACTGTTAGTAGGGTATTACCGCCGGCGATGAAATCCTGGAATATTTGGCAGGGATTGACTGCGATACTTGAATCGGTAAACAAACCCCGAGCACTATAAACATTGGATCAGTACTACTATAGTATATCATGTACTGGCGTTGAGTGCTGCGACATCAGCACATCTTACCGCCGCAAAAACCCAAGCTGATGCTGGCAAAATTTAAACCGGCACATTGGAAGGCCAACTGGATTCAACTTATGACCTAGTGGACTGAACAGCAAGCATGTAAACAGAACTACCAGTACATCACCGAACATGTAAATACGACTGTGTATCTACAAATACAAAATGTCCATATGATATACCAGTATATCTAAGGACTGCCAGCGATTGTAAACTGATCTACTTTTACAAAATGTTTACCAAATGGGAAATGTTCCTTACTCCGGTGTAGCTGATGTTACATCTGCAGATTCCTCTTGCTCTCCAACACTCATAGGGACTGATGTCAAAGACACTGACTCTGCAGATTGCTCTTGCTCTCCAGGGGGTGATGTGACCGACACCGTCTCAGCAGGTTCCTCCTCTTCTCCTGGCGCCGCTGTCACCAATACCGACTCAGCAGGTTCCTCTTGCTCTCCATTAATGGCATTGCCGGGCAGAGAAACCTCAGCAGGCGATGGGAGTGTTGGCAGACGCAACTCATGGCAAAGATCATCCAACTGCTCAGCAAGGAGGTTTGAACGAGCCTCTTGCTCGGCCAATCGGTCATTGGAGTGCTGCAAAAGCTTCTCCCTAGAACCAACCTTCTCCACTAAGCCAGCAACCATGGCCTTCAGCGAGTCCAATTCCTTCTTGAGGGCAAGGACAGATTCCCTGGTGTCAGCGCTAGTGTCGGTTGTGGTGGCGGTAGTGGAGGACTCGGCGATGAGAATGGTGGTGCTGGCGGAAGGAGGGACAGTGCCAAGTACAGGTGCTCCTGAGGTTGTGGCCGGTGGGGCAGAGTCCATATCTTCTGCAGGTACGTTAGATTAGTGTTGCAAAGTCAACAACAGACTTACCATCTGTATCTGTGGCAGCAGTGACAGGCGAAGGACGAGGCCGAGACTTTGAGCGAGTGCGGTGAGTATTAGTCGCCGTGGACTTCTTTCCCCTGTTTGGGGCAGCAGAACCTTTGCCGCCACATATCTGTTTCAACCTGTGGCAGCGTGCACACACAGCCAGCTCTCCACCCGCGGTATTGTAGCCTTGGCGGCATATCAAATCCCGCTGGACACATGTGCCACAGCCTGGGTCCCAAACCAGGGACCTCTTGTTGGCGTGATCATCCTCTGCGAGCACAATGGCGCTGTCTGTGGGAGCCTTTGCAGGCTTTGGGGCAGGCTGAAAAATGTAAGAGATGTGAAAAAAACAAAATGGATCAACTCACTGGTACCTCAACATATGCAGTCCCACTCTTGGGTGCGGGACCAATCTTCTTCGGCGTCTCCTCGGCGTCACTTTCATCATCACTGGCAATGACCAACTTCGCCGCAGACAGGCGGCGTTCGTGGCGAGAGGTCAGTTGACCAGGCTTGTAAACGTATCAGCAATCAGAAATGCAGACTATCTAAAAACTTACCTTGTACACCATGTTAATGGGGACCGGCTTCTTCTGGGGAACCAGCGTGGCATCAAGCTCCTCTTCATCCTCACTGCTGATGACTGCCTTGGACAGTGGCCGCTGGCGCTGACGCTTGGCCTTTGGAGGCTGACTTTGGCTTTTTGAGCTTATGCTCATTGCCCTTGGGCGTGGACGCTTGTGTTCCCTGCCCCGGCCATGATCTTCCTCACCTTCAGGCTGGGCTGTTTCTTTGCCCTTGCCCTTGCCTGCCGGAACATCAGTGTCCCAGGAATGGACGGCGTTGGGTTGGGAAGGACCGGCAGCAGGAGGTGACAGTTGTCGAGGCTCCCCATAGCCAATACTGAGAGGATAGAGGGGGCTGTGTCGGCTGCTATATCTGATGAGGTGTATTCAATGTTAAATATGAGGTTCAGTGAAATGTCACGGAACTTGAAACTGTTACCCAAACAATGGAATTTGTGTGAGAAAAGCGGGCACGTGAGTTCAAAACATGTTCTTTTCAATTCAATGGATTGCCGCATGGCACTGGCCTCGCTGCCGAGAAGAGAAGTACCTGACTTCAAATTTTCATTGTATCCTACTGATACATTTTATCCCTGTTGTTGTGTTCCAATTTTCCACTTCTCTTATCCTCATCATGCCCTCCAATGACATATCTAATGAAGCTCTCAGTGATGCTACTGCCCAGGTCCTACAAATCCTAGCTAGAGCGCTGAAGTTGAAGGAAGGTCATGCCGATCACATGAAGATCACTGTGGAGATGGGGAATATTTTGGTGGATATTTCCCGATTAGAATAATACTGTAAACTGATTGTCTGCAGTCGCCCAATTTTGCAAAGTATGGGATGTCGGCTACCTTGATCCATCCGGTGCTTCTCTTGGTTGCAATGGAGTTGTTGGAACATCTGGATCCCAGCCAGAAAAACTTTGTCAGTGTGCCAGAGTGGAAGAATATCAAGGCGAATGATCCCCGCATCAAGAAGCATCCATTAGCCGAGAAGGCATGCCGTTTTTTGGCATCTGGGCCCATCCCGGAAGACACACTGCTGGCCTCTCAACTGGTGGCTGGCATTGTAGTTCCTGCGCCAATGCCGGCTGCTGCTGGCTCATTCAAGCCCAAGTCAAAGGCCGGGCCTTTACCGAGGAGGAAGAAGGTGGAGGAGTTGCATTGGGAAGGTGATGGGATAGAAATTGTTCCAGCTGGCGATGGTGGAGATGTTGCGCCTGCGGCAAATAAGCCATCTGAGACGGCAAAGGCAAAGGGAAAGGGGAAAGGGAAGGGGAAAGGGAAGGCCAAGGATGTAGCGCCACCAGAGGATGTAGATGATCAGGATGAGGTGGAGTGTGCTCAAGTGCTTGGGATCCTGAAGAGGCGATGGGAATCAACTCCAAGTCGCTCACCGATGAAGACTGATCCAACAGCAGAACAGCAGCCATTGTTTGGAGATCGTCTCCCATTGCCAGTATGTTCCTCTCGTTAATTCCTTGCTCATTGTCATTAATGCCAAACAGATGGCACTACCAAAGAAGCAGAAAGTTGCTCAGTCGCCGACAATGGAAGTTGGTGATTTGCTGAAGGAAGATGTCAATGCTGTAAGTATGCAGTCTTGTTGTCTTTCCAAGTGCTCACTGCCCATAGGACAATGATGGTCCAGAGCTGGTGCCACGCTGTGAGCAGTGCATCAAAGTGTATGTACTTGTGACGATTCATTAATGGTGTGTGCTTATCCTCCATCCCGCAAGCAATCTTGTTTGTTACCAGGCATATGGTTCAACTGGCGGTGCACTGAAAGCTTGTGGCCGCTGCTCAAGGTCGAAAGCAAAGTGCTCACATGTTAGGGCCGGCAACCAACCGACACCCACTGGCACCGATCGCCGTACTCCTTCCGGCTCACAACAGTGTCTTGCCAGCAAAGGTGATTTTGTTAACTTTGTATTTACATCATCCTAACTATGCTAGATATGCTTGAAAGTGATGATGCTAGGAGTGGACCTGCGGTAGTGCATTCCGTCCTGCCAATCACGACTTTGGCAATTGATCAAAGCTCTCCGGCACCAGCACAAGTGTCCTTGTCCCCGATATTAAATCCTCCATCAGACTCCCTTCTGGACCACATGGAGGTAGATATGTTGGGAGACTCCATGTTGAACAAGCTGCAGGCCATGACATTGGAGGTCATCAGGACTCCGCCGCAATGCGTGCCAAAAGTTCTGGACTGCAAGATACTGTAAATCACCTTCGGTCCAAACTCAACAAATTGGAGGCTCGCAATCTAGTCACTACTGACTTGGTCAAGGTGATGAACAAGCGCATTGCCAATCAAGAACTCGACATTGTTGCAATGGAGGCTCTACGCACCAAGCTCGGCAACCTTCACCAACAAGTTAAGGTATTGCAGGATGACGCGGCAACTTGTGACCAGCAACTCCGGTGTGCTGAAGAGCAATTGGCTCGTCAAGAGCGTACCACCGGTCTCCTTCAGGATAGCTATAACGGTCTGCGCCAACGTGTTATGGCACCCAACCAGTCATTTGCTACTACCCCTTTCCCCAATGGCGTATTCCTTACCAACGTACCCTACAGCGGCAACCAAAGTGTCATTCCTCTTAGTGTTGCTCAGATGCAAGCCTTGGAAGTGTTGTACTTGAACATGCCGACTAGTGCATCCAGGTTGGGGGGCCCATTTGTAGGCAATGTCGCCGGTGGCTCCCAGATGTACAGTGCTGTTGGTACCAATGTCGCCAGTGGCTCCCAGATCAACAGTGTTGTCGGTACCAATGTCGCCGGTGGTTCCCATATGAACAGTGTTGTTGGTACCAATGTTGCCTGTGGTTCCCAGATGAACAGTGTTGTTGGTACCAATGTCGCCGGTGGTTCCCAGATGGACAGTGTTGGTACCGCAAATGTTGTTGGCAGTGCTGATGATGGTGGACCTGCCTTTGGCGATTCGGCATCAGGAATCCGACATGTTAATTAGGAGCCCCTTCAGTGACAAATCCCGTATTATACGGGTCACCCGACCTACATAATATCCCGTGTAATACGGGCCAGCGGATTATGGGCCGATGTTATGTATATTCCCGATGTTGACGGGTGGGCCGGGAGGCATATTATTTCCGATGGAGACGGGTGGGCCCATCTATGCTGATGTTATATATATCATCGACGATAGCGGATGGGCCGGGAGAAATATTATTATGGAGATGGGTGGGCCCATGTGGGTAATATGTAGAGTAGGATTGACATATATTATAGACCTGAGGAGAGATGTATAGCAAATAGTATTATATAGACGTGTGGGCCGACATATTAGTATTATTTTGTAGACGGATGGGCCGAGGGAGCGGTGAAATATTTATTAGATAGACGGGTGGGCCGACGTGGGGTAATATCAGATAGACGGGTGGGCCGAGGGTGAGGGGAATTATTTATTACATAGACGGGTGGGCTGAGGGTGAGGTGAGTTATTTATTAGATAGACGGGTGGGCCGACGTGGGGTAATATCAGATAGACGGGTGGGCTGAGGGTGAGCGGAATTATTTATTACATAGACGGGTGGGCCGACGTGGGGTCATATTAGATAGACGGGTGGGCCGACGTGGGGAATTCTACATAGATGGGTGGGCCGACGTCGGGTAATATTAGATAGACGGGTGGGCCAAGGGTGAGGTGAATTATGTATTAGATAGACGGGTGGGCCCAGATACATATCATATGGACAGATAGGCCTAGGTATTGTACATTTTTACGAGTTTCGAGGCTCGAGTTAAGAAAATTCAAATTTAAGATGATATACATTTTTGTTGTCTTGAAATACCGAGACCCGAGACCCGAGATTCGGCACTCGGTAGTCGGTGAAATGAGTACAGAAATACATAAGATAATACACATTGTTCTCAGAAATCACAAGTTTCAAATGTCGATTTGTAAATCACGAGTCACAAGTCTCGAGACTCGAATCACCGAGTACCGAGTACTGAGAACCGAGTACTGACACCTGACACCCGGAATTCGGCACTCGGCATGCGAGACAAAAGATTGGAAACAAAACTCAAAATTCGAGACTCGAAAGTACTGACTACCGAATACCAAGTACCGAGTACTGAATCTCGGGTCTCGGTACTCGGTATTCGGTACTCGACACAATGCTCAAAACTCGTAAAACTGTTTCGAATCACCGAGTACTGACTACCAAGTACCGAGTACTGAATCTCGGGTCTCGGTACTCGACACGATGCTCAAAACTCGTACAACTGTTTCGAATCACCGAGTACTGACTACCGAGTGCCGAGACCCGAGATTCGGTACTCGGTAGTCAGTACTTGGTGATTCGAAACAGTTGTACGAGTTTTGAGCATCGTGTCGAGTACCGAGACCCGAGATTCAGGTACTCGGTACTTGGTAGGCAGTACTCGGTGATTCGAAACAGTTTTACGAGTTTTGAGCATCATGTCGAGTACGATACCGAGTACCGAATCTCGGGTCTCGGCACTCGGTAGTCAGGACTCGGTGATTCGAAACAGTTCTACGAGTTTCGAGCATCGTGTCGAGTACCGAATACCGAGTACCGAGACCCGAGATTCGAGTGCTTTCGAGTTTCAAGTTTCAAGTTTCAAATCTGTCGTCTCAAGTCCCGAGTGCCGAATTCCGGGTCTCGGGACTCGGAACTCAGTGACTCAATCAATGGACTGGCAGAGGTTACATTCATTGAAAACTTGTATATACATCTATCACTATGCAATTATGTAGCCATGTCAACCTCCACAGAAGACTCTTCAACCTTCACCTCCACCTCAACATCCATGTTGCTGGAAGAGTCATATTCTGGGACAAGGTTGCTTGGATCACCTGGGTCCACAATTTCGCCAGATGCATCTGGATCCCCTGGATGAACAACTTGGTTGTAGTCGAACAGGAGACCCTCGATGGCAGAGGCATCCGGGAATGTCGGGGCTGCGGGTGTGGGAGCCATTGTTTCCATACTGAGATCAATCAGAGGAGGGAGTGCGGATTCTGGGGGTGACATGGTGCGGGGGCCGGATTGATCAAGCAACAAGGATGTTGCAGGGGCAGGAGTGTCGGGAAGTGGGAATGAGGGGTGCCGGTCGATGATTTCGCGCCTAAGGCCTTCATGAAGGCGTTGCAGGGTGTCAATCTTACCATCCTGCTCTGCCACACGAGCCTCCAGAAGAGCGATTCGAGCTGCGCCATCTCGAATCGCAATGGACATGGCATGGAGATCTGGCATGGGCACCCCAAGTGCTGCAGCAGGGACTGCCGACCTGGAAGACGGAAGGGCTACAAGGGAAAATGAAGGTCAGACGGTGATGAAAAACTCGGGTGACTTACAAGCTGGTGCAGGTGCGGGTGCAGGTGCAGGTGCAGGTGCAGGTGCAGGTGCAGGTGCCTTGACGGCAGTGATAGTCTTGCTGCGACCACGCGTCTGGGTCTTGGGAGTGGTCACAGCAGTGGCACCAGAAGTTCCGGCCCGGCCACGAGACTGACTGCGAGTTCGGGCCCTGGACTGGGAGGCAGGGGAAGCTTTGGAGGGGGCGGGAGTTTGGGATGCGGGGGGAGCCTTGGAGGGAGTCTTGGAGGAAGCCCTGGATGGTGTTCTGGACCTCGTCTTCCGGGTAGTAGAGGAAGAACGATCGTGAGGAGGCGGGGATCCCATAGTCGCGGGGGTGCACTTGATCTTCTTTGTTGTGCAGTAGACGCACGACATACATGGAGCCCCGGTCCTCTTGTCCGGCCGAGTTGCGCAAGGCCAGTTCGTGCTTGTGGCAAGCATAGCATGGGTTGTTCTGTTGGTTGTATTTGTGTATGGACACTTGAGATATTTCAAAGTACTCACCGGTCCGGGAATGAGAATGTCAACTGCAGGGATGACTGGGGGTGCCTGCACCGGAGGTTTGGGAGTGGGCTGGGAGGGCTCCACAACTGCTGCGTGACTGCCGGCAATCACCTGGTATAATGTAAGCACACACCCGAGTCCCGGACGCATAAATGACACTTACTGTGGCAGGGCCAAAGGGCTTCTTCTTGGGTACCCAGGGCGAGCGAGGCGAATCAGGCATCCTTGCGACAATTGTGGAGAGCCGGGGAAGGACGACCTCCGGCACTCCACCCAAAGGTGGCTACACGAAAATGAGAGACAATGAAAAAATGAACAAGACAACATACCTGCATAACCGAGTCTTCATCATCTTCCGACTCCACGATGGCCTTGGACTTCACAACGCGAGCAGACCTCTGACGCTTGTGACTCTTCATCGCGGATTTCGGGGGTTGGGAGGAGGGTCCAGAAATCAAGGGGGACTTCCTCTTCTTACTCCCTTCTGCCTCGGGGTCTGGGTCAGCGAAGACGGCCTTACCTTTCCCCTTGTCCCGGGACTCGGTGGTGGGGTTGGTGGAAGGGCCGGCGACATTGCTGGCAGGGATGGCTGGGGAGGGAAGGTTGACAGGAATCGGACCTGTGGATGGGGGGGCAGCAGTTGGGAGATCGAAGGTCTGGTCGCCTAAGGCGTTCCAGGCGAGGACCTTGGGGTACCAGGCGTGCCTCAGAATGCAAGGATCGTCATACCCGATGGAGTGCCAGTCTGGCCAGACCTTGGGAACCATGTTGCGGATGCGCTGGAGCTCTTTGGAGCACGAAATGATGAGGCTGGGAATAGGACCATCCCCGGACCCATACTCCTTGGCTACATCAGACTACCAAGATGTTAGAGAAGAAAAAGCACCCAAACAAAATACATACCACAAGTGTAGCAACCTGTTTTCCCAAAGCCGAGTGGCTGGGACCCGGAGGAATCTGCCGGGTGGCACTGATGATGGCCATGATCTGGGCAGCGGATGCCTTGAGATGGGTCAAAGAGTTGTCAACTGGAGTGGACATGATGAGTGGGTTGAGAGATTTAAAGATCTTGAAATCAGATTGAAATCAGTTATCAGAAAGATGAAGTTTCAAACAAACAAGACATTTGATGGGCGATCCACAAAATCGTTTATTGTTTGTGTTTGTTTGGTCGTGGTTCAAATTTCGGCAATTGCCGGCTTTGTGTTGAACTTCGAAGTTTTTTAGATCATCAGTCAATCAGTCCACCAATTCTCCACACATGAGTGCCCATCCAGCCGTTAGATTTAATGACCCACTGGTGACCGACTATAATTCTATGGATGTGGATGACTCATCTATGGGCCGGGCATCACTAGGTATGTTGTATTCTTATCATGCCTTATCTATTCACCGGGTATCCCTTAGATGACTTAGATGACTTATACCTCGGGCCGGATGATGACATAGAATATGATTCTATGTCATCCGGACCCCCGGATGCGTCGGCTGCAATACCCGGTATGACTATACATTACTGATGACCTGGGATCACCATGCATGCTAACTTCACCCTTGAAGATCAATCACATCCGGGTCAAGCTGATGATGCCAGCTGTCTCATTGATCCAGACTTGTACCTCGGGCCTGAGGATGATGTCATTGATGTTGATGAGTTGCTGGACTCTGCTGATCCTCCCACTTTTGCTCCGGCTACCTCAGAGGTGTCTATTTCATGTGGGTCCATTCATTCTGGACCATTATGGAGACTGATCTTATCTCCCAAGCCGACGAATCATCTACCAAACTCCCTGCAGACCAGCCGGAGCTCAATATCGAGGATGTACGGTTGATGGTCCGGGAGCTCCATCCTTTCGGAAAATACCAACACCCAGAATGTGAGTATCTGAAAGCAGAGCAGTTATCTTGGAGCTAATCTTTCTGGAAGACCAATCCGTCCAAGATCGACTCCATGAGTACAAACGCCGTACTGGAGGTCTTCCTGACCCTTCCATCCAACAACTAATCGAGGCCGAGCGTCCATTCCGAACTGCTTGGGCAGAAACATCCGACAAACTGAAAAAAGCTGATGCAGACCTGCAGAGGTTGCAAAGAGTTGAACAGATGAGCATTGAAATGCTCA